TCATTAGATGTAGTATTGATAGTTTTCTTATTATTTCAACTTAGGATATTTCAATCTATATGGTAATCTTATATCAAGTGATTGATTATCTGAAGGTTCTTAGAAATTGTAAATAAAGCCTTAAACTTTCGAAACACGGCGCGAACGATTTTAATCACTCTGCTGTCAATACCAAACCTTCACATCTCGATCATCGCTATCATTCTCATTCAATCAAAACCATATATCCTATTTCTCATACTCATCTCTTCCAGCCCATTAATTACTTTCACGCCGTCAGTACCCTTAGCCTCGTTCATCCAGCTCGCCAATCTCAGATTCCAACTCATATTGTAAAAGTGGTAGGTCGAGATACGTGCGTCCCGATAGCACGCTGTGAGGGGGAATTGGAAGAGAAAGCTGATTAGATCACATCGTAATACGTCACTTATGGAGAAAACGGGGTTCACAATGGTTTGGGGGTTGAGACTATATAGGGTCAAATGTATATATGTAGAAGGTTGATTATCGTAGAAAGAAAAAACAAAAGCTCTTCTTTTATATCTAACTACAGGAGGTCATGTGATTGACTAGTTAAAAACCCCTATGTATTTGGCCTATAATTCCAACTTTCTCATAGTATATGTGTATATGCATACACACACACATATATACATACATATACACACCTACCCACCCAGACCCAACAAACACTCCACAACCAACCAAAAACCCAAATTACCCCAAAACAAGACCTCGATCCCGACCGATCATCAAAGATATATAAAACATAAGTGTCTGGAAAAATATGTATATATACTTAGAATCTAATTATTCTTAGAAGATGTAAAATTTTATATTCTTTTCTTTTCTTTTCCTGTTCCTTTTGGGGCTGAAAAATAGGGAGGGGGTGTGAATAGATATTTATTAGTATAGGTTTTAATTATAGCTAATAATTTATGACATGATATTGTCGCATTTACAACTTCTTTCATCGCTTCAACTATCATCGTCTGATATGCATATGATTTCACACCACGCATGAATACAAGTGCACAATAGGTCCAAGCATGGAGCTTTTTTTCATTGTCATTCCCCTACACCCCTCATATTTTATCAGGGCTACTCAGAACTGGGACGAGATTAGCTTACTACCGCCTTTCCTTCGACCCCGTCTCCAGCTCCCGAGTTCCTCATACAAGGATGACTTTTGATATCTTCATCAGATCCAGGTCATTCATCCTAATTGCTGGCAGATCATCTTTCTGCCGACTAACGGCGGATTCGGGTGTGCAGCATTTAAATTGTGCTACTCCTATTTCGAAGTGGAAAGCCTTTTCGACGTCTGCTGACAATCTTCATCTTCGTCTGATTCGAAGACATATTCGACGTTAGATCTGCCAGCTCAACTCATGTATTAATAAGAAAGGTAGAAGCGCAATTTCATGATTATGTTAACGTGGAAGGTGGAGATGGGGGAACCTCAAGACATTATTGTGAGAGTGAAGGTTTTAGCGAAGCTGAAAGGACAGCAGTGCATTAGTGGATGGTTTTCTTAATTTAAAATAGTTATTCTGGATGCTGATGTCATGGACCGGAATTTGAACGGTGATAAGAGTGACTATTCTATTCTAAAGGGATCTTTATGTAGTCTGAACACCATACGCTTGTGGGCAATACCAACGCAGTCGGCAGCGATGACTCTGCATTAATGTTAGCAGCTCGTCACGCTGACAGAAGTGTCGCTTGAAGAGAAGCAGTTTCTCGAGGACTTACGCTGCGAAGGGAAAACATAATAAATGGTCTGCGTCTTTTGGGGAAATTTTTATTGGAGGTATAATAATGAAAGGGATAATGAAGAGAACAATATCATCATAAGCTCTTGAATAAGCATTTTTAACAGTATTTAGCTGAAGAAGAAGTTTTCTCTGATCTCACGAGGCTGACTTGTATATTATTAGCATCACACGGTTGAGAAATGAACCAATACGGGCGATGTCGATAATTTGAATCTGGATTAAAAGCAGAAATACATAAAGACGAAGGGACACGATTCTAGACCTATTTAGCATCAGCACTTTGAAGAGTCGCGCCGGCACCTAGACAATAATGATGACCACTGTGATGTTAGACTTGACAGGAGATAGCAAGTTCTTATATCTATAGAATTATGTTGTAATATATTTGAATAATAAAAGCTTTATACTATTATTCGAGTCTCAAGATATTATAAATAAATGTAAATATTAAAATTATAAAAATAATACATGTTTCAAATAGTAACTTTTTAACTTCCGTTATTGATCTTTAAAGTTGAAGAGATTGAGTAAGTCCCAAGAAGGAGATTCGCTAAAGTAATATTCCGGGGCGAATAAAACTATTCATGATCTACATTACATCATCGATTTCCACATCAACACCATTATAATATAACTTTCAGTTTACAAAAATGATCTCTACAAGTAATTTACAGGATTTTTATATTGAATTATACAATAATATATCAGATTAGACGTCAGAGACGCCACTAACCGAGCTATTTCGTCATCCGCCCATTCATCCACCTCCATCGACAAGCACACCAGTATTCCGTCCTATCCCCGTTCAAACCCTTGATACCCATTAATTAACAAAATAAGCATTCAGACAAACACCCTCTCAAAGGAAGAAACACCTCACAACACAAGGTATTCCCCGCCATCATGCCCACGAGTCTCCCTACAACCTCCCTAGACCAAAAAAAGTATCCGACAAAATTGCCCATGCAAATATTAAGCAGGAATTTTTATCAACTAACCATCAACGACGCATTAAGTTTCCTTCGAGTTCTTTCCAATCCGCATTGAATGACAGGTTAGAGTACGATATGGGCGGACTGAGCAAAATAAGATACTGGTTAGATGATCAATTGATAATTGCCATACGCTGACTATGCATGCTGTATAGATAGATCATCAAGGGAACTGGGACCACCCATCATAAGATCGAGCAGTATCGATATCAATTATACCTGAGATCGAAATAGCATTTGTTTTAAAGTCAATCTGCGTCAGCGCCTGCTTCGAGTTTGGACTTCGTAGGTATTTTACTTTTGAGATATAGTAGGATAATGACGAGCCGCATGCCGACACGGGGAGACTGATCCAAAGACGCATTTCCAATTCGATTAAGCCAGCTCGTCTCCCCAATAGTAGAAGCTACTGTCGAGCCATGGCTGCCATTGGAAGTACGGCGTTTATATAAAACCTCGATAGCGCGATGGATTGGTATGCAGAGAACGATATCCGCTAGGAAATACCACCCGCACGTTCCTAGCCCTCGTACGGTACGGACAGCGATCAGTATTTCTGAATTTGTCATGCTACCAGCGATTCCGCTTCCACAAGAAAAGATAATTAGTGCGAAATAGCATATATAGGAGTTCGACAGCCCAAGATATTCGACCCATGGGAGAAAAGTCGTCGCACTTCCATAGACGCAACAAAAATCCAGTATATAATAACCCCAAGACATCTATACTTAACACCATCCCAATATATAAAAACGCTCAAATGTCCCGAGATACCAAGAAAGGTATAACATAGAGATATAATCATGCCCCCCTCCCCAACCCAATTCCTCAAGCAAAAGTAGGAAGAGATATCATCTCAATAATCGCATCTGTAGATGTAGATCTAGATCTAAAGAACAAAACTAACAATTGCAACACCAGTACCATCAAAAACACTCCCAAAACATCCAAATATCTCACAAGTATCAAAAACTATCATATCTCAATCTTTAACCTCTTCTCTCATTTCTCATTTCTATCCCCGATACCCTTCTCGACTTTTTTAAAAATTTCGCCGTGCACTCACTCATTATTCTGAGTCTGCAAATCCAGATCCAGATCCAAATCCAGATCCAGATATAGAAAAGATATTAACATTACTATCTGAACCAGCTTGACATACTCATTATATTTCTACCTATAACCTACAACCTAAAACTTAAAGAGACAGATCCTCCTTTCATCTTATAACAGTTCCGCAACGTAATCAGATAACTATTAGATTAACATTCTTTTCATCCTGATAGACAACTTCCAACTTCCGCTACCTAGGTAATCAATTAATCGTACTTAACGTTGTTCTTTTACGCGGACCAGCTCTAACCTACCTACACTGGCACAATGGCACAATGTTTCGTTTATGCCCAGGTAAGATCTTACTTACATCAGAAGTAGTGAATACCGATTCTACCACGTGCGCAGCGAAATCGATGGTATGTCCAAAACAAAAAGGGAAAGTACGTGCTAGATCTTTCCATGCCTTTTGATGCATGCAACGCAACGCTTTGAGACCATTTCAGAGGTTACTCTTCTGGGGTATTGTCTGAGGGCCTACTAGCATCTGCCTACTAGCATCCGCCCACAGCTGTCAAAACCATGTAGATAGCACCGCAACATCAACAACAGCGATGTATACATCAGTAGAAATTTATGAGATTACTAACTATCTCAATGCAGCGTTCGTGGTAAGTTCCATGTATTCATTCATGTATTCATCGCACCTTTTTCGACTTTCCCATCTCCAAATAACATAATATATGGTACTTATTTACCTACTTACAAACAACTAATCAATCAATCACCTAGGCGCTCAACTTAATTCACATACCACATACATCACTTTCGCTTACGCACCGCACCTACACCTACTTAAACATATAACTAGGTAGCTATTCCTATTCTTCCATGCTTCCATATTTATGGACCATAAGATCGTTTTTTCATGAAACACATCCCATCGTAAAGCAAAATAAATTGCATTCCGGCAGACTGCTCTCACGTTACTTACCCCTCTCCCCGAAACCCAATCCCAAAACGATCTTTTTTAAAAAAACATCATAAACAACACATAACATATAACATAAACAAACAATAAATAATATACTCTGAAGATCCACCCTTCTACCTACCTAATAATTAAAACAAAATATATCCATCTAGCCATCCCATCTCATCCCAACCTATCCATCACTCTCAAAATCTCCCCCCCTCACGGGCCTCCTCGCCTTCTTTGAAACCCACTTCCCCCTTCAAAACCCTCCAACCCAAAACCAAACTCAATCAATCAATCAATACAAGAAGCGAATCCCAAAAAATTGAATGTACAATCAATGCCATAATCGAAAATCTCCTTCTCCTTCTCCTCGTCTCAAAATTTCCTTTAGTTAAGTAATACATACACGCGTTCCGTTCCAATCATCACTCATACATAACCATCCATAAGATATAGCGATCTTTGATGCCGTTGTGGTAGCGGTTGAAGCACCATTTGCGTGCTACCTTTTTTACATAGCGTTAATCATGAGACATCGTACATATATCTCATCAGAATCTTTATCCTCAACTCCATCTCATTTAGGATAAGACCCTGTGGATACTCATAACCCACAGCTTCTGACCCCTTCCAACGTATTTCCCCCCATCGTCGGGCCTCGAAGTCTAGGAAAAGCATCAGGACTCAACCTAAGAGTCTACTTGATATTTTCCTTTCTATTCGTAACGGCATCCGTTTTCAATTCCGCCCCCGAACTCCTCCCCTTAATCGAATTTCCATTCAATTTAATCTTTGGCACTGCGTCTTCCGACAAAGCCGCCTTAGCAGCCACAGCATCCACCCCTTGTCTGGCCAATTCATCTAATCTCCGTTCCTCCGCCAACTCATTCTCATCATTATCACTTCGATCATCCTCGACTATACTCATAAAGACGAATCGATATGCGATACGTAAGATATAGAATAGCCAGAAGAGATTGAGAGCTTGCAAACTTGCAAGGAGAGCGGTGGAAATGACGTGCGAGAGCTCACACTTGTATTGTTCCGTTTCCCAGTTCAATTCGTAAGGTCCAACGGTTTTAAATTCGTTAAATTCCGAATAGAGAATTCTGAGATTAAGGTAATGTCGTAGGTAAATCCACGCGGCGATGAAGAATGCGAAGTATGGTCCTACAAGAGGGTGATCTAAGTAGTTGAGAGTTTTGGATGTCTGAAATAATGTTAGTGTGAGTTAAACGTGTTTGAGTAAAAGAACCATGAACATACAGCTAGGAAAAAATCACTGATATCATGAGTGACATAGACTGCCAATCCCATATATGTGAAATGGAAACGGTAGCTCAAGCCAATCAGGAACAAAGACACAATATGATGTCCGACCAACTCTTTGTAATCCTTCCTAGGTTTCTCCAAACCCAAACATAAAACTAGAGCTTGCTGCGCCCAGTATGCGGCTTGAAACAAATAATAGAACTTAAAAATCCCCTCGTGTGTTTTGTGCGGGAACCCCTCATACATTCCGCGTGTGTTGAAATACCAGACTGGTGTTCGACTCATGACGTATAAACCACAAGGACCAAGAATACCAAAGTATATAGCAGTGTACATTTGTTCCATAAATCTCGATTGTTTTGCCCTACTCTTCAGTCCACTCTTGCGAGCCAATGGTCGGAGGAATTTCTGCATGATGAATTCTCGAGTGAAGGATAAAACCACAATGTAGAAAGAAACCAGAGCAAAATCCCACGGTCCTTTGCCATATTGAATTGGTGCTCCTGGTTCAGCATCTTCCGCTAGAGGAAGTTCATAAGCAGGGAAAATGAAATAGTGTAGGGGATTCGATTTGGTCGGGTTGACAGCGTAAAAGGAGAGGATGGCTGCGACGATTGCTAGAGGTGTAACCCAAGTGTGCTTCAATGCATATCTCTTATACTGCTGCAAAAGTGTCTTGGCTTTTCGCCTTTTCGAAAATGGTTTCTTTCGATCCCTATCTGCCTGGGCCTAATTGACATCATATCCATCAGTACAAGCAATTGTCTGCGGAGGGAAGATGGATAGTACTGACCTTAATTGTCCCAGCTGAAGGCGGTCTAATATCGACAGTTGCAAAAGCAGGCGCACCGGTGTCTCCAGCTCTAATCTCTCCACCCAACCCACTAGAACGACGTCGTATTTTTGGTTTATCAATACGAGCCTGCGCATTGAGAGGTGTTAATTTATCCTGCTTTGCTGTCGACTCCAGCTGCGGGAAAGATTCGGTCATAGCCATATTCGGAGACGCGACGAACAACCAATCTTGTCAAACAATGAATGAGGAAACTTTGATGGTTGGAAAATTCCTCGGATTATTAAAAAGTGGCCAATTATAATAGAAGTAAGTATCGCGGCGTAATGATTCTAAGAGGCATACAATGGTGCAAAAGAAAATGTAGAAAATGTAGAAAATATATATCGTTTACTTGGGGCATTCAACTTTTTTATCAGCCGTGGCAAGTCGGACTAACAATAAGTCGGTAACAGCAATGAGCTTAAAATTCATCTGGGATTCTCGGACATACATATCCACCATCCACGTCTACCTTCAAACATCATCATTCATTCCCCTGTCATCATTCATCAAAGAACGCCCACGTACCTAGTAATTCAATTACAGAACAATGCACTTTAAAGAATTTACATCATCAATGCCATAATAGGTCTGGTTGGTCGCAAACGATACTTTTAATCCAAGATATGCCTGGAGAGGAATGGAATTGATCCCAAAAGAGCCATTCATCCGCTTTGAGGTTTGGTTTTATCGAAGACGACTACTTGTGCTAGCTAGAAGTATATCTTCATGAGAGGGATTTACTTATCTCAATTCCCTATCCAATAACCACTCATTGGTCGGGTCGCAGCTTTTGGCTCGTGGTTTTTGACTCGTAGTTTTTGGCTTCCAATCTTTCATTCCTCGTTTGTAGTTTCTGGCTCTTAGTTTTCAACTATGAAGTCAATTGTGGATATATGCTTGGCAAACGTAAAATAAAGGGGTATAATTTGAATATACAGCTGGCTAATGCTATGCTATGTTTGACGCAATTTTCGTCCAAAGAATTCGTGGTCTCATGTCTTGATTACTACTATATGTACAATGCACCCGTAGTTCGTGTACATTGCTTTGTGGTATCTATATCCGTATCCCTTTTCCTTCCTTCCCATACCCGGTCGTACTTTTTTAGAACTCCTTTTGATGTCCCTATATATCAATACACAAATGCTCAAGTCCCAGCGCCACGCTCATGCTTAAATCGAAATCGTACCATAGATGTTGTATCAGGGATCTTCCACCCTAGGCCGTCGTGGTGGTGCCGGTATAGTTTTTACTGGTAAACCATCTATGATTGAGGGGAGAGCCGGCGTGACAGGACTTCGAGCTTGGACAGGGCTGCTTCGCAAACTCGAAAAATTGTGGGTTTGACGACTATTTACAAGAGTCGGTGAGGTAGTTGTATCTTCAAATCGCTGGTCTGTTTCTGGTTGCACCGCCGTTGCAAATGATATGCTACCACGATGAGTGATAGAATGCCGTTGAAGACTATCTGGAGTGTAAGGGTCACTTGTTCTGGTATGCTGATTGCTTTCACTCTCTATCTGAGATGACCCTTCAGGTGCTGGTTGAATTGAATCTGAACCTGAGAAATCAGATACCGGCGCATTAGCACGTCTTCTTGGTGCTGGAATCACAGTGAGAGGAAGAGGGTCTGTATTGACTGTAGGGCGTGTCTTTTCACGGAACCTTTCTGCCTGGGCGGCAGCGAAACCTTCAATTCGGGCGCGCATGTCCCACCTGTTTGAGGATTCATGACTACTAAAAGTTACTGCAGGCTTCGGAGTATGCAACAAAACCTCTGCTGGAGGCCCTTGGACTCGATGCCGAAAAGGATTGAGGGCATTCCAATGCCAATTCTGAGCACGAGGTGCAACTATAGGGGCATTCTGCCCCTGGTCAATAATGACTGGCTTATCGAAGTCAATCTCTTCATTGCTAATGGACCTGCTAATTGATATAGCTTCACTGTTACTTCTCGAGAGAGTTGTATTCGTACCAACAATGGGCGGAGTCGCATCACTGATGGGATGATACCTCACTGCATAGACAGTGCTTTCAGCGCTAGCAGTATCCGCCCTATTGATGGGTGTAGCAATAGGCTCGGGCCTAGTGGGCCACAATGGGGTTTGGGTCGTTAATAAATGTCTTCTCGTAAGTTGATCGGAACCAGGCCCGGCCTCAAGATCGTTCGTAGCACGCGGCCTATAACGGTTAGCCAGCCCAGACATTGCTGGCCAAGTCGAACCCGTAGCAGTTCCTCCCTTGTCATCGCCGTCTTTGCGAAAATGGTTAGTCCAATCCGATGTTGGAGTGACCTCTAGCATCTCGTCCCCGTCAAAGACCTCTCTTCCGAGCACTCCATCCTTCTTTTCATTTCTTTCTAGTGCTTCAATTCGCTCCACCCACTCCCATACCACCACGCTTGCTGCTGCTGCGCCAACCCACCGGACATAATCACCCCATGCAGCAAGTGTCGGCTTCGAAATATCAAGGACGAAGAAAACCACGGGTACCAACACTGATACCAGCGACAACAATGCCACAAGACATATATTCCGCATTTGCGGATGATAAAATGCGTAGCGCTTCTTTGAAATAGCATAGTAGATGACCCAAGCGCAGTATAGAAGGCTTAGAGCGAGTTGGAAGAGATAAGCTAAGGCGGGGACAGCATCCGTAAAAGAGCGGGGTCGCGAAGTGCCATTGTAGACGAAGTTGTTGAGAAGACTAAACAAAACATCCAGTGTGATTAAAGCAAAGCCCGTCCATTTGATTATAATTTTCTCTCGCTGCCGTGGGAATAATCTTATCAGAGTCTGGGCTTGCGCGAGCCACAGAAAGGTATCCGATATAACACGAATGATCTTGAGTTCCAAACCACCATCGACTTCGTCTTGTAAGGCCAATACATTCATAAACCCAAGTTCGTATTGTTCTTCAGCGACACGAAACGTATCTGCCGTCGCGATAGTTAGAGAGACTGCGACAGTCAAGGCTGCAACCTTCTGTAGCCAAGGTCTTCCGCCAATGCCAATGCCCGCATCACTGCCGGATGGACCGTTCGTAAATCCGCGTCGTCCTAATACTACAGCGCCTTGAACAAGGAATGTTCTTGGGGTAATCAAAAGCATTATGACTAGCATGTATGCAATTACAGTCGTGGCAGCGAGGGCGTAACATTCCGGTATCGTGGAAGCGTAAAAGGGATCACGCAGATCGGGGAACGACGCAGGACTGTTTGCACTGGTGATAACAATATCGGCCGTGCCTGTACATTCTGGAGTGAAGATAGCATTGGTTGTGAGGGTGAAATATTGGGATTCACCAAGATTGATAATACCATTGGAGGGAAGGGTGAAAGGTGTGCAATGGGGTCGAGTAACGGTTGTAGATTGAGTTGGGGACGGCTTCAGGTTGTTGATTAATTGTCTGCGATCCATTTTCAGCTATTGGGGGCGGCCCGGCCGCTAATTGCTCATGTAAACTTAATATGAAGTTATCGTCATGATAAGAATATTTCGGTTTCTCTAATGAAGGGTTTTATTGCGTTGGGATAAATGATATATATTATGTATATATATGTGTGAGAGTGTGTGTGAGAGTGTGGATGTATATTTGCGCTGCGAAGTTCGTGTCCGTGAATAACGGAAATGAAGATCAACCAAGTATTTGAGTCGCTCAGGCTTTGTTGACTTCGAGGATCAAGAGCTGGAAAAGGGAGGGATGGGAGGCTTGAAAGACAAAATGAAAATCACGATGACAATAAAAATAGAGTTTGCTCACGCATCAACTTGTCTTAGAAATGTATACAATAAAAAAGGGAACCAAAGTCAAAAAGGATCGAGGTACTTTTGAGATGAAAGATGAAAGATGTGGTTGTTTGTGTTTGGATTCATGAAGTGTTCGAGGTCAGTTTCATACAGGTAGGTAGGTTGTTGCTTAAACTGGTGGCAAGTCACAGGTAACAAACAGGGTGTAGAGTGATTGATATAATGGATACCACCCTACTACACTACTACCTTGGGCATGGATCACACTCCGTAAGAGGTAAGGAATAAGTAAAAGAGAGAGAGAGAGAGAGAGAGATGCTGTGTTTTGTGTACTAGGCTAGGTAGTGTAATGAATGCAATGCAGTTGCTGACAGGACCATCACTTTAACTTTATCTGTACGTGCATTTTCCCTTTTCCTCCCTTTCCAGGATTTTGTTTTTGATTTCGAATCTCTCATTTCAGAATATTCAATCAGTAGACTAGAATAATCACTATCCTACCTGGTGTCAACCCAGTTGATCCGTTCTCACCCACACCACCTTCCCCTCTTTTTCCACAGACGCTCGAAGGTTGCATATTAATAATTTGGATAGGTGAGTGTATTAGGTAGTATATACTAGATAAATTGTCTCCAACCCAAGACACATTTTTCCAAACTGATCGGAAATCCAAATCTGTGGTAGTAATCATCGAGTGAACATGAGTATTATCGAAGATTACACTATGTTATCATGTACATAGAACCTGTTTGGCCTTCCATCTACACGAGAATGCATTGGACTCGGACTCGGTCTTGTCACCGTCAAATGTATCCAATTATCATGTAGTATGTACTAATTGACCAATCTACTTTCGCATCAGCTTATATTATCTGCTCTAGGTATACTCTGTACAGTGTACCTACTTTTCTCGACTCTTGATGTCCGGTACTACGGGCCAGAATACAGCCGACAAACCATACTTAAAGCCAGCCAGTCAATCAATCTAACTCTAAAGCAAAAGCAAAAGCAAAAGCTAAAGCAATCTAGGTAATCAATCTACTTAGAGTAAGGTCGTATTCTGCCATCGCATCGTGGCCGGTGAGAAATTTTGCGATGGCTTGAAATTCTCCCACTTGTCGTTTTGATTTATCCCACATATGGTTACCATCAGAATCAAAGCAGAAATCTCGTAACACGGTCGGAACCACATCGATGTCCGCATTCTGTCCTCATTCTGTCCTCACTCAGGACCTTTTCTTTCCTCTTCACCCTTCACCAGTGTTTGAATTCTAATTAAAGTTTTAATGTGTTGAAGTTTGGAAAATGCTAAGATGATCCCTCCTCCAAAATTCATCGAGGAACTGTAGAACCGTGGCTTTTCCTTCATCTCATCGCCAAGTAACGGTTACATGCCTTGGAAGTGCCTTGGGACAAAGCTTGGTGCTGTTAAGCTATTGGGGGACGGTTTGGTGCTACTGAAAAAAGTTGGGGAATTTGGGGGTAATCGGTTGAAATGGATCTCGGTAACTAATACTACAACACGTTCAGGTAGAGTTGGTGTTTCCACTGCCAACGAATGGACCGTGGAGCCGATCATCAAGTCATGGTTTGAGATGTCAGATCGATGAGAAGCTCAGCTTCCGTTACCAAAAGAGGAACCTTACATCTTCAATATGACACCTATGATGGGGTCCAATGAAGACTAAAAGACTTAACCATCAATTGGCAAGTCGGCAAAACTTGTTTCCATGTTTCCTCGTAAAAGCCTCTTTTCCCCTTTTCAAGTCTACATGATTCCATCAAATGGGAGACGGGAAATCCGACCAGGAAAGGATATTACATGGTCACTTGATCGAGCATGCAAAGCATAAATTAATGACATCTCTGTCCCGCATGGCCCTCTCCACCGGATAAATCCGGATGTATGTATGTGTATGTACATAGGTGAAGATGGTAGGAGAGCACATTTCTGCAGTACGGGGTACCGAGTTTTTCGAGAGAAATGCAGTGCCACCATACCAGCACACTAACCAATACTGACTGAGGTAAACAATAAATAAGCACACGACGGCCATCAGGAAACTTTGAATGAGGACGGATAAGCGGGAAAATAGCTGGACATATATAGTATCTAGAATGATAATAGAAAGATTGCATCTCAAGAAACCATTGCTACGAATTTAATATATATATTCACAACAACGGCTGGTGGGCTCGACAAGGAATAAAGGAGAGATGGAATAGAGAATCGAACATCATAGGCTTATCTTATCTATCTCTCTGTGGTTCAGTTTGATTATTCGAGCCACACTTGAAATATTAACCTGCTTCACAAATGATTGATTCATCATCTCTTATCCGATTCCGCAATCCACACATAAGAGAAGTCAAGCCACAGATAAGATCTTGTGTATACTCTGTAGATCAAATTTTGGGTTCCAAATGTTCCAGATTACTACTACTACTGGACGGAGTAGGTAAGTGCGGGAACAACATGCCTAAGTAAAGTTGATGGAGAGGCTAGGAGAAGCTAGGAGAAATGAATTATGGGCACTTGCACAGGTACACAAACCTTCCTGTTCCTTACGGTACTTTGTGAATCCCCTTTAACCTTGAAGCAGCGCTTTCGATGCTTTATAACGTAATGTAATGTACAGAGTAATGTACAGAGTAATGTACAGAGTAGAATGTAGCTCTTGATGTAGCTCTTGATGACTCCATGATGCCGCTTCATGATATCGTAACTTAGGTACTTGAGCACAATTCTGCTTAAGCAAATCATTAGATGGGCTCGTTTACTTAGGTACGACTTACTACTACTACGTACATTAGGCAGGGGCACCAGGGGCACCAGGGGGTTGAGTCCTTCTGAAACGAATTGCAGATTCACACCATGCTGCCCCGACCTACTGCAATGATCGATCAATCAATCATATTGTTGCCATCCATACCTACTCAATGGTGATACCCACAAACAATGATAGCACATCAATACCTACGTAGCTAAAGTGCATACGCTCTCTTTTAAACGCGGGGTTAGTAGGGACGAATCAATTGGCATTTTGATGATGGACGACGGATGGTGGGTGGATGAGGGAAAGAGATCCAATCTATCTGCTGTACGGTAATCTTGAGGCAAGAAAGAGATCACTTAGTACGTCTTTCTTTCTCTCACTGCGCACTCCATCACTCTCCGGCTCATCCCTCCGTCCCTCCATCCCTCCATCCCTCCATCACTCCTTCACTCTTACCAGCCCTCCAATTAGCTAGCTATACCACGTCGTTATATTCACACAAACCTATTTTCGGGTACAATTCTCAGGAGGGGGTCTTGGCATTCATAGCTCGGTAATACTGCTGCATAATTGTGTAAAATAAAAAGTTGTACGTCTCCCGGTCTTGTCCTGAGATACTTGGAAAGATTTTAGAGTAATCTAATCAAATGAAACAAACATCTTTGACAATGCAATGTTCAACCTCTTTCAAGAATTTCATAGAGTCGCTCCTAGAGTTATTACTATGATATCCTAGTATTTATTTATTTATTTATTTATCCATTCATACGCCAATCACCTACCTACTGTTAGAATAGTGTCATTTTACTTCTGATCAAACACATTTTATTTTCTCGTAGACGTCCTTAACTCTTCCCAATAATCACTCCTTTTCCTGATTCCCATTAGGAAGTCTTTTCATTCATGACCTGCTGGTTGAAAGTCGATCCTCCTATCAGCCCCGTGCTAAGGCTTGATTGACATTTCACATTTCACATTTCATTTATTTGTCTTGCCTCTAACCCCGGAAACCTTCAAAAACTTCTTGACCTCTCGATACCTACTTTTGGACTTCATAACAATTATTCGTCGCTATCTTGCCTTGCCCTATTCACTCCTTTTCATCACGACTTTCACTTCAGGGCTTAGATGTGGCAGAGCAATCTTGCTGTATTTCATTTGGATGTTAATCATAATCTGTGCTCGTGCCTGTCACAAATCATCTCATAAAGTGGTAGTTAAATAAACCACTGCCAGAACCAGATTTATTATTCTTTCGAGGTTTGCGACCTCACGATACGATAGAGTCATGACGCGCCCGGAAATAATTCGCGCTGGTTGGTTTTGATTACCTCACTGCCGCTCTTCAATGGTTACTGATTCTATAGATTCAATTGACCTCCAGGACCCAAATGCTCCATCGGCGCAAGACCATTCCAAGAAGCAGGCAAATGCAACACCTTTAGGTGCTGGGCCGCCCGCTCCACACCAGGCCGAAGCACTGCGAGAAGCCGCCGCAGATGTCGCAGATGAACAGCATCGAAGTCCGCGAGTGTCAAGGGAATGGACGAATGGCGAAGGGCAAATGATGCAAGATTTTACGAGTGACGACTTGACCGCCGAGGTTACCTCTGCCTTGAACGGAAACAATCAGCGAGATGATTTGGCAATTGCTCAGAATGGTGGTTCGACAGGTGCTTGGGGCGAAGATGGGGACATGGCAGATGCCGAGGGGGACGATAGCATGGATGATGATATGATGGACAAGATTTCAAGCTCTCCATCCATCGACGATGGTGGGTATTTCCTTCCAAAAACTTGGCCTTCTAGGTCCGACTCCCTCTCCCGGGAAAGCTCCTCGTCGTTTTCACAAGCGTGCGGCGAAAGTTCATCCCCTTTCGTGGAGCCACCCACTTTCTTTCCGTTACAACCCATGAGCGACCAGCTAGAAATGGACCTGAGCCAGGTGGCTCACGAAATTCAATATCATCATCATCATCTAGGTGAGTATCTCGACCGAGCGAATAGTACTACGTCCAATTACGATACCGACGCGCCTATACCAGTAACCCCGGAAAAGTATGGACCTTACATGGAAAAGCAAGACCAGGGCTACAATGAAGAGTATTTCCAAGACCAGCTCACAGCAATGCATGATTCGGACCAGGATACGGCCCCAAATTCCTCTTTCGATCCTTACGACTACGAGGCCATGACCATACCTTACGAAAGCTCCGAGGACGAAGAAGACCAATATGATGAGGACGACGATGATGATGACGATGATATTCCATATGCTGCTGACTCTAGATTTGTTGATTCCGGATGGGGTGGAGAGTGCTTACAAGAATCAGAAGATATCGATTTCGAATTCGTTTACGCGCTCCATACCTTCGTCGCTACGGTAGAAGGTCAAGCGAATGCCACGAAAGGAGATACCATGGTTTTACTAGACGATAGCAACAGCTACTGGTGGCTAGTAAGAGTAGTCAAGGACAGCAGTATAGGCAAGTCACACGGCAAATCATCTCATCTAATTGCTAACATTAGTTTCAACGGGTAGGTTACTTACCAGCAGAACATATCGAAACGCCAACAGAGAGACTAGCAAGGCTTAACAAACATAGGAATATTGATGTACGTGATATTTCCTGGCCTTGCGACACCTTACTAACATGCACAGCTTTCATCGACCAGGTTGCATGACCAAGCAGAGAAGTCAAAAAACCCCCTGAAGAAAGCAATTCGACGAAGGAATGCTAAGACTGTAACCTTTACGGCGCCGACATACGTCGAGGCCTCTGATGTCGATTACTCTACTGACGAAGAGGATGGTGATGGGGACTTCTACGGGCAACAAGAGCAACAGCGTGAGCAGCAAGAGCAGACCGTTGAGGATGATGAAATCGTTGCAATCGAGCCGCTCAAACCACGTTCTGAGTTACGCGAAGTGAAATCGGAAAGTCCAGAACGTGATGATTCTGCCGGTAAATCAAGCTTAGACGCAGCTAGAAATAGCGACGAGATGTCTGAAGGAAAGCTAGAAGGTAGCAAATCCAGGAATGGTACTCTACGCAACACGGATTCATTCTTCAAAGACGACACAGTGGAAACTCGAAAAATTACACTTACGCCAAATCTGCTTCGTGATGATTCTAGCACTTCAACTCGGACATCTAATGACTCGGAGAAACAGAAGCAGAGGCCGAGCCTCGATAGACTTGAGAAGGATCTTGTTTCAGACAAAACCAAGGACAAGAAGGAAAAGAAAGACAAGAAAGAAAAGGAGAAGAAGCCAGGAATGCTTAGCGGGCTATTCAAGCGAAAGGACAAGAAGTCGAAGCAGCAGGAGGATGATCTCGAAGACTCAATAACATCAAGCAAGCAATCAAGCGAGAATCCTAGGTCATCTCCTTCTCCTAGCAAGGACTCGGATCTGGCATCTCTCGAGGAATCAAGTCCCGAAACTCAGAAGCAGCCCAGCAAGTTACAGAAACAACCGCGGCCGGAAACCTCGCCCAATCGCAACCAGAACATGAGGGCGCCAAGGTCTATGGAACCACAACTTACCACAATTTCTGAACGCGCATTTGCAGCTGATTCGACTCCAGGGCCTTCGTTACGTTTAGTACAGCCCGAGCCACAAACAGTCACTCCAGGCCAACAGGAATCTTCTAGCTCACCCACGAGTTCGAGTCCCAGGTCACCTGGGCCGATATCTAAAATTTTACATTCCGCAATTTCTACCAATTCGGAGCCAAAGCCTGTCAAAGCGAAGAAGGCAAAGGCTCGAGTCGAGTTGGATGATTTTGATTCATCTTCGGAAGAATCCGATGTTGAAGAATCTATTCGTTTCTCAGGTGAACAGGCTCAACGACCTATTCCAGGTAGCTTTCCTGACAGTTACATGGCAGCCCCTGCGGTTGAAAGTCATGACGCTGTGGACGAGAGATTATTGGAATCGCCAGTACAAATCTCTCCGATCACACCGACAACTTCTCATCCGCCAGCACTCATGGTCGATACGTCTAGTCAAGAAGAACCACCATCACCAATGTCATCACCTTCACCTGAGCTTATTGATGCTGATGATGTTAAGAAGGGGACGGGAAGCTCTACAACTTCAACATCCACACCTACATGGAGCGACTCGCATCTCAGGACATTCTTCGATGATGATACAGACATAAGAGATCTGCTGGTTGTTGTTTACGATAAATCAGGAGTCGTGCCGGCAGGATCAGATCATCCTATTGTGGGCAGTCTTTTCAAGGAAGAAAATGCCAAATTGGCAGATATAACCAACGTGAGTTTTGATGAGATGGAAAGAAATATTATTGTACTGACTATATTACAGCGTTTGGATGGAATGCTAGGTGATTGGTTGGCCCGCAAAATGAGGACACAACCTTCAAGATGAACACCAAATACAAATGTAAATCTTACATGAATCAATGAATTTATGATGAAGCTGGAGTGGTTTGGGCACAAATTCTGGCGCTACTGGGGAAAAGGAGGGTTTGGCATGGGGATGGGGATGGGATACCTTATACCACAACATTGGATCTTTGAAAGATTTGTTCATTCGGCAGCATTGGCAATGGCGCCCTGTACATAGTTTTGCTTGCATCGTCGGCTGGTTATTTTCGATTGGTTTTTTTCTTCCCTTTCATACTGCTCCTGATGGATTTATATATCAAAAGATTCTGTTGTACGCGGGTATCCGAAGGGCCACATACTAGGTAGCATTGAGCTTTTCGCTTCCGTTGGTGAGACCTGACTATGCATTGGTTCCTATCGGTGGCGTGAATGGTGATTATATATATATAGGTGTGTATGTATATATTGTTATATTGGTAAACAAACAAGCAGGGGCGACTAACTGCGGGAACTATACTATTTCTATTTCTTTTAGATGGATCATCATCGATAGGTAGTTAAGATATTTATGGAGCTTTTTTCCATGTGTTTTAACGCCCCGGTTCCATATGGGGGATTGCTCATGTTTTTTCCCTCAGATCCTTGTCTTGAATGAGACCGAGTATAATGTAATGGCATGACTTCATTGGATATTGCATTTCTCCATTTTGTGGCTGGTTGGGTGGTTATTAGAGGGGGATATATTTGGACCGAGTAAATATTGGAAGTACATAAGATTTACACTAGCTAACTCTAACTGGGTACGGAGTATGTATTACCCATATATACATAGTACATGTCAAACTTGGAGCTTGTGATATTTATTGTTTTTGTTGTATTTATTGTACAACTGACTTCATAATCCAATATCCGGTATCCTAAACATTTATTAGTAGCTAAATGTTGTCAATTTTCTTGTTTGGGTGTGTGATACTGAAATCGTTTTGAGTTACTACTAGACCTCCTAAATACCATTAATAATCATCTACTCTCATCCTGATACAATTTCACCTTCATAGGACGACACTACCTGGCGTTTGGCATACATCTATCATTTCATTCATTCACTTAGGAACAGGTTAACCCGCCCGCTTCACTTTGAACGGCCTCTCATTACCTACTCTATGCTCACTCTGCGACCAACCCACCAGCCATTAAAACAGTAAAAGAGAAAACGTACAATTCAACCCACCCACCATCATCCAGCTCCATAAATTTAAGCGCAGAGCTTGGACCACTCTTTCACAGAAGGTTAAGCGAAACGTCTGCATCTACTGTATGATTCTTGTTCAGGAACTTGGTTTCAATCGCTGCGACAAAGCCTTTTGGTCTGTTTTGCGCGCCTTCGCCTTCTTGCCTTTGAGATATAATTATGGCATTCGAGTCCGGCACAGCCTACCCAGAATCTGATGCGGATGACGAGTACGAAAGAAGTGTGCATAACAGTTCCCCAGTCCTCGCCAACGATTCAGAGGATTCCGACGGTCTTTCCTCCAATGAGCATACCCCGACTACATACGGCAACCATGGCATCGGGGATAGTCTATCGGAGGCTATCATAACGTGCTGGACTGAGGAACATTGCGCCGAGTTTGTACGTAGTCTGGGACTGCGGCTGTATGACGAAATATTCTTAGGTATGCTTCAAAGCGGTATTGATTGACTTTTGAACTCTTATCTAATTGAGAGAGATAGACAATGGGATCACTGGAGATGTATTGGTAGCACTACACCATAACGATTTAAAAGATATGGGAATAACGAGTGTGGGGCATCGACTTACAATTCTCAAGAACGTTTACGACATCAAGATCAAGCAGGATGTGCCTGTAGAGGGTGATCATTATGTGCCACTGTGTGAGTGAGTTGATTGAATGGCAATGAGTATTTTAGCTGATTTTCTTTGAAGCAGCAGACGTTGAGGCTCAGTATGCCACCGCAACACTCAAAGACATCAAGTATCTTGTCGAGCAATTAAAATTACGAGACGAACGAATGAGCATCGCAGAAATGGAATTACGCAGGCTAACTGCTGAATATACTCGATTGCGGGAGGACCTTTTACCGGTGTTTCGAATGGCGAAAGAAGGACAACCCTTACCATACCACCCTCCTGGAACCAACAATCAAAGCTCATATTCTTACGATACCAACAATACGCTATCACCCCCTGCACCAACGCCTTCTTCAAGCCAATCGGGACTTTCGCGAAAGTTCTCAACCAAAAAGCTCTTCTTAGAATCAACGCCAAAGAATGCGTCTCCTACATTCAACTTACAACCCAATCATGATAGGTCTATGATGGAACAAGCTCTCGACCCTGCAAACGCTGCCGAGCGGGCAGTCCTCTCTTCATCTCATCTCAGCGCTACGAACAACGGCTCGCAATCACTGTCTCCCGGTCAACCTTCGCCTAATCAGCCCTCGCCGACTTCCCCTCCTCCCAGTCATTTGAGTGGATCCACTTTGGCCTCACGTTCATACCGATCAGACCAACAACCTACTCCAGGCCGCAGCACCTTCCCCCAAAATGAAAACGACCAGTATCCTCCATCTACATACTCTCGCGATAGTACCAAACCAGCACCCTCACGGCGAGCCCAGACACCTGCTCTTGAACCACCTTCTGGTGGTGGTGCTTCGGTCGAAATATTCAAATCATTCCGTGTCAGTATGGAAGACCCATGCTACAAGGTCTTACCTGCTGCTTTGAAAAAATACAACATTAATGCGCCTTGGGAACAATACGCTTTATACATTGTCTATGGAGATAAGGAAAGATGTTTAGGTATGGAAGAGAAGCCTCTGATTCTATTCAAACAACTAGACAAGGAAGGCAAAAAGCCTATGTTTATGCTGAGGAAGATTAGCCCCAATACGGAGCCTGGTATACAAGACGTTCCTGGAAGTGCAGGCCTAGACGGTAGAAATGGTGGTCGTGGTGGAAACAACTCTATATACGACCCCCCTGGTGGCATTATATGACCTCAGCCAGCTTTTCGGATTAGAAGTTATTCCTTGGAGTTGCTGCATTGGTTTACACTGCAAAGCGAAAGTAGGCGACAACACGATTTCTTATGATAGTATGTGTATTGGAAAGAGACTTTATGGAACTACAAATTTAGGGTAAATTCACTTTGTTATTTATCGGCTAGCCAGCTGTTTTGGTTTTTTTTTTGGTCATATTATCTATCAATGAGGCGTATCATGAGATGAACGGTTGAATATTTGTTTTTGGTCGGATTTGACTGTGGAAGGGAGTTCTTGGATGAAACTCCTGGTTTGGATATATAGGCAGCTTGTAGTGGCTGATAGGGCGGGGTAAATCCAAGGGAAAATAGCTTTGGCAAAGCTGAGAGGGGCTGGGCTGGGCTGGCTTGCGTGGAAAGGAAACAATGGGAATAGGAAGACATATAAATCAAATGAAGAGGGTTTATGGGAGATTTATCAAAAATTTATTCAAGATTTACAATTGTTGACTTTTCTACGTGATCAAACTGAATGGAGTCTTTAGACAGGCCTTCCTGTGACTAATAAATGGTAGGTTAAATGTTCGACTACTTGATAAACTAGACAATTAGTCTGATAGACAAACCTTTGAGGCATATAACGTAACCTTCTAGAAAGGCTCTCTCTCGTATAAGATATCATGAAAGCCTTGTTTGAGGTGGGCCTCAGATAGTGTACTCTGCACAAACCCTTCTCCAGCTGGACGAGGACGTAATCTAGAGTAATAGAGTAATACCCGAGTAGATGGCGGATGTAGAATCTTACATGACAAATTGATCGGACAAGTTACTTTATTCAAGGCTTTGTTCGGAAAGATCCACATTATTGTAAAAAGTAAAAATAGATACTGTACTGTGCTTGAATAGTGGAGTTATGTATAGTACTGTAGATGGATAAATTGCCGAGACTACTGGTGGGTGAGTGGGTGGGTGGACTAATCGAACCAATTAAAGACTATGGGGTACGGGATTGTCTATCTTGACGGGTATACCCAAGTGAATGCATGTGAGAGGGAAGGCTCAGCCTCATCTACGGGAACTTCAAACCTTCGTACTCACAGCCCGATCTTTGATGATATATTATTATTGTGCTCGAGTATAGTAGCTACAAACAACTAACTATTTTGCACGAATCATATTGGCAACATTACCGAGTTTCATCACATCTTGCTAGAATCATTTTGTCCGTTCCAGAGTGAAAATCCAAAACATCCACAAATCATCCATTTATCTGCTTGTCCTTAGCTCAACTTCCTTTAATAACATAACTTGAAAAGTCAACCACATCTTGCAGCAGTCCTTGTAACTGCATCATATCATCATGCTTGACGAGAACCTCCCTACCTTCTTCTTTAAAGCATCAACCGATACTCCTCTCTCAACCCCCATCTTCCTACGACAAGATGGCTCCGACCTCCAACCCGAATACTTGCTCCGCCGACCCGATACCAATCTGCCAGCCTCGAAAAACTGCTACGCAGTAGCCCTTTACGATTCTTGTAACCCTGAAGTCCTCTATGCAGAGGTACTAGTCCAGCCCGAATGGACCCAACCTAGTCTTTCCCAAGCCGAAATTCGTGCTCAAAATGGCATTCCTCCTCCTCCAGTACCAATCGTTCCACAGAGCTTCACTGTCCAATTATACAATCCTGATCAGCAAGTATTGGTGAAACAGATACCCAGTTCCTGGAATAGTTCGGCGTATTGGGAATTTGATATGCCCCAGATTAGTTTCCGTGCTCCTTCTGCCTCGGCCCTTGATAGAAGTCAGAGTGATCCCGCAATGTCAGATTTTACACCCAAGGTTGCGTTTAAGTGGAAGAGAGATGGGAAGTTCTCTAAAGATTTGTCATGTTTTCTGGTTGGGGAAACTGCAGAAGGTAGAAGAAATAAGGAGCCAGATATACCAATTGCCATGTTTAAAGGCGGGAAAGACCTTACAATTTATGAACCCAATATGCATCGAGTTGATGTGGAAGATTTCAAGGGTTTAGAAGTAGTCCTTTTATTATCGGCTCCAGTTATCAAGGATATATTCTTCAATCCCACTCGCGAAATGTTCAATATAAGTTCACCAAATACAAATCCAGGCCCATCCCGAAAACGGAATAATAGCGGTCCTGTTATCCGCGAAAATGGTAGAACGGCAATCTCCCCCGTAATGGCCGGAGGTCTCATAACCAATCCCCCACCTCGTCGTACCTCATATCCTCTCCCACCGGGACCTTCCCTCCCCTCAACCGTAAATCCCCGCACGCAATGGGAAATCGATACCGAAACCGCGCGCCTAAAAGCGCTAGTCGAAGCCGAAGAACGAGAACGCCAACATCTTGAATTAATAGAAGAGCAACGTATCAAAAAAATGTTAGAAGAAGAAGAAAAAGAACAGAGGAGAAGAGATGCCGAAATCGCAAAGGAAACAGAACGCTTGAGAAAACAATATGGTATTACACCTACACCTGTTAATGGATCAGTCCCCGGAAGTTCAAGACAGAGAATTCAATTTGCACCGCAGCAAGTGCCGCTAAGGCCTACTATTACTACTACGACTTCTAGTGCGCAGCCGCCGCCTAAATCGAGACCGTTGAGTATGGGTCCTTCGAATTTTTCTTTGTCGAATGGTTGGTTTGGGGGTTCGTCGTCTTCGCAGCCGAAACCGCAGAAACAGCAGCAGCAGGGTCAAGGCCACAGTCAAAGTCAAAGTCCGTATTTGCAAGCGCCTGGTAATGGGGCGGCGAGCTCGAGTGGATTTTTTGGTGGTAAGAAAATGCAGAAGAAGAGGAGTGTTTTCTTTTAGGGGTGAGTGGTGAGTGGTGAGAGTTGGATGGGTTGGATGGGTTTTTGAGAGGGAAAGGGAGGGGGGATATTGATTATTGGTGTTTGTTTGTGTGTATATATGTATAGATGAAGATGAAGGGGAAGATGAAGATGAAGGGAATAAGGAAACCAATGAGGGGATAAGGAGATGAACATATGAAATTGAAGATGGAGAAATTTCATTTCATTTCATCTCATCTCATCTCATCGCTGTGTTACTAGTTTGAATGATTACGCATGGAGTAAAGGTATGGTCTAGTTAAATGAATGAAACTCCTGTATTATCTATCTTCTTTCAATCCCATTTACCATTTGCTATTTGCTACTCGCTATTTGCAGCAGAATTTGAAGTTTGGAGTTTTGAGCTTGAGGGTGAGGGGTGAGGGGAGGGGGAGGAGGGCTTGGGCTTCAGTGTATATATGAAAAGAGAGATTTGAATATTTATAAAAATGATTTATAAGATTAATTTTAATTTTGCCGAGAGAAATTATTAATTTAATTATCTTTTGTAATATAATAAATACTAGTATATGTTACGAGGGATGCGATCTAGATCACGTGGAAGTGGCCTGGATCCTCGAATGGTTTATAACTAGGCGTCAAGCAGGGGCTTAAGGTAATATCAATGGTTGCAATTCGTAACTAATAGTGGTATATATTAAATAATTGATCTTGAGCACGAAGCTCTACAAAAGGAATTCTTTCCTATTTATATAGACCTTCATATTGATTGAATCCCTTGGATCTAGTGGATCTAGAATACGATTATCTAATTCTTCTAAATCCTTATAATTCATTACATAACTACAATCAGATTATATATCCAAACTTGCTGAGGATGGGGAGATTCCGAAAATCAATTATCACACAATTTTGTATACAAATCGCCTTACTTTTCGATAAGGCCCAAACTCATATAGACAGGTTGACTGTTACCTTGTAACATTTAATAGAATTGAAAAAAATCCTAAATCAGATTTGTTTGAGATTGTAAGGTTTATATTAAGTTTTTGATTAGATGATTTACTAAAGTATTTTAAACTAATCAAATTATCAGGATTATAACTCATTTAAACGAGTTTCTCATTTTCTATAATTTATATTGGAAAATTGTAGTATGCTATATATACAACAAGGTTTTGATATCGGCAAGCCAACAATAAAAACAGATCATTAAATAATGTTTATAATTTTCTATATAAGAAATTCTAGGATTTTATTATTTATTATCAATACATTTTATCTTTTTTAATATATATTTCTCATTAATCTATAGACTATAACTAATTATCTATCGACTTATTTACAAAACAACATATATAAAATCTCAATTGTAAGCCTCTATAACTCATTCTCGGGATCTAGGACTTGCAATTGGTATAGACCAACTATTGCAATAGTCCTTCGCAAATAGATTCGATTCTACTTGCTGGGGAATCATGGCACACACATCCTTGATGCTTTTTATTTCAACCATGGTCGTTTATATCTTCTGCAGCATGCGAGCCATATTTTGATTTAACTAAGGTTCTGGTGCTCTGCTTTTTCTATGTTAAAGATAACCAGCGCCTTTTCATAGGCTACATCGTAAAAGGGTAAGTGTATATAGCTTAGATTACTTCTATCTGTCGCCAAACAATCGTCATTTGCTGGAGGAAAGTTGGTATCGAAATGCATATAGAGCGGAAAAAAGAAACCATGCAAGCTGTAAGATGTATAAGGCTTTCCAGTTTATTTCAAGTCTTGTCCTATTTACTCTTAGTCATGATAGCTTGTCTTCATTTTCTCCGTCAACTTACAATCTCATCGTGGTTTCCCACTCAGAAAACTATCTTTTTTAAAAATTTATATCTTGATTGTCTAATTAGTGCTCGCTAATAGCCCCTTAGCTCATCATGGCAAGTACCTCAATATAGCAAGCACCACTGAACGCTCCATTTCTTCATTCATCACAAGTCCCAATCATTTCAAATATATTCGGGATATATTTGAATGATAAGGCTTTCCCACCAGATACAACTTCAGCCGACTTTCGATATCAAACCAGCATCTCCTATTCTCCCATTGCCCATCACATTAAAGCCATTCAAGATTTATCAAAGGAAATTAGTTGAAGATGAGAATAAGGATGTAATTATAGCTACGCACATATATAGAAATGTTGTGGGCTCAAAAGCAGTATCTGAATCTTATAGAAACGCCGCCTGCCCTGCTCATGGGCCCTCTAGTAATGTGATTCATCTTCTGTATATGTGCAGTTTCATAATTCCGGTAGAGCCTCGATTGCCACAGCCCTTGGTGGTACGATTCATTTATTCATGAAGCTTGATGTAGGTCGTGGATTCTAACAACTTCCCCTTTCTTTTCACACAGAGACATATCTTCCACTGACAATAAAATGAACTATGCTTCCTCATCCACTCATAACAAAGCGGTTTATGCAATGTGGACGAGCTCGAGCGGCGCTGCTACAATGATCTTTCCGAAGATTAAAACAACTTGAAATTCTGAGCTGGGTCACTCACTAGCTATTGCCCAAATACGCCTTAGGCCTATGCTGTTTATCAGTACTATTCAGTGACTTATCTTTATTGAATTGGAGATGAGGCCTCGCCGCTTGAAGTACAGGGAGTAAGGGTGAAGAAATCTCGATTCAAGACCGAAAGTTGTAAGATTGGAATCTCCCCTATATTAACCAATCCCAATACTGTTCTTGATGTTGTAAATAAGTAGAACAAGCTTAAAAAAGAACTTACTCGATCCGAAACTGGGGATTGTCTTTGGCTTTTCATTTTCGATCAGATTTCTCTGTCCTAGCTTCTTGTTTGTCATGATCTCAATGGTGAAAAGTTCTTGTAGAAATCTAAAGGTACCTCCTATGTACTCCTCGAGTCTTCTTTGAATATCATCATACTTTTCTATTGACTCATGTTAGAGATATAGCGATGTTGATGGCGATGGTTTGGACCGTAGATTGTGCCAGATTAGATCAGATACATGTATCTGGTAGTTTCTTCCATGCGATCTATTGGTGAAGTGCAGTGTATTGGTTAAGTAAACATTGTTCATTGAATAAAGAACGGTCCTTGAGACAGAAATGAAGGACGGGACATCTGAATCGAAATTAGATAGAGCATAAGAACGAGCAAGCAGAAATAATGAAAGAACACTTAAAAAAGATGATCATTTGGAGAACAGCCCACACGATATCTTTCTCAATCGAGGATTGAACGAGCCAAATACCCTCTCATAATTCTTCCATTTTTCCAATAGATTTGACAATCTTTCCCTTCGTCCATTCAATCACTGAAGTAAACTTCTTGAACTTCAAACTTCACCAAACAATGATTTTTATCCAACCTCGAAAATTTCTATCACCCCTCCAATCGAGCTCAGCATCAAACTCACCTAAACTCGCCTTCAACACCTGCACATCCCGCCCCCTTCCTATACCTATCAACCCATGAAATACCGAATAATCTCCAAAATCCAACCACCAATAAACTTCACTAATTATTCCTCACCAATCTCAACCCCAATCCGAATCCCAAACTCAAATCTCAAACCCGAAACCAGACCTTTCAATCACAAAATCATCATCAGATGAAAACCAAACCAGACCAAACACCAAACGCCACCGCACTGATGGCACTCCCCCAAATCCCGGAGGTCTCCGAAATCCCGAACTTTCCATCTATCAAAATATCAAACCTTTAAAACTTAAAGAATAATTATAAAACATAATAATGTAATAATAAGACTTAATAAATACTGTAATAGTTTAGATGTCCATATGCTTGGTAGAGTTATATATTCTATCGAGTTTATAAATAGATAACAAGATAAGTAAAAATTAATATTATATTAATTTTAGAATATATTATCAAAATTTCAAATTTGGGATTTGGGATTTGGGATTTGGGATTTGAGATTTGAGATTTGAGATATAGAATTTAAAGTATAAATTAATAAGAATTTGAATATAAATATATATAAATACATAAGTAAAGAAAAGATTATAATTAATTAATAAGATAAAAGGATTTAATAGATCATTTATTTTTATTTTTATATCACATCCTCAAAAACCCTCATTACAAACAAAGCACCCAATTACAAGTACTCAATTCCAAGCATCTGAAAAAAAAAGACCACTCACTCATACCATGGCGAGAAAATTATAATCTTGCTTACTTACTGACCTAGATACCTACATAGAGTCAAGAATAGCATAAGATACACATACATACATACACACACATATATATATCCAACCATCTAACCATCCACATCCACATCCACATCCACATCATAGGTTAGCCTTAAAATCTTTCAAAAGTATATAAAAACACCGAACTATATCGCAGGAGTTATATATTACAAAGCTACAGATAGACAACAGACAGACAGACAGACAATGACAATACAGAAAAGATAGACAAGAAATCTCTGCTCTTTCCGCGTCTCTTCTTATATTGCTTCAGCTATCACTTCGTTAACCCTTTTCCTTCCTCCTCAACCCCACCTCGAACCCCCAATTCTAAAACACCTCGTGCATTCACACCCATCCATCATCCATCACACCTGGTTACTTCATCTTCGCGCCACCGCAAGTCACACATTCATGTATCCATGTATTCAAGTATTGATTGCCTAAAAGCAATACATCAAGTCTTATATATTCTGAGAATTGCATGCATCGAGCTTTCATGTCCAGCCCAAATCTGCTTTCTCGTTGATTTTTAAGTTCATTCACCAGCCCCCTCCCTCCTTTCTAGTACCCTAAGCACATATCATCGCCCCACTTCATCTCCATCTCCATCCCTATCCCCGTCCTCGTCATGACATTAAAATATGTTATACCTGTCAATCTCTGCTCCCTTTTCTCCGGGAACCCGAAAAAATACAATAGAAAATCAATAAATCATTCATCCATCCATCCAATCAACCAATCAACCTCTAAACCCAAAAAACTAACAAATGCTCCCCGCTCCACGCTATGCAATTATCATCGAATCAAGCACCAGGCTGGAACGAACAAATAGGTAGGTGGACATATATGTACAACAATGGAATGTAGATTCAAGATTTCGTGAAACTTCATCTTTCGTACGCCACACGCTCTGTTTGAGTTCTTCTGTTTCTTTTTTAATTAAAACCCAATACTTCTATCTAGAATTGAACTCGGAACACGTGAACCTCTTCCAAATTCAATTTCATCACCGGGGTGATGTCTAAAAGCCGGATTCTCACTCGCTTTCCGTCGATGTGCCTCAGCGAATAAAGGATCAGGAACTTGTGACCGGTGGGTATACGAAATAGGAATTTCTGGCATTGCTGGCACTTCCATGTTACTTTGTTTCCTTTCCATCCGTCCCGTTTGTTGAGCTACCCATGATCTGACAGTACGAAATCGTGGAGCTGACTCCTCGGACGTTGTTGTATATATGGTATCTCGGTTCTGTGGCGCACCTTGGGATGCAGTCGTCCAAGAAAATCGAGAGACTGGAATTTGAGGAGGAGCACTGTCGTCAGGCATTACAAGTGAATCGCCGAATCCTGACGATATTGAGGATAAGTAACTGATATGATTGGCTTCTTTTTGAGAAGGATCATAAGCATTTGAAGATAGTCCTGAATTTTGAGATCTAATAGTTCCCACTTGAGAATAATAGAAATCTGCATTGCTTGGAGGCCCATATGATTGACCTGGACCGGAAACTGGACTAGGAGACATGCCTGACCCCGACTGATTGCTTCTGATCGAGTTTTGTCTTTGGAGATCCGTACGTAACTCTCTTAAATTTACAGTTGCAGATCCTGGACGCCCGAGAGATACTTTATTGTCGGGAATGTTGTAGCCAGCCATTTCCCTTTCACCGTACTTCTCACCAATAAAATACCCGTTTTGTGAAAGTTTGCCGCTAACATAACTGGGAGGACGACCGGAGCCATCTCTGTTTCTCCTCCACCCATACCAACGAGCTTCTTCCTCTGATATCTCTCCCCTTGCTAGCCGATTTATCTTCTTCATTCTCATGACAAGATATATAATAGCTCCAAGGATGACGAATATTCCTATTTACCAAGATCAGCATTGATTAGACATCATTCTATTCGGCGCAACAAACAAACCTATCGAACCAGCACTTATCAAAAGCTTCTCTGCTAAAGGACCTAAATCGCCATTATCGTGGTCACCCTCGCTCTGAGATTGAGAAGGTATCCCTGAAGGAAGTGATGAAGCGTCATCTTCAAAAGGAGTTGGTGCAGCACTTGCACTGATGGCCACAAAGGCACTTAAAGTAGACGTGGTAGCCGCAGCAAAATCGCATGGAGCTCCATCGGAAATGGTACATAATCCTTTCCTTCCCGGCTGCTCGGAGCTCGGCATGCTAAATGACGTTAATGACCCTGTTGGAACTGATGGCGCAGCAGACGTGATGGATATCTGTATGTAGTTAGTACATCCGGCTGACGAAAAGCTTTCGTCCCAACTTACAGAAGTTGACGGAGCAGATTCTGATGTTGATGTAGGACTTGGGGTAGCGACAACAACGACAGTCATTACACTTGACAAAGTAGTGATCGTAGTTTGCGTGGTCCAGGCAGTTGCAGTTTGTGTAGTCCAAGCAGTATCTGTTATTTGGGTCCACGCAGTCCTTGTGACCATTGGAATTGATGAGCTATCTCTATTCCCATTGTCATTGCTGTTTCCATCTCTATTCCCATTATCATTGCTGTTTCCATCTCTATTCCCATTATCATTGTAGCTTCCACCTCCATTATCTGTGGCGCTTCCGTCTCTATTCCCGTTATCACTGACGTACCCATCTCCACTACCATTGTCGCTTCCATCCTTTTTCGCCAATATCAGACCGTTCAACATAACATTCCTTCGAACCAATTGGTTCATGTGTTGCTCTGATTGCTCTCTCATTGGTGCCATTGTCGTATTCATTCCTCCAGCAAGTCGCCGCTGCCCGTATCGCGACCGACAGAAGCTAATCGGATATGGTCATGAACCAATGAGTGTTTTCCTTGGCTCGAAATACAAGAAGAGTGAGCGTGATAATGTAGATACCGGATCTCAGAAAGAATAATGAAAGAAAGAACGTCACGAACCAGTCGTGTGTAGAATGCAAGTAAGAGAACAAACAGTTGACAAGGAAAAGCAATCAGGAAGCAGCCAAGTCGTGAATCTTGGGCCTTCCAAGAGATCGGAACTAGCTACTGAAGTGGAGAAAAGAGTGCGTTTTGGCAGACAGTCAAGAGAGTGTGGACGATCTATGCTATTCTCGGAATGGTCATGCATTGAATTTGAACCTGGGGACGAACCGAAGGTCGTACAAAGAGACATCATGCAAAGCCGCCATAAACTTGTAAAGAATTGGTATATGCGACACGAGAGGGAAAAAGCCTAACCGGAAGATTACATACACTGGCAAAAATGTGCTCTTTCACTTTGGAACAAGACTATATCGAGGTTGGTTCAGCGTCTCAAGCATTACTGCGTTTGGCGTAAGACTCTAGGCTGAGCGCTGCCCCTGTTCAGAAGTACGAAGACTGCGGCAGATGACTGCAGACAAGTAAGAACCTCGCAGCTGTACGTCAGAGCTACTGACTGGTGGACAGACTTTGCTCGGAAAAATTTGATGATATCTGGGACGGAGAGGGTGTTTCGCGCACTGTCCCCTGGTTTCATCATGGTCCCGCTCAGCTTACCTGTATACTAGGTAGTATATGTGAGAAATAATAATAAGAACCTGTGAAAGATTGTTTCAACCCATTGGCAAAGAAAGCGGAAGTACAATTATTGAGAGCATGAATGTTGTTGTTGCACCTTCAAAAAGGTTTGTGAGTGATGGGAGGATCAAAAAGGAACGAGCTTCCAAAGCCTCCCGCAAGGCTGAATGAACACGGCATGAAGCTTCACCGGTCGTAATTTTGACCGACACTAAACTCTAAAAGGGCTTTTTTCCGAGTGCAAGCTAGGCTTGCGTACGGGGTGCTCCGTACCACGTGCACATTAACCATTTCAAGCTACGAAGGAGTTTGAGATTCCAGAGAAGTGATATTTAATTTATGAATTAAAGGATGGGAAAGGAAAAGGAAAGGGATAGGGAAAGGGAAGTGGTAAGCTCACTTTAAAGTAAGTGGTGCATTTCTCTCCAAATTATATAAAGGAGTGCTTCTCTCCCAGTACGTGAAAGTAGAAAATGTCTAGAGAAGGATCCGAAACATCATGGAATCTTCAATATAAAGTAATTTACACTTCAATGCATTCATTGTAAGATCTTACGTATACAAGCCACGCACCTCAAAGTATTGTGGCTTGCCTAGTACAATATGTAGTATCTTTTTACTTTCCCTTCTATCGCTACTTTTCATATTAAAATCTATTGGTCTAGAATGCTAAGGTTAAGGACCTCTTTAAAGCTGCAGATAACGGAACGGATATCACCCAATTCATATGTCAAGGTTATTCCTCGGACAACCACCACTACATGTAGCATACAATTGAGAATGGGAACAATCGTGAAAACTATTGTAAAGTCTAAATAAACTCACATTTCTCCATCATCAATCATACTTCGCTGCTAGCCTACGCCTCACTTTGACTTTGCACTCGGCTTTTTCATAATGGCTTTCACCATATCTCGGCTCACAGAAGACGATATTGCTGGTGCTGTGAGTGTTATTCAGGAAGCATTCAAAGAAGACCCTTACAATCTTTGGATATACAATGATCGATCTAAGGTATTTAATCTCTCTCATTTCATCCTGCTCAATTTTGTTTGTTCTGATGTTTATTTGTTCCTTCAAGCACTGCATTGTAGCAAGCAATTGTTTCGCTTCGCATTTAGTTACCTCGACTCGCTGAATTCATGGCGAAGGCGTGTTTCGTGATACCTGATACCATCATGTTTGTTCATCATTGACATAGATTTTGACAGTTGAACCTAGTGAGAAATTCGGTATCTCTTGGTATCCGATGTCAATGGGGCATTCGAAACGGCTTGTTCTATGTTGCTAAAGACTCTGAAAGTCAACGAATTTTAGGCGTTGCAATGTGGTTACCGCCTAAATCTCCTGGAACGCCCGAAACGTGGGCAGAATGGCTTGATGGTTGGAAGATGTGGATTCAACAAGTAGGCATGAATATTTGGTACGGTCGAGGTGGCTTAAATGTGAAGGTAAGAAAGCTCAGTCAATATCATATATTCCGTCTTTTTTCCTTAGCCGCAGCCTCAAAGTCATGAGAGTGCCATTTGTCTTAAACTGCATTGCCCGCAATCTTTCCTCAATTTCGTGGGTAATTGCGGTATGGACTTCAACCTAATTACCAGGGTTGTGTTTGGGAAGAAACTCTATTCGAGATGAGATTGTAGAAGGTCTTTTGCCAAGTCCTACAAGCAACAAGCCAGGCATGCGGGCAATGGCTAAGTCAGCCCTACCCCCATTGCTTTCGAAAATTTCTCCAATCGTCTGGGACGCATTCTATCTTCATCACCATTTCTTGCTACGAAACCTTGAGAAGACCCTCGAAGGGATACTAACGCAATCTCGCCACAGCGTTATTATATCTGGAAGGATAGGCAAGCAGAAGCTCAATCCGAGATTTGGACAGATTCTCGAGGATACTTCTTTCTAAATATAATGGTTGTTCATCCTGACGCCCAGGGAATTGGAAAGGCGTTAGCCAAGGAAGTAACGAATGTTGCTGATGCAGAAGGACAAAGATGCTATCTTGAATCTAGTCGGGATATTCCCAACATGAAGATATACGAATCCTTTGGATTCCACTTTGAAAAGAAGATGGTTTGTGATGATGAAGGTGACACTTGCAATATCTACTGTATGGTTAGAGAGCCACAGGCAGAATTGAAAGGGTCTAAGAAGGATGTATGAGACTGTAGGTCTCTATACTACTGCAGGTGCACATGCCAAACGCTCATTCTTCTCTGCTAAAAGGTGAAGAGTCATCGCTGTTCTCGCCTCATGCACACGCATTAGACGGACCTTAAAAGCCATATTACTTGAACAATTCGAAATTTCGCAAGATTTGAAGTGGTTGGATAATCATTAATTACACTCTTCGGTGGTTCGGCAATCTGATGAATCTTCCCAAGATCTCCGAAGAACGGAGAGAGTGTATGAGTTTGTAGGTAGTACCGGCGGTTATATGTACTCCATAAAGGATGATTTCACCTGAATTTATCCCTCTGGGGCTACTATGAGCCACTTCAATATCTAGCTATAATGGACCATGTTAAAAGATAAGGCGCCGAGAGTCTGATTCTGATGGCAGACTCCACATACGTGACATTTTCAAGTAGGTGCAGCGTCACCGAAGTACCTCCTAATAAATAAATAAGTAGACCCACGATTGCACAATTCCAACATCTACGGAGTAACCTGGTTGACTTTTCGCTTTTTGTTCTTTTAAATACGGACAGTACCGGAACTGACATCCAGGTTGGTCGGAGCTCAATAAACAAATTAAATAATAGCAAATAATCAACTAGGAAAGTTGATAAGTTGCGATACCGGTATGTTGACTTCTGATGAGTGGTGAGAGTGATTTATCCAGACTCCAGTTTCTTAAGTCTTGTCCTCTGTTTAAATTGTTTCCGAGGTTATGGTTCGATTTTCGCAGGTGCTCATGCGCATGTCGATATATCAACACATCTACCCGTATGTTGAGTTGTTGAAGCATTGTTGCATTGATGAGAGGGAGAGAAGGAAGCTGATTCAGCTGGTGAGCTTATCTTTTTATCGGCTCCCGTGTGCGTAATTTTATCCTTGTAGATTTTAGCTTGGCATCTGATCCTAGCTTTTATCAAAATAAAAATTCCCTCGCAGTTGATATTTTTATATTTTTATCTTCCGCATTGCACTTCTTCATCACTCCACGAGTCCTCCTAAAAGCCCTCACCTCCCCAATTTCAGGAGTTTTAGGAGTATGGCGTTAGCGACAAGAATGATGAGGCTACCAACCTCAGCTGTTGGTATTCGCACTGTCGCTCAACGATCATATGCGACATCAAATCGCGCCCTTTTCTCGCATGCGCGACCCAACGCCCGAGTCAACGCTGACAAGAGCAAAATCTCTCAAATTGCTCAACGGACCTACGCAGATGTTGCTCCTGTCAATGTCAAGAAGCCCAAGCGATTTCGATTCTTGACATACACTTGGCGTCTTACATATTTGTCTTTGATCGGAGGAGCCGCTTATCTTGGTTATGAGGTTTGGCAGCTTCGACATCCAGAGGAGCAATTTCAGCCAGACCCAACCAAGAAGAATTTGGTCATTCTTGGTACGCACAATACGTGTCTCCACTTTCCATATGGATAGCTGACATCAATGGGCTAGGTACTGGATGGGGTGCTGTATCTCTTTTGAAAAAGCTCGACACGGAAAACTACAATGTTATTGTTATATCTCCACGAAACTACTTCCTGTTTACCCCTCTTTTGCCATCATGTACAACTGGTACTGTCGAGCACAGATCTATCATGGAGCCTATTCGAAGCATAACCAGACACAAGAAGGCTGCTGTTAAGTTTTACGAAGCCGAAGCCACAAAAATCGACCCCGAGAAGAAAATCATCTCGATTAACGACAATTCTGATGTTAAAGGTGCTTCCCATACTACTGAAGTCTCATATGATATGTTGGTTGTAAGCGTTGGTGCGGAAAATGCCACTTTTGGGATTCCCGGTGTCAAAGAGCACTCGTGCTTCTTGAAAGAGATTGGTGACGCACAAGCAATCAGGAAGAGGATCATGGACTGTGTAGAGACTGCTACTTTCAAGGACCAATCACCAGAGGAGGTTGAGCGTCTGCTGCACATGGTTGTCGTTGGAGGCGGACCTACCGGTGTTGAATTTGCTGGTGAGCTTCAAGATTTCTTCGACCAAGATATCAAGAAGTGGGTTCCCGAAATCAGCGACAAGTTTAAGGTTACTCTCATCGAGGCTCTCCCAAATGTTCTTCCTATGTTCTCCAAGCAATTGATTGAATACACAGAGTCAACCTTCAAGGAAGAAAAGATTACTATCAAGACCAAGACAGCCGTCAAGAAGGTCACCGATAAGACAGTCGAAGCCGAGGCCACTGGGCCAGATGGAAAGAAGTTCACTGAGGTCATGCCTTACGGTCTCCTTGTATGGGCCACCGGAAACGCGGTCCGCCCGGTTGTCAAGGATCTCATGGCACAAATTCCTGCTCAAAAAGATTCAAGGAGAGGTCTTGCCGTAAATGAATATCTTGTTGTCCAAGGAACTAAGGACATATGGGCCACTGGAGATTGCGCAGTCGCTGGATATGCACCAACAGCTCAAGTAGCATCACAAGAAGGAACTTTCTTAGCTCGTTTATTTAACACAATGGCGAAGACCGATACTATCGAACATGAAATCCAGGAATTAAGTTCTTCCCTGAACCTTGGCCCTGGAAACGCTGCCGAGATTGCCAAAGAGATCGAAGCACACGAGAAGCAATTGAGGAGAATCAAGGACATCAAGCCATTTCACTACACACATCAAGGTTCCTTGGCATACATTGGTAGTGAAAGAGCCGTTGCTGATGTCAGCTGGTTAAATGGTAACTTTGCTACTGGTGGCAATTTGACATATTTGTTCTGGAGAAGTGCATACTTGAGCATGTGCTTTAGCAGTAAGTTTTCCCGCCACTTACTTCCCATCTATTCTTACTAACATAAATCTCAGCACGCAACCGTGTTTTGGTGGTCCTCGACTGGCTTAAATCTAAGACTTTCGGTCGTGACGTTTCCAGAGAATAGATGATGAGAGAAGGGACAAAAAGAAAATGGGCGGTTGGTCGGGATAGACGGGAATCGGGAGCGCATGTAACAAATAACGAGTTTTCGGGATAGACTGGTTTGGTTTCTTCTTGAACTTTGCAATGGTGTTTTTTATAGAATCTCCGGCTCATTCAGGGAGTTGGATGGAGCGGCAATAGTATATGATGAGAATCGAATGAACATGATCATTTTTTCTCCTATCGAGAATTTATGCATAGGTGCGGTGTGATATAATGGGTGCAATAAGGATTTATACAGATGCTTGTATCTATCAAAATAGTATACTCCTCTCGGTCTATGTATGCACCTCTCTAATCTTCTCCCCTGCGAAAAGGGACTAGAGCACTTCCTATATCTAGTATGGTAGCCTCGTTCGTACTAACGTAGAACTATAATTTGCCTTCCCTCTATCCCAATCCAATGCATAAGCGCGCATGCGAAACCGAAAGAATACGGAGTAAATACCTACTAGGTACTATACCATTGATCTGCCTCGTCCTGAGATAATCGTAAAAGGTATATGATTTACTTTCCTACTCTACCAACAGATAATCATCCTAAACGTAACTCAACATCTCCAAATATAGAATCCACCCCATCCACACAAACCCAGTACATATACTCAACAATCTAGAACTTTCTAGAACACATAAGCCATGAAAAGGACCTTTCGCCTTCTAGGTACACAGGAATCGTGGGTGCCACCATATATATGTCCTGAAACGTGGTACGTGGTACGGAATAATGAAAGTTTGCCTTCGTCCTTAACTTGGTGTATCACTGGGAAACTTTTTCTTTTTTCTTTTTGGTTATACGGAGGATGCGTGGATGTGTGGATGTGTATGGTAGAGGCAGTGAGATAGCAGTGAGATAGCAGTGATGTCTAAAAGTTCGAGATTGGAGCTTAGAGCTTGGAGCTTAGAGCTTAGAGCTTAGGGTCCCAAATCTACCTGTATGTGCTTGATATATTGGCTGGTAGAAGTGCCTAGGTAATTAGTCGTATACTCTGTATGTCTTCATGACTCGGGTCCTGATGGGTTACATTTTGGGTGAGTATTAGTTTCGGCAAATGCTTTCTAGCCTCATATCCGAGATGGTTGTTTGTAGGAGGTACTAGGAGGTAGGTAGGTTAGTGGTGGAGATGTTGATTACTAAATAGATAAAAGTGAATGTTGTCGTAATGTGCGCTAATGAAATATGAAGGAGATAAACATTGCCTACTCCGTATATAATCAAATATAACTTATAACTATATAGCTAAAATATTCCTTCAATTAATTAATACCAGGGGATTCTACAACATTCTTTGCCATGCGAGGCTGATGACTTATTAATTGCTTAATTGAAGCTGGGAACATACTCTGTACTGTGCTCTCCCGTAGCAGGCAATTGCGTTCATTGCGTTCACTGTTCACTCGGCGCTACATACAGCCCTTATGCGTGGCTTTCTCGTTGCCTATTTTAACTATTCGATTATTCACCCTTTCTTGGATATTGGCCCCATACAGAACAACCAGACAAGAAACGCCTTACAAAAATTAGACTTGTACGAATAACACTGTGCTAAGCGGAAGAAACCAATAGAAAGAATCAGGCTATCTACCGACTTAGCGTGGTTCCGTCATATTCTAGGAACGCTACTGAGCACATTAAACTACAATACCCTTAAGCTGTCTTGATCTCCAACACAACAAACATCTTTCTTTCCATAAATTCTTTACCAAATCATCCATTCACCCACCCTTTCCTTTTTTGAAGATCAATCTATCTCCCATCCATCCTCTTTCCTACTTTGATCAAGAAGTTTTAATTTTAGTAATCGTCAATACTGGGCGATTTCAAAAGATAAATCATCAAAATCTTTAGAGCTGTTGTCGACTGTCAAGGTCAATATTTATCAAAATGTCTGCTGAACCCGACCACGTCGAGCACAAGAAGAAGGTTAACCTCAAGTAAGAAATGTCTCCATCTACCAGCTTCCTATCTTGAGGATACAGTTCTAACATCATATCTAGTGATGCATCTGGTGCTGAGCACAAAGGCGTAAGTCATCTACAAACCGCCACAGTTTATGACCACAGCAAGATCGGACACTAACCAGTATTCAATGCAGAACGATGATATTGCAACTGCAATTTTAAAAAAGAAGAAGAAGCCAAACTCGTTGATGTGAGTATATCCAACAAACACCCCACCTTCCTTGGCCGGTGCTTTGAAACTGACATGCGGTGGCAACAGGGTTACCGATGCTGTTAACGATGATAACTCCGTTATTGCCCTCTCCAACAATACCATGGAAACTTTACAATTGTTCCGTGGAGATACTGTTTTAGTAAAGGGCAAGAAGCGCAAGGATACTGTTCTCATCGTCCTTGCTGATGATGACCTCGACGATGGAAGCGCACGTATGAACCGTGTTGTCAGACATAATCTCCGCGTTAAGCACGGTGACATCGTTACTGTTCACCCATGTCCTGATATCAAATATGTAAGTAACAAAAGATCCACAAGCATCTGCAATATGCTAATATGTGCATAGGCCAAGCGCATCGCAGTCCTTCCTATCGCCGATACTGTCGAGGGTCTTACGGGCTCCCTATTTGATGTATTCTTAGCACCATATTTCCGCGAAGCCTACCGACCTGTGCGACAAGGAGATCTCTTCACAGTTCGCGGTGGTATGAGACAAGTCGAGTTTAAGGTTGTCGAGGTTGACCCACCGGAGTACGGAATTGTTGCTCAAGATACAGTTATCCATTGCGAAGGAGAGCCAATTCAACGTGAGGATGAAGAAGGGAATCTGAACGAGGTCGGGTACGACGATATTGGAGGATGCAGAAAACAAATGGCACAAATCCGAGAGATGGTCGAGTTGCCATTAAGACATCCCCAACTATTTAAATCTATCGGTATCAAGCCTCCTCGTGGTGTTCTCATGTTTGGTCCACCTGGTACCGGTAAGACCCTCATGGCTAGAGCTGTGGCAAACGAGACTGGAGCTTTCTTTTTCCTGATCAACGGACCCGAGATCATGTCAAAGATGGCTGGTGAGTCTGAATCAAATTTGCGTAAAGCTTTCGAAGAGGCTGAGAAGAACTCGCCTGCTATCATTTTTATCGATGAAATTGATTCCATCGCACCCAAGCGTGACAAGACCAATGGAGAGGTCGAACGTCGTGTTGTTTCACAATTGCTCACACTTATGGATGGTATGAAGGCCAGATCCAATGTTGTTGTTATGGCCGCTACCAATAGGCCGAACTCCATTGATCCAGCTCTTCGTCGTTTCGGTCGCTTCGATCGTGAAGTCGATATCGGTATCCCTGATCCAACTGGTCGTCTCGAAATTCTCCAAATCCACACCAAGAACATGAAGTTGGGTGAGGATGTTGATCTCGAGCAAATCGCTTCCGAGACTCACGGTTACGTTGGTTCTGATGTTGCCTCCCTCTGCTCTGAAGCTGCCATGCAACAAATTCGTGAGAAGATGGATCTTATCGATCTTGATGAAGATACTATCGACGCCGAGGTTCTTGACTCCCTTGGTGTTACCATGGACAACTTCCGTTTCGCCCTTGGTGTTTCCAACCCATCTGCCCTTCGCGAAGTTGCCGTTGTCGAGGTTCCAAACGTTCGCTGGGACGATATCGGAGGCCTGGAAGAGGTCAAGCGCGAGCTCATCGAGAGCGTGCAGTACCCCGTGGACCATCCTGAAAAGTTCCTCAAGTTTGGTCTTTCTCCATCCCGTGGTGTCTTATTCTACGGTCCTCCTGGTACTGGTAAGACCTTGCTTGCCAAGGCCGTTGCCAATGAATGTTCCGCCAACTTCATTTCCGTTAAGGGTCCAGAGTTGTTGAGTATGTGGTTCGGTGAATCTGAAAGCAATATCAGAGATATTTTCGACAAAGCTCGTGCCGCTGCACCTTGTGTTGTTTTCCTCGATGAATTGGATTCTATTGCCAAGTCCCGTGGTGGATCTAATGGTGATGCTGGTGGAGCCTCCGATCGTGTTGTCAATCAACTTTTGACTGGTGAGTGTATTCGGTTTTAATGCTATGTGAATTTGAAAGCTAACCCTACTTAGAAATGGATGGTATGACTTCAAAGAAGAATGTTTTCGTTATTGGTGCTACAAACAGACCTGAGCAGCTCGACAATGCTCTCTGCAGACCTGGTCGTCTAGATACCCTCGTCTATGTTCCTCTTCCAAACGAGAGCTCTCGTGCTGGTATCCTCAAGGCCCAACTCAGAAAAACCCCAGTCGCCGATGACGTCGACCTCAGCTACATTGCATCTCGTACTCACGGATTCTCTGGTGCTGATTTGGGGTTCATCACCCAACGTGCCGTGAAGCTCGCTATCAAGGAATCTATCTCTCTGGATATTGAGCGCCGCAAGGCTCTTGAAGCCGCTGGTGGGGATGTTGACATGGAGGATGAAGATGTTGAGGACCCAGTACCTAAATTGACCAAGGCTCATTTCGAGGAGGCTATGTCACAAGCTAGACGATCAGTGTCCGATGTTGAAATCCGCCGGTATGAGGCATTTGCTCAGAGCATGAAGAGCTCTGGACCTGGGGCTTTCTTCAAGTTCCCTGAAGCTGGTGAGGCCGCCGAGGCTAGCGGAGGAGGTGCTGGTGGATTTGGTGATGCTGGTAACGACGACAGCCTTTACGACTAGATCTGTATTTTTAATATTTTTCTACGTCATTTACAGCATACACATGAGAACCCGACGAACGTTTGGGCGGGCTTTTGACCCGGTGGAATTTGATATGGGCTTCTATGTCATTTGACATAGCCAAGTTTCATTCATGACCCCTAACATACATTGTATCAAGCCAAGAGTTGCGACAGGTATGGAGATTTTCATTCATCGCGATATATGGTCAAGGTGGTGCCCTTAGCATAGAATGCATTATAAAAACACATTTCATAAAATTTTCGCCATGCATGCATTCTTGGTGAAATGACTTTTTGAGATATAATGACGTGTAAAGATCTATAGAGATACAGATTCCAGAACGCCTCTTGGATATGGTAATTATGAAGCTTCGACTTATTTTACATGATATCCCTCAATCATCTAACGTTTGTGATAAGTGCAAACAAGGTATGTATGTACGATACAATCGCGAAGAGGATCCCAGCCTAATATCTTCTTTCATTTTTCCAACTCCAAACCCAATTTCCTAACGTCCTTTTGCACGCCTTATATATATACCCCAGGATGTGATGTGATGATTGCTTATGTTGAAAACATCTCTTTCTCTGCTTTGAAAGTATAATAGCCATCCTAAACGATGTGTGTAGGTAGGTAGGGAAAGTCCTGGATTTTGGGATAGGATAGTTCGTTGGTATCCATGTCCATGTCCATCCATATCCGCATCCACATCTGCCGTGCGTATATATCGAGGATGGACACCCCCGGCCCCAAACCCCCTCAAAAAATGCAGGTTGCTTGCTTGCTGCCATTATTATTTTCTTCCTTGCTTCTATGCTCTGTACCCATCTAGATCCTCATCCCCAGAAATCTACATTATTCATTATTTCCCATCCCTCATTCCTAGGAACCCAAATGATAAAAAGACAACACCCCAACTAACTGTTCACTCCACCACTTCACACACAGCTTCTAGTGACTCCCTCGTAATTCTCACTCCTTCCTCTACTACATTTTTCGGCAACGCAAGGCTTTGTCCGCGTTCGCCGCGTCCTTTGACAGTGCCTTCTTTTTCTTTCTTGTCCTTTTCCTTGTCTGCAGAGGTACTTATGGATGTGGAACCATTAACGCCATTGGTAGAAGAAGACTGCGCGAGTGTATCAGCTCGTATGTCTTCGAGGACTTTGGCCATGAGGACAGGGAATGTGGTATAGTTTCCTGAGCGGAGGAGTGAGAGAGCGTGAGTTTGGATTAGGGTGGGCCAGTTGGTGGGGGAGGAGTGTAGGGAATGGAGGAGGGTTTCTTGGATTCTGTGGGAATGGGAAGGGAAGTTAGTGAGAGTTCTGGGTTTCGAAGTGGGAGAGGGAGGGACATACTTAGCGACATGCCCGTCTTTTAATAGTAGAGAATTTATTTGTGATCGTAAATCTGCATCTTGGGTTGTGGGGGTATAGTTTGCGGCGCTCTTGGATACGCGGACAGGAGTGGTGGGTTCAGATGCCATCGTGAGGGAGTGGATGACTGAGTGGTTTATATAAATTCGCAGTTGGAACTTGAATATGAGTATTGGCCTTGTGTGTTAAACCTGTACGGGACACACAAGGAGCTAGCTAGACTTCCAGAGAAGCTAAAGTGGATAGACGATTGATATGAGCGCGGAGGATGAAACGTTAGTCTGAAGATCAGATTTGTGAAGGGTAATGGGGATTTGGTTCGGAATTGTTCTTGTGCTGTGAAATTGATGTCTTGTTGTATATAATTCTGGTACCTCGTCGACGAGGCTGGGTTGAAGGCTGAATTTTGTTTGTGTGTTGGACCAATGAGGTAAATGGATGTAATTGGATGGGGATTTGGTGATCATGGGGTGTGGAAATAGATTTAAAGAGAGGTTATTACTTAAGCGAGGGATGGTTTTTATAATTGATAGTTTGATTCCTACGTGAGTATATCTTCATTTCTATTGTAATACTACATCGCCAGCGATGTAAGTATTCCTGTATCTCGATTATCTATTTTGATCGGAATATTCATAAATCTATCTACGGAATACGAGTGACTCAGCCTCAGCTCCAAGAAATACATTACGTTCTACTCGGGTACGGTTATGGCGAGGGGAATTATTATTACCACACCCATGAACCATCAAATCCTACTTCCAAAACCGAAACCGTGAAACCATTCACAGGTTTCATAGGCAAACACCACACAAATTCTATTCATTCTCAACTGTTCTTCAAATGCGTTGCTCCATTCCATTGGATGAGAAGACGACTGTGCCTTGAAGGATGAAAATGGGCGCCTCATCCAATGCCATGTTCAACTGGTCAATTCTTGAAAGCCACGGTATTTCTATCTTGAAAGATAAGTTTTCAAACGCTCCCAAGGTCGAATCAATGTAGGTCTTTCTCCTTACCTTTTTATCTTTCTCTGGAGTGTTTGATCAATTCGCTCCGTGGTTATTGTCATTCCCGTTGATTGTTTTCCCCTTCTTATCCTCTGATCTTCTCATACACATTCTCATGTTTCTTTCACCATTTTGTTTCTACTTCGGGCGTCATTTTTCCATACTGTACTTCTCTCCTCTTCTCTTTTTGAGTTCCTCTCATGATCCACCAGGAATCATTATGCACTGTGCCGTCGCAACTTCGTATCAAATGAACACATCATTCACCAAACGCTGAAGCATCGGAAGATCTCTTTTGCTCTCTCAAAAACTGTGTCATCAGTCGACGGGCACTGTTCTGACATGAACTCCTCGTTGGAATAAAATCATTATCCTTTCAAACCAGTAGATTTCGAGGCTCAATTGAGTCACATCAGACAAGTTACGTCGGGAAGCAAGGCTATCATGGTGTGTTGAGTCGCAAACGAAGAATCTCAAACGTGACAAGTTTCGACTCCTGGCAAACTGGCAAACCCATTCAACTTCCATCATCCCGAATTGTCCGGAGAGTATTTTCCTGATCATTATCCCAATTCAAATTATTGGGTACATCATACACCCAAGATCTCCACTAGCAAGGTGATCTAGCTTTGGGATACATTCGAAACTTTTTCTTTGCAAGACCTGAAGGTCTCCAGAGATACCACCAAAAAACTTCCAAAATGCGGCAGCATGCTTCAATGACTCTTGTCTGTCTGTTTTGCATTCTACGTCTGACCAATGCCTTGTCACTTGCAAATTTTCAATTGGTCTCACCTACTGCAGTCTCATTGCGTTGTTTTCTGGAATATAATACTTTGATACCAACTTGCAAATTATCAGACTTCAATAATGGCTGCTCCCTCGCTTGTCAGTCGGCCTTGACGGAAAAAGCTACATGTGTTAAAAGTGCTTGTTCGGCAGATAACGTAAGTCCTAATACATTGTTAGGAATCGTTAAAAATGGTGGAATCATTGCAGCTTTATGTCCAAATTTCAAATCTTCTACTACATCAACGACTACATTTTTGAAAACCTCCAGTACGAGCTCGACTACGAGCGCGAAAACTACATCGGCCAGTGTAATGACTTCAACGACGAATTCGGTGGTTATAACGTCTACTACATCGAGTTCGAGTTCAGCAGAAAGCTTTACTTCGACTGCCTTCACGACGACGTTCTCTGCGCTTCCTACCACGAGGTTGTCTACGGGTACGGAAACTTCGAGTTTTTCTCAAACATCGCATTCCCAAACATTATCGTCTCAAGAGTCCTCCTTCCAATCTTCGCCATCTCAAACATTATCATCCACTTCACTAGCTATCACTTCATCAGAGTCAACGTCAGCTAGTTCCTCAGAATCATCAACATCTACCTCTTCAACCACAGATATAAATACAACATCAACCATAAGCACAACCACAACCCAAACACCCTTATCCATCTCTACACAAACCGCGACATCAAAATCAACCACCACGCGTGCGGCAGCGCCAAATAATGGGGATGGAATTAGTGGTGGTGGAAGCCCATTCGATATTGATGCGAATAGTGGAAGTCTGCCATCTGAAGTGGCTAAGATGTCTGGGAGCTGGGTTATAGGTATGGGGTTGATTTATGGGGGGTTGGGAGTATGGTTTCTTATGTGAGTTAGGGCTGGAGCTTGAGATTGTGGGATTAGTACCTAGGGACAGGAATGATGGAGTTAGATTGGATTGGATGATAATGTGTAGGAAATTATTCTTGTTTTTTATTGGTTTGGTTTGGTTTGGTTTGGTTTGTACGATTACAGAAGGCGCGAGTCACTTGGTTATATTAACTTATGGCCGTGGACTTACTTGGGATTGGATTGGGATTTGGATTTAGATCTGGGAAGAGCTGAAAGAGCATTCATGGCGCGATTTGTACACTGTACATTATTTTACGACGTCATGAAACTATCAAGGGAAAGAGGATGTTAAGAAATGGATAAAATGGATATAGCATAGGAGAAGAAAGATAAATGAATACTATCTACGTATATACATACATACATGGATATTTGAATCTGGATCAGAACTTGGATACTTCGTAAAGGCTATCTACCATATGCATAGTGAGTAAGTATAACATCATATCACGAATAGATGATTAATTTATCTATCTATTTAAGCTCAGGTTAGGTTACATAGGTATAGAGCAATAAATAAATATAAATATAGATTCTAATTACAACTTTACTTTGAGGGATAATAAGATATAGATAGATATCATGATGGTAGATAGGTATTCATAGAATTAAATAAGAGAAATAAAACAGGTTATTATAGTACAAGCTAAGATTAATTATAGGAGAACTCGGGAAGAATAAGTTGTAATTATAGAATTCAACCACACAATTGAAATTTTGACACTGAAAAAGAAAAGAAAATAATCGCCCGGTATCATACAAACAATCCTACATAACGAGAATATCCCCAACACACTAAAGGAAAAAAATAATATTATCTTTCAACCCGCTCATTTCCAGAACGCCTTCCCCGACTCAAACTCAGCAGTCCATCCATAGCATTCATCCAGATTTCTTTCCTTGCAAATGCCACGCAAAGATCTTTTCAAAGATTCCTTTCCCATCACCCATAATAGTATCTCCATGACAAGGCACGATATTTTCAAAGCCCCAGGAATTAATCCTCTTTACACTTTGGTTGAAACCCGTCCTATCATTTTTACTAAATGCATACCACTGCATTCTCTTATGCCAAGTCGCTGCTCCTTTTGTAGTCATGATACCTCCAAATAACTTAGTTGCCCATCCTGAATTGGGATTCTCTCCCGTCTTGGAATATTGCTCTGTGGCGGGTAGATTGAACATCAAATCTGCTTCGATCAATGTTCTATCTGGTTTGTAATAGAATACCAATTCTTTATTCGGATGCGCATCCACATATTCGTATTCGAAATCGGCGTCGAATTCTTCAGAGATTTTAATTTCTGCTTTGTTTTTCTTGGTGAAGATGGTTTGGAAGTGGATATTGGTGACTTTGGGATTGCTCTTGGATTGTTGGGCTCGTTTTTCCGCGAGGCCTTCAGGTGCGATGAAATGCGCATTGGGGTATGCGGCATGCCAGTCCGAGAGGAAGATGTGATGCTCGAGATCGGGTGCCGCGACGTATGCGACTCGGTTTCCGAGGGATTGGAGCTTGGTTGATACAGTTGGGGTGAGGGCGACTGGTGAGAAGACGGCAAGTTGTCCGGATGTGAGTCGTACTATTTGGATGATTGGTTAGCATTTATATCTAGTGGTGCTGTGGAAAGAAGAGAGTCATACCTATAGTAGCTCTACCACCGATTTTAATTATTCCAAATCGAGAGAAAGGCACGGAAAGTGTTGTGATGTTCGAAGTCACATCACGAATAACCATGACTTTTTCTGGATCTGAAGGAACAAGTTTATCGGACATCTTGAAAATGTATATGATATGTGTGGTTTTGTGTATGCTGTGATACTAGAAGATAGGTAGGTAGTGCAATACGAGAGTTGATGTTGCAACTATATATATAAAACTGCTGGTTGATTGATACTCGAGTATGGTGGAGTGATCCAGGAATGTTCAGACCCTATGACGTTCGTTACTTATGCGGGACGCTCCGTGATCAAAGCTAATCCGATGACCGTTTTCAACGTGTGGTGTGAGGAGACGAAAACAAATCAACAAACACAGTAAGAGAGTACGGTAGTATGGTATAGGAAAAGGCTCTGAGCAGAGCAATATTATAGAGAATATAACAAGAAATACGTCAACCTTTATATACGCAGGAAAAGAAATGAATGTTTCCTCGTTATCGTCTGCTTCTTTTTTCTTGCTTCTCTATTCAATGTACATGTCAGCAGTCAAAGGTCTCGACCGACGAAAGATGAATGTATTGAATAAGCATAGAGTTTATATCCTCGGCACTTTGTTATTTACCGGGATATGGAAAGGCTATAATTATCACGGATGGTCGGATAAATATTAGACCATGTCTATTTCTTCTTCATTTAGTTGGTGATGTTACTAGAATGACTGATTCTTGCCTGATTCTTGCCTGATTCTTGCCTGATTCTTGCCTGATTAGCCTCACACAACCACAGCTTCCCACATCGAGAAATATCAGGCAGAATCGGTATGATATTCGTCCGTACAGAGGTTGGAAGAGCTCTAGATCTTACGGTTATGAAATCATTTTGGACATCGGCTTTTATGAAATGATATTAAAATTAACTTGAAATAATTCGAACTTCTAGATTCATTGTATTTGTAAAGATAGACAAGAAGCTAATGTTATCTTCTTTCTAGATGTATGTTCTTGATCGTTAGTAGATAGATTCATTTGCATTGCTTGATTTTGTTCTCGAGCTTTTATTCCCAATTTTCTGTATCTTCAATGGAATCGAGAGAACGTATAACTAGCATATCTCAAGTCCGGACATTCCGAAGCTGCGGCCTTCAGCATTCCACACATTCATAGAAGAGAGGACAGATAACATCTAAAATCAACGTATTTCTTATTTGATACAATTGTTACGAACCAATGCTTTCTCGAATCACCTAATACCTAGCTAAACCGATCAGCAGAAAATGATAACTGTATAGTATCTAGTAACCAGTCGGGCCACCAGGCTTTTTGTACTATCCTAAGACTGTATCTCTCTCGTGTAATAACCCCATTCTGCTTTATCAATCCGAGCAGATGCATCACAGGAAACAAGCAGAAAGAAAACATATTTAAAGTAAATCCAAGTACGGAAGGGAATCATGAAAACATTTTAAAGAGATACTACAGGGTATTCCGTCCATCCATCCCCAAACAAGCGTTGAACCACCAGCTTAATATTGCATCTGTAGATATCAACCAGGGAACTGGAATGTAACAGGAATACCAAGGTACTCCATAAGATCGAATCTCCATATGTCCAATTGACGATTGATGGTCTGGGGTAAGATTTGGTTCAAGCCAAGGAAACCATTAGAGCCCTTCTGTGCAAGGAGTTGTTGAAGCCATTTGCGGGAAGTCTCGTTTTCTGCAATCCAGACTTTGCGTTCATGCACAGCCGTGAAGGATAACCAAATTATACCATAAACCACCCCATGAAATGCCAAGCCCCTGAAAGTATGCCAAGTATCTGGTAGTCTTCCACGCCTTGGATTGAACAATACTGAGAGGAGCGATGGCGCAGGTCGAGGTGTCCTATCAGCGTCGGCAGCTCCTTCAGCTCCAGATTCATCCGAAGACGATTCATCCTCAGGAGGTGAAGGGACGTATGGGGATCTAGCAAGGAGTGTTGCAGGGATATAACTAAGAACACTTAAAATACGCTTCAGCCAGTGGCAAAAAAGGATGAGAAAATTGAATTCGACCAAGAACCAGCAAACGATGGGATCGTGAGCGAATACTCGGAATGGCGTATAGCGAACTGGTCCTGGGACTTGGATTTCCCGACCCGGTACATCGACGTACACAGTAGGTCCCGGAACAGGTATTTCGCGATCGACATATTGGATAGGACCAGGGACAGGGACCTGTACTTCGACAGGTGTACCAGGAACCTTGACGATGATTTCTGGACCGGGGACGTGGACCTCTTTGATTTGGATGATTGGCTTACGATCAAAGCCGGAATCGCGACCGCGATCTCCACGAAGTCTTTGTATTTTGTGGATTAATTGTACACTGAAAGGTAATTTATCTTCCTCCTCATCATCAGTGCTTTCATCTTCGGAGGAAGAAGTGCTTCTAGTGCTAGCTGAATCCCCTTCTTCTGAAGGTGGTTTTCCACCAGCGGCACCGGTGCCCTTATAGGCTCTCGGTCTCGTGTCGAAACGCGGCTGTTGAGCTTCTTCAAGGGATTTCAGCTGTTGGATGAGTCCATTTATCATATCAATATATCCCGCCAATTCTAATTGGTCTTCGTTCGTTCGTCCAGTGGAGGGCTTAGTCTTGAGTTCCTCGGTCACTACTTCGAGCTGGACGCGAAGTTCCTTTACTTCTACCTCTGTCTTCTCTAAAGCTGCACGCGCCTCCTCATTTTCTTTTTGGATCTCCCTAGCATCGTTTCTGAAGTCTTCGAGTCTCTTTTCTTCAACTTTGACTTTCTCTTCGAGCTTTGCCTTCTCTTGTACATGAATTGTTTGTAATTCCTCCATCGCCTCCCGAGTGCTAGTAACTTCAAATCTCAGCTTGGCAGCCTCATCTTGAGCTTTTTGATGTTCCTCGGTCAATCTCTTCGTTTCACGTGCGTAAGTGAGAGCTTTCGTTCTCAAATCCCGGATCTCATCCTCCCGTTTTTTGCGGTCTTGATCCCTTACATTGCACTTCTCTTCTCGCTCCGCGATCTGCACTTCGGCGTGCTTGATGTAAGCGTCAATGGACTGATTATTTTGCTTCAAATCCGCAATTTGTTTCCGAAGCTCACTGATGAGCTCTAGGTCTTCCGCGCTTGTCTGGGCCATTTTTTGCTTCAGTACAAAATATTTCTCTTCAAGATTTTGCTCCTCTTCGATGTACTTTGCTTCGAGATCGGCGTATTTTTCGTTCTTCTGCTTTTCTTCAATATACCTTGCTTCCAATTGCGCAACGATTGATTCAAAGGCTGCAAGCTCGATGTGTGCAGCTTGAAGTCTTTGGTCGTAGGATTCAGATTGGGCGAGCCTCGCTTTCGCGACTCCTTCTGTTGCCTTAATTGTTATGTTTGCTTCTTTGATCTGCCATTCGAGCTGCTTGTGCTTTGTTCGAAGTCCGACGCAATCGGTCCTTGGACAAGGTTTGAAAGGTCTGTACATTCCTAAATCAGCATTGTTACATTCATCACGTGAATTTTCAATAAAAGAAACTTACGTTCCATCCTTCTTCTTTGTGGATGGGTTTGGATCGACGTTAAATGTAAAGGAAGGTGCGTCAGTTGCTGCGGACTTTCCGAAATTCTTCGACATTGCTTGGTTGGTTAAGAATCGCTCAGTCAATGGTTTGTACGATAAAGTCTTGAGGAACTACAATATATGAGAGGCCAAAATACATATATATGCTCTGCCCTGTGCCATATAATTATCCTATCGAACCGTATCCGCTATTTATATTGAGTCATTGCGATTTTCTATATATCGTATGGCAAATTGTTGATTGTTGATTGGCCGTATTTCTCTTCTGCTATTGTACGATTATTCCAATTGTCATTGATTCACTTTCGCCTGGCGAACCCAATTTCAAAGTTGATATTGGGCCAAGCGAGGAAGTGATTGTCAGTCAGTGTAATCCTGCCAGCCTCAGTCACGGGTCTGTAGGCAACAAATTTGCTTGTATGCTGAACTTAAACTTGAAATTTGGCCTCACTCCATTGTGAAATTAACCTCGAAAGTTCGAGGTAATCTAGGATCCTCAGACATTCATTCTCGCAACCCAAGATCTGACCTACGCAATGAATGGTCCAAGTGTACCAAAGTATGAAGTGATGTTTACCATGCGTACCAGTTATATACCACAAGTGTTGTGCTCATAAGTGCCAACCAAATGTACTTTGCTACTTTCATACAACCTGATTAGGCTCAGAGCTCCAAGGGCTTTGGTTATATATCATAGCACACGAACCTTCAAAAGCAAATGTAGAGAAGTACAGCCAGCAGGAGATATCGTCGCAATGAAACCCTTTCTCGAAGTTGAGGGACATGAATTATTCCACACATCGAAGAAACACACCGAAGAGAAAGCAGGGAATGATAATACATCTATCTCTCGATACGTCCAGCTCCGCCCCACTATGAAGTTAAATCCTTATTATCCTTATTATAATACAGGAAACGCAGACATAAATAAATATAAAAATCTTCCAAGAGAGATAGCAGATGGCACCTGTAATGTACGTACTATGCATCTATTTAAATGAAATTCAACAGAGCATTAACAATATTAATCAATCCGTACGAACGTAAGCAGACGATACGCACATGACTAAAACCATACTACCTATCTCCATCAATATACAGTCTATATGATCATGGTCAGCATCATCATCAACAACTCACCTCAATAATACACCCAGCCAAGCACAAAACAACCAAGCCCAACATCAACATAAAAAGTCGCATCATCTTACCTACGTATATCACGTCTACAGGCGTACCACACACCCTCTTACTTACATAACCAACTGTACTGTACCTGCAGTTCAGAGCTGCAAGGAAAAACTTGGCGGGATTCCAAAAGATTGGGTGCCAATGCTACTGGGTGCTGTCGGCTGACATCCCAGATGTGACACTGAGCTTGGCTCTTGGCGTGAGCCAGGGTGAGATTTACCTCTTGCACCTCACTTCAACGTATAGCTTCTGTCCCATGAGCATAAAAGCATAACACATCGCATCACGAATTTTAATATTCACAAAAAGATTTCACCAGGGCATTTTCAATAAGATAGATGGCAGCAGTGTTTGTTTGTATGCGTTCAATTTTTGATAAGAGGTCATTGAATATCATAGCTTGCAGAACTCCCGCTCGCAGATATCCAAAACGTACGTTTCATCAGATCCATTCATTCCCATATTTTCGTCCAAGTCATCGTATCCCTTATTTGTCATTCTCATCAAATTCCCAACGATTGCATCATCACCCTTTATGCGGAAACGCTTGGAGCGAATTCCAAAGTGGGTCCATTCTTGTTGAAGACAACGTAGTAAGCGTTGAAGAAAACATCACCGTAGATGTTTTGGGAACCGCCACCAGCACTTTGGAGAGCACCGTAACAGGTGCTTCCGCTTTCAACTCCGTAGTTCAACAACGAAGATGGGATGGTGGCATATGTGCTACCAATCTTGAAGGACAAGGTTGGGAGAGTGGCGCTACATGGGAAGACGTATCCTCCTGCGGAGTTGGAGTAGGAAGCACCCTTGACTTGAGCGTAGTATGCGCTGTTGGCAGCATCGCTCATGAGGATGAGAGTGGTTCCGGTGTCGGCAATACCGGTGTAACCATTCGCGGTGTGAACAGTGGAGCCGACCTTGTAGGAGGTAGATGGGAACTCCCAGAAACCGTTTGCGCTGCTGACTGAGGTGGAGGTGAGAGTTCCGGTGTATTTGGTGGAGTCAGTGTATCCGAAATCATATGCTCCATTGGCGTTGAATGGGAGGTAAGCAGCGAAGATTGGGGAGTTCAACGAGCTGGCAGCGTTGTCAAAGAAGGTGGATTGAGAATTTGGGGTAACTAATAGGCGAAGTTAGACTCAGTTGATTTTGTGGTCAATGTTTCAGCTCAAGGATGCTTACCAGTGTTGATGTTATTGAAAGCCAGACCGACAAGTCCATCGGAGGCATCGCTGACGAATGAGGAAGAAACCTGGTTGGCAACTTCGACTGCTTGGCCGGTGACTGTAGTCTTACCAATAGTAACGGTATCGGTACCTACAGTACCACTGGCTCCGGATCCGTCGGCATATGTAATGTCCCAGGAGTAACCTGAAAGAGATTTAAATGTGCTGCTCTTGCTCGGGGTGAAGCTAAATTACTTTATTAGTTCAAGTCTTATGCTTGCCATTTTTTAATAGGCATGATGGTACTTACAAGTTGTGACCTGAGCGCGAGGAGGAGCTGAGAGAAGAGGAGAATACCCATCTAGTAAAATAGTTAGCAAGGTGAACGAAGGTGAATGAGATTCGATGAGCCCTAATTAAGGCATAATTGGAGATATGCTCTCAAGCAGAACGAGCATGCAAGCGCAAAACATGGTAGAAAACGGTAAAACTTACAAATCTGCTGAACCAGTGTCCAAATCAAGGTTGAGAGTTTGACCTCCAACAGTAACTGGGATGAGATACTCAGCAGCATCGGCTGGAGTAGCTGTAACAGAGGAGTCTTGTCTCTTGCGGAGTGCCGACATGAACGCATCAGACATTGGCTGAGTTGGCTGAATGTGGTACTTGGCATATGCCTTGAGCAAAGCTGCAGTACCATTGCGAACGTGGTTTGGGTTGTGAATTGCTGGTACACTGTGGGCACCGGCACCGGCAGCAGTAGCACCAGCTGGAACTGGAGCTGGGGCTGCGTGAGCAATTGCTCCGAGAGCGAGGAAAGCAGTGATTTGGGAAAGCATCTTGACAGGTACTCAGATGTGATGTGCAAATCGAGGGAAGAGTAGAAGACTTGGGATATGAAGAACGGGATGAAGAACTGGAAACAAGAGGATTCACTGCCTTCTTATACACATCAAGAGATACCGAGGCGCATTTAGATTAGAGTCATTAGACCATCGTATTGTCTATCACATCACTACCAGGATAGATTAACACAATATGTGATGAATTATTGTGACATATTAAAAATACAGTGCAAAAACGATGATTTCGTGGGGCTTGGTGGGTCAGAGTGAATCCAACGGCTCTCCAGATATGGCAGGTTGATGTTGCTCTGGTTAAATCGCGGGGCATGTCCGGGATGTACCAAGCTAACATCTCCCCGATGGACCATCAGATTGCTCCTGATAAGCAAAACTTGCCTGTGCTGAAAGAATCTAAACACAGGAGGAAGGTGGCCGGGCCTTGACCCAAGGAGATTTATTGAGGGGTGGAGTTTCGCCATAAAAAGATCTGCACCTTGTCCTCCGGCTAAAGCTTGCATAGCGTCTTCAAGGAAATAGCTACAAATTCGGACTAATTCACTTCGTGAAGAACGGAGAAACAAGAATCAATCGCGAGTGCCGGGAATTGTGCATCGGTGGTTTGAGAAACATAACCAGTCAAGGAGCTACATTAATCCCGCACTGATAATTATCCATAAGCCGTTTTACGGGGTTACATCAAAAGTCAACTACCTAAACAAATTACAATTATTTCAATTTTAATAAAAAGTTGTAAAAAATGTTGTTAAACATTATAAATATTTGAAAGCTGAATAATATTAAATTAACTTTTAACAAATTTATCTTTTAACAAATTTCTTTTTTAATAAAAAATCTCTCAAAATTCAAAAGATTAAACTATAATACTTTTTTAAAGATATTATAATTTGACTTGAGTATTCCTTTAATGAAATTTTATAATAAAATAATAAAAGATTTATAGTATGACGTTTGTATTATCAAAATATATAAGTAAAAAATAATTGACCTTCGGAGTTTATTAAAAGACTTTCAAAGTTTATTGAAAGACTTTCGGAGTTTATTGAAAGACTTTCGGCTTATACCTGTGCTCCATAGTAGTATTGTGAGAGTTATGAAAATAAGCTTTAATTTAAGCTCTTATAGTATATATGCAAGGTCCAGTCCAATTTAGGAAGGTGGAACCTGATCACATTAACTATGCAAAAGAAGCAGGGATTATATTAGCACGACCACGTCGGCAGGGCCAGCACCGCAACAATTGGTTGCAATACATCTCAACTTTGAGTTCCATCTAATCTTGGATAGGGAGCTGAGTACAAAGTAGCAACACTGAGCAGCAGTATCATATCTGGCAGTTGAAGGTATGTCCTGTGCAAGGAACTGACCGTGTGAGACAAAATGTCGTGATACTTGACATTGACAATCAAGCTCCGAGGCTCATTGTACACTACGACGGAACGGCCCATCTGCGGAGAGGCATTGCAGAAGTTTGTATGAAATAGGAAGGTCCCGAGGAAGTGAATAATCTCATCATCGATAACCTGAAGTTTTGTACCTCGGAGTATCTAGAGTCTAAAAACACTTGCATGAGCTTATTACCGTTATCTTATGGCTCGTGTGCGGAGGGGAGGCCCAGAATTTTGGAGGAACCATGATGTGGCGGCTATGTGGCTATTTCTCATTGCTGAATCTTGATAAAGTTTGTCCGTCCATATCAGTGAATTCAGCTCGGCACTGTGTATTTAATTAAAAATAAGAGCAATTTGAGTGAGGTGATAGATTTTGTTGTTGTAGGACAATACCCAATCACGGTGATAAAGTAAAAGGAGACAAGAAGCGAGGAAGTTGTTGTGTCGTGAGTATCATCCAATGAGAGATTTCATGTGCAATATCGCAAGGTAACTTGAGAATTTGCCCATGCCATGAGTGAACGGATCGTGCGGAGATCCGTAGATAAGGATTGGTCAAAGGAATCGAATCTAGTTGAAATCATTATTCCAGTTGATTGAAGTGATCAGGTGGACCCATTTGGACGGTAGACGTTTTCAACTCGATTTCTACGTCCGCTTGATGAATGTTCAAAGCAAGTTGAACATTCAATAAAGATTGGAATTTCTATTCAATGTAGGTGATAATAAGCCATTCAACTTATTAGATTCTTGCAAAACTTCTATAGCTATTATCAAAATTCTGTTTTCGGTTCGGATTTTCGGATAATGTTATATATGGATTCTATTTATATTGCCACCTACACGAAAATGCCAGGAATGGATCGTCCAGGGGTATATAAAGTCAATGATGACATGCATATTATCTCCTCTAGCAACACTTTTAATGAGACGGGATAGGAAGGCGAAAATATATATAGTCTCCCGGCACTTTTAAGAATTCCTTCGAGGTGGAAGGCTGGAGCTTTGTTCATGTGCTGCCGTTAGCCATTCAACGAAATTGGAGAAGGCCAGATAAGATGCGTTTACAGCACCATCGAATTCCACATAGGACAAATGCACCCGAACTTCGCAAAGATAAAAGGTCGCCAGTCCCGGGAGAAGATATTCCCTCTGTGTCCCATGTAAAGAAAACAGCAATACGCGATGGCACATGAACACACCAGCGGGCGCCACACAATTGAAAAAGCATACCGAGAGAAAACGAAGCTACAACAAATAGAGCAGTGGATAGATAAAGATGGTAATACAGCCAGACAAAGTTGATGGGTATAACCGTTCCTAATAGGAATAGGAATTGCCCCGAATCTTCGACACGTGCTGCGATTTATCCCGTCTGTATCCCGACCAAGAATCGCATGAATCCAACCAGTGATATTCAGAAAGGAAGTTCGTCATGTTAAAGTTGAAGACTATGACTGCACTTGTTTCGAAAGAATTGTACAGAGATCAATTTTGAAACATTCAGCACGTCTGTTACAATTATGCACAACCTAAACTCCAAGCAATGCCATCAAACCATATCTAATCAAATAATGTTGTCGTATGGCCGGAAATAAAACATTTATGTCCGTTGGGTGAATCTTTTAAGCTCTGCTCTTGGTGTTGAGGATAAGAGCGACAATCAAACTGCAATGGCAAATTAGTACGATTTAAACGAGACAGTTCGATGCTAATTTTTTAAGTTAACGTACCCGTATAGTCCCAAAACTTCGCCGAAAATCAATATCAAGACCATTCCAACGAAGATTCGTGATTGTTGCATGTATGATCGAACGCCCATGTCACCAACTATTCCAATGGCATATCCAGCGGCCAGGCCCGTCAACCCGACCGACAGACCGCACGCCAAATGCATGAATCCGCTATAAATATATTAGTGTTGACCTAGGTATAGTCGGATGAGGTATGCGTACTTGAATAAGCTGTAACTTTGTCCAGGAGGGGGTCCAATATCTCCTGCTATCAGAACGGCGATGACAAGAGAATAGACGGCAATGATACCGGACATGACGACAGGAATAAGTGACTAGATAGAACATCAATTAGCAGGAGTAACCTGTATAGATCTTCTCTAGTGGCTGCGTACTTTCATAATCAAGTCGGGTCTAAAGGTACCAACACCTGCAATTCCTATTCCAGACTTTGCTGTACCATATGCGGCCCCGATGCCTTGAAGTTATTAGTGATATGTCATATATGTAGGCTTGGAGATTGATGGGCATACATCCGAAAGTCATCGCAAACGCAATGCCAGCCTGCAGAAGCTGTTAGTATAACACCGTCAATAAGACCACGAAGCTCGAGTCCCATACCATTCCGAAGAAGGGGGCGAATTTTGGGGCGAGATCAGATTCTGCCATGATTATTTCCCTCCCTAGTTGTATTTGCGTACTGGAGTTGAATGAAAGTTGCTGCTTGACAAGTTGTGAAATGATTGTGTTGTTGATTGAAAGCTATCAAATCCAATCCAGGTTGGAGGAGCTAAGGCTAGAGACGCCTTCTCTGCACGGATGCACAAAGTAAGAAATCACCTGACTAACACCCCAAATTCTGAAAACATCCAATTCAACAATTTGATATGGAAATAGTAGGTACCTACCTATGTATGACATACCAAATTCAGCGAATGTTTGGGTGCCCCGAGATCTAACTATTAATATGACTTTGGGTTGTCCATATATAACTCCTCACAAAGTGTTGTAACTGCGGAGACAGGATTCCTATCGGCGCACCCGAAAAGACAACGCTAAAGGATACGGTACAATTCGATATTCCGGCGCGCACCGCAAGAGAGAACTTAAGTGGTGAGCCAAAAATTCACATATACGAAAACAATACAACACAATTCAATACCCTGTACTTGGTATTCTATGTTCTGTTACCCTTCTAAAATCCTATTGGGGCATCCAGAAAAGAGAAAAGGCATACAGCTTTGGAGCATTTCTTCAATGCTTTTTTATTTGATTTTATTACAATTTAATATGTTCTCCTTCGACAGGTAAACAATAAGTTAAACACGCAATACGAGACGACTCTAGAAGGCTTGTTGATCATTGATTCGCTTGAGCTGATCAACTACAACCCCAACTCATCCCCCGAAACAACAAAGTTAATCATCATTTTACCCATCTGTCAACCTCAACAACCACTACAATCGAAAGAACATAGGGATATTATACTCTGTACTAGTCGAAGTTACAATAGGGTACATAACATCATTGTTTTTGAGGTTGCTCCAGGGTTAATTCCCTCGGCTTCGAGTCTTGGCTCCTCATTCTAGGCCAACAGAAGAGTCGACGAATAGAGTTCCATCGCATTCACAAAACAAAGGTACTGTTTGGCAAAGTAATAATGGCGGACTACCAGCAAGGACGGGGAAATGGTGGCCGACCAAATGAATACGGGCATGCTTCGAACTACCAGCGGGAAACCGCTTTTTCGAATATCTTTGGTGCTGCCCCTCCTCCCGGCCGATCGCAGACTATGACTTCATCCGTGTCTCCTCCATTTGTGCCTCAAGGTCGCACACAAACGATGTCTTCGCAGACGCCAGGAATGCAAAATGGTATGCCTCCTAGACAGCCCCAAGGCCAGGGCGGATACCGGCCTCCACAGGGGAACAATATGCCAAACGGAGGTGGAATGGCCAATGGCTATTATCAAGGTCCACGACAGCCGTCCCCTGGACAAGTTCCTTCTCAACCACAGCCTCATTCATTACCACAGCAGGTTCGTAGCGATCGAAGACCATACCCTACTCCTCAGCGCATATCGCCTCAACAACCATTTCCTCCTAGACCCCCGCAACAACGGTACTATCCCGGCAACACTCCAGCACTCGCCTCCGACCCTTATCGCTCTCAGTCGATGGCGAGTATACCTAGGCCAAACATGTACCAGCCGCCTAACAACTTTAATCAAGCTCCTGCAAACGCTTTTCGGCAGGCTCAATACCAACAGCAACCAGCAAAAACAACCGCGCTCGGACGCAACATCCCCGAAAGACCTGATGAGCGCACAATGTCACTGACTACCTATCCGCAAGATCGTGACCAGCATCAAACCATGAGTGGGCGAGTCATTCCAAGTCGACGGACCTCGGGGAACGGGCCGCAGGAGTTACCAGCATTCTCCATCCCGCCTCCTGGTCCTGCTACTGCAACAAGGACTGCTAGCATGGCTTCGACTGTTGCGCCAGATATGGGCCGTTCGATGTCCATGGCCTCAACCATTGTCCCGCCAGAGCAGTCAGATGTCCTAACTCATCGTCCTTCAGCAAAATCAATCAGCAGTACAGCCGGAGGATCATCCCGACACAAAGCTCCCCTTGTATACCCTGCACTGTTGTCGCGCGTCGGCGACTGCTTCCGAGAAAAGATCAATATTGGCGATAGAACGAAGAACGACCTTACATACAAAAATGCGTTCAGTGGAGCGGAGGCGGTGGACGTTATTTCATACATCATCAAGACTACCGATCGGAATCTTGCCTTATTGCTTGGACGGGCTCTTGACGCCCAGAAATTTTTTCATGATGTGACTTACGATCATCGGTTACGTGATTCAGCTACAGAGATGTACCAGTTCCGAGAAACAATGATGGACGAACCTCATGAAGCACCAGAAGTTAATGGGGTGTTCGTCTTACTTACTGAATGTTATTCACCAACGTGTACTAGAGATCAGCTGTGCTATTCGATAGCTTGCCCTCGTCGACTCGAACAACAATCTCGATTGAACCTGAAGCCACAGCCAGGTCTTCGCCGAGAGAAATCCGAAGCAAGTTTGCATGACGTCGACGAACCAGATGAGCAGAAACTCTGGATCAACACCGTCTCCCAGGAAATTGCGGACAGTGTCGGGGAGCGGGAGAAGAAACGCCAAGAGGTCATTTCGGAGATTATGTATACCGAGAGGGATTTTGTAAAAGATCTCGAATATCTAAGAGATTTCTGGATTCTCCCACTACGTTCAACTAACCAGCTGACTCCATCACCTATTCCAGAGGCTCGAAAGGAGAGGATAGTCAGGACCATATTTACAAATATCGTTGATCCCCCGAGTATTCATGCCGTCAGTTCTAAATTTGCCGAGTCTCTTACAGAACGACAGCGGAAGCATCCTGTTGTTCAGTGTGTGGGTGATATATTCCTCGAGTTTGTTCCCCAATTTGAGCCTTTCATCATATATGGATCAAACCAACTAGCTGGTAAGTTTGAGTTTGAGAACGAGCGATCCTTGAATCCCTCGTTCTCCAAATTTGTGGACGAGACGGAACGGCGAAAAGAGTCACGAAAGCTTGAACTTAATGGTTATTTAACGAAGCCAACAACAAGGCTTGCTCGTTATCCACTCTTACTAGACAACGTTCTCAAATATACCGACGATGGCAACAAGGACAAGGAAGACATTCCGAAAGCCATGAAGATGATTCGTGAACTCCTTACTAGGGTCAATGCCGAATCCGGCAAAGCCGAGAACCGCTTCAACCTAAAAAGATTGCACGAACAGCTCCGTTTCAGGCCCAACGAGCGTGTAGACCTTAAGCTTACCGACGAGAACCGAGAGCTTATACATAAAGGACCCTTGAAGAAGACGCCTACAGATCCAACGGATATTCAAGCCTATCTTTTCGATCATGCTGTTCTTCTTGTCCGTATCAAGACGGTGGCAAAGAAGGAGGAAATCAAAGTATATCGCCGTCCAATTCCTCTGGAACTATTGACCATTCGCGAAATGGAGGAGTTTATGCCTAAACTTGGGGTGGTGAAACGCCCGTCCTCAAGTTTGATTCCCACCAAAACTCCTACAAACGACAACAATAAGAAGGATGGATTCCCCATCACGTTCAGACATCTTGGTAGAGGTGGCTATGAACTGACACTGTATGCCAGCAGTGCAGGTATGAGGAACAAATGGATGGAGCATATAGGTGAACAGCAGGCCATACTACGAGCGCGAGGCGATTTTTACAATAAATCTATCATTTCTAGTAACTTCTTCACGACGGCGAACCGGGTCAATTGCGTGGCACCATTTGATGGTGGCCGTAAACTGATATACGGCACAGACTCGGGCATATACGTTTCTGATCGCAGATCAAAAGATGCTGCCGCAAAACCAGTTCGAGTATTGGATGCTACTAGTGTGACGCAGATTGATGTTCTCGAGGAATATAACCTTCTGCTGGTTCTATCTAATAAGTCTTTGCAGTCTTATCCTCTTTCTGCGCTGAATCCGACCGAACCTGCGCTTTCGAAACGGCCCAAGAAGATTCAAAGTCATTGTAACTTCTTCCGCACAGGGATATGTCTAGGTCGCCACCTTGTCTGCTGTGTTAAATCTTCAGCTTTGTCAACGACCATCAAAGTATTCGAGCCCAATGATGCTATGTCTAAGGGGAAGAAGCAAAAGGGATTCAAGATGTTTAGCAATGGCCAGGACGAGTTGAAGGCATTCAAAGAATTTTACATCCCAACAGAATCTTCGTCGATACATTTCCTAAAATCAAAACTATGTGTGGCTTGTGCGCGTGGATTTGAAGTAGTATCTTTGGAAACCCTCGAAACCCAATCTCTCCTGGATCAGGCGGATACATCTTTGGACTTCGTTGCGCGAAAGGAGAACGTACGACCAATACACATAGAGCGCTTGAACGGAGAATTTCTTCTCAACTACTCTGAATTCTCCTTCTTTGTCAACCGTAATGGTTGGCGAGCTAGACCTGACTGGAGGATTGATTGGGAGGGACTACCACAAAGCTTTGCCCTTTCGTACCCTTGGATACTTGCTTTCGAACCGAACTTTATTGAAATCAGAAATATTGAGACTAACGCTGTTCATATTGTTCCTCATAAAAGCATTCGCATGCTACATACGAGCACTCGAGAGGTACGTAATGTTTATCATTCACGATATTACACATGAGTTCATGTGGATACTAATAAATCGTAGATCATATATGCCTATGAGGATGAAAGAGGAGAGGATGTCGTTGCGGCCATCGACTTTTGGTTAGCCGGACGTAAGCCAGAAGCACAACCGATCTCCAATGGTGGTGACTTCCGTGATGGAGGGCATCCTACAACGTCTTCGCGACATTAAGCTTTGACTATAACTCTATCGCATCCAATTTTTAATAATATGAATACCCACGCCATAATTATCCTCATCTCGATTCTCTGGTTTACAAATGCATGATATCTGACAAGTTTCGACAATCTCTTCTATTATCTCCTAGGTGTGCTGGACATGCTGGTTTGCAGCCAAAGTCGTGCATAATCCTTCAGCCTATTTTCCAATCTATCGACTTGTTGGAGGAACTAGATACATTTTACGAGCACGCTTGTGGAGGCCTTTTATTTTTCTTTCGGTGGGTGAAAGTTGTTCCTCGAAGAGAAGAGCAGAGAGATCTTTATTAAGTGTAGGAAAGGTGGTAGGGTATGGCAAGGGGGCGACAGGCGTCAACCGGTGAAATGGGGGAAAAGACGAGACTCCTTCCATTACATCTTTTGATTCTCTCATCTTTTTAACCTTCTCTTTTTGATTCTTGATTGGTTGAATAAAGGCATGCATGATATCTATGTTTCTGTACATTGCAGCTTGTAGTCTTATGAATAGATCATGTGTTTCTTCGCTTGTCATTACCAAACTCGATGATAAAATCCATTGACATATAAATGCTGCACCAGTAATATTACGAAGGCATCGGCTGCAAAGTCCAAGACTTGATACAATCCTTTAATTACAAATTGGGCAACGAGACTTGACGCTTCACATGGAATCGGCAGCATTATATATGTGAACTCGTGCACAGGACTGGTTTTATATTGTAAATGTATATTTTATATAGATTGGTAATGTACGCTTGTTGTGTGAATGTCTTAAACTCTATGTGATCTATGATCTATCCTCTATCCTGATGTGAAGCTTTATTCGTTTTTCGATGCCTCTCGCTGTGCTCGGAAAACTTTGCTCCTTTGCTTGATCATGTGCGTGAACAAAATATACGAGCCTACGTATTCATTAGCATCCATCTGACCAACACAATCACCATACATAACATACCAGGAATATAAATCAGGAGAATCAGCTTCAAAGCTAAAGGATACAGCGATCCATACACATCCCCGGCAGGCTCAATAGATTTATATATCAACCAACACTCGCTGCTGATCCCCAAAGGATATAAAACAAAAAAGGTATTGTATCGAAACCAAGTGACAATAGCTGGTTTGTAGCCGCTGAGCGTAATAACAAAGTAAGAGTAGCGAATGACTTCCGTGACACTCCACGCAACAAGCATAGATGAATATCCAGCACTCTTCGCAACCCAAGGAAATGGATTCACAATGAACCAAACGAGGAGTAGGCGACTGGCTACTTGCATACCGGTTGTGCTAATAGGGGCCCGGACAACTCCTATCGGTATCCAATATTAGCATGACACTTTACACTTTCTCAGCCGCACATGTAGATGAGAGGAAAACAAACCAGTCGCTGCATGTACCACCTCCAAAAGTGCCATTGTCTGTGTCCATTTTACAAATTGACCGACTCCCGGATACAGGCGGCCGAAACCAACAAGTGGTATAAGGAGGAGCACTCGGCCTAGGACGACGAGCCAGAGGAGTGAGGAAACAAAGTTGTAGAGGATTAGGTATTGGGTTTTGCGATTGGAGGATTGGAGGGGCTTGGGACCTCGCTTTTTGATGGATGATTCCTGGGTGTCTTGGGGGTCCATGGCTATGGTCGGATGGTCGGATTGAGGGGAGTTGTGTTAGTTTGGATGTGCTGAGTGGTGAGTGGTGAGGAACCTCATTGTTTGTGAATGTGTGTAGATAAATTTTGGAGCTTGGGCCACTGAGACTCTTCTAGATGTGGGCGAAGGTGATACAGCTACACTGTGTTCTGGATCATAATGAAGGTTTTTAATGTTATTATTTTCAACAATTTGGTTTTTGTTTGTAAATCTTTTGATTGTCCTAATTGAAAAGAGACATTAAAAGGTTACCTTCTGGCCACCTTTTCTAGTGAAGAGCAGGTTTATTCTTGGTGAGGAATAATCAGTATTCTGTTCTCTTAATATGGCCGACGCCATCACGGATTGCCCTGGATTGAAGTGGGTATTTAAAGGGTCTTATTTGTTCATAGTTGCAATAAAGGACAGCCGGCTTCGAATATGATTTTCTGCCTAGTAGGCGAATCAATGTCTCGGGTGGTTGACCAAGTCCAACGATTTGCAGCTGTTTCTTCTTTTGTCGCTTTTTCTTGCTTCTCTCATGTCTTCGTCTCGTTGCACGTCTCACTTCATCCAATACATAGTGTGTTCAAATCTTTGTAAATGAATATATGTAAATGCCTATAATGCACATGCAAAAGCATCACAAATGGGCGGTACAGAATAGGGAGAGATATGCATCACTGTTTATTTACCTTTGTTCGTTTGACATTCGATCTCGGGCCCAAAAATGGGGTATTCCAGTAGATTGATACAAAGATATGAGTGTTTGGGTAGTAGAAACAGTATCTTCAGTACTTGATAAGAACAGTACCTAGTGAACCACAGACGGCAGGCCAACAATCACCAACCAACACGCGCTCTGCCCTCAGACTGCACGCTTTTGGAAGTTGAATTGTGTCTTAGATGGATCGTCACAACTAAGTATGTTTATCACCGGATATGAGAAAGGGCACACGATCGTAATATAGTTCTGAACTATGAGCTCTTCAGCTATGAAATCCTAGGCTTGCCTGAGAAAATAAACTTCAGGAATTATGCGCTTTCACCACATGTGACAGTGCCTGGATAGTTCCAACCTCATTATCACAAGAGATTTACTCAACGACTTTTAGCTTCTTGTTCCTGTGATTGTATAGATTAGAACAGATTTGTACAGTCATTTCGCAAGTCGACTAGCATAAACTTCTCAATCCATGCGTTTTCAATTATTTAAACCATTAAGCAAATCATATATTCGATTCTCCAATTTGACATTGTGATGGGCATCGCGTAACCAGATTTGAGTTGCCTTTGGGGCATAATTTTGGGAGATGAAAGACTCAAGCAGAGCTTTCGCTGATGGATGAGCTGCATAAGTTGGGACCAACCAAGCCTGATACGTTTGCGAGGAAGCCAATTCGGGATGCGTTCGATAAAAATTCAATATTACACTGCAAGCGGAGGGTCTGGTTGAGCCTTTTGTTACTTATTATACGGGAACCGAAGCTGATCCTAACGACGATGGAATGATATAGTCCAAGAAGCCTACGAAAGATACTTATTGCCAACAGTCCACAAGTGGCATGGTCACATGAATCATGAGCTTTCGCGGAACTGATTTCCCTAGAAATTTGATTCTGTTGTTGATCCAATTTCTCTGGAAAAGTCACATCACTGGTCCGAGAGCATAGTCTAGCATGTAAGTGAGACAATTTTCCGAAGCGTTTGCTCTAATAACAACCTCAAAGTCAGGTTGGTTATACGATAACCTTCGGAAAGTATCAGAATGCAGCAAGGAGCTCGAACGTTTGATTGCGGATAAGATGATCGGTCATCTATTACCCTTCATCCACATCTCATCTCAGTCAGTGTGTACCGCCAGCACAGGATTGATGAAGTTCCAAGCGTTATGGCAAAGGGAAAAGCATGGATGGACTAGGAACCTGGCGGTGCACTAATTCCCAGACTTTGCATCTCATCGGGTGAGATCCTTGGAACAGAATCATATCTCGAGAAGGAATTGATGGCAGCCTTTAATACTCACGATAGTCTTGAGGCTTATTATGAGTTGGCTAGATTTCGATTCACTCACAACATTACGCCGCTCCAAGTCATCGAAAGACATCTACTTGGTTCAGGTGGTATACCGCTTCTTTTCTACAACTCCTTTCGCGCCCTAGTCTGACCATTCACGACCGCGGCCAGTCGAGAACCATCACCTGTATTTTAATTGAATAGTCTTCAACTGGTACGAGGCTTCAAACATGTCGCTGGTCAATTCGGTTCGACCATCTAGCTACACCAACGCGACCTTATTATGTGCATTTCCACCAATACGAAACCTTCTGAAGGGAGATCCTAACATCCGCCAGCTGTAAGTCATCCGAAAGAGACACGTCTAGGCCAGCTCAATTTTTTTGGATTGTTTGGTGCAGTGGTCAAATATCTGCGTTGGAGCTCGGAACTTGTTGGTACTTTCGACTATTTAAAGTGATATGCTGTCCTTGGTATCATAGAAATCATCATCAACCTACAATCGGATTCCGATCGTAATAATCTCTCGCAGATTTAGAATACCATTTCTTTCCACTACCTTCCTATTATTACTACGCCTAATTGACTTCCCAGCAACAATGCTCTCATCCCGTGTCAAGGACTACATTCACAAGAAAGATGTTAAATCCGGCGACCTAGATGGTTATAAACGCATAACGACCAAGACGGTAACAGTGACTTCCGGTGGGAAGGAGAAAGAAGAATCTCTGGAAGTATACGAAAATAGCCAAGGACTGCTTAAGCAGGTTCTAATAGGATCCACTCGTTCGAGCAGGAGCAAGACAGAGAGATCAGACCAGCGTCATTCGGGCGGTCATCATGTCTCCTATGAAAGAAGTACTACCACTACAACGGGAGGGCAAGAGAGACGGCCTCTTATTAACTTTGCTATGAATCAAACTATTGTTGTCAACAACGGTACTGTAAGCTCAGGCCATAGGAGACATCACAGACACAGGGATGGCCATCGAGAGAGAGATCATGAAGATAAAGATCGAAAAATACATCGTTCTGGTGATAGGGATCATCGATTTAAGGAAGATTCCGTTCGCAGTAGGGATCATAAAGATAGAAATTACCTCCCTGAAGACAGTGACAGAGAGGATCAAGAGAGACGCAAAAGAGATCGTCAAGAATCTAAATCTAGCAATGGCAAAGCGCCATATCGTGAGAGGTCGACGACCAGAGAATCTGGTCGCTCGCATCGTGACAAAGAAAGCAGGTCTAAGTATGATTCGGGGTCTGAGGATCCTCGGAGAAAGCCTTTCAACGATTCAGATAGTATCGCACCTTTTGACAGGCTAGGTTCTTTCAGGCTAGGTTCTTTAAGAGAGGGTTCTTTAAGAGGGGCTGATGGTTTTATAAGAGGGGTTCTGTAAGAGGGATGAGGGTTTTGTAAGAGGGGTTGAGGGTTCCGTAAGAGGGGTTGAGGGTTCTGTAAGAGGGGCTGAGGGTTCTGTAAGAGGGGTTGAGGGTTCTGTAAGAGGGGCTGAGGGTTCTGTAAGAGGGCTGAGGGTTCTGTAAGAGGGTTGAGGGTTCCGTAAGAGGGTGGGGGTTCTGTAAGAGGGGTTGAGGGTTCTGTAAGAGGGGTTGAGGGTTCTGTAAGAGGGTTGAGGTTCCGTAAGAGGGGTGGGGGTTCTGTAAGAGGGTTGAGGGTTCTGTAAGAGGGGGTCCTTAAGAGAGGATCCGGTTCACTCGCTCGCCAATAGTCTCAAACAGACACGTTTGAATGGGGATGAAGGCTCAACAGCTAAAAGTTCCACACCAACTCAATATCAAAGAAATGCGGAAAGGCGGCGCCGGGAAAGAAGAAATCCAGATAATGCCGATGGGCTTAATGACATGGAGTGATATAAATGAGCACATTTTGGAAGAATTGCAGGATATACGCTTTTGGTCTCGGAGGAGAAGAAAAGCAACATTCTGGTGATATTCGAGGTCTGTGGCTATCGATGGGATTTTTGATTTTTTTGTTTGATGGAGTTGGGAGTTATATATGAGTAGGCACATTAGCTATATTAAAGGAATACAAATTCGAAAGTCAAAATGGTCTGGTTTAATTATAAGATGAGGTTATCGTCTTTGAAGACATAAAGAATCTTCGAACCTTAATATTGACTGCTTTCATCTAATCTACTCATTACATTTTACTGTTTAAATACGATTAGTATTTATATCTCAGCACAATATTAAGTTCATCTAGATTGCGTGATTACTAGGGATGAAGATGTATTTTAGAGGATGTAAAAGCTAGCTAGACCCCTCATTGGTTTCCCACGCTTTTCATGGGATCCACCCCCACCATGACCTTCTCCTTGGGATTTATTTTTATCCGTTCGTACCGCAAATCTAACAAACAAATAAATACAACCTACAACTACAAACTACATTCTGCTTCAAAATAAGTCAAGAGTTCAAGAGTTCAGGAGTTCAAAGGGTTCAAGAGTTCAAGAGTTCAAAGTTTGAATTCAAGGTCACAATTCGGATATCCAAGATGCTCATCACAGGAATCGCTCATGTAAACCTCACGGTACTGCCTGGCACTCTCCATCTAGCAAAGAAGTTTTACGATGAAGTGTTGGGATTTACATCGGTTCCGGTGCCGGTCTTACAAAAGGATCATCTTGCTTGGTATACACTCTTTCTTCCCCTTCCTTCTATCTCCTACAGTATTCCATAGCCCCCCTCAATTAACCTGTCCAATATCCACATCTTCCCCCATTCCACTAACCGTCCCCAAAAGGTTCGACATAACACCCCAAGGACAACAAATCCACATCTCGGACTCTGGATCCCCCTCAGAACCAAAATCTTCTCGCCATCCTTGTTTTAAGGTAGCGGGTCCAGAGGCTCTGATAGAGTTGCAGAAAAAGATTTGGACTTTTTATGAGAGTGAGGATGCTGGAGAGGCGAGACCGAGAGAGGCTGATAGGCCGGGAGAAGTTGATAGTGGTGAGTGTTTGATGTTTTTTTTTTTAATATAAAGGGGGATGTTGCTTTTGGCATGCGATGGCGAGAACGAGAGGCCGTGGAGTGGATTTTGGAATGGTTGATAGTGATTGTTCTTGTCTAGGAGCGAAGGGAGTGGAATACCCGATCAGGTTCTTCGCGAGGGATTTTGCTGGAAATAGGCTGGAGTTTAGTTTGTAGGAGGGATGATTGCAGTGAGTGTTTCCATTCTTTTTATATATAATCGACTTTAAATCCTGTCAAACGTCGTTACAGGCAGTTGTTACTGTATGATTCCCATTTTCTCGTCATGGTTGAATACCCATGACTTGTCTTGTCTTTGGAGTTTATGCAGAGATCTACATCATTCTCTTCTTTTATTATTCAATTCCCAGTAAATGATTTATGGACGGTGTAATTCTCTTATATCAACTACTTCTATCCCTTTGGTTATCGACTGATGTCACAATCTCAAGCCCTAACCACGCAATTGTACTAGAGACATTATTTCACACTATAACCAGAAATCGATCAGAGTCTTTTACCAAGTTCATTATGAAATAAAGGCGAGCGCTGGTGCTTAAGAGCAGAAAGGACGGGACCAGAAACTGGAACGGAATTGGAATTGGAGTTGGCCGGTCAGTCTATTTTTAAGACGCCGCAAAAGTTTGACCATCTTTATGGCCTGTGTTCTCCCAACCTGGGACAGACAACCAACGCAATGGGACTATTCTGAGGTCGAACAATCTTTTCGCTGTGGCACTGTTCTTGTGATATTTATAATGAATCTCTTGGTGTGCTGTAAAGATGTATGGAAGGAAGGAATAAACCAACCGCCAAGTGTGCTTGACAAACTCCCCAGTACGCAATAATTGAGAATTTGTACGAAAAGCTTTCTTATGCTTTTATTTATCTACTCATACATTCACTCTCTTATTACCTAGCATATGTTATCGTCTTTCATTACCCAATTCCCCTAAAATCATCATTCACAATCACCAACCACAATCCACCCCATTCATCACAACGCCACAACACCCCAGACCCCTCACAGCTAGAGTCTCCATTACCTACAGCCCTCTAGATACTCTAAGCATGCCCTCTCTCCCAGCACACCGCACATCCTCCCCCCTTAAACCCCGCATCCCCTCCTCCTCCGACTCAACCACCTTCGAAGTCCCCGCCTCCGACATAAAAGCCACCAAGAAACAAATCAACGCCTATGAAAAACTCATCAAAGATTTACCAGAGGACAGCAAGAAGAAATTGAAAAGGTTGCAAAAAGAACATGGGTTGACGAGGGATCAGCTGATTTTGGCCGCGTTGAAGGAGTGGGCGCCGCAGTATGTAGGCGCCTTTAAGATGGCGGAGTTTTTTGGGATTGTGAGGGTTTGATAGGGGTGGAGGGGGTTGATGGCATGGGGATGAGGGAGGAGGGAGGAGGGGGAGGGTTGATGATGGGATTGAAATGGCTGATGTATGAGTCTCTAGAGGCTGATTTGAAGATTTATATATAAGAATCTATTTATTTAAATTTCATCCCTATGATCCATATCCTCGAATTTGTGATCTCAAAGTAAGAATTATATTTCATAATTAATACAGCAACAAAAATAGCTAATAATTATAGAAAACATCATCGAGTCTTTAAAATATATACAACTGTACCTACCAACATACATATATATAAGATCTTGTAATCTTAGCAGAAATACCATTTCAGAATATCTCAATAAATTTAGAAAGGATATGACAATATAATACATACTTGAAAACTAACCAAATGGAAAAACGGGAGATTATAGTATTATACTAGAGATTCTATTGATTCTATAAAGCAGGATTTTGGTAATGTGTTTAGATGGGGGGAGTTAATGTTTAGGGGGTTAAATTGATTGATGATCGATTATTAATTTACTTATTTAATTATTTATCTCTATAAAAAAGAGAAATGAAACAAAGCCGCAAAGCAAAGTAAAATAGATCCGAATTCATATTAATAGACTCGATTTGTATCCAACTAGTAGAAATAGGCGTTTTAGAATACTGTCTGTGACTTACCTCGACGAAGATTTCTCGACCGTCGGCGTTGGTGAATAATTGCGTGTTCTTTCAAATGGCATATCCAGCAGGGGAGCCACGGATTCATTTTGCTGGAATATGTATGTAGAAGTTGTTGTATAATTGTAATATCTCATGATTGCGGAGTAGTTGATGGTCAGGGTATGAATAATATACTCGTATGTGCATTGACTATTGAGTGAGTATTGCTATTTGGCGAAAATAGGCTAAGAATCATTTCCCGATTCCTAGGTGAGGATTTTAAGAGCAAAAAGTAGAAAGCAAAAAGCAATAACAAGATAAACTAGAGTCGATTGATCTATCTTTTTATAATCCCCTAAATTGAACAGAAACCACAACACAAAAACAACCACCACCCCCACCAAGTCCAAATCTAAAACCTACTCCCACACCTTCTTCACCTCCTCTTCGCTCAACCTTCTAATATGAACTTTACTAGCCATATCCGGAATATTGTTGTATCCAAACGACCAATCCTTCAACCTATCCATCTCTTTCCAATCATAGTTCATGAGAAATTCAATCAACATGACTTTTTCAATCGCGAGGGCAACATGTCGACCTGGACATGCGTGACGACCTGATATCTCGTTAGTAATTATTCTGTTCCTCGAATCCATAGACAATTGATTCATCCTCTTGCTCATGGAATATACATTTGACGTCCGGAAGAAAAAACAAAGACAAGAAGAAATACCCAAACATACCATATCCGAAACTCATAAATTTCTCGCTAGGATTCGAGCCCGCGATACTCTCATCCCTGGTTCTAAAGCCATTGAACACCCCCGGATCATCATAATGCACATCATCCTGATGAATAGCCCAAGCTAATCCCTCAATCCTCTCCCCAAAAGGAATATGAATGATTTTTTCCCCATCCTCGCCTTTACTAACAAAATCCAGACCCTCCCTCCTCGCCACCTTTCTACTTCCCAATGTATAACCCAACGGATGTAATCTCTGACTTTCCCTCATAAACGCATCCAAACTCTTCAATTCCCCAAGACTCTCCCTATTCCACACCCCTCCAAATTTCTTCCATACATCTCTAATCTCCTTCCTCATAGGTTCCACATACAACTCCTTACGATGTCCAATAACATCATAAAGCACATGCGTAAACGTAAGCGTCGTCGTATCAACCGTCGCAAAAAAGAACCTACAAATCCTATTATGAACACCCCACACCAACTCCCCATCTCCCTTCCCCTCAAACCTTTTCTTCCCCCTCACATCCTCCACCAACATAGGCAACAAAACACCCCTCTCATAACTCTCACCCTTAACATCCCCCCCAACCAACGCCAGCACATCCCCGGTCACCCCGCTCTCAATAACAGCAACCTGCCTTGAAGTCCCCATCCACGGCGCCACAAACCGATGACACCACCTCGGTAACCTCCTGAGCAACATCCCGGAGAAAAAAATCCCCCTCGCAAACGTCGCCACATTATCCACCCACGCCTCATCACTTGAATATTTCTCTCCACATAAAATCCGACTCACGATGCGTGCAAGCGAAACATTAACATGTGCATACAAACAAGTACGAGTCCAGCCCTCCTGATCCTTTTCCGTTGAATGATGTTCCGGCGCGAAGTTTTGCCGAAAGGCAGTTGAGGTTTCTAAAAGGAGGAGCGGGATGATTTCGGGGATGGAGCGGGTTAGTTTGGTGATGAAGGGGATTAGGTCTTCGCTTTCGCCTGAGAGAAAGGGTCGGATTAGGAGGAACTATTTGTTGTTGATATGTATTAGTTTATTATGCTGAAAATCTGTAGACTTCTTACTGCAGTCCACGGATCGAATCGGATCGGATCAAATCAAATCAAATCAAATTGCATGATGGAAAAATCATCAATCATCAATCATCACATCGTGTCAAAACTGTGAGGATATAGAATCAACCAACAAAACCAAAAAGGAAGAAAGAAAGAACATAACCTTACATCTTCATTCGCCTCATAAGGATCCAAATCCGTCGTCCCCATCTTCCCCGCCTGCGCAAAAACCGAAGTAGGCAACGCCCACTGAGGACCCAAAGCCCCATTCATACGAAAAGCCTTTCCATTTTTCGAATACTATTTATTTGTTTATTTCAATTAGCCACCAATAAATATCACAGTATGTATAGTAAGATATTTCCACACGGAGTATATACTGTAGTATATCCCCTCGCAAGAAATTATTCCCCAAAAACACCATTCCAAACAATAAATATCCTTCATCAACCCCTCCCCCCCGAAAACATCTTCCTCACTCACTCACTCACCTTCCGATAAGCATCAACCAAAAGTTCTTTTCCCGACAAACCCCTGCACGTCAAAATCTCCCACCACGAATTCCCTATAAGCGGAACATCTGAATTCTTACAGCGCTGCAAGCGCAGATATGATATGAGCTGAGAAGATAGTGCCCAAGTGATGCAGACGATAATGAGCGAGGAAGAGAGGGAGAGGAATTCCATTGTTAGGATTTTAGAAAATATTGCTGGACTGGTGGATTGCTGGTTCTTGGGGATTGGGATTGAGATTGAGATGACAAGTTGCAGGACGGATTTCGTGAATTCATGGAAGTGAAATATATCAGCTGTTAATATATACTATGTAAGATTACCTAGGTATGTACTATATATAATTGAGGTTCCACGTACTCCGCACCAACAGTTATATCCTATCTATTTTCCGAGTATCCGTGTGTTATTCATTCACGATGATTTCCACAGTCTTGGTATGGAGCCGCGGTACATCGCTTAGAGATTCGGATCTAGATGCGAAAAGAATAAGTCACTGGCGGATTTGCACGGAGTAAAATTAACACCACTTCGAAAATCCACATTTCAAATGGGGATGTCAAAGATCTGTTTGTAAAGTCTCTAAGCTTCTCTAAGCTTGATTGGCCCTAAAAGTTCAAGCTTGAAAAAAACTCATCCATATATACCAGGATTTAATTTTATCCCCACTAGAAAGTGTACAAGCGATGTCTGATATGCCCCCTGATTCTCTGTAACCGACCTCTCTTTAACCGACCCTGTATCGCCCCAAGAACGCCATTTGCAGTATCTAAAACCGCAAACCAATCCATTGATACAGCCATACACCAATCCCATCCTCGCCCCAACATTCGCCGAATAATACCTTGCCCTTCACGTATGAACCCACATTTGGGCAATATTCTAAAATTCCTTGAAACAATCGTCCCATTTTGCCGCGAGCTCCTCTGTGTATGGTTCTCTTCCTTCTTTTTCATCGGGATACAAATCGAAATTTTGAGCATCGCCTGGATATCTCAAAGGGGGTATAATAGGACCACGGTATTTCCTGTAGTATACATCTTCCCAGATCACCCCCTGAAAAAATGGATGATCTTTAACTCGTGCTGCGCCACCAGATATATTTCCGAGACGATGTGATCGATCGACTGTGCAAAATTGGCGAATGATATCTTTCGCGGCAGATGAGATAGCAGGTTCCGCGGGGAAAGAGACTGGCTTGCTAACAATTCTAGCCGGATCTTGTGTTAGATGATGTCTAAATTGATGAGAGAAAATAGGGAAACGATAGTGAGATACGTACTGCTTGTAAATCTCTATCGGGTTCGAGTGCCAAAAGGGTGGATATCCCGTCAAGAATTCGTAAATCAATATACCCAAAGCCCACCAGTCGACGGCTGTTGTATGGCCTTTCGATTGAATAACCTCTGGCGCAAGGTACTCTGGTGTACCACACAAGGTATATGTTTCCCCTTCATTATTGTTAATAAACGGCCGGCACAGTCCTCAAATGAACGCAGCTTACTGTTTCCCAAACGTTTTGCAAATCCAAAATCAACCAGTTTTATATGTCCCTCAGCGTCCAATAACAGATTCTCTGGTTTCATATCTCTATATGCAACGCCCTCCCGCTCATGTAAAAATTCAAGGATCAAAACTATTTCGGCGGCGTAAAATCGTGCTGTGTTCTCGTCGAATCGTTTGGCTTTTCGTAAATAAGAAAATACTTCACCTCCAGGGCAGTAGTCAAGCTTAGTAGAAACAAAAGTTAGTTCAATACTTAAGACAAAAAGCCCCGGGGGGGTCTGATTGATAATTGACAATGAGATAGAAGGTTTTGGGAGGACCTGATTAACTTACTAGCATATACAATGAATCGTGATCAGCAAAAGAAGTAATTAATGTAGTAATGAAAGGATGCCCAGCAACATCTGCAAGAACTGAACGCTCATGATTGACATGATCAACCTGTTTAAGTTTGATGACTAGACAATGTCAGTAAATGGAATCGGCTCCATTTTTACAGCTTGACACTACCTTCGACTTTCCGTAAGACCTTCAACGCGAAGACCTTATCGCGATCCTCTTCTGCGGGGTTCGCAAGACGTGCAAGCCAGCTACACGGTATAAAATCAGAAATATTCAAGCGAGGTCATTAGGGTGAATATCGTACACGCGAGCGAATGTGCCTATTCAAGCAAAATCAATTAGCATACTTTATGCAGGCTCCGTCATTAAGCTACACAGCACAACACATATCATCTGCAGGGAAACTTTACCAGTTCCTAACGTTCTCACTAATTCAAAATCTCGCACACTCAAGCTCCCCGAACTTGCTCCCAATTCTTTATCCCTTGAATTTTGCTGGATCTCTTTCGGGTGGAAAACATGCTGCTTCTGGTTGAAATGAGCCACGAATTGTCTTTCTTCAGCCGCAGCCGCTGTGGTTTCAGCCATTCTGAGCGAGGGTGCTAGGAGAAGAATGTCGTTGCGCCTCTTATTGAGAACTTCCTTCGCGGGCTTACTAGAAGCAACTGACTACAGTAGCCATACGGTTGTCGCGAACCTTGAGATACTTGTTTCCGAGAGCGACGGTGGGGCCAGTGCTGAGAGGAAATTCCTATGGATATACCAACACTTTGTATTATGCGACGACCTGGGACCGAGGTTTGCGATCGACAACAGTATTTCGAGCAAGTACCAGTAGGTGCAGAATAGTCCGTATGTTCTTTGTGTAGCAATTGAAAGGTTAAATCCAGCTCCCCAGTTCCGTACCTGATCAATCGATTTTTGTGGAGGGACCCTTCAGGTACAATTTTGATCTATGGTGAAATTTGAGGAATGTGATGGAGTGTAGTGTCTTGCCTTAGTTTCGCGCTCTCGCTCTCTCTCTCCCTAACTGTGCCTAGAATACACTTTGGATAGTGGGGGTTATCATGACGTTTTAGTTGGGCTGGGTTAATAGTTTCATCCGATAAAAGCCTAGATTTACCGTAAACCGGTTGAGAAGATCATCATAGTAAAATGAATGAGTCTATCTTTTTATTCGAATTCCATTGATGATATTTTTCTCATGATATTTCCCTAGTATGTATAACAAAAAAATGATGCTATTCCCATCATGTCTTAATCGTCCGGTTTGCCATTTCTCAATTAGCAAGAATAAAGAAATGCTTTGAATTGGTGTCTCAACGAAATCTCCTCGATCGATGATGAATCCTGGAAAAGATTCGTCATACACGTGATCAAAATTCACATCTCAGATCGATTACTCATCACACCCGTTCAATCCCAAATTAGAAATGTTAATAACAGGCATAAAGAATTTTACATTTCTTTTTTATAGATATGTTGATATATATATAAACATCTAATATATAGATCATAGATATATTTCAAGGTATTTTGCCGCAGAAATCATGATCATGTATCTACTCAAGTATAATTCCCTCTGCGTTGTCTTCTCTTGTGCCTCAAAACTGGTATTTCGACATGCAGTCATCCAATACTTTCTTCCTACCGCGACGCAGCGAATTCTAACGTGGACAGAGAGATAGTTTTTGAAATATCTGCCTCCACAGTATTTCGTAACGCTTTATGAAGTTAACGGCATCCCTCATCGACTATCAATATCATTATAGCGATCAGGTATTTTACCTTCTACTTTCACATCTACAGCCGCAATCTAGAGAGGTGATGGAATCATTTGGATGTGATGTGATACCAATATCTTGGGCAAGCCATCTTAACGATGGAATCGCGTTACATCATTGTCTAGCAGCTCCTATTGGACGAGACTGCGAGCATGCAAAATGGCGCGCCAAGACTTTAAAAAGCCGAAGGGCATTTCTGGGCGAAGATTTGGGTTTTACCATGATCATTGTTTGATTGCCCTCCAGTTTCGCGTTAACAAACTTTGTGATTGCCACGCCTGCCACTTCCATATACTGTCCCTTGAACTTCTAAGATGAATTAATGTTAGCATGGAAGGATCCCGTGGCACTTTTGTACCGTTAATATCGAAGGATGGATTTCAAGTATGTTAAAATAAGAATCGAGTCTAATACGATACGGATATTGGGGTCGCGGCCAACCCTCACAAAGGCCGCTAAAGCGGGTCTTCCAAGAGGGGGACGCATTCTGGTTCCTTTCGCGGCAAAACCTTCTTTGAATGAATGTGCAAAAAAAAAAAACAGGGGGAACACCGCCGTTGCATAAGGCTGAAGTGAGCCATGTATGTAATAGTTTACCTATTGGAGGATCATATGGCCCTAAAGTGACGACTTTTTGTGGCCGACCATTGTGACATAAGGATTTTTGTTGTTCAGTAAGTGGAAGGATACAGTAAAACAATCATGATGCACATCGCTATAAATGAACGATATGATCAGGCGGAGCCGAGTATCTGGACAGTCAGGAACAGTGTTCTCACCTGTAAATAAGATTCACACATTGAAATAGTGTTTAACCGACAAGAATAATTTGCTGCGGGGTTCGAGGGTTGAAGTAGGAGGCGCATTGTAGGGGAATAGTCGGAGACGTACCGGAAGTAGGGTGGTGCTAAAGGCTTTATCCAAGCACAACAATTCCATTATGATGATATCGTACATTTCGAATGTAGATAAATTGCATTTGGACAATGCCATTGGAGAGAGCCTCGTAAGAGCCGCAACACGTGGTTGTGTGCTGGCGAAGTGAAACATACATAGAGCTACCCCACCTCCATAAATCTCTGTGCCAATACCATCATTAATTAACATGCTGTACTACCAAAGTCCTTGACATTAGATGAAGCGTTCTTTACTAAATTATCTCACCGTATACGGGGCTTAAAAGCTGAATATGCCCTATAACGCTCACACGCCATAATTTGCCCTCAGCCAGCCACGCTTTGCAAGGTGGAATTTTTGCCCATTTTCGGTGTATCTAATCATACTAGTGATGTCTTGGAGAATGCCTGTATGCCCTTGACATAGAAATAATGACCAATTCAAACGTGTATATGTCAGCATAAGGAGAGTCAGACCCTTGCTCCTCAGTATTGATTCGGTTCTTCCACCAAAGCTCCAGTGAAACGTGAAACTGAGGTAATACATCTGAGGACACCTTCATGAAAGCCCAATGTAGAGCATGCAGAAGTGGATGGGAAACTAAGTGAAGGCATCTGTCTCACACGCAGCGGAAGTTTCATATCCACTGCTGGCATTCCTTTCACAGGGGAGGGTAACCTTGCAGAACACCTACAGGTGGGCTATATGTGCCTCGGTGGATCAGGGCAATAGATGAATTGCACTGTGTGGTTTCATATGTGCAGACTCTGGAGACACCGAAGAGGTAGTATGAAGCCTTGCTACCAAATGATTGGACTACTGGTCTTGTTTGTATTCTATCGTTGAACCAAAGAAGTAACGTAAGCATTACCTAAACTTTTATGAAAGAAGAAAGAGATGGATTGGCCTTTCTCTCTTCATGCGGCCCAACTTAGGCACCATTAGAACAGTATTAAAAAAAAGATCGAAAGTGTGATCCATCAGCACCTGAATCCTTGTCCTTTCTCGCCAGACCCTTCCCAACCCAACAATCCAAACAAGGACGCTGAAGTCTAATATGCGAAAATGACCATCAATTGTGAACCAAAGGTGATATCATATGTAACACGCAGCGCTACGCAAACAACCAAAACAAATCCATGCGCAAGTATCACGGCGGATGAGAAAACGAGAGGGGTTAAAACCAATATAAGCGCTACCATCTCACCGAGCAACACCCCTCCACTAGGAATCCCTCTCCTCAGAATCCGCACAAACTTTATCGAGATGCGGGGATGTATTACCTGCATTCGCATTAGGTTCCAATTCTTTCTACAAGGGACTCCATGAGTTCAGAATATTACGTTCCCTCTCGTATTTTACTCATTCAGTGGTACAATTCGCACAGATTCCATATCCACAGATCGTACTGTGCATATGCGTACAGTGCATGTGAAAAACAGCCGTCAAAGTCCCATCGCCATTCAAACCGCAGAACCAAACCCCATGATATATGTATGTACAGTGGCTCGCTTGCGGAGTTTTCGCCACGTTTCATGCCATGGTTGTGTTCCCGTGACTGCAATTTCTGTTGTGAGTAATTGTGTATGACTTAATCCATGGCCAGTCTGCCATGAAGGTGATATGCGCACGATTATGAAGACACTTTTACTGGCGAGTAAAAGTAATTGATAATTCATTGTAAAAGAGAGATGTGCTCGAATTGTTAAACGAGAGAGGTGTCAAGAGGTTAAGATAACCGTGGGCCGTATGAAGCAAAGTTGAATATTTGAAGAGTGGTAATTATTGTTCAACGGACAGGTTTTGGAGCTTCTGAAATCCTCAAATCCTTTTGACGGTCTCCTGAAACAAATGTTTAGGTAGCTATTTGACAACAAAAAGCCGCCCTTTTCAGCCCGGGAAAAGACCCTGTTATTCCATTGTGTGGGAGATATTCCCTCAGAGCTGTCCGGGCATGATGGATGGCAGGTGGAAATCCTCCTAGATAAATGGGAATATTGATTATTGTTCCATTCTACCCTCCAAAATAGCGCGATTGGGATGGCCGTGATACTTTGAAAGAAGAACGCATGTTCTTAAATGATCTTACCGGGCATGTACACCCAGGAATATGACGAGGCAGATGAAAATTCTGTAATAGACCAGCTTTCAAGGCTGTGGATGAATTTGCTTGGAATCCATTCCTTTTGACTCGGTGCCCATGAGGAGAAAATCCTCATGGTACGGTCACTCGGAATCATACTAACAAAGCCGAAACGACTCCCGTTACATAGTGAGATTTTGTGTACGAAGATATAAAGAGACATAGCTCTGTCATGAAAGAACTAAGCTTATCAAGACATAGTTGCGAAAGGTATACACCGGGAAAAAGATGAAAAAGCGATGCATGCAACTTAAGCTACTATCGATGCCATTGCATGATGATGCACCGTGGTCATCAAGCAATCTTTTATAGAAACGACATGGGCTTGCATGGAGATATATGTAAACAAAAGTCCAGATTTTGTTTGGGTCTATGATATGAAATATGAAACCTTGAAAGAAAGCTCTACATGAAAAACGAATGAAGCAACGCTGTAAAACCTATAATCCAATCTAATGCCACATTTCCATGAATGCCATAAACTCTCCACACAAAACAATTTAACACGAATGTACCTCGAACCTCCTCAATGCGTTTTATCCAATGCCAGCACTAAATCCCCAGATACGCCTCACATGCAGTGGGCCAAAACAGACGAAATTATCGAAGGACTTTGTCGACTAGACGGTACGTTAGAACTAAAATGAAACTTCAATAGATATTGACATACTCAGCCATAGTAGTGGGATCTGATTTTGACGCATTGCACAGGACAAGAATCACACCGCGCATGTCCACAATCTGGTTCTGGGCAGTTCGGAATTGCCGTGGTCATCCCCGATGACCGATAGTTGCCCCTAGCATCACGGCACAAACAACAAGACCACACGCATACACCAGCTTTTGGAGCTGATTGAGCAGGCATTTCGAAGGCAAAAGGTCGGTTGATGAGAGAGAGAAGGGGAAAGGAGGTAATAGTCTGGCAAGGCAGATGAGAGGCAATTGCTCTATCTTCGAATGTGAGATTTTGGAAGGTTCTGAGGGTGGTTGTTAAATGAGACGCAGAGTGATGATACTGTAGAGAAAAGGCCAGGCGGAGGAGGTATTATTATCTATTTATGTAGAACAATACCTAGCCCAAAAGTCTTCACCGAAGCTCTCGGTGTGCCGGGCCATTGAACTCATGTTCAAAATAGTAGGCTTAGCAGTTTTAGAGCCCAGCAGCTAAGTCACAGAGAATGGTCACCTTTCCGATCCACGGTGAGCTGGAAAGAGATGGGATCCGTTCTGCAAAAATTCTCATACGCTTGCCATTTGTGTGGTGGACCAATATAGGAGAATCTTGCTATGATGGGGACGAGTCTTGCTGGAGGCGCAGAAGGAGGGCTTCTCGTCTCCCCGCAGTTCTCGGTGAGTCGTAGGCCCTTACTGCACGGTTACCTAGATACTTCGAAGGATATGACGCTTCATTCTCTATAAAATGCTCGGGAGAATAAGGCAGGAATAAAAACTAGTAAGTAGCGGCCATGTCCGAAAAGGAGCTTTCATTTCCTGTCCATGAAATCAGGGCCCGAATAGATTAACACTCAAATGGAGTGTGTGATTAATCAACAAAGCTGCAGCAGGGTTGTACCTGCATTAGCTCATATTCCATGTCCGCCCACAGAGCCCTATTTAGGCATGAGGCTCAAAAAGCGGGCCATGCTAGCGCACATGTGCTCGCTTAGTGCCTAGGGCGGACTTTTCCCTAGGCAGTCTAAATCCAAGCTCGGTGAAAAATAACTTCTGTTTGAAATGTTAAACATTCGCGAATAAGCCCTTTCTTTTTTAAAACAAAGACTAGAAACTAGGCAATGGAGAGTTAAAGATATTGAACTGAGCTAAGAATAACCACCGCCAAAAAATTGAAGACGAAGTTTTGATGTTGTGTACATGTATGATCATTCGCGCTCGATATAATCACCCGCGCAGTGGAGTTATAGTCATTGCTAGTCGATATCATGGTCCTCTCATATAGAATAACCGTTGCTAATATGCCGGGACTGATTGCAGAAGGGCTGTCCACACGTAGCCTCGACCGGTCGCCATGTATACACAGAAGTAACGGCCGCTAATTTCTCGGCAATCCAATTGAGAATGTAGCGCCAATCACGGCCCTATCGTGGCTGCAAAGCATCTCTTGATACGGATGATGAGTCGAGAATCGCAAATGCCTAGGATGTTTAGGACCGAGTGAAGCCAAGCACAATAAATGAGATTGGGGTCAAAGAGCAAGACAATGGAGATGGTGTTTAGATAGATGTGGAAGCTTTAAGGTTCAGGTTTCCTTACAGTTAGATTCGGGATATTTGACCGACTCCAATGAACGTGTAGAATAACCCGATGAGGTTCGAGTTATTAGTGCGATCAAAACACAGATTTGACCCTTCGGTCACGGCCTGTAGTATTCCAGCCCCTCAGGACAGGACGCTCTAGATAGAAGTGCTATTATTGAGGAAGCTTTTGAAGCACAAAAAAAAAGTAGAAACGAGCCAAAATCAGTCAGCAGCATAGCTTCAAGATGCGTCATTTCATGGATCTGACATGGGGTAGAGTAGCCGCGGATAACTCCAATGGCACAATCAAGGCTAGAGCTATTTGAATGAGCTACATTCTTATTGTTATCAAATCACTAAAAGGAGGTAGAGCCAGTATTGCTGGTAGGAACTATACGCAGTTAGTGAGGACACAGACGGATGTCCCATCGAGCATGATGGATGGGTACAAGCAATACTTTATATTCGATGGTACAGATCATAGGTAACCATAGAAGAGTACAGGCTTCAGAGTATAATTTAGAAGATTCAAATCTTCTTGTGCGGGAAACAAAATCGTAGTGAATTCTCGAGATGGTTGAAGGAAATGGGGCAGCCCACTGTCTAATATACGCGGTAAGACTCGGCCATGAAATCAATTTATGTACTTCAAACGAGACACGAATTGCCAACAGTGTGTTGGAGAAGCGACAACTGCCGCAGGGAATGTTCTAATGCTTGCCTCGATTCTGTTCAAGACATCCTCAGATGTCAAGAGCCTCAAATCTTCTCACATCCGTTATATAAGGATTGTAAACTGTTTGCAGCTCAACCCTACTGCGCAGCCTCATCGGTACTCACAAAATGTTGCCGTCCCCCTCCTAGTGTGTGTTATCCATGTTCATGTGGCTCTTGTCATCGGGTAAAGTCAGGGATTTGAGTATAAAAAGGTGTGGAGGAAGGTCACTTCAGGATGAAACCAAGACGGATTTGCTCACGCGTGTCAATTGCTGATTGAGTACGCCCGGATGAGCTAACAACACAACTGTAACGAGGAATATTTAATACATGTGTACCTTTTACTTCGCCCAAGGCGTTTGACCCCATTTCAGTAAGATATTTGCTGCCAACATGAAGTGAGTTGAAGCTAGTCTGATGCCTCAAGGCTCAATTTGATGGCTGCAGCCAACGATGATTGTACTACCAAGGCACCTAGGATAGGATGAATGACAGAATTCGAGAGATGCTCCGTTCCAGGCAACTTTGTGGAGATTGAAGCGAACATCCACCTACCTAAGACCCATTTTCCAGTCTTTGGATACGGCGATTTAAAAAAGAGTTCTATGTAAGCTTATAAGGGCAATGGAGAAGTTAGAGTTGACAGGTCAGCTTTGGAGCGGCAACTATAGGACTCAGTCGACTAAAAGGCTTTGCGTGCAGATGTGATTACGTAGAGATTTTAGAATCACAATTGATGCATAATTCACGTGATTCTCGGGTCAAATTAAGGTTAGTGAAAATAAGGTTACCAAGTTTAAATCGCTTTAATACACAAGTGGATCAATCTAATGTCAATTCGTTCAAAAGCGACAACCTGCAATCTCTCAATGTTGGAAATCAGAATCTTGGAAACATTTATTTAAATCATCAATTCTCATCCTCATTCCTCAATCCTCAATCTTTATATCATTCTGTAATTTGAAGATCCATAAACACATTACATGATCCAAAATTATCTCCACTTTTCTGTACTTTGTACCTTACCATGAAAGAGATGTTTGCTTCTTCAATATCAATAAGAGTTACGATACCTTCGCTGATATACATACTTAAATACTGGTTGTAATGAATTGTTATTGCAGGTTCGGACATAGCTCTTCCCATTGGCACTCGTGCCAACGACTGTTTATTCATGTTGCACAGCGATGTCGAACGCAATAGGCGTGCCGCGAATATATGGACTGCGCGGTTTATACCTTTCGTACTCGCCGGCGTGGTTGGATATTCAACATATGTTATAGTCGCCATTCTTTGTGGTAAGAAGCAGAAATTGCGATCTAGACTCATATCACGGCTTGCTAACATGTCGCTGTTCAGTGAATTACCTTTTGGTCGAACAGAAAAATACGAAAGCCGCAGTGCCTATACTTGTTATACATTTTTTGTTGTTCATCCTCATGGGCTGGTCTTTTTTTCGAGTGGCGTATATGACGACTTTCGATCCTCCCTATGCACCACTGGGACTTGGCGCTGCAAGAGTTCAGTCTCGAAAGAAACGAAAAGATGATGATATTGGTGGAGAAGAATACACTTCAGGGAATCTTCATGCCTCCAAAGATGACCCAGATTCTCCTGGTCTCGAATTATTTTACACAAAAGATGTCTTTTGCGCGGAAAGAGATGGAAAACCTAGATGGTGTTCTGAGTGTTGCATATGGAAATTGGATCGCCAGCATCACTGTAGTGTGGTGGGAAGATGTATATACAAAATGGATCATTACTGCCCGTGGTATGTCCACTGCCGTTCCTCGCATTCTTGTGGCTAACAAAGTTTAGGGTAGGAGGTCCTATTGGCGAGAATAATTTCAAGTTTTTCATCCAATTTGTTGGATACGCTGCGTTGTTTTGTATAAATACCCTTGTGGTGATGGCAATATACATTAATCAGCAGCGTGGCACTCAGGTATGACTGATTTCCACACATTCTTTTGTCAACACTGTTCGAAGACCCTTGATAGAATTGACGATTTTTTTCCTCACTATTCTCTTCGGCGGCGGTAGAGATAAAAAATGGGATTTCGCTAACATAGACTGATTTTGTCATCAGGGCATTCCTGTCAACCATCAGTTCATTGCCGTTCTCGCATTGTAAGCCAATAGTCATCTTGACGAAATTGTTGCTGACCATAAGTATACAGAGCTGCCTTCTTTGGCTTATTCACTGGGACGATGTTCAGTACATCCGCGAGACTGGCTGTTGACAACTTGACACAAGTCGAAGACATCAGTAGATTCGGAAAGATCCATAGACTAGCAATACTAAAGCCCTCGCCTCAAAGATTGGCTGAAATCAGTGTGACGGCCGCCACGACACAAACATATTCCGAGATCTCGTATCCCTTGGATATTCCACCTCCCTTGGACGGCACTCAGATAAATCGGCCGTACGTGAAGACTATCAGGCACGACCGGTTATCCGAACCAATTACATCCCAGGACGCAAGACGAATGGCCGGCCTTACAGAAATCCCTATCAGTGCAGCAATAGATTCAGCGCATGAGAATTTCAATGTCGGAGACTCGCGATCAGAATCAATAGACATCATTATTGATAATTCATCAAGTACTTTTCCACCATCGCAGAATACCGAAACATCGACGATTGGCGAGCTCCAACCACACATAGAAAATTCTGGACAACTAAGTAGAGACCAAAAAGCTGTGCGCACCTTTGCAATACTTGAAATGTCTCCCGGAGATAATCCTTGGGATCTTGGATCTGCTCTATTAAATTGGAAGTCAGTCATGGGAGAACATTTTATTGACTGGTTTCTCCCCATAAAGAGAAGTCCTTGTTGTAACCACGAAAATACAGAAAGTCAATTCTCGATTGGTCCGTCTGTGGATCGCCTTCGAGCGTCAGTCTGTTTCATTCCACCTAACGAGGTACGTCCCGAAAGACGTCGGCGGCGAATTAAGCAGAAGCAACTTGGGAAAGGCCAAACCAATCTGCCTGGGCGACCTTATAGCCCGAAATATGAAGACGTTGGACGAAACACGGATGAAACAGAACTACGAGACCTCCGCTCCCGTAATCCTCGACATAAATAGCCTAGACTCATATACACTTGATAAGCTTAAAGAAGGCACTGGCATGAAGCGGAGATGTGCTTTGAAACCAGCACTTGCATTATATGGGATCGGCGTTGGATGGATTTCCATACCAGTATATAGAATCACTACCTACATGTAATCATTAATGTAATTTGAGGTTAAAAAAAGGTATTCCAACACAGGGCGATATCGTCAAGCTTGTTGAGTCTCGAGAGTATTTAAGCTATATACCCTCACCCCAGTTCATTGTATCCACCATCTATAATCTTGGGCATTGCGATCACAGCTGTTCAATGATTCTAACTCTAGCGGATTCCCATGTTGTCGAGACAGCTCTTGTTGATTGTCGACTTATGCGAAGGTATCACAGTATGCATTTTTTCGCCTTCGCCTTCACTGGTTTGTTAGTATACTAGCAGGAGGTATGGATCGAAAAGCTTACCTCTCGCATGCGTCACAGACCCTAACACCGATATTAATATATGACTAGCTTAGTCCCATTTTTAAGAAGCTGGATTTCGTACAATGAGAATATGTTTTACGGAGGCCCAACTGGTCCATGCCCCATCCTGTCTTGTCTGACAACCGAGGACGTCGATTGAATGCTGCAGAATCTGTATAGGGATTCTGCTGAAGGTTGACTCTATTAGCACAAGATCCTGCTCTGTGTCAATATGCGTTCGAGCCCACGATTTTCGACGGAATTCCAACGGATGCTTTGCTTCGGGCACCCGGACGTACGGCGACCAAGATATTAGAGCTTCCAAAGCTTGCGACGACAGGACACCATCCACAGTCCCCAAGTGCTCTCAGTAGGCAGTTTTTGGATACTCGATATAGCACAAACTTCGTTAACATTGAGGCTGAATTGAATTCAAAACGTGGTGCATAGTTCAACCGCCAGACCTTTCAGCAACTTTTCATTGGGCTTGCCAATGTTGAGATATGGTCGAGTTTGATTACTGAACAGGCAGAAACTTGTTAGGAGTAGATTTCCACCTAATATGCCATGAAGAGACAGGTGTTGTTCTGATGTATAAAGTTTAAGAGTACGCTGGAGGGTATGAATCGACTACAATCCAACTATAGCTGCTATCGCAGCTCGCTCCCAGACGTAGATCTTTGGGCTAATATGACAGCAGTAAACACATCAACTCTCGAGCACGATACTTTCAATTACATAAAAAAATGGAATATGCAGGATAAAGGAAGAAATGATTCTTAATGCCTCTAAGCAAATCCTTCCACGCCAACTATCTATTCGACCCCTATAACCAGCTCCAATGGAAAACCCAGTGTCGGTAAAGAACGAAGAGAAGCAAAATATTTAAAGAGAACTCCTATGCCTGATGAAATAGCACATCTCAAAAAGAAAAAAACTCCATCCGCAGTCGTTGCATCATACAAGTCACTTCCCTCCCCCTACAACTCTGGATCACATCATTCCTATCAATTAATCATTTCCGATACAGATTCCTTGGACTAGCATATTCGATGATATGATGCATCTATTTCTATCCTTGTTGTCAAGGGATAGAACAAGAGGTACAATAGGAGTGCGCGCAATCCTACAGCACCAGCCCCACATACTGGAGTCGATTTCCCGCAGGCATGGACATTGGCAGTATATCCACCATCCGTCCATGCTGGGATTATTTGTTGCTGTGTATGCAGACATTGTGAATCGGGACTATCAGTATGTATCTCGGTGATGGGAGTTGCCTCAAGAGTCAAATACCTCAAGTCTTGATTATTTCCTTGTTGGCAAATTTCACTCTTTTTCATGAGCAGTGAACAAATTCTTTGGCTGTGAGAGGTTGATGTATCGAGAGGTCGGCTGCATCTTAATTTTGTCTTCTGGAGTTTGAGAAGTAGTGATTTAGATTTAAATCATTTCGAGGAACGAGCGCGGTTAATTACTTCGAAGAATCGCTGCTCTAGAGACTAAGCAATAATGTTTACCTTTCTGACGCCCCCATCGTGATGTTCCAACGTCTCACCCGGGCATGACCGGTTCTCAAAGCATCCGTCATTTGTAGTGACTAGCCCTGTGATTCTACCAAATCATTGCTAAAAAGAAAGTGGCACAGCTACTGTCAATATAGAGTCTTCTTTGTGGTCTGTTGCGACGAAGCATTAAAAGTTCGCGGATACGTCGTTGAGCTTTGTCTGGGAAATATCATTCTTTCAGATACCTCTGGGAGCCAATCTATCGGAAGCAGGTATGTCCTACTGGCTCGCGTGGCACCGAAATACTCCTGGCGTACGGCTTCGATGAAACGACACCATTCTCGAAGCTACTTGGAAACTCATCAAACAATCAAGCGGTGAAGAATGAGCATTCGCAATGCCCCAAAAAGTTTGCGTGGGATTTGGGTCGAAAGGAAGGTTTAGTAAATCCCGAAGCACATTAATTACGGGAATCCATTTGAAGGAATCTTTTGTCTGGAACTTTGTCAATACGTTTGGATATGACACAATAGCCTTGCCCTGACTGCATCATCACGCCGTATCAGGTAGCATTGCTTTTTTCTGCCATGCCATCCTCTAGAAGCCGCCCTTAAGCTGCAAGTATCTTGAGAGATGAGTACATGGATTGTGCAACTATACTGGTTATACTTAACATAAGCATGACAACAACAGTAGCATTCAAGGTTTTCTGCTTTGGAGTAATCTCAATTCACGTCACAGCTGCCAGATTGATGCCATACCTATGATGGCAGGCATAGTAGGTCGCAGGAAACTCAAAACTAACTGATCTCTGATGAAGATTGTGAAACCACTCATACCAATAAGTTTGATGGTGTTCAGGTTGTCTTCCATGACTATGAATGGAGGATCCAAATGAAATTTTCAGTTGATTCATCTTTAGCCCAACTCTCCCAAAGACTTTTTCTACCTATGTCTTAATACAAATAGAGCCTCATTCCACAGGGAATTTGATAGCGTAACCATCATTACAATCAGTCTATTCCTTATAGTTCTTCTCCAAGAACACCTATCACAGCCTAGAGGTCTGGCTTTAGTCTTTATCATACACACTATCATGTAGTATGAGCGTGCTGAGATCAGATTTCCCCTGCTGGCTACATCTTCTTCTCGTCCCTAGTTCTCTTTCCATAACATTCGTCCTCTCAGAGAATCTCATCAACATTGAAATGCTAAAAAGTAATATCCCGATCGATGTTACTTCTTGTTTCCAGTTGACTTCCCTTCCAATCCATCAAGCCCGTCTCCAATAGTTCGGATATGTCCTTTCAAGGTACCTTCCGACTGCATGTCGTTAGTTGGCGCAACGCCGTAGATCCTAACTCAAAAGCGCCGAAACTCTAGAAAGAATGCATGAAGATTCAAATTAGCTAAGATTGCCATTGGCCCATGAACTCCTGATCTCCTTGAAGTTAATCATTCCCTAATCACCAAAGCTCTTTAGAACCGGCTGTCAAAAGGAGATTGAGAATATAAACTTGGACTTAATGTGCTTGACTGTCAAGGAAGGTACACCAGCCCATGGTTACATGAGAACTTGTTTATTCACGAATGCTGAGCTGATAATTAGCCTAAATCTTCCTCTTTATTGGATGATGGGTATCCTCTTATTCTCCCTGGCCCTGGGTAGCCCATCCCGAATGCAGTGTAACTTATCAATAAGAAAGAACATACCATTCTTGCTCCATGAACCTCAGAAATTTCAACCATATGCGACCTCGATGTGTACGTGCTACGCAATACAACAATTCACAAGGTAGGTTAGTAAGATTTAGAGCAAAAAGAGCACAGGATCTGGTGGAAACGACATAATTATTGATACGGCCAGCTGAATTAAACAATTAAAATAGAGGTTTCTGTAACTACAAAATGTATAAATAAATATGAGCTTCGCAATAAGGTGGTTTTACAGTTGTACCAACCTATGCTATGACTTCAGTGTTTTCCGAGGCTTCGTGGTTGAGGCGCGGTACATCGGGCAATCACGTCTCCCATTACAAAAAAGCAAACTCCAACGCGTCCTTATCAATCAGGATCGCATTTGTGCTCTCTATTGATACCTTCGGCATATATGAGCACAAGATATTGAAGATCAACTTCTCCTTCATAGGACCGTTTGCTTGACAGTTACAGTCAATTTATTCAACAAGCAATTGAGCTGAATTGCTCTACTTCGTACCCAAGGTAGGACTCGAATCATTTCACCATACTTGCGACGGCGAAGCTACATCTTGATACTGGAATCCAAATGGAATATCGCTCTCGAAATCCGAATAGTTTCTTGGCGGACGCTACTTCATTCTTCGGATTCGAACTGAATATTCAAAATACGGTGTGCAATTGCTTCATGACATCGAAACTAATTATTCGGATCCTTTAGACAAACTATGACAAGAGAGTAGCAATCTACAGCACACAAATATTTTTATCGTGAAGGAAACCTGAAGCCATGTCTTCTTCGCAACCCTTCATGCAGTCCTCCCCTCTTCAGGCCTCACCGTCGCGCCGCAAGAAGAGTCGGTTTACATATAGACAGCTTGCACAGTTAGCTGTTTCTGCTACATCATGCCCTCTGAGAGTGATCGCACATCTTGACCTTGATGCATTTTATGCACAGGTTGAGATGGTAAGGTTAGGAATTGGGGAGGAAAAACCGTTAGCGGTGCAACAATGGTAAGGATTCTTTCTTTCATAATGGTCAGCAGTTATGTATTTTAGTAAAGCTAATACACGGGTTCAATACAGGCAAGGGCTCATAGCTATCAATTATCCAGCGAGGGCATTCGGTCTCAATCGCCACATAACTATCACGGACGCCAAAAGGCTCTGTCCGGATCTCATATGTCAACATGTTGCGACCTGGCGTGAAGGTGATGAGAAGTGGGCCTACCATGACGATGCGTTTAAGAACATTGCTACACATAAGGTCTCTTTGGATCCTTACAGACTCGAATCAAGACGTATACTAGCTTGTATAAAAGATTGTCTTCCCAAAGATCTGCAGAGGGTTGAGAAAGCTAGTGTAGATGAGGTTTTCATGGATCTCTCCTCCCAAGTTCATGCGATCCTTTTGGAAAGATATCCAGAGCTGCAAAGCCCCTCTCCTTATGATGATTTGACGGAGCAACTGCCTTTACCTCCCACGACTGTTCTTGACTGGAAAGCGGATGCACTGGTAGATCTAGATACAGATGAAACAGAAACTGATGATCCTGATTGGGATGATATAGCAATGCTTATTGGCTCCGAGATCGTACGAACAGTCCGGGCCGCAATACGTGAGAAACTCAAATATACTTGTTCTGCCGGCATTGCCCAAAACAAAATGCTTTCCAAACTGGGTTCCGCACATAAGAAGCCAAATCAACAGACAGTCATTCGAAATCGGGCTGTTCAGCAATTTCTATCAGGCTTCAAATTTACAAAGATTAGAAATCTTGGAGGTAAGACAGGCGAGGAAGTTGTCAAACTATTTAATACAGATATGGTCAACGATCTTTTGCTTGTTCCCATGGAGCATTTGAAGCAGCAATTAGGAGAAGAAACCGGGACATGGGTCCACAATGTTATTCGTGGAAATGACACGAGTGATGTCAACTCACGAACTCAAATAAAGTCAATGTTATCTGCAAAATCATTCCGGCCTAGCATCAACACCCCCGAGCAGGCTAACAGGTGGCTCCGCATTTTCGCGGCGGATATACATTCCCGTTTAGTGGAAGAGGGAGTTCTAGAGAACAAGAGACGACCCAAGACAATCAATTTGCATCACAGACATGGTGCCCAAACCAAATCGCGACAAGCACCCATACCGCAAGGAAAGAAGATGAATGAGACGCTCCTTTTCGAACTAGCCAAGACCCTTCTAAACCAAATCATGCTTGATGGAAGAGTATGGCCATGTTCAAATTTGAGTCTAAGTGTTGGGGGTTTTGAGGATGGGGTGAGCGGTAATATGGGTATTGGGGCGTTTTTAGTCAAAGGAGACGAAGCCAAAACTATGAAGAAGGCAGTTTTGCGAGACGCGACCGCCATTTTATCTGCGGAGAGATCCGAAAAGAGACGACGTGCAGGAGATGCAGGAATCCAAAAATTCTTTGTCAGGACAGATAGTGTTGAGGAGTACGACGATGATTTCGGCGGTGAGCAGAGTTTACCCGGATCACGCATGATCTGTGAGGAAAAGGGGCCTTCGTCCCCCACCGTAGATTTCAAGGCCGCACTTTCACCCCAGGGCGATGAGACGAGCAGAGAGTCAGAAGTATCAATCGGCCTCTCGGCCTTAAAACAACCACAGATCACAGAGTTTTTATGCAGCCGCTGCAATCAGGCTCTGGATTGCGCGGAGGTATTTCAGAGCCATCAAGATTGGCATTTTGCCAAAGATCTCCAGGACGAGGATCGTTTGAGGCGTACATCACCAGCTCCTGCCACTTCCTCCGGCAACAAAAGGGGTGTCGCGTCAAAGAACCGAGGCAATGGTCGTGGAGGCCGACCGGAGAAAGGTCAAAGTAAATTGACATTTGGATGATTAAAAAAATGAAATTATTCTCACCGACAGCGCTCTCATCCTATCCTGATGTGCCACACGATACTTTTCATCTTGCAGGCTGTCGCCGAAATTTAATAGTCGTGCTGATGGGCCGACCTTACGGACCCCGAAAGACGGCCAGTTTATGGGCGAACCATGTTCCGATACATTGTGCGACTGGAGCAATTTGCTCACCTAGATTGCTCACCCTTGAATGCAACATGTTGTCCGGAAGTACAAATACAATCTTTGCGGTACAAGTATCGTTTGACAGTGGAATATGCAGAATCTTCTTTTTGTTCTGTCGAAGGTACGAGTAACGCAACAATGATCACTACTGCAATATAATTCCTTCTAGAGGTTCAGCTGGAGCCAGTCACCCGGCCGTGACTTTCGCCCTACAAATGATAGGCAGGTTTGCCATGGATCCAGACTTCATATTTTGCAAGCGACTCTCGTACTTGGATCTTCAGGAGGGTCATGCGCGTTATGGAAAGCATCAAGAACAATAGTTGTCTCACCTAGGTGTGAAGCGATGGTTTATGGGTGAGAGGGAGGACTAGCCCTACCACACCTCAGTCTTTCGCCTCCCGCCAGACAGTCTGATCGGCAAGGTACATCATCAACTGTACATATACAGTAAGACGCAGAGACATCCACAGCTTCGTGCTTTTGAGAAGAACTAAAACAACAAAAATATATTGATTGTCGGATTATCGGTAGGTCTACACAATCTACAAACGCCAGCCGCATGAGTTTGTTGTCAATATGCCTTAGATTAATCCATGTTTAAAAGTGTATGATGGCTTCTCAATGGACGCATGAAAATGAGATTTTAATGGCTGTGAACCTGTACATGAGGTTTATGGATTAGGCATCATTTTGGCTGCGTTAGGCTGGGATGCATCAATACCCAACCCGATTGATTTCGCGCCACAAAAAAATCACAGACCACCGAAGTACCAAGACCACAACCTTGCCCACAAAACTGCAGGAATCACTGGCTGCCTTTCGCTTTCCTGGATCCCTTCACAATCACCAGTTCCTGTTCGGTTGAAAGCTGTTCTGTTGTGCAATTCGAGATTCGGTATCGGCGGGCGAATGTCATATTTAGAATTTTGTTCCTCTAACTGGCAGATGGAGATATTGATGTGACATTACAATACATACTGCGCACAGCATCTGTGGGTAGGCATGACATAGCATATTCATGTAAGGTCAAGGCAGGTGAAAGGTTTTGATACAGATTTGACAAGAAGAATCTGACCTGACTACAATAAACGAAGAATTTGGTCAAATGGGAACCTCGGCGTCGCTCCTTACAGGATGGATATTCTCCCCTAATGTACTCACGCGTCATTCTCGATCACTCCACACACCATTGTACCATCTCTTCGCACACTTTTCCGCTGTAGTGGCAAGGAAAGAAGTTCCACTTTCTGGCAAAGTCGGCGAGGCCATATTCCCCAGAACCCAGAACTTATTACGTTGGGTCGTGGTCGTAGGACCGAATCACGATGAAACTGTATTGTGATAGACGGATTTGAACCTGGATTGGCCCAATAGTTCAGGCTTGAAAGATTCAAAAGTGTGATGGGTTGATGGATTGATGGGCTGATGATAGGGTGAGATGTCAATTGTTTGAGAAGTTTTCTAATAAGTATTCACAAAGAATGCCCTTAACATGAAGAAGGTTTTGTTTTGAGTTTTTTAATGACTTATGTCTTCAATTTTCATTGCACTTTGGGTGTGAAGATATGAAAGACTCTTGAAACTTGAACAATGCGAGAATTTAATCTATAATTGACATGATTAAGTTTTGACTTTCTACCTACACCAATCTATAAGGAGGCATATCTATTTATCTCGACATCTATATATCAATAATCATATTTTATGCTCGTACATACTTAGTACTTGAGCCTATCTATTCACCACTCACGTTCATTCAAGCCGCCACATCTGATGTTGTTATCGTTCTTGCCCTCGCTATCTTGAACCTTACCTTATCGAATTATCGACATACTCACGGCCAGGACTTGTCGGCTTCTTTTGTTAATCAAGTCTCCCTTCAGATACGAATTACGAAAAGTTTACTGGTAATCTCGAAGATATCCAAAAACCAGGGCTCGCTCGCACTCTTTCCGCATTCGATTTACATTACACCCACCGTTCGTCATTCCCACTTACAGTTAGTTAATTAGCCCTTATCTGACTGCAATAACAATAACAAGAATTTGGTATTTTTTGATTGCATCAATCCATCGATCGCATCAATATTAATTGCCTTTAAATAATCCAAGGAAAAGAAAAGACTCCCTGCGCTTCTTCTTCTTCTTCTCTTCCTTCCTCGTCTTCATCCTTATCAACCAAAAAGAATCGATAAGTCTATATCTCGATGTCTTTTGAAATATCAGAGGCGTCAGCACATCATCCATAATAGAAAAATCATTTGAAAAAGCTTTTCCCTGTCCCAAAACAGAAGAAGCATAATCCACCCCATCACAAAACATCACAAAACCTTTTCCAGTATCCACAAAATTTCACAAGCCGGTTATTATTCAATTAATTCAACCATTTGAGCTGGTTGGGTGTCAGAGTATAAAAGCGGCCATTGAAACCATTGCACCATACCTAAACGGATATTTCAGCTACAGGGGCTAAAAAGACCACCCCAGCCTCTCCTCGCTTTGCCACTTCTTCCACTCTTCCATTCACCGTCTTCTCTGCTCAAACCTTTTCTTGTGTCTTCAAAAACAAGACCATCAGCACACAAGGAGAAGAAAAAAGGACAAAAAACGCCAGCTCAGAGAAATATCCCAGAACATCCCGGTTATTATTCATCTAAGAGGCTCACCTTATTCGCCGCCTCTTCTTTTTGAGTACGAACTTCACATTCACACGACATTAACCTGCTTCCGCGTCTCTGCGTTACCACCCATCCGGATTGGACAGGACCTTTTCACTCTCACACCCTCTTCTCACACGCCTTTCCAGGTTACTCAGGACCAACCGGTTTTCTTCTTACTTCCATAGGATTACTTCTTTCTCGAGGCTCCCGCTCAAAACCCCCCCGGATATTGAGAGAAAAGTTTTCCACTTACTCCATACAGGATTTCTTCTGGACCATTTTCTGACTCCCCCAATTTGTCGCCGGTTATTTTGTGTGGTACCACAGTTATTCCCTAGGCTGACCTGTGTGACTTACATTGCCAAATCTCCATCTTTGGTTCTTCTCTTTCTCTTCCTACCAACTTGTTCCCTGGATTACCATCATGTCGCGACGTGACGATAGAGACAGAGCTTCCCGCTCACAACCACAACCAACACACCCATCTGCTGGAAGAACGGGTCAGTTTGTTATCGACGCTGAAGGTATCGACAGAGAAGTTATCACGGCTGACATCTGCCGGTATCTTGGTAATGATGCTCTCGTCAAACCGGGCGACGTGGAAGTAAGTCATTGCCCGTATCTTTGTGAGATGTCGATGAGGAACTAATGGCTTCATTTACAGGACCCGAGAACAAAACAACTTAAACCTGTCTACGTGATCACAGCTTACAGGAATCTTACAAATGTAATGTCGCGCTCCTATCAATTAAGTGATTATCGCTGATCAATTCTTGGGGTAGGCCATGATATTTGATTTGAAACAGGCATCTGCAGATTGGCGAGCTGAGCGACTTGCTAGATCTTCTGCACAGTACCCTACAAATGGTATCTCTTTAAGGGATTCGAACGAGATGGTTCGAAAGTCTAACACCCCTATAGTAGTGGACTACAGAAGTTCAAATGCACTGGATCAATCCATTGCTCGAATGGATGCAACACAGCAGCCTCGGCCTGCTGCACAACAAGGGATGTACAATTCACCATCGGCTGCTGTGCCCAGTTCCCAATCATATCAACCAAGTGGCCAGGGTTACTCGGCGGGCTACAGTCAGCCTACAAGTTACCAGAATGATGGCTATACCCAGCCACCATCACAACAGTATGCTCCATCTCCCCAAGGATATCCCACTCAGGACACCAGGAGTTATGTTCACGGATCCAATTATGCTGTTGAACCTGCTGGCCGTGGCGGATCTGTTCCTCAGTCTGTTCCTAGGACTCAGGCAGTTCAATATCCATCCAGTACATCGTACCAAGCACCTGCACCGCAGTACTATTCCCAATCTGGACCAACTGCATCAACTTCAGCATATGCGTCACATGCACCAACAGATCCTTATTATAGTAGTCGTGGTGCGTACGCCAAAGTGCATCCATTTTCTTCATTGTCTCTGTTCTCGTAAACGAATGTAATCTAACAATTTAGCTGCTCCATCAGGCAATTATGAATCCACCCCGGAGGTCTACGACACCAGAGCATATCCGGAAACCCCAGATTACCAGATGCAAGATGCCGGATATACCGAACCAGGCTCATACCAGGAAACAGTATCATATTCTCAGCCAATGCCTTCTGGACGAAGTGGCACCGCCACTTCATCGGCACCTCAAAGGACGCGTGACAGAGACAGTAGGGATGACCGTGACAGACATCACCAACGCCGCAGGAATTAATGTTCCCTTTGGAATGTAGTTGATTTTTGCGATTCTGTTTCCTCGCCGGACTTTTTTACTGTTCTGGCGTTTTTTATTGCTTTTTCCCTGGATTTACTGGAACACTGGACCAATCAAAGGAAGCCTTGGAACCCTCCTATAACATGGATCCAAACTAGACAAAGGGTACTTTACAGCCTCATCGGTATCTTAATAAAAAAATCCAAGATTGCAATAGGTTTGGCATCTTGTGAACGAGGTATGATCTTTATATTACCAGGGTTTTCTATCATAGCCTACGCTAGACTACTACCAACTGGACCGATGTCGGAATGTATTATCGGAGAATTACCGCGGATGTTTTATCATGAGCTTTGCACGTGCAGAGCAGCTATACCCGGCTTCATGGGATGCGGCGGGCCAAATGAGGATAATGGATGTGTTTTTTGCTTGCTTGCATTTTTCATCTGTCAGTTGCATCAGTTTTTGCATACGCAGACCGTTGGGGCGCATTATGAGTTTATGTTTCCTTGAAAGTTTCTGGATTATCTTAGGATACCATCCCTCGTACCTGCTGCCCTGGACCCAAATTTCCGGAAGCCTGACCGGCTGGTTTCTTCTTCACCACGTGTTATGATTTGGTTAGTATCTCAATACTCATTAGAGCATTCAGGTCTGGGTCCAGGCAGCATGATAGAGGAGTTTGTATATACATCGACTTCACCCATTCAAAGGATAATCCAAACCACTTCAAACAATGCCCACCTACTTCATTTCATGGATTCCTTCTTGGTCAAAACCCGACCATGGATTCTCATCACTGACTCAAAACATGGCTTTGCAGAACAGGTATAGTCAAACCATCCGGTTTTGGAACCTCCTCTGGATTGGCATCTCTTTCATATGGACCTGGATTGATACCCTGCGGCCTACCGTTTCTTGGATTTCGGATGTTCGAGCCCATTGGACCTGTTACTTGTCGACATTTCCTCCACTGCACTTGGCCTATTCAGGTGTAGTATCAAGGACTAATCGGCATCAATCAAATTCACTTATCGCCTCGTTCCACGCAGTTCCATCGTGTTCCCAAAGTATCTTATCCTAGTATGGATTGCGGGAGCTTCTTGTGCAATTCTCTACCACAGCCCCGAGAACGTATGGCGCGCAACCTAAGTTTAGTCTCGAACAGTCAAGCACATTTGAAAGCGATCCGGGGAGTTCATATATTGCAAGCATGGCCGTTATTTAGACCACTTCTTGGCGCAGGATCCCTTCGTTCCCTCCTGGCGAGCTCTTAGGACACATAACAAACTCACGGCTTATACATCTTGCAGGGTGCTGGCATACTATCTTGCTGCGTTTTCAGCCCCCTCACATCCGTTTCTTGCATGGTCTCAAGTCCAGGATGCCACCTTGGCCGTCATTCGATGTCTCGAAAATTATTCACGTGTTGGACATGCAATACAGTGGTGATTTGCTAGCAGGTTTAATAACCGCTCTTGAATCCGGATGATCTAACCATGGAATCATAATGGTCGGCACGTTTGAGCCAACCCCTTCATTATACGCTTTCTTTTGCTTTTGCAGGGCACTATTAGGACATTGCATGTTAAAACAAAAATCTTCCAGAAATGTGGTTTATTTGGGGAAAGAATGGTCTTCGGTAGTTCATGGTGGAAAGAGTCTGTTATTTCTTTCTTTTAAATACTCCTTCGCCTGTTGCGAACTTGAGTTGTACGATTGAGAGATGGAGCTGCATTTGGTTTGACGGAGGTTTCAAGGACGTCATATCTGTTTTCGTTTTTCGTCGTGAGCAATCATAATACGCATGAAAGTCTGGTTGGTCGGTTGATCCGTGGCATGGTGTGGTCAACGGGTACATAATTATTTCACTCTTGCTGGAATTGGCATACGTGGCATAAATTTAGATGCTGTTACGCCATCACTACTTGCACGTCTTTAATCGTTAATTCTTTTCCTATGATATAATGATGGTAGATAAATGGATGGCGTGTACTAAGATGAACAACGATTACAACTAGAGTTTCGTGCAATATTCAGAGAATGAATAAGGGAAAACCCAGGGTTTTCGGCTTCTATAAATTTTGTTGGCCCAGAGTTGATGTGTGACATGCCGGCTGTGTCATGCGTGATGTGGAATTGGTGAGATGATAAGATGATGCTTCTTGCAGTGTTAGCCTTGAGGTGAGCTTGAGGGTTGTATCTCTTAAAAGGGAGTTGTTATTTACAGCTACGTAGGAGGTGTGAAAGTGTTGAAGGATTGATCGGTGAATCGGAATGCCATTGAGACGATGAATCTTCATATTTATAAACAAAATATATGTTTGAGCTTATTCAACTTGAGAATATCTATATAATAATGATAATAAAATTAAATCTTTATTACTGAAGTCTATATAATGCAAATGGTCTCGAAGAATTGAATTCCATGGATTTGTTGGATGTGTGCCCTTTTGATATCCGGGGTAGTTACCGAGGCTCACCTAGAATGTCGCAATGTACTTGTTTGCTTGGGGGCGGCCACCAGTGGGCTTGCTATCAACCTTCAACAAATATCCATTAAATCCTTTACATGCATCATACTTTAGTAATTCGGGATGCTTCTATTTTCCTTGTTTCTAATCCCATTGTTTTCTTCTGTTCTTTTGGTATCAGGATGGAATAGTTATTGGGCTGAAAAGCTTCAGGTGCCATTCCTACAATCAGTTCAAGCTCCGTTCAGACAATGGACATCGCCACCATCCAGAATTCCGGAAGGTGGTACGGGCATCACTCAGAGTCGAACGCTCACTCTGCGAAGCGTGTACCATCATGGAACTAAAGAATATCCCGAATTGCATCGACGTCTCAGAATCAGTCCCGAGAAGATAAAGAAAGCGACCCTCCAGGGCAGTGATAGCGAATCCGATATTGGTCCATTTACCGTTCCCACAGCTCCAATAGGCATTCACAGGCTTCGAAAGCGAGGTGTGCAGGATATAGAAGCTTTCAATCAATGTCCTATCGATCTTCCCGTGTCAGCGTGGTCTGTTGATGATGTTTCAGCGCCGGATGTGACGGACAAATCCACTGTGGTCAATTTTGCAGTTATGGCAGCAAACACATATCAACGAACTCCCGATGATCCTCAGTGGGAAGATATAAAACCTCCTTTTAATCTTTCATCATCTATTGGATGGGAATCAGATGGTCTGCGGGGTCATGTTTATGCCGACAATACAAATACCACAATCGTTATCGCGTTGAAGGGTACAACTTCAGCTGTATTTGATGGGGCCGAGACAACTACAAATGATAAAGAAAATGATAATCTGTTTGCTGGATGCTGCTGTGGACAAGGTGGATGGGGTCTACGAAAAGTATGTGATTGTATGACGGCAACATATACATGCAACGAGATTTGTGTTTCCAAGGCATTGAAGAAGCCAAATCGTTATTATCAAGCTGCTGTGGAACTATATGGAAACATTACAGAGGAATATCCCAATGCCGACGTCTGGTTGACAGGTCATTCTCTTGGAGGACTTGTCACTACTCTTGTTGCATTGACTTTTGGGCATCCTGTACTGACCTTTGAGTCGGTCCCTCAAGCATTAGCAATTTCTCGATTGGCTCTTCCTACTCCACCTGGGTACAGCTCTGCTTCTGAAGCTCGTGATAATGTAGGTATTTGGAATTTCGGGCACACTGCTGATCCCGTATATATGGGTACATGCAATGGAGCTACATCACTTTGTGCTTTTGCTGGCTATGCCCTCGAGTCGACGTGTCATGCAGGATTACGATGCGTATACGATGTCGTTGCAGATTTCGGTTGGAGTGTATCTCTATCAACTCATGGAATCAGAGCCTCTATCAGAAATGTATACAAGAAATATGATAAAGCTCCTACATGTGTTGCCGACACCGAATGTGTTGATTGCTTCAATTGGAAAAGAGAAAAGGGACCTCACTCTACTTCTTCAAGTACCACAGCTAGTACAACATCTAAACCAAGGACTCGTACCGAAACTTGCAAAACTCCTGGCTGGTGGGGGTGTTTAGATAAAACCAGTGCGAGCACAACGTTTACATCGACAACGACTATCACCTCGACTTCTTGTAGGAGCTATGGGTGGTTTGGGCGATGCCTAGACCCTACTTCTACTACATTCACCTCTGAAACGACTATTATCGAAGCTTCGGCAACTGTTCGTGAGCTTCCTGCTGCTATTACTAGTAGTGAAAGTTCCGTCAATGGGTTCAAGACTGGAGTGGCTCAACCACATCAAATAACTTCTTCTCCGATAGCTCCAACATGAGGCTAAGCATATGGACGTGTTGTTCCCCCTTCATTACAATTGTCAATACACAATATCAAGAACTGTACTTGGAGAATAGATGCATCATACCGTTGCCTAAGCTATATTTAGACAAACTGATATCTCTCTATTAATACGTCGGGTAATATCAGATCAGGTCAAAACTGAAATCCAATCAAGTCAGTCAGACTGTCACGGCGGCTTTTCGGCTCTATTGAGAGATAATCTTCAAACCACTGGGGATATTGGGCATCTATCTACTAGTATCTAGACATTCTGCCACATCATTCAAACTACTGTTAAAATATTACTGGTCTGCTCTACGGAGTATTCATTATTGATCAAAAATGTATCATTTCTTGATCATGTTTGTTGGCATGTGCTTCTGCAAAGAAAGGCATGCTGCATATATTCATGAGGTTATTTCATCTATCTACCAGTGATCTATCCAATCTGAACTTTTCCAGTTGTCGAATAGAAAGAGAGAAGAGAGAAGAGAGAAGAGAGAAGAGAGAAGAGAGAAGAGAGAAGAGAGAAGAGAGAAGAGAGAAGAGAGAGAGAGAGAGAGAGAGAGAGAGAGAGAGAGAGGAGAAGAGAAAGAGAGGCGTAACATGCACGATGCGGAAATATACTACGGATTTTTAAGTATATACATAGAAGGAAACATATTTTTAGGGTTATTGTTATTGGCATCATGGTAGTGAGTGATATTTGATATTTCTTGGTTAGAATGAATGAATCATATCTATCTATCTAGTATTGTATTGTATTATTCATGGTCTTTATTGTATGTGTGTGTGTGTGTATGGTGTTGGCACATTAGACTCTTGGTATTGATTTGTTCGTTCGTTTGTTTGTTTATCTGTTTATTTGTTTATGCTACCTACCTATAGTTAGAAAGTTTTCTTTATATTTATTTTTGTCTTTTTGCAATTTGTTTTCCCGACTTCTTCTCAACTTCCCTCCTTCCTTTCAAAAACCCTCCCCCACCACTTAATCCTAATTATCCCCTCATCCCCTCATCCTCTCGTCTCCCACCTCTTTATATCTTATTCATCAACTCAAATTCATCAAACTAAAAATTATTTAAACCTCTCAAAAGAAAAAGAAAAAATTGTATATAAAACTTCTTTTCTAATCTAGCTTAATTTAATTTAATTTAAAATATAATATTACATTTTTACTTTTAATTCTTTTTTTTTTTTAAAACAGATAAATTTTTAATTTATAATCTTTTAGTCTTATATATATATAATAAATAGATTTTAAAACTGCTAATATCTTATATTTTATATCTTATATTTTATATTTTATATCTTATATTTTATATCTTATATTTTATATCTTATATTTTATATATATATAAATAATAGTATTATATTTATATTAGAAATATAAAACAATAATATAATATCTTTAAGATTTATTTTTGTTATATTTATATATTTATATATTTATATATTTATATATTTATATATTTATATATTTATATATTTATATATTTATATATTTATATTTATATTCTTTTAAAGATTATGATTATAATGTCTTTTAAACTATTGTAAAAGTGGTAGGTCGAGAAACATGCGTCCCGATAACATGTTGTGAGGGGGAATTGAAAGAGAAAGTTGAATTAGATCATATCGTAATATATCACTTATAAAGAAAACAGGGTTCACAATGGTTTTGGGGTTGGGATTATGTAGATTCAAATATATATGTGTAGAAAGTTGATTGTTATGAAAAGGAGAAGCAAAAACTCTTCTTTTATATCTAACTACAGGAGGTCATATGATTGACTAGTTAAAAACCCCTATGTATTTGGTCTACAATTCCAACTTTCTCACACTATAACGACAAGATAAAACCAGTAATAAACAATGAATAATATAATGTGAAATTGTAATTTCGTCGTTTTCTTTTCATTTCATAGATTTAATCTATCTGAGCGCTCTGTTGATCAATTATCGTATCATTCTCTCTCTCCCTTCCTCTCTCTCTATATGTGTCTGTATGTTTCAGCACATCTCAATTCCTTCCATCTTTCATCTCCTCTGCCTTCTTTCCCCCATTTCGAATCCTTCCTCAAATCATAATCTTCCTTCTACTTCTTCCTATCTCTTTCCACCCCTACAAAACCAAAATAATTCCCTCAACAACCTCATTCCTCCCCACCTCCTCAATTCACCTCATAAACACCCTCTTCAAACCCACCCTCCTCATCTACCCCCACCCACCTAATTCCTCTCACCATTAACAATCCACTCCGCCCTCTCACTCAACTTAAACTTCTGAATCTTCCCACTAGCAGTCTTCGGATACTCATCTACCCAAAAAACATATTTCGGGACCAAATGTCCACTAAGACGCGCCCTCACATGATGCTGAATTGCCTCTTTAGTGAGAATTGGTTTAATCTTGCTGTCCAGTTTCGTCTCATCCTCGACAGCTGCTTCCATCGTGGAACTCTCAGAATCCTTGCTGACGTTATTTCCCTTGGCTATACATTTCTCATATTCTCCCCAACTCATGAGATCATTACCCACTCCCGCATCATCTGGTCCTCGACTCACACCCTTCCTAGTCACAATCCATGCACAAACCACTTCTCCATATTTGTCATCCGGAACACCTACAACACTAACCTCCCTCACATCTTCCATACCAAAAATACAATCTTCAATCTCTAACGGATGTATATTTTCTCCTCCGCGGATAATCAAATCTTTAATTCTCCCTGTAATCTTCACATATCCTTCTTCATCCATACTCGCTTCATCACCTGTCTTCATCCAAATCCTCCCATTACTGTCTGGGATCAATACTTCTTTAGTACGTTTTGGATCTGCATAATATTCTTTCATGACCAAATATCCCGAAACGGCTAATTCACCTCTTTTACCTATTTCCAGAATCTTATTAGGATCAGAAGGCGAAATGATTTTAACAGATACATGAGGTAACACCCTTCCCACGCTATCTAGTCGCTTTTCCATTGGATCAATGGGAGTAGTCATACAAGAGACAGGGCTCGTTTCCGTCATTCCATAACAAATTGTCAAACCGGTAAGATTTAACTGTTTATGAAGTTTTTCCATCAATGTTTTAGGAACAGAGGAACCGGATGCAATACCTGTGCGTAGATGTTCGAAACCTGTGTGAGGAATGGTACCATTGGAGAGAAGCTCGAGTTCGGCTAGAAACATGGTCGCGACTCCATAAAGGGCTGTGGCTTTGTTTTCTTGAATACTTTGAAGAGTAGCCGAAGGGTCGAAGGCGGGGGAGGGAAATAAGATTGTACTGCCAAGAGTTGCCGTCGCCATATATCCGAGTACAGAACCAAAACAATGAAATAAGGGAGGCGGACAACAGACTATATCGGATTCTGTAAGAGCCATACGAGTGCCAATAAAATAACCATTGTTGAGTATTGACTGATGGGTCAAACAAGCTGCTTTAGGAGTTGAAGTTGTGCCTGATGTGAATTGGATATTAATCACATCATCTTTATGTAAATTTTCATCGGGAATAACTTCCTTTTCTTTCTCCGATTCAAACATCGACATGATAGCTCCGAAATCTGTAGTAGCCGGGAAACTTGCAAAATTATCAGTTGGTTTGTTCACTAGCACAACGCCCTGTAAACTTGGTACAGCTTCACTTTTTAAAACATGTGAGGGTTGCTCGAGGTCTCCAATGATATCTTTCAGCAAAGGTGTGTTATCCCTGGGGGCTTTAAATGGTAAAGGTGTCTCATGGCCAATGATCAGGTGTGAAGCCTTCAAATGATTTAATGCCGAGACGACTTGTTTCGTGTTGAACGCTGGATTCAAAGGTACCTACCCAAACAATAATTAGCATACCCATCTCTCAAAGCCATCTTCCTTCCAAAAAAAGGTATCTCTTATCAAAGTCTACTCACCAACACCGCTCCTAATTTCCAAACCGCATAAGTGATTGCCCCAAACTCCCATCCGTTCCCCAGACTAACAGCCACTCTATCTCCCTTTTTAACCCCCAGAGTTCTCAAGCCATGTGCTATCACATTACTCTTCTCATCCAGTTCTCTATATGTAAGTTTTGTATTTTGGGATCGAGATATGAGCGCAACGTTGGAGCCGTGCGAGTCGACGATACTGCGAAAATGCTGAGGGATAGTATGGTGAAGGAGTGGCGGCTGGGGGAGAGTCGGTGGTTAGCGGTGGCTAGCTTGGTGATTGATTGTGTGTGCAAGCCACACAAAAGGTGGATGTAGGTGGCAGGATATTGAGAATAAGGGAGGGAAAAGAAAAGAAAGGTATTTCAATTACCTCCGTAGGCCCAACACTATAACTTTCCGTCAGAAGACCTCTTCTTTGAATGTGCAATACAGCTCCGAGCCCAACTCCAATTTTCATTCCAACTCCAATTCTTCCTCCAATTCTTCCTCCAATTCTTCCCCCAATTCCAATTCCAATCCCCCCTCCGCTTCCCAGACTTCTCGCCATCTCACCCCTCCACCTAATCCTCAAATTATCTCCACATCTCCATCCCCGCATTCCAGCTTTAGCTCCCGTTCCCGCAATACTGAATCTAGCAGCCATATCTACATATCACAGATCATAAACCATATATTCAAATAGAGAAAAATCACTTACCCTCAAGTACAAGTAAAGGCCTGAGCTTTTAGCTCATTCATTGTACACATGTGGCTATATGTAGCATTGTGTAATGCCGTTCCACAAAAGTACCAAAGTACAGCAAGCTCTTCCTTACAAGTCCTCGGTCCAAATATGCGGGGTACGTCCCGCGCGACCTTTCCGCTGTGAATGTTCGACCAACAAGATCCATATTTCTAGTTCGATGCTGGTATATTGTTGGAAAGGTTACTCGAATACCGTACCTACGGTCCTACCGCTGAGTCTTGGCTATATATTGAGTGGGGAAGCTTAAATTTAGCATCCCGTTCCCCGTTCGAACGTATTTTAACTGAGATAATTGTGAGGCTCTCTCAGAAATTGTGGCCCAAATTTGGAGACATTAGATTATTATTAATCCATGGACAAGCGAATCAGAACAGTTCCCTGCTTTTCCGGAACCCTTTAAAAGTTGAAATCGAGAAACCCTGCTTAGCTTGGTCGTATTTACCCAAATAAATATGGTAGGTAGGTAATTAAGGTAACTTAACGTGTGCATTCATGCATTACCCATGGACAAGACAGCTTTGGTTGATCATCGACTTATTCATTCCTTTTCCTTTTCCTTTTCCTTATCCATGCTACTATGGTATATATACAGTTCCAACATCGTGGCCATCGTGGCCATCGTGCATCCTTCATCTGTCTCCGCGTGCTTCTATATAAATATCCATTAAAAGATATTTCCTTCCTATCCTTTGCAATTTCAAACATTGCTTTAGTAACCCCGCCATCTATCCCATCACCCCTATCTCCCAAGGAAATCCAGAATTGCAAAAAAATCCAACAATACACAAATTTCAGCTCTTGAAAATTCATGTCTTCTGCTTTTGACATTGCAATCAAACATAAAAATTCTACAGCATGCTTCCACAAGCACCCATTTCCCTCTCGATCCCTTCAACCATCCAAACAAGAATGAAACTTTATCCCAATGTCCCGGATATCAAATAAAACTCCATGCTAAGAGAATAAAAGCCAACGTTAAAAGGTATTTCAGGCCATCCATTCTATGTTTTCCCATCAAACCAAAAATAAAGCCTCCCGGTGTGCCCGTCAGTATGCCGCTCATGCATTTGATGCTCGCTCAAAATTCGACTAGGGTATGTGCTATGTGCTCAATGATTTTATAAAGAAAGTATTTGTTGTCGAGGAAGCGATGTTTTCACTACCTAGTAACTATCCCAATATGCCGTTCGTTCTCAGGTTTCCAGGTACCTAATATTTGAAGTTAGTTGTATACGTTGATAATAGATTAATGAGACAAACCTTCGAATTCATGCTTCACAAAAGCCATGGGATCATCATAGTCCTTCGAGCCCATTTGCTGCACTCCAGGGCTGAAACTTGTAATAGGCAAGACAACCACATCTCCAACTTTCTTTGCAGATACAATGCCTGTGAACTCTCTCCATGTAATGTTTCCCTTGCTTGTAGTCATATCAAAATATCTCTCGTCATTCAAGAAATCAAAAATAGTATCTGTCCACAAAGCCGGACCGGTGAATTCCACAACATTTCTATCATTGAAGCTCTTGAGGGTTCCGCTCTTCTTCATGTTAAGAGTCTGTTCGGTAATGTTGGCAACGATTTCGCGGAGTACAGGATGCCCTGGCTTCGATTGAATTGTCCATTGACAGAATTGAATTCTTCGAGAGTACCATTCTGCCCAATCTGGACGATCTGGATCTGCCTCAATACCCACAACTAGTCCAATAGCTTCGCGTGGCACACTCTCAGGAAGCCATTCCGAAGCAGGTTTCAATGCATGAGTATCGATATCGGAGTAAATACCACCTCTGGCCAGTAGAATTAAGTATCGAAAGAAATCGGCTTTCAAAACAGGCAAGGGCAATGAATTGTAAGCGTCTAGAACTTCTGGCAGAGAGGCATACAAATGTTTTAATAGATGAACTGCGACTGAATCGGTAATGACCTCATGTACGAATCCTGGGTGTTTTTCTGACCAACTTGCTTCTGCAGGGCGAAAGTTCTCTCCAAAATCTCCAGATGCTGGGGTATATTTCCATGTCTGCCAAATGTATGCTGGGAACTTAGTCTCTACGTCGTATGGAAATTGATATGCGAGCTTTTCCCTTAAAGGTGCTCTTGATAAATCTTGTAATAGTGCTTGAGAAGTTTGAGGCTTCTTCTTTGGTGCCGGTGGAATCGCATTCGTCGAAGCTGATGAGCCCGGTTTTGTTTTTGAATCAACTCCATCCTTCCCCTCCGATTTTGGTATGCTTTTTTCTTGTGATAGTATATCGTTTGATGTAGGTGGGTTGTGTGTTCGTGTGATGAGAAATACCATAGTTAGGAAGAAAGCCGCAGCTAACAAAGCTCTCCTAAAGGTCAACATCTTTGCGCAATTCGCAGAACTTCTATCTGCCAAGTGAATTTGTACACGATATTCTCTGTCTCCCCTAGCGAGTTTGACACTTATCCGATTTTTGAATAATATTATTATACGGTGAATTTTCTCGTAAAGAGGCTCTCGTTGCTGAATAGGTCGAACTCCAGAAAATTAAATTCTAGGTAGGTCAAGGCAATGCCAAGATGGCAACGCACATAGGCGTGTTTGATAATGCGGAACCAACAGATAACTAGAATAAAAGAAAAGATGAGCCTTGATTCAGCGGTCGAAAGTGGGATATTTGTAACTTGGTAGTTAAAGGGACAAGCTTGAGTGATTTGATTGTATGAAAAGGAGGAGGAGAAATGGGTAAGAATAAGGAGTACTGGGGCAGAAAGTAAGATGGATATATATTTCTCGTACCAGTTTCAATGATGGTTAATTGCCAGACAATTGAGTATTCAGAATGAATCAATGGATGGATGTTGTAATTGATCAACCTTTGTTGATCCTTTTCGAAATAAGATGAGCCAAGTGAACCCTTTTCCTCAGTTCTTTCGACCAAAACTCTTTGAATGGGGAACGTTTTGATCCTTCTCTGTCCTCTGTCCTCTGTCCTCTTGTCTCTGCTTTATTCATCTACCAACAATTTTTGCACCGTGAGCTCTATAGAGGTAGTTAAGTATTGTTTGGTACTTCCCTAAATTTTCACCATAACCCTGAATAGCGACAACAAGGCCTGTAGCGTGCGTAAGTAAACCCAGCTCCAGGGAAAAGCTTGACACTGAAACGGTAGGAATGGACCGGATTCAGTGACGAATCATCCCTGTAGATAAATCGTTCTTAGTTAAGCACAGTACCCTGGTGACCCTAGTCCCTCCCCAGCACAAGTACGCAGCAAAGTGGTGGAAGCGAATAATAGCTGAACCCAAAAATAGAGAAGGGGCGGGGTGAGAGTGAGGGCTAATTAATATTCTACACTTAACACACGCAACATACGCAATGTGAAGGAGGCTGAGAGAATTAAGTTCTCACCAACAAGTTTCATTATCGTATTATATGGTAGTAAGCCATGAGTGCCACGCGTTAGACGTGCTAGACGTGTGAGGAGAAGCTTCCGAGGAGAGACTAGTTGGTATTGAGGATGAAGTTCAAGGCAATAAATAGTCAAGGCAGATGCAAAAGATGGGTAGATTGTGCCTGTTCCTATATCTAACACAGAGAAGCTTACATTGTTAGTTCCTAGGTATTTACTCGATCAATGGTATCAAGATAGATGTTTAAGTTCAATAGCACGGAAGCAAAACATTACCTACCAAGTATCTACTCGAGGTAGACGGAAATGTTTCAGTTTTTCCATTTGCATTGTGTTATCGTGTATCTTCAGTCTGCAATCTTCAAGCTTGTACCGTCGGAGTCTTCATACTCTTCCATCCAGTCATGACATGGGAAAATCCCTCAACATCCCAACCAATGCAGGAAGATGGATTTTACCACGGACAGATCTCATCATCTGGGCAAGGTACCGGTATCTGTCTCCACTAACAAACGGCATTCCAATCCAATATTCGGACCACGTTTCTCCGCTCCTCCAATTGATTATCGAACCTTCTCCTCCTTCCTTTCCTATCCTTCTATCAAAGTACTCCGTATGTTCTCCCCACCTGCAAGAAGCATCGTCCTAAATCCTTAAACTTAAATCCTTACCCAGACATGCAGAATCAACATACGAAGTATGCGCAAGCTTGGAAAGCCGCGTAACCATCGGGAGGATCTACTAGGTTCCTACTCACTACCTCGTAATCCTCTGAGAATTCGTTGGAAGACATAGCCATCGAGATACTGAAACTCGTACTCGATACTGTACAGTGAGTGTATAGTGTTCAACTTCAAGAGAAACAAGCATTCGCATCCATCTATCCCGAGTAACAGTAACTATCCTGTCAAGGTGATATGAAGCTTTGCTTCAGGGGTAATGGCTAAGCTAATAGCACCCAAGACGGAAGAAAACATGTTGATCACACCCATCAATGACTTCATCATTCCCACGAAATCGCACATCGCAATCTATTTTCCACCAAATCCGAAAGATACAATACGGAACAATCTAATCCAAAGCTTAATTTTCCAAGAAAACTACTACGGTACAGTAACAGACCCGGCAGTCGTGTAATATACGGATGAGTTACGGGTAAGTTGTGGGATATCGATAAAACTGTGAATGTGCACACACAGACATTTATCCCATCTATATCAATGCTCACCTCACTAAATATCAAAGTCTTTATTTGACACACTCGTGATAATGCACCGAACTTCTTCGTTTACATTACTTAGACGAGCTATCTATGCATTTTCATGTCAGACCCCTCATTCAAAATACGTGAGAATGATTTGCGTCTGACCATCTCAACAAAACCTAGTCTCTCCAATTAAGCATCTTACATTTCTATCCCTACACTACAAAGCTTCGCCGTCCAAAGACGCTTACCATTCTTTTCATCCCGTCCCGGGTCCAAAAGCCTACAGTTACAACATCTCAGCAGGGTGGCAGCTCTCAACATCATACCGATTCATACAGTGACACTGTTGATCTGTCAAGGTAGAGACAACAAACACAAGGATACCATGGTAACAAGTTCACAAACTAGCTTCAAACATCACATCTGAAACCTCCATTAGAGTCAACCCTCGAAGCCACCTCGTTGGCTCTTGGGTGCTCGGAGAATATTCGTTTGATTCCATTCTATTTTGAGCTTATGGTGCTACACGCCATATTACTTGACAATAGAACGAGCATTCGTCTCCGGCTTATGGGTAATAGTATATGTCACTGGATATTGTTGTATGGATACGTTTGAATTCATCGATAGTGTCTGGTGATGTAAGAGAATAACAGGAGTGAGTTTATATCAGTAGAATGCTATCAATCCAGCTAATTTCTTTGGAGTAAGGAATATCCATCGGCTTTCTTACTTTCCTTTCCGTCTAACTCGGGTTCCCGTATCTTCTCTTCAAGTTCAGCTTTTCTGTATCAAGCGATCCATGCTTCTATGTGTTCTCATCCTTCCACTTTCTACTAGACGAAAAATCAGGCCTAGCTACCTGTTTTCTCATGTAAGCTCATGGAATTTGGTAAGAAGTAAGAAATAAGAGGAGATCAGTCTGACTTGATGTATTCAACAAGACCGGAGAGCGACCAAAAAAAACTGCAGAACATCCAAAGATTCAAGGATATAACCCTTATATGATGACTCAACTCAATCATTTCCGTACATAGTCATATTTTTCATATGAATACATACGATGAAAAGCTTCATTATACCACAACGTCCCAAGTTCTGTCCAACACATTATATCACAGTGATTTCATACAAGATTCATCCACTAAATATTACCGGCGCTCATCATACCAGCTGAGAGTAATCTACTGAAAGACTCAAACCGAGGTAAATCCGAGTTTGTCATACATCTCAAGTATACATACATATATACATCTATTTATATAATGAGGATATCTTATATGAAGATGAAAAATAAATAAATATTATATTTATATATATCTATAACAATCTATCGAGATATCGATTATGTAAACCACTAATGTTGATATTAATACTTCAATAAAAGAGATTATATATGTTACGAGGGATACGATCTAGATCACGTGGAAGTGGCCTGGATCCTCGAATGATTTATAACTAAACGTCAAGCAGGAGTTTTAAAGTAATATCAATAATTGCAATTCGTAACTAATAATAGGTTATACTAAATGATTGATCTTGAGCACAAAGCTCCTATATATATGAAACCCCTCTGGTTTATATAGATCTTTGTATCCTGTAGATTCGTATGGACCTACGATTCGTATGGACCTACGATTCGTATAGACCTTCGATTCGTATGGATTTACAATTCGTATCCTTGTATATGTAGGGTCCATCACGTGATCTCTAGGATCAGACTATATATCCGAGCTTGCTAAGGGCAGGGAGACCACATGAAACGATTACCATACAAATTTGTATACAAATCGCCTTGCTTTTTGATGAGGCCTAAGCTCATGTAGACAGGTTGACTGTTACCTTGTAACATGAGTTGTGATCCTGATAATCTGATTGGTCTAAAGTACCTCGGTAAATACCCCGTTAAATAAATCTAACAAAAAACTTAATATAAGCTTTATAATCTTAAATAAATCTGATTTAGAACTTTTTTTAACTTTATTAAAATCATTCAATTTTATTTATTTAAATTAAAATAATAATAATAATAATAATAATAATAATAATAATAATAATAATAATAATAATAATAATAATAATTTATATTATTTAATATTATAATATAATATTATATATTTAAAATATATAAAAATATTGTATAGATTTAAATTTCTCAAATCGTATTGATTGAGGCGGGGTATAAAGAAGTGAAGCTTTAATATATATTTTGATAATATTTATATTAATTGTTTAAAGAATTAAAATTATAAAAATGAAAAATTATATAAATATATTGTTACAAGGTAACAGTCAACCTGTCCACATAAGCTTAGGCCTCATCAAAAAGCAAGGCGATTTGTATACAAATTTGTATAGTAATCGCCTCATATAATCTCCCCGCCCTCAGCAAGCTCGGACATATAGTCTGATCCTAGAGATCACATGATAGACCCTACATATACAAGGATACGAATCGTAGGTCTATACGAATCGTAGATCCATACGAATCATAGGTCCATACGAATCTACAGGATACGAAGATCTATATAAACCAAAGGGGTTTCATATATATAGAAGCTTCGTACTCAAGATCAATCATTTAATATAATCTACTATTAATTACGAATTGCAACTATTGATATTACTTTAAAGCTCCTACTTGACGCCTAGTTATAAACCATTCGAGGATCCAGGCCACTTCCACGTGATCTAGATCGCATCCCTCGTAACAACTCACTTAAACAAGTTTCTTATTTTCTATAACCTATATTAGATAAATTATAATACATTATACATACAACAAAGTTTTGATATCGGCAAGCCAACAATTATTATTATTATTATTAATATTAATACTAATATATAATTATTTATTTTACACATTCACTCACTTACTCATCTACTCTTTGTATTAGAATTCTTAAGAAAATTCTCCCCTCTCTCATCTCTCATCCCCAATATTCACTTCCCCGATCCACCTTCCTTATAATCTAAATCTCAATCCCAATCCCAATCCCAATCCCGCACCCATACATACACTCACCACCTCACCACCTCACCCGCTTACCTCCCAAACTTCTCCCCTTCCCTCTTACAACCCCACCCTAACATTCCCTTAAAATCCCCCCCCACAAAACCATACTACATACCTACACTACAAATCGAATGACCTCCCAAGCTCCCCAGATATAAACAATAACCTACCTACCTACCTACCTACCTACCTTTCAAGTCCAATTCCTTTTCCTTCTTCAACTCTCCTTTCCTCCAACTCTCCTCTTTCTTCAATTCTTCTTCAATTCTGCTCCAATCTCCTTCTAGTTATACTCCAAAATATAATAATAATTAGATTCTGTAGATTATACCCTATATACGTATATATATCTAATCTAATATTTCCTTTTCCCCTTCCATCCCACCACCCCCTCTCCTCACCAACTCCCCAACACCCCAACCAACCCCACCTCTCCCTCCCTCCTTCCTTCCCTTCCCTTCCCTTCCCTTCCTTCCTTCCCTTCCCTTCCCTTCCTTCCCTTCCCTTCCCTTCCCTTCCCTTCCCTTCCCTTCCCTTCCCTTCCCTTCCCTTCCCTTCCTTCCCCCCAAAACCAAAAATACTTCACAGACCATTCAGTGACTTCCCCTAAGTTCGCCAACTTCCCAACATCCCCAACATCTATCTCAGTTTACCTACCACATTACACGTCTTCAAAAACCAAGTAAGAAACCAATTAGCTAGGTAAGGTAGGTTATTCATCCTCCATCTTTCATCTAGTATACTAGTATACTAGTGGTATACTCTAGCCAGTCAAAATATCTCCCACCTTTTTCTTTTTCCTTGAGAAAATTAAACAAGGCGTATAGTATAGTACAAGTAACCTACAGTTAGACATTCAATGAATCAATCAGTCAATCACAATCAATCAATCACAAACAATCAATAAATCAAAGTAGAGAACAAGTTCTATAGGGGTATCAATATATTTAATTCATCAAATTTCTCTTTTCTCTTCTTGTTTCCCTTCCTCGCCCCATTAGCTACTACAGCCAGCCACATACAGCATTGAAGGGTGTATGCAAGGGCAAACTAGCAAAGCAACGCACACATTACGTACCATACATATATCTAACACATACATCTCATCCGTCAATGGAAACCCATAGTGTATGTAAACATAAAACTCAAGGCCATCATATCCCGAACGGCTCAAATGAAGGTACCATTTCCCAAAATCCCATCAGACACATCTTCTCATCTCCTTAAAGGTGAATTTTCCCCAATCCATTCCACCGCTTTCATTCCATTGATTCCTTCTTGTACTAATCATAAATTCTCACACAAATCCTGTGTGTTCCGTGGATCCGAACAACGTCTTTTCAATGTTGAATAAATTCCCTCGCTTCATATGAAGTTAACATCAAAATCCCAGAATAAAAAATACAATGTCCCTCTTAATCGAGGGACTCCCAAAAACACCAGTCTTGATACATGCAATAATGGTATAACAGCTGCTTGCTAATAAATATGCGATCCAGCCCCGCCGCTCCCATAATGGAAAAAAAGAAAATAAAACCATAAAACGCCATGGCTAAGATGCTCCTTTGATGCGAATTCCTTTTTTTAAAGGATCCATTCGACTTTCTTTTATTTTTGAGAGATTGAACTTATTGAAAATTGATCTTCACATTAGTAGTATTCATCGACAAAAATGAAGTTTATACTCCGTGAAAATTGGGTTGAGGTAGTACAGGCCATTGGTTGGCAGCTTGATGACCATATCCGGGTACAACACCGGATCGATAATCATGCCTCTTGCCCAACGGTTGATAATGTATATGGTTTGTGTTGACTGCATAATCGTGCATCGAGGTAGATGGTGGTGGATAGAGGAGGGTATTAACGTGGCGAATAGGCTTGTAGGGCGAGTTTCTTTGTTGGTAGAAAACAGACGGTGAAATGTGACCGGAGGTTCCAGGGAAGGATGCACTGAGTGGGGAAGGAACTGATGCAAGTAGTTCTTGGACGGCTGAACGAGGACTACGTTGGCCACATGGAGCGCCAACAGTTTGATTGCCGTGTTGATATGCAACGACTTGTGATCCACTAGTTTGTGACCCAGAAAGGGTATGACTTAAAATGTGTTGTGGATAAGTCGGAGTAGTTGGATAGACTGTGGACATGGCTCGACTGACGTTCAAAGGAGGTAAAAGTGGTGCGTTTTGAGAAAAGCTAGGGAGGCCACTATTCCCGCCCATCGCTTGGTTTGTCGAGATCGTCAAATTAGGTACAGGGGGTAAACGAGGTCGAGGAGTCATGTTGAAGTCTTTAAGGGAATTAGATGTTGAGGTTATTGACCTAGACACACGCTTTGCCACCGGTTCTTCAGCATCTTCCACGAAACTTCTCTTTCTTGCATTCGGGTGGAAATCTTGGTCCGAAGGGGTCGAAGCAGTTGTTAGTGGCGACACCAACTGAGTGGCGTTGCTAATAGCATGCCACTGAGGGGTAAGATTGTATGATCCGGCTGGGGATGCATATTGACTCGTTTGTGTTGGAGACGGAGCTTGCATCGACGCAGGAGGAGATGGCAGGGTCGGTTGGTACATGGGTGGAGGAGATAATTTTACGGCCCGATCACAAAAGCTCCCGAATTTCCCAAGCGTCAGTTGCCATTCTTTCCACTCATCCTCAGTTGCAAGTAAGCTGTAGCGCATGTTGCTCAAAAACTCGACTTCCATTATATGGATTTCAGTGACAGAGATTCCTGAAACTTCGGCCCATGTCTTGTTGGTATATGTGTTGTCATCGAGAACTATTGTATTGTAAGTAAAGATTTTCGTGGTCTATATATCATTGTTGACTCACATTTGTTGCCCAGCATCAATGCCACCGTTAAGAGTCTGTATTCGCTGCCACTTCGCCCTTTAACTACTGGGTTAATGGATTTCAGACGGTAAATGAAAAGTAGCGCTAATAATATCACATTCTGTGAGACCTGCGTGGTCATGAGAATCGTGACAACCCATTTTGTAAACCCGACAGACGGGAACGCTTCTGGTCGTAGTCTTTCTATGGTCGTTGATCCTGCCCATGAATTTTCCGCCCTCTTCAATGTATCGGTAGATTCAAACCAGAACAAACAAGTAATCTAGTAAGTCAGACCATATTCATAGTTGAGTACAAATATCAAGGAGTGCAATTTACCTGTGCAGCGAATTCGGCCAAACTCCCACCACTGTCATTTATTGATTTTGGTATTTGCAGACTGGGATGAATATTGTCTGTAGTTGGTTTTTTTGCTTGCGGCTTTCGAGTAGATTCAGACTCCAGGGTTGTCAGGGCAGAAGAGTAGAAAGATTCAGATGCACGCTTGGGTTTTACTGTTGGCCAATTATAAGATTCCCTTGGTTGAGAGGGCTCCACAATCTTAGATACTCTGTGTACTAAGTCTCCGGGTGCTTGTGAAATTCTAGATTGTGTAGCTGATCCATCATAATCGCCTGTCCTGATGAAATTTAGAGACTCTGGACCGGTCTCATTATGCCGGCCTTTATAATGAGGATATGGCGGTCCTGGATATGTTGCATGCATGTCGTCTTCAGGTGGAGTTCGAAGCCCAACTCTAACCGGAGCTTCTATGTATCCTGAGTGGTTGATTTGTGGGAGTGTGAGAGGGAATCCAACGTCCTTCCTACGATCGATTCCAAAGGGAGTCTGTGGCGTGGGAGGTAAAAGAAAACTGAACGAAGCCGGCCTAACTGAAGTCTGATGCATTGGGGAATGAGTGTGTGTGTGTTGATTGTTGGAGGTTGAGCTATCTATCTTTTGGAGGAGTGAGGTTTGTTGATTGGAAGGTGCTCGAGGGAAGGTGGAGGGAGAATTCTGGTGGTAGGTGGTGTAATTTCAAATGTTGCTTTTAACTATTGACTATCCCCAAGTATTTGCCGATATACTCTGTGAATTTCCCTGAAATCTCCCAGCGGTAGTTGATGATGGAGATGGACTGTAAAACCTAAAATCGAGCTATCTGGGGAGCCATGGAAGTCTCCGCCAATCCTACTCTAGAGAAATTGGTCGGACCGGTGGTAGTTTTGAACGTAGTAGGTCGAGAAGATAGTTAGTGGGCGTGTTGCTGATCGGTAGTTTGTATAGTAATCCTGAGTAGAGTAGAGTAGTGCGGAAAGTGAATTGGTCTTTTCAATGAGGAAGGAGTTGGTTGCTGTTAAGGAAGCTTTCCTAAACGAATCGAAACTTGGAGAGTAGCAAAAGTCAAGGAATACAATATTGAAGTTCGGGTTGAAAGATAAATCTCAAGCCAGGAAAAGTAAGGAGAAACAGAGAAAGTCTCTGAGGAATTGTGAGATATATGAGAAGTTATTGGAATAGGAATTGGAAATTCTTGGTGATGTGATTGAAGTACTAAGGAAACAATTATAACAAATAATGTATGGATATAAAAATTGGAGACGTTGGCTCAAGAGAGACTATGAAAGAAGGAACGAATAATGTGAAATATCGGAATAATACCTAGGCACAGGACCGACCGATATGTAAAAGAATCAACTAGGATCGAATCTGTATTAGATACGCAATGGTAATTAGTATCATTGGTATGAGGGATTGGGATCTTGTCTTGTACGGTATGGTCTGGTATGGGATGGTTCGGTACGAGAGACAAAGGGTTAATGAAAATGGAGATGAAAATGGAAATATGGAAATATGGAATTAGGAATATGGTACTGGAAGAAAGTGGAGGCTGATTGAAGCATTCATTCATTCATTGATGTCACAGGCAGAGCCAGGTACAAGGAGTCAGGACTCAAGGAGAGAGGGGAGTAAGGTAATGTAAGGTAAGGTAAGGAAGGTAGTGAGTGAATGAATGAATGTGGATAAGATAAAGCAGAGTTAGTTATTCGCATAGTTAGAAAATTAGAAAAAGAATACACACACACACACACACACACACACACACACACACACCCTCGACCTCAACCTCAACCTAGACTGGTTGATGTGGTGGTGTACGACTAGACTAGGATAAAATAAATCTGTCCCTTTTTTTGGGTTTAGGGAGGGACTCAAGCCTTCCTGCGTACACCTGCAAGAAAAGAAGGAAGAAAAAATAAATACAACGACGAAAAGGATTTCTTCCTAGGAGAGATTCCACATTAGTCTATTTAGTCTGCTAGACACCTCCTCCGTACAATAATACCTATGTAGCATGCACACATTAGAGAAAGGGCTTTGGTACTAGGGCAGCTAGCTAGCTAGTGCGATGTACAGAGTAGAAGCTATCATCAGCCGGAAATAGGAATCTAGGAATATATTTTTTATTTTACATATTATGGATGATGAGGATTTTTCGGGGATTTTGTAACAGGGATACATAGGCCACCTATGGAAAAATGTACATGATTGAATAATGATATGGTTTAGATGAGGTTAGAATGAAAAGGACTTGATGTTAGAACTTAGAATAGCTCTTCTAGGGCTTCTAAAGCAGAAGCCAAAGCATAGGGAACTAAAGGTTAGCATCAGTGTGTACGTATGAAAAAAAAGATGAAAAGCTGATCAAATTATATAACATCCGTAAATCATATGTGTACAGAGTATTTTGTCTGTGGAATGGGAGTGAAATTTGTATGGGTTTGAGGTGGATGTATGGATATCATAAAAAGACATGGAAATATGTTCCCATGAGGCTGGCTGTCTTGAATCAAACTTACTATTGGCCGATAAATTATTTACTACTTCTTCACCCCCTCTCTTGATTGCATCACATTGTGTTTTGGTCTCTCTGGCCGCGTTGGACGCTTTGATTGGCTGTAGTAAGCCGGCTTGCAAAGAGTTTGAGTGGCATTATATGTTGAATGTAGTGTACCTAACAAAGTACGATATAGATCGAGTCCAGACCTAATGTTCTATTCGTGTCTGAGAGGAGAAGAGACGGACATGCGGCACTCGGCTTTTCTGACTGAAAATGTATTGGCATTCTAAACTGGCATTTTGCGGTTCTTTTGGGACAAATTCCTAAGTTGACCTATAGAATCGGCTAGAATTCCAACAGATCGAATTGAGTTTTGACTTTAGCTCGATATATTATTACTCTTTCGGTATTCGTGCTGTCTTTTCAACCTATTTATTCTTCCTTCTAATTGAAGATAAAAATCAACCAGGACCGAAACGTCCCGATGTATATTAATACAATTAATACATACCCACATACCTCGCCTGTGGAGGGAAAATCAAGAATTCCAAGTAAATTTTGATCTATAGATATTAGATATACACCGGGCGTACTGCAAATATAATCCATGTGCCACCTACTCCATTACCAAGCTGAGCAACACCTATGTATTTCGAACGAGGGCACCTGGGCAACATGACAGGGAGCGGGGATGTTTGCAGCACTCTCGCTGTGAGGGCCTACCGATGCCTAGTGTACTCCGTATGTCTTTGTGGTGGAGCGCAGCGCGTGGAACGATGGAAAGCAGTGCACCAGAAATGAGATGTTGCATTTCACTCTGTTTGGCACGCACATAGTAGTCAGAAGCAGGTTTAGTCTTACCTATTCGGTCTTGGAATTTCCATCAAGCCCCCTCGAGGTAGAGAATGAAACTGGGATCATCAATGCTTACATGTCATGGGCTGGACCTGGATCATCCACTGAGTGCGAAAATTCGCAAGCGCCAGTCTGTTTGGTTTGGTTCCCTTCTTGTGATATACGGAGTGAAATAGTGCCACTGTGCCAATGGGCAATACGGATTTATGTGGATGATCAAGCTTTTGTGCGTTGCGTTGCCATTGCTTCACCGTGATTGGTCGTTAAGATGAGACTTGTGCTTGTGCACTAATAAAATGTAAGAATGAAGATAGAAATGGTGCTAGTATGATGTATGGAGAAGGAGTGAAGGAATGAAAAAAATGATCATAATTGATCAAATTATAGTGCGAAGTGAGGGTTGTGATTGAATCTGATTGGTAAATGTGGTGAAAATATGTCAATGTATCAACAGTGTGCATTTCATTCATTGACACCTAGCGTTACGCTTTAGGTTTCTGACTCTGATCAAACCTACCATTTTGGATTTTCATGGCATTGGTACAAAAGTACAACACGCACGGCAAGAATGGACCAAGGAGATGAAATGTTTCTAGGATAATCAGGATTACGGATTACTCTCAAGCTATGAAATCTACCTTCTCAATGGCCAAGCAAGAAAAGCGCTCCGTTTGTTTTTTTACCTCAAAAATTCCCTAACCAATAGCAAGGACTCTCAGGTCTATCTACGTACTTCGTATGCAGACGACTGACTGACAACGACGCTCGGAATCCCATAATCGAATCAAACATATCCCAAAATTCACATTATCGATGAAGGGGGGAATTCGTTTCCGGGCTTCCAGGCTGCAGACTTCTTTTTGTTCCACCACTTGTCTAATACCTCACATATATGATTGGTGCCAAATTTCAGGTACTTTTTCCTTTTGCGCAACTATCTTTTTCCCTTTCGCTCACTACCCAACAGCCCCAGGTGATAAAAGGTTTTCATCTATGTAAAGCAAGGCATGCATGCCCTGCTGAGGCAGTATAAGCAAATTCCTCCCAGTCACTGAGTCAAAGATATCAAACATGATCCGCAAGTACCCTCTCGACAGGGGGCCACCTATGGCATGACTTATTCTGTGTTGTGTCAGTCAGGCTGTGTTTGTGAGCAAGTGAGTGAATATGAGAGAAAAGATCATAGATCATAGATCAGAGATCAGACTTTTCCATGATCATCCATCATCCATCATCCATCGGCATATTTTCCTAATTTTGACCCGTGATTCTGGGAGACCACGCTACGACTTACGCTTTCTGTGGCTGAATTTCGCCGCCCCCCCTTCACCAATTTCAATCAATCCTACAACCATGATTGATCCATCCGGTTCGTCAGCTGGGGCATTGGCCGGTGTATGCGAATATGCGAATATGCACACGGGTCACTTGTTACGATACCAACCAATATGATACAGTAACAGTAAAATACAATACCATTTCGCTATACAAGCAAATTATCATTTATAATTATCCATCACCCACTACACTCCCCTACCTACGTATAGTACAGTTACCATAGTAAAAAGTAGGTCAAGTACCGGTACCTTGCCGTGCAGCTATTAACCTGATGATCTTTTGTTCGAAACACACTTTTTCAAGGGGGAGAATGTAGCTCCAAATTTCGTGTGTTTGTTCAATGTTCATCAATCAATCAAACAAACAAACCAACAAACAATCAATCAATCAATCAAATCATCCATTATTTCCTTCCATCAATTTCCAGCAGGAAAATGGAGAATGAAAATGATTCCGTTCCGTCTAAATTACAATCCATTGGTACCTATCGATCCTGGTTTAAGGTATGATTATCGAATTTTGAACACACTCCGTGTTACTCTACTTTTTTTGATTCCCGTCCCAGCAAGCCCGCCTCCGTAATGGCTGTAGTCAGTGTAATCATTTAAAGCCAAAAGCCAAAAGCCAGAAGCGGGTTGGTTCCAGGTTCTTTTTTCCGTGCTTAGCCGTTGGGCGGTGCTGCCAAAAGGACCCTACCATCAAAAGGTTTAGGTAGGTAGGTAGCTAGGTGAGGTGGAGATACACATGACATGACAAGTTGCAAGGAAGGGCAAGGAAGACGAAAGCTGCGAACAGTAAATAATGTGTAAGACTGTAAGTCTTTAGTGTGCTAACACACACATATTGCTGATGATCAAGACCTTTCTTGTAAGTCGCTCGCCTACGATTTTCAATTGAGAAAAGCCGGTGTAGTGTGTACGGAGTGAAAAGGTTCTAGATTCTGAATTTGTTAGGTGCAGCCCACCACCACCACCACAGAATTTAATACCCTGGCAAACGAATCCTAAGTCCGCTCTTTCTTACACTTTACGCGACTCGCAAATATCGCGAGAAGAATCGTGACCTATCTGCGTAGCGTGTATCTATCTATGCATTTGTGAGATTTGAATCGTTGATGATGATTAGATGGCTGCTCCGTAGATGATTAGGTGGAGAACGAATAAGGGAGTTTTGGTGGGGAAGTTGAAGGAGGGGCAATCTTCATTTGTTGGGCCCAAGTAAAAACTATCTTGGTCTCCTCCTCCATAACCCAAGTCAAACCGGTTCGAATTAGCCCTTCATCAATATACAGGACGGCCGGCGTCAATCAATTTGTTCTGTGCTCCATCAATAATAACATGTGTACGTTCGGATGTAGGATGTACTCGGTATAACAACCTCCTTACACGGTGATTTACTTTTACAAATGAGGTCGTTTATCTCTTCACGTAATTCGTTGTGCAAAACGGCGAACAGCACCGGATTTAGATATAGTATCTACTTGTTAGCCAAGTTTAGGAGTGATGTAGGATGAGATTCTAAACGGATGGCGAGTGGAATACGTCGAACCAACATCAGATTTCACCTGTCTTAGCATCGTAACCCTGCTTGCTACCTACCTATGCTCCATTAATCATCTGAGCATATCGTCTATCCGCCCGCCATTTTCCTTTCACCATCTTCCTGCACCTGCGTCCTACATGCCGTATGCGGATGATGATATGAGAAGAGCATGGTGCATAAATAAACAATAATACGCTATGCGATTGATGTATTGATGGGGGTTGAGTTTCGATGTTGTCGTTGTTGGATATGGTATGGTTTGGTTTGGCAAAGCCGGACGGCATGAACAGATTTGTCCCGTTGCCACTGTATTGTGTCTGTCCAACTACTTACTTACCTTCCTTGCTTGTCGGTCGGTCCTGTTTTGTGTATGCAGAGCGGGGGCGGAGATAGGTAACTGCGATGAAAGAAGAGTGTACTGTGTGTCATATCATCGTGTTCTTGGTGAGAGTTTTATTTTAGATTTTGCTTGTGTGTCGCCGTGGCATTTTTGTCTGAGTCATAGCATAAAGTAACCTTCTTGGTTCCAATTCCAAATGTTCCATGGATTCCTTCACCTAGAAAATTCCTTGGAAGGCTAGGTTTGAGGAGGACCGAGGACGACGCACATTTCCATTTGGCTAAAACTTCAGAATCGCTGGACTCCCGTTCCGTTTCCTATGTTTCTCCGTGGCCTGCCTCCGCTTCACCTTGCTTTGCCTGTAAGAGCGTGCTTTGGAAATTATTAGTCTGACTTGTCCTTGCCTTGTTGCTCTTCACAGGCACATGTCCGCGCGTGCCGTTTTTTTCTTTCTCGGAACACACGCTTTTACGAAGTTATCATAAATTGAATTAATGATTTGATCGTCAACCGCGGTCCAATGCTCCACTTCAATTCGCGTTACAGCTCATGCGACCCTCAAGCCTTTCTTCAGGTGGTGGGGTGAAGGCTCAGAGGATGCATCCAGTAATATTGAATGAGAACCTTGAAATCTGGAGCACAACTCAAAAAGACCTTTTCCCGGACCCGGCTGCGGCACAGCCTTTTCAACTTATCCTTGTCTAGTGCTTGAAATATGTGTGATTGGATCAAATCCATACTTTCTATACTATCCTCCTCTTGGTAAATGCATTTTTAGGGGTTATTACTTCACCGCCTCCATTCTAGAAGAAGGTTTGTCCAAAATGAGGGGGAGAGGATTTTGAAGGGATGACATGATTTGAGGCATTGATGGATTGATGATGGATGCATGCGAACAGAATCCGAAGCGTCAAGACTTAAGACTCAAGCGTGACGCTCGCTCACTGATCGAATAGAATAGAAAGGAGCAATTCCACCTGGCATGGTGAGACCTTTAGCTCATTCCTGCTGCTTTAGATAAGATATTACCAAAATTGCCTACGTATCATCAGAACTTTAATCCAAGGTTCCATATTGATATCACATCACGATGACATTTCGTATTTGGGGACTTGTAATGGAAAGTACACCGAACTGTGGTGGGGCCTATTGGGGCAACGGCAGAATATGTTGTAAGCCTAAAAATATAGCCGATCATCAGTATTTTTAGAGAAGGGTTTGAATGGAATACATGTATATCTATCTATATATATTTATACACTTGTATATTTATACTCTGTAGAGTAATCAATAACTTTGACTTCCTTTGGCGTCGGTTTAGCCTGCATCCATAAATTCATAATGATTCCAAAGTAGCTGGTTAGCAGTTGGCAGGGAGAGAGAATTCGGCTCGTCTTACTTTGTCAAGGATTTTCAACATCATGATTAATTACTATCTATCATTGACGGCCGAAAGACCTCGAATTCTCCATCCAGAGTTTGAGTCTAATGAGTGTGCTACTACTTTTGACTCCGTCCTCGATGTATATGGTTATCACCGGAGCCATTAGTAGTAAACCTAGGCAAAATAAGGACAAATCTGCATCTACCTAATGTTGGTATACGAGGAACTTCGTCATCTCGGATTTGGTAATCGAAGAGATAAAACCACCCAGATCTCCGGAAAAGAAAAGAAAAGATTACAATAGCTAGCCATTGCATATGAAAGGACCAAGGACCCAAGTAAATTACCTACCTTGCCGTTGCCGTTTTCAAGATTTGGCATGGTTTTTTCTTCTTTACTTTGTGGATGGATGGCTTACTGCAGATGAATGGCCACAAGCGTTGTAGACCGTTCGTTTTTCTCATTTTAGTGTGGGGAGAGTGGGATTGGCCTTTTGCATCTATCAAACTTTGGTCAATTTTGTCTGGGATCATTTTTATATATCCCCAAGCATGATAAACTCCGGCTTCTCTCGTTCAGCTTGAAAGTGGGAAGGAAAGTGGACAAAACAGATGCAAACGGGACACACCAGAAATTGAATACGCATTTTACCCGGTACGGTCAAACCTAGTATGGTCATGAATGATCAATCAATCTTGCATGCCCTGCAACACTATCGATCGACTGATAACTCATCTACCTCCTGGTATGATCATTGGGGCATACCGAAATGCAAGTCTACACAAGTACGCTCGGTCTACAACTCGGTCTACAGCTTTGTCTGGTACAGTATCGTTGTTTTGTATGGTAGCACCGTCTGTGTCTAGACTTGGATGTGACGGTTACGGAAGTGTGCCCCTTTCCAACCCTACACTATCGTGAAAACACTTCGGCATCCCCAAGAGTATCATTACGATATGCGTTATTTGGTTCGGGTACTACCAATGGGATGGGATGCTCACCATTTTCCAACATGGAATCGTTTCGAATAAGGTATCAATAAGGCTAGACAGGCTGAGGAACGCCTACACGAATTTTGACCTTGGACATCATGCACTCAGTTATCCGGAAAAATTCACGACATCATGGAATCAGCATTTGATCTTGCAATTTTAAGACTTCTATGCTGACGACCACTCACGCCCCATATCATAGCATAGCATCCTGTGGCTTGTATTATATTATCATGCCCGCGTAATATTGTAAAAGATACAGAACCGCAGAAATGGGCGATCTGCCCGGTCAGCTTGTTCGACGTCGCATGCAGACATGCTTGCCCGCGGTGTTTATAATTCAAAAAAGCGACAAGTCATTCGTGTTCTTTACCGGCTGTGCTTGCTTTTAAGCTACTCATCAACGATTAACCAACTTTTTTTCTCTCAATGTTACACACAATAACCTGTCATGCTACTCCTTTAAGCCCCCCACCAAACACCATGGTAGACTAGATCTTTTTCTTCCCGTCTCTTTCTACTGCTGGAACTTACCTAAGCTTTCAAAAGGCTGTAATCCATCATATGCAGACAAGCTGTCCTTTGAAAGTTGGCTGAACTGAAAGGAGACTCGGGAAGGAAGGAATACAAGCCTGCTCGGTAGGTTCAGCATGCCCTCCGGTGCAAATTCGGTCCCCTGTCGCTATTGCATCTAATCAATGCAAAAGGCCGCACATCCAACACCAGGTAACATCTCCAGGTTGAAAACTGGATCCCTCATCAGCAATTCATCAGCGATTCGGAATTTGCAATTAATACATGTTTACCAACCATCGACGCCAACGCTCCTGGGTCATTCGATTGAGAAACCATGTCCCACACATATATCACATTACAAAATTTGTTCATCTTAGCCGGATCGTCGCGCCTCATGGGATGTGGTTTTCCAAGTGATAATCTTCCACTTCCCGAGGTTCAAACTCGCATTCAGCAATCAGGCCGATGTCTTAAATGAATGAAGGACTAAGGGTCTTACTATCACTATGAACACATCATCAAGAGTCATCATGATATGCGCGTGCCCAGGAAAGTCTCATCGACTGGAACTCAGGTACTAGGTGAAAAATGAAGGCCGACTTCTCATCAAATATCCAGCCTCGTATATGTTCTGTCTGATATGGGGAGGTTGGAGAGGAACATCCGGCCAGCCAAATGTCTGTTGTATGTCAAACAACATACGCCCCGTACCGCCCGTTGTACAAATGATCCCGAAAACCGAAGCAAAGATTTGTTCTTTGTAGCCAAGATATCGCAGTTGAGATTGTTGCATACATTTCAATAGGATGTATGACACCACCGTCTTTTAGGCTTGACAGCTTCCCAAATCATCCTCACTAGTCATTCTTGGTCGGTCCAACAGGGGATTTGTATTCACTGAGTGTAATTCGTGACTTGTCGAAATGAGAGTGTACTACTTGAAGTGAAACGATGGTAGGCCGGTTGTATTACTAGCAGAGTTGTTAAACTTTGGTATCAAACTTTTTACTCTAAAATATCCAAAATTAACCCCTCAACCAAAAATGAATACATGTAAACGGGTTAAAATCTTTTAAATATTGGTGTTCTTGAAGTCTGATATTGATATAACGTGAATATCACGTGATCATACACTCAGAAGCACTTTATGCCTAAGGTAGAAAGTTTTCATTCTATTTTTGGTCGGTTGAAAATTGGTTTCGCCGCCAACGAGAATTAGTTGCCAGGGACATACGAGATGTTCAAGACTAATCAATGCTATTGGTGCATTCTTCCCCTTGGTCGCAACGACTCCCCATCATTCAAACATTCACAATCTTTGCATCTCATCAAAACATCGATACAGTAACTTTTAGACCTACACAATTACGATCGCTAGTTTTATCATCGCTACAAATACATTCATTCATTGCAGTTTCACGAAAGTTTATTACCATACCGTCGTTCCGCGAATTCCTCGTACCGTAATACCATTCGATTTCCAACCTCCTCAAAACATCTCTAATAACATCAAACGACAACGATATAAGCTACGATGGGTTTCGGGGACTTTTACTCGATCTGCGAACAAGCAGCGCTTCCATTATGTGCAGAGGTGGGAGCGATAAAAACGATTGCTGGAAGTCATGGTATCGAGGCAAATTGCTACTCGCGCAATATTGAGCTAGCCAACACAATTATATTTCAAGGAGCCGCAAGCTTCGTGCATATCATGGCGTTAATCATGACTGTTATCATGATCTTGCACGTCAGGAGTAAATTTACTGCTGTTGGTACGTCGGCCCGGAGTGCATCTTGAGGTGAACATCGAATTGAGCGAGACTAACGCGACATCTTACAGGCCGAAAAGAAATCACAACCTTCTTCTATATATATATGCTCCTCACATTCATTACGTTACTTCTCGATGCTGGTGTTATCCCACCTGGAACTGGTCCTTACCCGTATTTTTCAGCCATACAGAATGGTCTCACGTCTGCGCTCACAGTCTGCTTATTGATTAATGGATTCGTTGGATTTCAGTTATACGAAGATGGAACACGAATCTCTGTTTGGCTTCTCCGCTCAATTAGTCTCGCTATGTTTGCTCTTACTTTCCTCGTTTCCCTCGCTACCTACATGTCCTGGGCAGGACTTGGCCCTACTCGAACTGTTGGGCTTTTCGTTGTGCTATACTTACTTTCCGCTATTGAATTGGCTATTTACGGTATCATGCAAGTCATTCTTGTAGTAAACACACTCCAGGACCGTTGGCCCTTGGGTGAACTCTCGTTTGCCCTTTTCTTCTTTGTTGCGGGCCAAGTTGTACTTTATGCATTCAGTACTAGCATTTGCAACGCTATCAGCCATTATTTGGATGGATTATTTTTTGCTTCAATTGCTAATCTTTTAGCCGTCATGATGATTTACAAGGTGAGCTTTAAGTATAACTCACAATCTACTCTATTTATTAACACCTCGAACAGTACTGGGATTCTATTACTAAAGAAGATCTCGAGTTTTCTGTTGGCATCAAGCAGAACAATTGGGAAGTTAAGGACCTTCTCGAAGATGAGCGAAGAAACACTGTCTACCAAGATATGGATTACCAGCACAGTCCTGGCCATCAACCTCGAAACTCGAATTATGGCGGCTTTAACTATTAAAAAGTCATGCTATGAAATGTGGATGTGATGAAAGACTAAACTTAATGGATGAGGAACAAAAGGGGAGATACCACAGCTGATGAGAAGAGACACGTCGGGTCTCTGTTCCATTACATTGCATCAGGAGGGAATCCTTGTAACAAAGCGGAGATGTCTGGGAATTTGAGCGGGCGTCTTATTGGTTTGAGGGTTTGTATGAGTTCATGGGCGCCTTGTAAATAGCAAGGACAGTTATAATCGTTTTCTTGGGCAATGGATAGGTATGATAGGTGAAATGAGCGAGAGGTGGCGTTATTTATTTCGGGTCTGGGAAAGCGTAGTATGGAATTGATGAGAGTGTAATGAGTTTGTAGGGAGACGAGGAGGGAATAAGAAGAAGAAGAAGAAGAAGAAGTTGGATATCCTTGATTGTGAGTGGAAAGAATTGGGGTGGGAGAGGGAGAATGAAAGAATGAAAGGAAATGAAATGAAAGACGAAGAAATTGATTGAAAAGAGTGAAGATATGAAGAGGTGAGTGACGAAAGAATGAGATAATAACATGCAGAGCGGAGTGTAAAGAACAAAGAATAATAAAATAATAATATAGATATAATATATCAAAGTTCTAACTACCTACTCTACTCCCTATCTGTGAATATCTTTCTGGTTTTGATGTGATTTGATTTTGATTCCCTTTTCTTATTTTGATATTTATTGTGCTTGTTCACTTAATTAATTGCTTGCTTTTTCGTTTGTTTGTTTATCTCATAAGATCTTATATATATATATATATACTTGTTCATAATATAAATACATATAATTTATATATTGAAAAAAATAAAATAAAAATAAACATGAATCTTATCTACCTAAACTAACCCTACCTAACCTAACCTAACATAGTAATAGATAGATAGATAGATAAATAGGTATGTATGTACTGCTCACTTACTTACTTGCTGAAAGTATTTACATCTATCTATCTATATATCTCTTCTATCTCTTCTATCTATGTGATCTATGCGATCTAGAGTGATTACTGATATCCATATTTGTGTCCGTGTCCGTATACATATCCATATTCGTATACACATTTCCTTCTCTTCTCTTCTCTCCTCCCCACCATCACCCCATTTCCCCTTTACAACCAAAAACCTACAACCTCGGTTCCACCATCCCCCTCCACCCCGCCTCCTGAGCAATCATCTCCGCCGCCCTCTCCCCAATCGCCAAAACAGTCAACATGGGATTAATCGTCGTCATCGTGGGGAAAACCCCCGCATCCGCCACCCTGACCCCCTTCAACCCCCTAACCTTTAATTTCTCATCACAAACACTCATCTTATCCTCTTCACTGCCCATTTTAGTCGTTCCAGCAGGATGATACACAGTATGAGCTGCTTTTCTCCCGTATTCTGAAAGTTGCTCGTCGGTTTGGATTTCTGGACCAGGAGCTACTTCGCGGAGGAGCCAGTTGGAGAAGGGGGGTTTCTTTGCGATTTCGCGGGCGGCTTTGAGGCCTGCGACGATGGTGGCTGCGTCGTAGCCTTCGGGGTCGGTGAAGTAGCGGAAATCGAGGGCGGGTTTCACAGAGGGGTCGGATGAGGTTAGGTAGATGCGTCCTCTTGATCTGGGACGTGGGATGTTGGGTGTCATACAGAAGGCGTTTAGAGGGGCGTCGTAGCCTAGACGAGCGGTGTTAAGGCAGAAGGGGATTTGGTAGCAGTGCATCATGATGTCTGCGATGGTGCCATCTGGGAGTCCTTTAGGGTTGAGTTCTGGGTGAGTGTGGTTTTTGGCGGCGTTGGGGAGTTCCCGACGGAGGAATATACCTGCGTCGCTGTCCATGGTGGTTTGTGGTGGGACTGGGGCGTTGAGTTCCCACATGATGATGGATTCTGGGTGGTCGATGAGGTTTTCTCCTACACCGGGAAGGTCGTGTATGACGGGGATACCGAGGTCTTTGAGTTGTTGGTCGGGCCCGACTCCAGAGAGTAGCATGAGACGACAGGTATCGACTGCGCCAGCACAGAGGATAGTTTCGGTCTTGGGAGAGACGGTGAGTTTCTCGCCAGATTTCAAGGTGACGTTTACGCTCTTGACGGTTTTGTTGGAGTCGAAGTTGAGTTTGCTGACCCAGGCATTGGTGAGAATGGTCAAATTTGGTCGATTCTCGGCTCCTCGGAGAATTGGGTGAATGTAAGCTACAGATGCGGAACTTCTTCGTCCATCATCTGGATTGTAGGATACTGAGAAGAAACCTACACCTTGTTCGAGAGCACCCTTTTCACGAATCTCGTGGTTGAAATCATGGATGATGGGAATGTCCATGGCGGTAGAGCAAGATTGAACCCAATCCTTACAAACTTGATTTCTGTGACGTGGATGAACTGGGTTGGTTTGATTGCGGAGGTTATCAATGAGACGCATCATAGTCTTGAACCCCCATCCTTTACATCCTAAACTCTCCCAAATTTGACAATCATACTCGAATGGACGGAATGATATCAGGGTATTGTGAGAAGAGCAGCCTCCAAGAACCTTAGCACGTGAGTGTCTAATGTATGAGTTGCCTATTTTCTGTCAGCATCCATTTCCATTGCTTCTGAGAAGATGATACTTACCATTTGGTTGTTCGGTGGTTCCATAATCATAATCCAATTCTCCACCAAGTAACGTAAGCCATTCCTTAAGCTTCAATACTTTATCATTATTGAAATCACTTGGGCCACCCTCAATCATAAGAATCTTCTTATTGGGTAAATATTCGGAGAGTCTGCTAGCAATAACACATCCTGCCGTTCCACCTCCAACAATGACATAGTCAAAGTCATTGACTTGTGATGAAGATAAAAGATCGGTAGTCATCCTGAATACTTGTGTTGAATTTGAATGAACGATCCAAAGAAGAGGAAGCTATTCAGAAGAAAAGATGTAAAGGAGAAGGAATAAATCTATTTGTAATAGTATAATGCACTCCGTAGAAAGTCGTCCTCAGGTGATTTCTTGGTTATCGAGTCTTGAGATGATTAGATCCTAGTCAAGAGAGGGGCTGGAAGTGGATTCTGAAATCGATCGAGGTGACTGGGTATGAGGCGGTATAAAGTCTCTGGGGTTGAATTACTTGAGTAGTATGTAAACTGTAAACTGTAAACTGTAAATTCTTAAATGATAGATAAAATTGCCAAGTAGGGAAACAGGGCGCGCGGCCTTGAATGCCTTTCCGATGATTGCTGGAGGATGACTTTATGAAGTGACGGTGAAGATAAATCAAGATGACCGATCGATGTTATGAGAGAGATGGACATAGAAAGATGATGAGAATTTATAAAGTAGAGAAGAAAAAAAAGGGTTAATAGTTTTTTAAAAGAAGATATATAAGGAGTCAGTAGCCTTCAGAAACTAAACTTCCTAGTAAATGTTTAGGGTGTTGAGTATGTAAAAGTCTTACTTGACTCCGTACCAAGGATCAATTCAATAACTGCTAGGTAATAAAAAGACTAAAAACAGTGAATTGACCTTTTGGCAGTTCTCAGGAGGGAAATGAATGGTAGAATGAATCATGCCATGACTTTATATATATATATATATTATATATATTATATATTTGTACCACCAAGACGGGGATTCTGATGCTCATCGCGTAATCTTTAGATCTAAACATCCGTCCATCCACGTCAAGGAAAGAGAGACTTACGGAATGGAATATAAATACACATGATTGAATAGGATCGGTGTAGTCAATAGATATCATATCGTATCGTAAACAATCACTCGGTCAATCAATCAAGCAGTCAATCAGTCAATCAGTCAATCAGTCAATCAGTCAATCACACAAAGGAAATGTAATGTGACTGATGACCGACCGATAGAAAGGGAAACTTAAAATGTTCAAAGGAAAAAGGATCTTTTCTTCTGATGTCGTTTAGTGTAACTTCAATTAAAATCCAATTAGGCTTAGCTCATGTAAGCCCTTTTCCGGGGACTGAAACATTTTGACCAATAATAACTTCACCATGACGACAAATTGAGTTTCATCCATGTCAGTGCCAAGCTTTTCCATTACCCCTGGTAAATCATCGTCATTGCCAAATGAAGAGAGTTTTTCCCTACAGAAAGCAGAGAGCAGAGAGCAGAGAGCAGAGAGTTACATCCATCCATCCTTGATCGTTTTATCTCTTCATCATTTATCTCTTCACCAAACACCAACACTCAGTCATATCTATAATCTAACCATCTCGAGGTAGATTCTTTTTACTCTACATGATACCGATACACCATCTCATGCATTCACTAGCTACAATACCGCCATCGCCATGCCCTTCTCTCTTGTCCTCGTTATCGCTCTCGATATCGATGTCAACATCTTATCATCATCTCTCGCCTTCTCTCACCATCGGCGTCTGATGTCCAAGGTGGCTGGTTCCAACGGAGCATCGCCTCGTCCTTCATTCCTTGTGCTTCTCACATCCAATTCCCCGAGAAGAAGGCGATTGATTTCCCGTATTCAGTATTCCGCTCGGGTACTCTTACACAATCGATCCCCTTTATGGGCCGACATTCCGCCACATCTAGAAAGTTTCCATCTTTTTTGGTCATCAAATGTGTCAAACCCATTTTTCTCGCTCCACACACACACGATTCCCAATTAGTATTGGTGTGAAAAGGCTGATTCAGTCCGTTGCTTTCTCAGCTACCGAGACACCAAGGTTGGTTGTTCGGTTTCATTTTACCCCACTAGGAAATTATTTACTTCGAGACCCATTTACTCTTGACCTCTCTCGTCATTGTATAGTATCGTCCCAAGCCTTTCATTGGTGAAAAGAGTAAAAGACTGAAAGACTGAAATTCATTTGATTGATTGATTGATTGATTGATTGAATTACCAGAATATTGATTATTGAAACTTATCTTCAAAATGTCTACATACCCAGAACAACAACTTTACTATGATGGCAAAGTACAACAAGCAACCTCTAAAGAAACATTTACCACAGTCAACCCCGCCACAGGAAAACCTCTAGCAACTGTACAAAAGGCATCACCGTCAGATATTGATTCCGCTGTGGCTTCGGCACAAAAAGCATTTCCATCATGGTCACAGACACCACCAATCATCCGCTCCAGAATCCTTCTCAAAGCCGTTCAGATACTTCGCGAACGAAATGATGAAATAGCCAAGGTGGAAACGCACGATACAGGCAAAGCGTACTCGGAAACCAGCGCTGTCGATGTCGTTACTGGAGCAGATGTACTAGAATACTTTGCAAATCTAGTTGCAAGTGGAGGAATGAATGGAGAAACCACACAATTAAGACCTGATGCATGGATATATACTAAAAAGGAAGCTTTGGGGGTATGCGCCGGGATTGGAGCTTGGAATTACCCTATTCAAATTGCATTATGGAAATCAGCGCCTTGCTTAGCAGCCGGAAATTGTATGGTCTATAAGCCATCTGAAGTAACTCCATTGCATGGTCAAATTCTCGCACAAGTGTATGCAGAAGCTGGAATCCCCCCGGGAGTTTTCAATATCGTACATGGAGATGGATCAGTGGGAGGGTATTTGACCACTCATCCAGATATTGCCAAAGTAAGTTTTACAGGACAGGTCTCAACTGGTCAAAAGGTGGCTGCAGCAGCAGCTGGTGGCATGAAATATGTTACCATGGAGTTGGGCGGTAAAAGTCCTCTCATTATCCTACCAGATACCGACCTTGAAAATGCTGTTGATGGAGCTATGATGGCCAACTTTTACTCCACCGGTCAAGTCTGCACAAACGGAACTAGAGTTTTTGTACACGAAAGTATGAAATCAGCATTCGAAAAACGTCTTCTCGAAAAGATGGAATACATTAGAGCCTTGGGGCCAATGGATGCCAACAGTAATTTCGGGCCCCTCGTTTCGGAAATTCATCAAAAGAAAGTCCTCAACTATATCCAACATGGAATCGAAAACGATAAAGCAAAACTCCTCTATGGTGGTCCGGAAAAGCCAACCGACATTCCCAGCGGCCACGAATCAGGCTTTTGGGTTCGCCCTACCATCTTCACAGATTGTACGGATGACATGCTCATCACCCGGGAAGAAATATTCGGTCCAGTCCTTTGCATTCTTACCTATTCCACCACAGAAGAAGTTATTCGTCGCGCCAACGACACAAAGTTGGGATTAGCAGCCGGTGTCTTTGGAAAGAATATAAACGAATGTCATGAAGTGATTGGAAAGATAGAAGCAGGTATAACATGGATTAATACATGGGGAGAAAGTCCTGCCGAGATGAGCGTAGGAGGTTGGAAGATGAGTGGAGTGGGAGTGGAAAATGGGAGAAGGGGATTAAATGCTTGGGTTAGGGAAAGGAGTACTTTGGTACAAAATGGTGGAGGAGCGGTGGGAAGTGTTTTTTGTAAATTGTAAGACGTGAGCCGGCTGCTTTGTGATATATCCATATCGTATTTGAGGGTTGGAGAATGAGAATGAATTGAGTGGGAAGAATAAAGGAACGAAAAGGATAAGCTTGATGAGTTTAATGAGCTTAAATTCTAGGCTATTGATTGATTGGTACACACACAAATCAATATCTAATCTATATAATAACAGGATTTCTAGGAGATAGGTAGATAGGTAGTCATAAAATAAATACTATATATATTATACCTACTAGGTAGGTATTGAAAGAATCAAACAGAAACAATAATCTATAATCGTCCAATGTATATAATAGGAGGAAATCATTTTATACATTGTACATCATGTGTTATACATTAAACATCTCTCTCTCCTCTCCTTTCTTTCTTTCAAATTAATTCCATTCCATTCCATTCCATTCCAATCTTTTTTGGTTTTTAGGGGTTGGGGAAAGAAAAGGTCTAAAAGGGAAATGCGCCAGGTTACGGGGTAGCTGGTAGCTGGTAGCTGGTTGAGCTTGAGGGGGAGCTAGGTGTTGTTGAATAGGTTGGTTGGATAGGTATGAGATGCATATGGTTGTGATTATGGATGCTTTTAGCTCTTCCATTAGATGTAGATAAAGAAATCTCGATATCCAAACTGCCATCAGCATTACTACTCGCTATGTGTTTCTTGAGGCTTTGTAGTTTGCAGGTCTTTGATTTCGAATTCGATGTGATTTTTGGGTTGTGGGGATCCGGAAAGTACATCGATATCGTGCGTGTACTTGTGCTTTATGCTGGATTCGAGTTGGGTCCTTGGATTGGGGAATAGGGATTGGATTTGGGATTGGGGGTTGGGGGCTGGGGGTTGGGGATTGCTGGGTCCGGTATGGAGGAGCTTCTCTACATTGACGTTGGCATTATATTAGATTAGATGTTTTTTGCTTTAGGGAGTTGTGTTTTTTGTCTTTGAAATTGGAATTGGATGGGGAGTTTTGAAATTGAAAGTTTTGTGTCTCTTTCCTCCTTGTTTGTTGTAATTTGCAATTGGAGGGAAATCTTGTCCGGAAGTAGGTAGGATTATATACATCCTTGGATAATTATAATACCTAGTAGTTTCTTGGACGTAGGAAGTTGGGGAAGCTCTTGAGAGATCTAATGGTTCAATTATAATGATTGATATGTGACGGAGTGCTAGCTGTAATTTGTAATTTTGAGTAAAGATACTAGGTAATTAGATGGAAACTGAGTTGAAAATGAAAATGAAAATTAAATTGAGGATATATAATTATTTATTGGGGAGTGTTTTTTTGGTGACATATATTAGGGTGTGATCTTGAATTGAGGTTTTTGTGGAGGGAGGAGAACTTTGTCTCTGACTTAGTATTGGGATTGGGATTGAAGGCTTTTGTCTGAGCTGAGCTTATGTCGGGTTCCCGGGTTGGTGTATGAATGCTATGCTCAAAAGGTCTTGAGTTTTGAATGTATTGTTACCTAGTTGAAGGGGTTAGATGGATTGTTCTTGACTGAGGTAGAAAATGCGTATGCGTATGCGTATGATTCCTAGATCTTTTAATGCTTAAGCGAGTGATTGCTCCGAAATTGTCTCAACAGGATATGGTGAGACGAAGGAGATGGATCATGGAATCTACTCTTCAGAGGAGGGATTGCAAGCTTGATAAATATCGGTTCATCTTTGAGAAGTGGCTCAGCTGAATTTTATTAGGGCTAGCTATCTAGCTACAAGGAGTTGATTCTGAATGAACTTCCTCAGCTGTATTCACTAGCGTCTTCGATTTATTAGTTGAACTCACAGGCGGAGTTTCGACGACGGCAGCGGCAGCAGCTGCTGCTGTAGTAAGAATCGAATAACACATGTTAATTAATACGCAAATAGCATTTTTTTCCCTTCAAACTCCTAGCAATCGATTCTCTTCGAAATATCACTGAGCTTTTCTTTCAAACTCTCAACTTTGCAAAGGAATCACAGTATGCAATTTCTACAGTTTTCCACAAGATTTTCCGCTCTTCATATAACATTCGCATTCAAACACATCTCCTTTTCGCGGGCTAATTTATCTAGACTTCTTGGAACTTTTGCACGCATTTTATTTCTTATTGATGATGGGATCTAGATTGATTTCCGCTTTTTGATTTGAAGCTAAATGGCTAGAGTACGACGCTTTTGATCTTCCAAGTCTGCGATGTTGCGGTTGTCTTCTTGTAGGCGGGATTTTTCTGATCACTTAAGTTATTGATGTTGTTTGTGGTTTTTTACTTCGCGTTTGTTGGATTCTGTGCTAGAAGCTTAATTTGCATTTCTTTTTGGAATGAATTGGTGGTTTTTTTCGTGGAATTGGGGTTTTTGATTTGATCCATTGTGGATGAGAGGATGAAATTGCATGGTATGAGGAAAAGACTCATTCATTGAACTTCCCTAATGCTACCTACAATGTGTCATCTTCATCCCATCCCATCCCATCATTCTATAGTGTTGCAAAGAGGTTTCTACTCGCTATTTGAAAGAGACCTCGCTAAATCTCATAGACATTTTGAACTGAACGATGAATGAATTGCCGAAGACTGTGACTTGAACCCAAGTCTTCAAGTCTTCAAGATGACGATTGCAGAACCACTAAATACTATCATCATCAAAGATTCTAAATCATATCCACATAGTAATAACAACCGCAAAACTTACAGTGACTAGGTAATACCTTCAGCCAAATTCTTTAAGTATTCCCAAAGCATCAATCCATCCACGAATCCCGATTTCAAGAGCTGTTCTCATATCCGCATAGCACCTTCCTAAAGTCTTCTCACACTCATTTTCGGACAACAGCTTCAATGCATATGATATGATATGATATCTAGAGAATTCTTCAATCCTTATAATTTCATTCTCACAATTTTAAATGGTAAATCCTCCTCTGTTTCCTCATCAAATCCTACTGCTGGTACTACCCTCGCATTCCTAAACATCGTAGAGTTAGCACCCATCTACCTATCAATCAAAGATCAGAGAAAACCAAAACCAAAACCAAAACCATATACCCCCAAGAACAGCAAAACCCCACCGCACTAAAAGAAACCTCCCCAAAACTCACCCAACATCAAACCCCCTCCCAACTTCATAAGCTCTAGCTTTACCCCTCCCCCTAGCCTCCCTCGTCAACTCCCTCAATCTAACCACAAACCCTTCTTTATCAAGCCCCGCAACCATCTTCAGCGGCTCCAAAAATCTCATTTCATGACTCCAGGCTGGGATTTTCCTGGGCCAGATAATTGTCGCTTGGAGATTTCGGAGGGATTTCATCGACCCGATTATCATCCATGTGCGTTCCCAGCGGGGAACATTATTGCTGGAGGATTCGTTGAATACTGAACTTTTGGGATTAGTGGTTCGGGAAATGCAATTTGAGGAATGGGATGTGGGGATACTGATGAGTTGGTGGGAAGGAAAATAGGGGAGATGAGATGAGATGTGGGAAGTTTTGAAAAAAAAAAAAAGAATATGTTATACTTACGAGCGGAGGTATCAAAGGAAAAAGAGAGTGTTACTGAGGTGATTGAATCGAAGCGCCGGGGAAGAATTTCGTTGCTAAAAGATATAAGTGATTCCATACTATCGAAGTCGAAGGTGTTGGCTGAGTAGAGAAGGGAAATTGCTTCGGAGTATCTAAGGTTTTATTAGTTTTTGGTTTTATTTAATTCTGCCAGTACATTTGATATCTAATCGAAATAAGCAAAGAAAGAATGAAACATCACCAAGAAATCGAGGATAATCTCGAAAAAAGACACGAAATATAAACATACATCCGTCTACAAACCTGCAGTAGCTGAATCAGCCCTCCGCTCCTCATCCCAACTGTCTCATGCACTCCTCTACCCCCAATAATCTTTACACCCCTACACCCCGCAACCATACACGCATCTTCCTCCCTCGTATCCCTCGCATCCGAGTTTCCCCCCTCACATTTACAAACAACATGACCCAACTTAGTTTTCCTCCTCACAATATGCAACACCCTCTCCCTAAGCACCCACTCATAAATCTCCATCCTCACCTCCCTCGGCAACAAACCAAAAAGCCTACTTCCCCCCTGACCAAAAAACTTCCTCTCGACACGTTCCGATTTACTCCCCACCCCATCCACATCCTCAACCTCAAAACCTATCCCAAAAACCCCCAATCCATACCCCTCACTCGGCGTCAAGGGCCTCTCCTTCCTCTTCACCCTCTCACTAACAGGTGCTTCCGGTACATACGACCCACTCGCCTTCCCTGTAAACTTATTTTGCTCATACGGTCTCTTGATCGCATTATACGGTTTACTTGGGGAAGAATCCGAAGAGCGAGAGCCGGGAAGGGCATCAAGAGCTTTTTGTATAAGATGAGAGGAAAGACGACGACGTTCTGGACCCCAAAGATGGTGCCTGGAGGGCGGGAGAAGATCGCGTTGTTTTGTGGACATTGTTGTATACGTATTCATGGAATATATATCGTTGTTGTGATATATATATAATCTTGCTGGGAAATCTCAGAAATTTCAGTTATGAAAATTACTTGCAGGTAGTAGTAGATGGAGTAAGAGATCGTAAATATTAGATGTAATATTAATAGATCAAGTGAAGATGGTGCCAAGGAATTCCGAGGGTAAATCGGCACCAGATTCCATTTTTCTCGTCGAAGGAAGGCATGCAACCTTACGTGAACGAATCATTTTATGATATAGAGCCAGGGATAAGCGCATCATCTCACTCAGTCAGACTCATTGTACGTCAAAGCATGTAACAACTCACCGCTGGGGTCAAAAGTCGTTGCTTAGCTGACACCTATGGCCCTCGAGTATATATATTCGTGCGCATGACAGTTAACATAAGATGAGTCGCCGCTTTTCAGCCTGAGATTCGATGATGAGAAATCGATGAATCAAAGTCCATGGCGCTTCGTATGATTGTAAGAAAAATTGGTACCACGACAGCACTAAATACGACCGTAAGCTCTAGCCCTAATAGGGAAAAGTGAGTGTGAGAAATATATCACGTGAGTCACCCGGTGCAATGACTTGCAAGCGTTTCAGCCACGGGAGAGATCAAATAGGGGTACATAGTACCACACCAAGGTACCTTTCACCAAGAAAAAACCGAAGCCCAAAGGTTTCGGCCAAGAATAGTAGAAACATCGATGTAATATAAACTACAAAGGTCTATCTGAATTCACTTAAAAACAATACTCCTCGACATGCAAGAAAATACCGTTCGCCCCGGTCCCTTTATGTACAGCCCTCTCATCACTCAACCTCGCCGTCGAGTTTCTAACCTTAGCCACTAAACTTTTTCCTCCACAAACTGTTATTGCGGTTTCTCCTCCTGTGGTTTCTATTGGTCCTCTAATAAATTGACTTATATCGGGTCTTCCACTTAGGTATATTATATCTCTTTCTCCCCTCTTTGCTTTCTCGCTTGATTTATTTTCTGATTTCTTGGCGCAGCAACATCCACCACCGCCAGCTTGCCGATATTCCTCAGAGGAGCGGGATATTTGTTGGGTGGTGACGTAGGATGTTTCATCTATCTTTTTTTCGTCGGTATATGATTGACGTTTGAGACTTCGGATTGAAATACCATCGTCGTTTGCTGTTCCACTGGATCGTGGATTACAACAGCATCCTTCTGCCTGTGTTGTCGTACTAGATGCAATAGATTTAATGGTCATGTCACCTTCTTTCTCCTCGTTGCTTGGTCGATATCCTGCTCTTCCTTCTTCCACTTTGGAGCTGGTCATTGATGCTCCATCGTCGCCGGTCACGGCGATTTTCACAATTAATTGAATACCCCTTCTGTCTGCAATATCATACGCGCTTCCTAATCGTTTGGTATAGAACTCGATATGGCTACGTTCGCGGACTACAAGAAGGAACTGAATCCGCTGCACACATGTTGGTGCGGGATTATGAAGTATGGATTCGAGGATGGGGAGGGTATAGGATGCACCAGTAGAGGCGGAGATCAGAAGTATAGTCTCATAAGAACTCCAATTCTGCAAGTAAAGTTAGTTAAAATGTTGGTTTTGATGTGAAAAGAGAGAATGCACATACTGGAGGAACACCATATGGACCGGACACGAATGCCGTCAGAATAGCGCTTTTATCGAGGCTCTGCATTTTTTTTGCATAATTATGTATCCTCCGTGAAAATCCTTTCTGAGCGCGGATCGCAAGTTGAATTTCATTGCAATGACACTTATTCGATGTCTGATATGGACTCGCGATAGTGAAAGGATGAGTTTCAAGTGGACCGAGCCTCGGAAGCCAGAGATACATGTGTTGACCTGCTTTCCATGTGAATGGTGCGTCTTTGATGCTGATTATAGTTATATCGTCACTCAAAGCCTGTAGCTCCGCCTGGTGGCCGATTCTTTGCATTCCTCTGCAAGCTGCTCCAGCAACCTTCACTCTGAAATTTCTGACAATCAGTAAGATGCCTCTTAGAACCCAATCGAATGATACGGCTGCTACGGCAAACCATATGTTATACCTAGCATATTCAGGTACATGAATGTACAGTAGCCACAAGAATACTCCCGCACAAGCAATATGCTGTAACACGAATACTTCATAAGCCATTCTCCTCAACGGACTTAGAGAGCTCAAAAATGTCCAAAGCAAAAGTCCCCATGCGCCCATCCCATATTTCACCATCGGCATAAGACTTAGCTCAAAAGCGACAAAGTCTGCTCGAACCCATTCCCGGAAGAAGAAGGCACCATGAACCGTAACGGTAATTAGTAGAGTCCTCGAAACCCAGCGATGGAACCAGTTTAGTCTTTCATGAGAACTTCCAATCAAAGCTCCAATGACACTTGACTTGGAAGAAAGTAGATAGACGAGCGGGACTTGTGTAACGGAGATCCAAGCTCCGCGAAATCCAATGCGTTCGTAGTAGTAGGCATCTTTTATAATGGAACCATATGTCATCATGAAGATCAAGATCGCCCAATAGCAAAGGAGAAGGACAGTACGGCCTGAAGAGGGAGGGGATAGCCAGGAAAGATAAGGAGTTGAGATGTGAATTTGTGGATATGATAATTCTCGAAAAATAGCTGTAGCTGTTGCGTACATCTCCTGGAGGCGATTACTAGGTTTGGTTGGATATCTCAAAGAACCTGTCTGGCTTCTCCGAAGTCTATTGAGCTATGTTAGCAATCCGAACGTATATCATTGCCATCACATAGAAAAGAGACAAACTTCGTCTCTTCTAGTCTCATGCATGGAACTTTCCAAGTAGAGACATAGAAAGTCGACTTCCAAACCACCAATCACAACACACTTCCTAAATCCAAAGAAGAAGAAATCACTAACCTATCCCAATCCCTCCATTTCTCAAACCCCCTACACAATAACACCGCGCCCACAAACCCAGCAATAATATACCAATACCCTAAAGCCAGTTTTTGATTATACGGCTTAAACATTCCATTCGAACCCATATCCATACCACCACTCATCCCACTCATAAGGGCGTCCATCTTGCCTTAAATATATTTCCCCCAAAATTTCGTAAAATCATAAACTTCTTTGCCTTTGTAAATTTCGCAGCCTTTCTGGCTTCCGAACCAGCGGAAAATCTCTCCTTAGCGGAAGTCGACTCCTTTCCCTAATGATGAAGGCGAGACGAGGGTTATGTTGAAGAAAGATTACCCCACTATCGTAAGCAACAACTCTAAAAGCTCGAACCGATGAAATACCCTGGTAGGATCTCGATCTCTCCAACACGTCTCCTGCTACCATTCAACTCAATAAATCGTAATTATTCCTTTTTCTCCGACAGAAGTCTCCTTGGTGATAATAATGCAACTATGCACCAAAAGTCACTACCGGTATTCCTTCTTTGCTTCCTTCTTTCTTTCTTTCTTTCTTTCTTTCTTTCCCTCTTTCTTTCCCTCTTTCTTTCCCTCCTTCCTCGTATATCGCAATCAAGATAATATTCAACTCGAACAATGACCGAAAAATACAGCCAAAGTAAAAATATAATTAAAATTACTGTAAGCAAAAGAGAGAGGTCAAACAATCTTTCACCGTTTATCAAACTCTCAATATTTCCTAAAAAAGAGGAAGCACCGATGATATGTATGCCAAGCGTCTAAAGTCGCCTATGATCCCTGACAAGTGGCTTGAAATGTGCTCAATTGCGCTCGTTCGTTTATCTTGCTCGTTGAAGAAGGGAGGTTTTTAATCCCCCACTTGAAACACGTCTGATCACCCCATAGGATCATGAGCAAGTTTTCCATCACCTTCCTCTCGTTGCGCATTCCATCGATGGCCGATTGAATAATAAGGCACCTACCGAGCGGGTACTGATTGCAGGTGGTGAGATATGGAAAGATTTCCGAGGTGATGAGTCGATCGCGGGATTGATAATTTTATGGGGAATTGTGGGAGTGCATTCTGGAATGGGTGTGGAAGATGATAAGCTCACAGCTCACAGCTCACAGCTCAAAGCTCAAAGCTCAAGGGAATGGATAAGGTTTAGGTTACGGAAATATACCCTGGTTCATCTGTCAAGCATCATGGCTGGCTGGGCATGGGTAATGAGCAAGATATCAGATATTTATCTAGATACTACAATGTACTTACTAGGTGTGCAGATTATGATGCGGACACTACTATACAGTACATCCTCTACTCCATGAGTTATATCTTGGCAAGGGTCCATTCACCAGGTACCGTATCGTACCGTATCGTACCGCGCCCTACCGAGTAATGAGCAAGATATTCCTTCAGTGTGGCTCGAGCATCGTATCGTATCGTCTTAGCTTCCTAGCCTCCTGGGACCTTGACGGTATTTGAGCAGTTTTCCAATACCTATCCTATCCCATGCAATCCAATCCAACAAAGTGCACAAAAGAAGATTAAATAACTTGCTCATCCCCAGGAATTGAATTATTATAAATTGGGTTTTTATCATTTAGCCTTCACTTCAGTCTATCTAGTATCTCTGCACCATTCTCAAACTACAAAGAAACTTTCATTTCTCTTGGCTTTTCCATCTTTCCATCTTTCTACCTTTCGACCATCCAGCATCCCAATTCTTCCCAAAAGTTAACAAAGAGAACTTCCATACAATGGCGCGCCTTGCAGCTCTCCTCGGTCTTGCTACCGTCATCTCCCAATGCTCTGCACATTTCCTCTTGAACCATCCCGTAACCTGTAAGCTCCATGAATTCAGATACGGGCGTGAGAAGGAAAAGAAGAAGAAAGCTAATGTTCCTCCAGATGGCTTCAACGACGATGCAGAAGGAACAGCTCCTTGCGGTGGATTTTCCGTTGCTTTTGATCACAATGTCACAGATTTCCACGTAGATGGAGATTCAATTTCAATGTTGGTTACGTCCTAAAAATGTGTCTATGCTTGGTACCAAGATCATGCTAATATATTTGCAAACAGGACCACCACTCACCCATCCACAACATGGTTGCTCCGAGCAATGGTGGGAAATAACACCGCCGCCGCAAACTGGACCAACCTCATTCCCACTGTCCAACAATCCGGTCTCGGCGATTTCTGCCAACCAACTGTGACCGTTCCGTCCGCATTTGCTGGAAACAAGGGTGTCGTAAATGTTGTCGCAGATGGCCCAGATGGTATGCAACTCCTCTTAGCCAAGCCATGAATACTATATTTCTTTCCGTAAACTTACTCATATCTCTTTCCCTAGGACTTCTCTACCAATGCGCCGCCGTATCATTCGTTCAGGGAGCTGCAACCGACGTTCCTTCCACGTGCAAGAACGGTACCGGTGTATCGGCAAGCTATGCTGCCGACGCGGCCCTCTCCAGCCTCCCGGCCTCCGCGACTGCGACTGCGACCGCATCCTCCTCGAGTGGAACAGCTGCTGCATCAAGTTCCAGCGCGGCTGGTGCTTTGACCGTCGGACCTATGCAATATGGTACTATCGGATCCTTGGTGTGGGTTGGAAGTGTCAGCGTTGCAAGTTTTGTTGCATTCTTATTATAAACCATGGATCAGATGTATTATGGGTAATGAAGGAACAAATGCTAGGAGATGTTACGTACATAGGACCATACTCCGAAATAATGAGATCAAATAAAACTAATTGATAATCACTGGCATAATGTCTTCAATCTGCAAGTCTGGGCGCATCATCCCTTGTCCACATGGATGGTTACTCACAGTTGTGTTACTATAATCTTCACGGAAGCAAATAATCCTTTTTGCATTTAACGTGGCAAGCAGGAATCATGTCGGCTCCTAAAATTAGTGCCCGATAATCATGTTGTAGAACAGGAAGTCCTTGGAGTTACCCCTAAATAGGCCGAGAAAATGCCCGATTAAACACAGCATGGCATCACGGCATGGCGTCACAACATATGTAGTCAAGGCTGGAGGTTGATGCCAATATTTTGACTCCAAAAAGGTTCTTTATCTATGCCGTCAAATCGCCGTTCCTCCATGGCTAGAACGGTTGTAAATCCTCTGACTACGTGTCTTGGATCGGATGCATAAAGGGGGAAAGTCACGGTACATCTGGCATGGGTAGTGTTTGTTGCTGCCTTTCCAGAAATGGGTGAATACTCAGTCATTTGGCAATCTGTCTATGTGTAGTTCATATATCCTTAGTCAACAGCACGCCGGCTCGGTTTTCATTATCAAAATTCCACTTCAAGCAAATTCATTTCATCGCAATTCGTGCTCGACCTTGATATCCTTGGAGGATTTCCGTCTTGTGCTCGATTGTCCAGTGCTTGATTGTCCAGTGCTTGATCGTCTTGTGCTCGATTGCCTTGTACTCGATTGTCCTGTGTTTGATTGTCCTGTACTTGATTGTCCTGTACTTGATTGTCTTGTACTCGATTCTCTTATATTCGATTGTCCTGTACCCGATTGCCTTGTGCTCGAGTGTCCTGTGCTTGATCGTCTTGTGCTCGATTGCCTTGTACTCGATTGTCCTGTGTTTGATTGTCCTGTGTTTGACCGTCCCGTGCTCGATTCGTACCACTCATTACTTGACCACTCCACTATCAATTTCTTGGCCTCTTCAGATAAAGCATAATATCCAGGATTATCTTTCGGGAAAAACATAGCTAGAGAACTATTAGCTCCGAAAACCCGAAAGCCTTCTTGGAAACTTACTCATATGTGCACCCGTTTCATCCGCAGCCTTGTCGTTAATGGCCTCTCGGAAGAAATTTTTAGCACTGCCTTTGGGTAGATTGCAAAACGTTCGTTGATTTCCCATCACACTCCCAACCAGGCTCCCATCGGCTTTACTAACTGCCTCCTTGCCCAACCTTGTGTATAAATTTGCCCAACCGACCTGTAACTCCTTTTGCAAAGTAACCATCCCAGAGACCCTCTTCTTCAACTCCTCGCCCTTCATTAGACATCCTACAAACTCGAGATGTGATCCTACCCATGACCATCCTTCCTGAATTTGATCCTTCTTGAAGTACGCAGCTGCACCTCCGACAGCTACCGCTCCAGCAGCTCCAGCATACATAGCCAATGTACCCCATTTCTTCCACGCAGGTGCTTCTGGGGCCGGTGGTGCTGGTAATGCCGCAACTGGCTTCTTATCATTTACGGTTTTGTCTACCTCCTTTTCGCCCCATATTGCACCTGCCAAGCTACTCACTTGCGCAAAAGCCGACGTGGCTGCGTTATAATGACCCTCTGCACCATGAGCAACAACACCTGGTGATATTCCCAAGTAAGGTGTATCAAATGCCAGGACGCCCTGAATATACGGAAACATAAAAGCATTCAATGCATCTGTTGTTTCCTTTGAATCTAGCACTTTATCGGATGTGATTCCCAGTACTGTATCCGCAGCAACGATTCCTCCCATAGAATGGCCAATGAGTATTGTGCGGACAGAAGGGTCGACAGTTGGAGAAGGGGTTCCATTTTTGACTTCTATGTCAATTATCTTTTCTTGAAGCCTGTAATAAAACCAGTTAACTTCAGGCCCAATGATAACTCCACGGGATGCGGTACCAATCTCTGAATCTGCTCACACATTCCCCCAAATCACCTCGAGTTTCATACTGTGGGTATGTGATTGCCCGAACATTCACTTCTGGAAGACTATGGCTAACGAGTGCTCGAAGATGTTCAGGAAACGACCCAAAAGTATCGTCTCCTCCTTTGAACCTTTTTCAAAGATCAGTATGTGTAACATCTGAGGGGCAGATAGAAGAGCTTACCCATGGATAAAGCAAAGAAGCAAAGTCTTCTTCATCTTTCGATCATGTTGAAGTCGTCGTGCTGGATCACAAGTGGATTGAAAGTGGTGGGTCAATGTGAACCCACAAGTTACAACGTGACAGCATTGGTGGGTGGCGGGGATTATTAATCAGTGAATCATCACGGACCACCTTCATCGATTTAAGGTTAGAACAGAGCCTCAAATCTGACTAAGCAGCCACATACTTCGCTACTCGAGACTTCAGATTGTCATTATATTGCAATTGGTGTAAATATTGAACATCTACCAAGATATATCAAATATACTACCAAGATATACCAAATATAAAGATATTTCATGGAAATCTACCTTGGTAATCGCTCATACATCTAGTGCAGTAAAGTTACATGTCTAAGCTAGAACGGTCTCGGAATCTGATCATTCCAATCGCACGCATAAAAAATGTAGAGATTGTGAATAAGATGCTAGGATATTCTGGAGAGCCGATTTGGACCAGAGAGATACCCTGCTGGGAATATAGGGTTTCTAGAGATCCAGAGGATTTATTCGTTTAAATTGATTTGGGGTGCAGGTGCAGGTGCTGGTACAAGATTGATGGTTCATGGCGGAAAGGCAGAGAGTGGACGGCTGTTTTATGTCTTTCTGTCACATGGTAACTTTCGCCTCTGACTTTGGATTTATTAATGGGCTTATTGCGTTCATGTATGGAGGTGTTCACGTTACAATGATCATCAGGCCGGGTGGAATACTACACGGGACTGGCATGTGGGTAATTGGTGCTAGATAGGACACCATGGAATGATACAAATTACAATTGCAGCACATGCACTTTAACTACTCCTACCATCATTGTTGACTCCAAATAACAAATTCCATCCCCGCTGCTCACCTATAAGCCGGAGTATACTCATGGAGAATAGCTTGGTTGGCATAGGTGGGTGGTATGCACCCCATGATAGATTCCTAGCATATTACAGACTAAGTATCCACGTCCGATTTCAGACTACACAAGGCAACACTATTTTTCCACTTCACTCCCGACAATCTAACCCTTTCCGAATACAACATTCAATCTTGATAAGGCAACTCAAACTTCATCTAGAAATCAACTCCAATGCAAGCATGGCATTTCAGGAAATTAAGAACCCCTAAATTTATCTAGCTATGATTTCGTATACGTACCAAGACCCAGCCGCTGACTCACCAAACCAACAATTAAAAGTAACCTCATAACCCCTTTAATTAACGCACTAATACAATAATTAAAAGAACAAACCTCCAAAACGACTTCTTCCAACTCTTTATCTCATTGCCATAATTTAATCCTTCCACCTCCCGCCTCCCACGTCACACGCAACTCACATTCTTCTCATGAAGCTATTACCCAATAACGACAAAATCATCCACAAACAATCCCGGCGCATCATTAGCCTCACTATCACAGTAAGAGTGCACTGTTAATTGCACATTTTGTGGACCGTCGCCCGGAGGAGCAGTGAAGAATAGATAGATCATGCTCCAACCTGGATATGTGGAGGAATTAATCAAAGTGGGCGGAGAGGACTGTGTGGCAGTTTGAACTATAGAAGTGAGTGGGACTTAGTGATTTATTTGGGACAAAAATTTGAAGGGGTTGTGGTCAACAGGGGATTTGAGAACCAGAGATGAAAGAGCGGACTTACAATAGATGTGACAATTAGAAGACTGCTCAATGCTAAGTGCATTGTTTGCTTTTACGTAGCCGGTAACGAGGTAGTTGGAAGAGGGGCATGCGGTCACGGTTTGCGTTAAAGTGATGTATGAGCTGGCTGAGGATGATGGGAAGAAAAGTAGTTCTCTCAGAATTGGAGTTGATATGTCAGTAGATGTTTCTTCTTTTTCTTATGATGAAAGGAAACTCACAAACTGGTAGATCCACTGTGAGGAGTAGCTGAAGTGGTGTAGGTAGGAGGATTAGGTCCTGTGGCAACCGCTACCCATGGATCGATACCGTTGCCGTCTTCAAAACCACCATTAATCAAAGACGGGCGGATTGTACAAGCTGGAGCTGTAACTGTAGTGTATTGTATAACAGTTGTGGTTCCCAAGCTAACCACGGTGGTGGGCACTTGAACAGTGGTTGCTATGGTCGTTGCAACAGTAGTAACTTGTGTGAACGTTGACAAGACTGTGGTGGTTTGACCTTCTACTGTACTAATGACTGTTGTGGTTATTGTGACCGACGTGATGGCGGGTAGGGATGCGGAGGAGATTACGGTGAGTATGGTTGTTGACGAAATGGCAGAGGATGGAAGTGGGGAAGATATAAATGGGGATGATGAGGATGAGGTCAAAATGTATGTGGTGGAAGCTGCGGTACTAGGAATTAAGCTCGAACTTGGGAGAATTTCGTATGAAGATCCAACCGAGCTCTGAGTTACCGAAGAAGAAGGTTCGGATGTTATGACACTGCTCGATGTGGAAGCTGGAACCGAAGTGGATGCTTCCGTACTGATCGATAAAGTCTCAATAGTGGTTGCAGAAAGGGCAAGACTGCTAGATGGAAGTGAAGACTCTGAAGGAGATGACGAGGATATCAAACTCTCAGTAGAAAAAATAGTTCCCGAGAATGATGAGAGAGCCGTGGAAGGTATAGCTGAAGAGACAGGAATCTGACTTGTGTAAGTGGCTGCTGCACCTGAAGTCGAAACAAATGATGAAAGGACCAATGATTGTGAGCTGGTCTCCAATGGAATGGAAGAAGTCGGGACATAGTCGACACTGCTCAATATTGTCGTACTAACTAAAACCTCGGAACTGGTAGAAGCAGATGTGAAATCGGCAGTCGAATATGCTCCACTGCTAGGAGGCGCAGAAGAAGAAATAATTGGACATTCAAATGCAGTTACAGTAATAGTCTGTCGTGGAGGACATGAAGGTTCCGCAGCTTGTCTTTTGTCAAGAACGAAAGCCGTGGAAGAATCCAAGATAGAAAGCACGACGAGTAAAAGTCCCTGGGAAACAAACATGATGGCACAGTTAACGAGTGAAAAAAGGTCAGAAACGGCCAGACAATGAAAAGGGTGGACTACTCACCAAAAAAGTACTCTACCAAGGGTTTATGTAGATAAAATCGAGCCCAACCTCAGCTGTCGGACAGTATGAGACATGAAATCAATAACACCCCTTGATCTGATCGATATCATCTTCCTTTGGTGGCATGAAGTTTACGAATCGCATTTTCTTTTATGAATTTGGAGGCTGTCAAAAAATTCGTTATTGTTGAAACAGACATACCATGCAAGGAATAGAACACAGTATTTTTTCCCTTGAAAATGAATAATGACCGAAACACTGTGCATGCAGTAGATAAAATACTTTCAGTCGCTTCAAATTTGTACTAAAATTGAGTCATACAGGCACCTTGATATTGCTGTCCACCTTTCGAGTACACCGCCTCGGATACCTACTAGTTTTGACACGATGACGAGGACAGTCCTTGATTTCGATCCAACAACCGATGTGATGTTGAATGTGCGGAGTACCAAGGGACCTTCACAGAGTTCTAAAACTTTGAGTCTAAATCCAACATTGAGGAGTGGATGACGGAGTTGCTCTAAGGTATCTTTTGACAGACCAGAGAACATTGTGTCTGTTTTTCTAATGTCTTAAGTGAGGTAATTTCATTTGGTAGACTTACTCACTCGATACTATTACGGGAGATTGCAGTCTCGGGTTCGGCCGTCGGCGAAAGATTCAAAGTGACATATTACATTTGATATCAAGATCGGTTATATTTGCCGCAACTTTGCTTTTTCCCCTCAAGCCTCGCACAAATTGTGTGATTTTCAGCTTTCCTTACTTCAATATTCAAACTTCTGACTGTTCAACCCCTTTAATTCTAATGCAGAACGAGGGAAATGCCTCGACATCGGAAGAAGAATGGAATCTTTGACTCCTATGGTTTGCCAAAACCCATTATTGAAGTTATTCCTGCCAGGACCACGGCCAGCGCTAGCACAAGACCTTTAATTGAATACCAGGCGACCCGAAAGCAAAGTCCAGTACACGATGGGCATAAATTGACACAGTGTACTTTAATGCCAGAGCTGGCTCATGGCTTAACGTATACTCTCCCTGAAAGGCGGCCTTACTCATTGGAACACATATCGGCTTTGAAAAGGGCATGCAAATCTATGGCAAGATATTTCAAAGAAACTTCAATCACTTCTCTTTCCCCCGCAGGACCCGTTAATAGTGATGAGGTCCACTTCTTGAGTATGGGAGGTAGGGTTATGTTTGTACAGCCGATAGCAATGTACAAAAGCCCAGGTCCATCAGGCAAAACCTTTGGAGTCATCCGTCTTGAAGGTGAAAAGATCAGGTTTAAAGCTGCAAGCGGCTGGGGAAAAAGAGATCATGACGATTCACTGCGAGATAACGAATTCTGCTCAGCTGTAAGTGTCAATAAAGTAAAAAGGCAACCAATTGTGTTGTAGATAGCTGCAAGAGTCAGACTACAAATAATACTCTTGCCGGCCCCTCCTAGTTTGATGCTAATCTATCAATTCTGTAGCAAGTATTGCAATTCTGCAATTCTTTGGGCTTCCACCTTCCAGGAAATTGCTGGGACAAAACCGAAGTGGGAAGATACGCAGCTTGTCACGTCGAAAAGAAGCTCATATTGATGCTTGTCCTCGACATAATATACGATGCGCAAACCGGCGACATAGCTATGTTTAGGCTTGACGAACTTTGGGAGCGGGGCCTGAGGGCACAAATATACATTGATAAAGATCCCTGTCATCACTGTCAATATTTTGCTAGGCTATTGACGGAATACACAGGCATCGAATTCACAATAATTACTGCAAAGAATTTCGTGGAAGCAGAATGGTCGAAGGCGGATGGAAAGAGACAGCTGCAACGGAAGCATGCCGCGCCGCGGATGCAATCACAACTATTCAAATATCCAAGGTCCAAGACGAAACGGCCGGAGCAGTCGGTAGATTACAGCATCTCTGTGGCTTCTACTTCTTGCAAAAGCAGATCTGGGGGAAAACGGGACAGGATGTTGGATGATGATGATGAAAATGATGAAACATTTTGCCCCAGGGAATTGCAACCAAAGATCAAAAGATTGCACAAAAAACCCCGAACAATCGATAAATTCAACAAAACAAAATTTGACTCTCATCGTTCGGGAAACCCAACAGCAACTTATGACGCGCCGAGAGATCTTGCTAGCTGCACACACTCGTCAGCTCAACAACTAAGCACCAAGTCAGACATGAAGTCAAAGAAAATTGTTTCGCCACTAGATTCGAAAAGATACATCAAAGTGTCTCACTCACGGGGTACAGCAGTGGACCACTATTCCACGACAGTAGAGACTACCAAGCTGCATGGCAAAGCTGTGCCTTCTGAGCGCTCCCGAGCCATAGCGGAGCTTCAACAGGCGAAAGAAAGTCTACTTCCTATAGAGCATAAAATGCCAGTCTTTCATTGTGTACCAACACTAACTTCGTCCCCACGAATAAAGATTTACAGAACCTCGAATGACTTAGATACTGTAAGCTTGCAAAGTTCGAGAACGGCCTCACCAGAGGGATTCATAGTAACACCACCTGAGCAGCCCCATAAGGCTTTACCTAGCCCAGTGACAACGCCATTGAGAAGACATACACATAGTCTACATTCAGAGAGTATCAATGGTCGGGAACCTATTGGCTCATCAGCGTCTGTCCAAAGCTCACGCGAAAGGCCGACTCCGATCAAATTTGCAGTCTCCGACTCACGACCAGCAAAACGAGTCATTTCAAGGAGTATTGATTTGACGACTCCCGAGCCTTCCCCGCTGTCAAAGATAAAACAGTATCAATACACACCACCACCTTCCAAAACCAGCAAACATCGCTCAGAAAAAGAGGTCCTCCCTATACCGTTCAGATTGTCGAATAACAAGAATTAAATGTTGATGAATACTGGTTCTGAAATATCAGGATACTTGGTGCATATTAGAGTTCCCTTTTGCATCAAATATATCGGTCGAAATACGTTATTGTGAATGAGGGATGTTTTCATCAGACATCGGGTTGATGGGCTGGACATCTCCAGCCCGCTAGTAGTTTTAGCCCTCCCGAGATGCAGGAACAGTAAATGACGAATCATTTTGAATTAATGTGAGGAAATCCATTTTGCCACCCACTCTTGCTTTAGTATATAGTGTAGTCCGGCTGGAAGAGGCTCAACGTGATGTGAGACTGTGATTTCAATGCATATGCTTCCAAAGTCTATGAACATAACTTGATTTGGTAGGGCTCAGAGGCGTGGAATCTGATAAATGTAGTTCGAGTATACGTAATTGGAAAGCTGGTTGCTCTTACTCTCTAGATCCAAGCCCGTGGCCATCCATTCCTATAGGATTTATGTGTTACCATGTAATGACCATATGTCTATCTCCGGATTCTTCACGTTGGGTACCAAAAACTCTCTGCTTTAACCTTACATATGCAGCTGTACTTGCATGCACCCTATACCCAAAAGATGTAGTGTATTGGTAAGATATACCTCGACTTTATCCATTCCAATGATTCCTAGATAAGATCGTCGCAATTCGATTCGATAAATTTTTATTGAAACTGCAGGTCATCCATCTATGTAAGATCTTACCAAGAAGTAGATTGTAGGCGGGAATGGATAGATCTTCAGCAAAAATGAAAATCGTCAATAGAGAGAGTTACTAGGTATATATTCGGTGCATGAATACCAAAAATTATATCTTTCTATTTTCGTGAAAGCTGTAAGCTAGTGCTGGAGCTGGAGAGCTGGACGTGTACCTGCACCTGGAATCCATAGTGAAGTAGTAGAGTAGTTCGGGCCAATGAAGAAAAAGAAGCCAAACACGAGCAAAAATGCAAAAATGAATATGGAGTAGGGAAGAAAGGACCAAGCTTCATATCATCCCGCAATCTCTAATCACAAAATAACCGCAACCCATGAAAAATCTGTATGACTACAGTGTACAGTACTACAACGGAATACATTGCACCGGTGCAATAGTGTTCGCACATAGAAAAGAAGAGACTTTGATAGGAGTAGAAGTACTCGAAAAGAGACAATCTCCCAACTCAGCACAGACAAGGACAAAATACCGTTTTCCAAGAAGAGCCACGTTTGTCTCATCTGCCATAATCCGGACCCCTCTATGGAAACAATTGAACAGCATCGATCACTTCCAAGCTCAAGGTTCGTTCAAGCACAGCTAATACAGAGCACCGTGATAACGTTATTGGCTATGGGGGCTTTCACCACAATCAGGAAGTAAATTTCCCGATAGGGTTCTATTTTTTCTCGTCTTACCCAAACATGCTTTGGGCTGCCAATACAAGAATGGCGACTTTCTTGTTGCTGTCATTGTTTTGTCCATTTCTTCCTTTTGTTCTTGCTTTACCAGGTAACAGCGTTTCGCCGTTGTTGAACTCCTCTAGCAAACTAATTTTGCCAATACAGGCTGTTGCAGCCAGCGCAAGCCGAATCTATACCAATACTATTCAGGGAAAGTTGAGCGCTCGGGACATGGTGCAAATTGCTCTTCTGTGTAGTGTATTTCCTGGTTTTTGGTATCTGCGAAATGGGAGGAGGAGTAAAACTTCCAATGACTCAAAATCACTTAAAGGCAGTGCGCATGGAACTACCCCCGAAAGGAGTTTAGATATCAATGGTGAGCTCTGTCGTAATTAACTTTGTTCTAGTTCTTGGAATTATTTAGCAAAATTACCTACTGATCAATTGGAGTTATAGAATCCGAAGTTGTCGACCCAGGGCTATTGAAAAAACATTCCAAGATAAGATCCTACACAACTAGTCGATTTACATATTCTTCGCTCCGAATTTTTTTCAGCAGACATGCTCAAGCAGACAAATTACCAACAAAACCTGCTCCACTACCTCTACTCGTCTTTATCCATGGTCTGGGAGGCTCAGTCGCGCAATTTAACCCTCTATTGACAAGCCTTGTGAATTTGGCATCATGTCTTTCGATCGATCTACCAGGCTGCGGCCTGTCTGAGTTCGATCCAAAGTTATCTTGGGATGCTTATACTGTGGATGCTCTTGCAGAGCTTCTGGGGAAAGTCATCGGGGACTATAGAGAAAAGGATACGAATCAGGGTGTGATCCTGATTGGACACAGCTTGGGGTGTTCAATAAGTGCCTTACTTGCATCTACAACGTCGCCACGGTCAATTGCGCTATCAGAAAATGTCATCGGTCTTATCGTAAGGAAATATATCATATGTAATGTTTTATTTTGGTTACTGATGCAAATTTCAGGCAATCTGCCCTCGCGCCGAACCTCCTAGTGAAGATGAGGTCAGTAAGTTCAGGAAGCTGCTTTTAGTCCCCAATCTTGTTTTTGATTTGTGGCGCAACTGGGACCGTCGAGGCGGCACTGAGAGTGCTAGTGTGCATAGATTTGTCGGTCCTTCAGCGGATGAGGAAACTAAAAAGCTCCAAGAACGATTCAATAGTCAGAGTAAAACAGCAGTATGGAGGAGAATGGCAGCCGGCACTCTGCCTGTTTACGAAAACCACATTCCGATAGGTGGACTTCCGGGGAGGGATGTTTGGAAGGGGCTAGATATGCCTGTCTTCCTTGTTGCTGGGGCAGTGGACAACATTACAAAGCCTGAGGAGATTGAGAAGATTGCTCAATATCTCGGAAAGTCTCACCCAAGCCAAATTGAGCTCAACGACAAAAGTGAACCTATAGTTGATGCAGCTGCGCCTGTTGATATATCTAGACAAACGAAACCTATAAGCAACAGCATCAGCCCTTTGACCGAAAAACAGCTCTTGGAAAACAATAATAGTGTCGCTACAGACTCGCTGGAAGACCCATCCACACCGGATGACTTTGAAAGAATCGAAAGCATCCCTTCCGAGCATTTCAGGCCTAAGAGGGTTTTAAAGACGACAATCATTCCAGCTCCCGCTTCGCACGCACTGCTCTACATGCCATTCACTGTGAGAATCCTTGCAGGTCTTATCTCTGATTTTCTCTGTACTCAAGTGACACCGCGTTTGTCATTGGGTTGGCAACTGCAGTTTCTTTCCACCTCTGGCAAATGGGATGTGAAGAACTTGGCAAAATGGCAAGCAGTTGCTCCAGTATCTGAGCCCATAGCGGGCGTATTCCGTGCCATGAAAACCTTGAGAGAGGTAGATGATACTCATTGTCCGGAGGTGTTCGTAAGCGATTGGGGGGAACACATCAAAGATATTGTGGACATTAGTCACGAAAGCCCCGTGTACGACCCCCGAGGGCTTGAGAAGGGCGGCATACGATACCATAAATTTCCCACGGTATCTAAGATCCCACCTACATCTGACGAAGTCGTCACCTTTATCAATTTAATCGACCGATTACGAGATGAGCAGGAGGCAAGGAAGAAAAATGAAGGGGTTGATGGTGAATGGTTTGTGGGGGTACACTGTCACTACGGCTTCAACAGAACTGGATATTTTATCGTCTGTTATTTGGTGGAAAGGTGTGGGTATGGAGTTCAGGAAGCGATTGATGAATTTGCCAAGAGAAGACCCAAGGGTATTAAACATGCTCATTTTATGGACCGGCTATTTGTTAGATACTGCGTGGGGTTGAAGAGAGCGCCCACACTTTGATGATATGATAATTGGTAAAGAGGCATTAATATTAGGGCTATCAGATAAGACGATGTGAGATGGGGACTAGGAGTCTTGAATTGTATCCATAGAGCTTCGGAACCGGTGGTTATGAATAGGACTTTTACCTGTGTACAGTCGTTTTATGAAAGACATTTTTTAGTTGTCACGCAGCATCCTCGTTCTCTTCAGTTCCCTTCAAATAATTTTCAAAGCGGAACGACAAGTTTTTGAGATATGCAACACAAATACGAACTTGTTATCCTTCTAGAATAGAGTGACAAGTCACCTGCGTGAAGCTGCTGTGTTGCGCGGGCTAGGGGTCACGGGCTAGAGAAAATTCACGTTGTGTTTTGTAACACTGCTTCTGTGGGAATGAAACTGACACGATTACTTTATCGTATCTTTCAGCTGCCGTGAAGACGTGAGATGAGGAGGAATGGTGGGGGTTGGGTCAAGGGTAAGGGTTGTGTTGTGTTGCTCGAGGTTGATGGGGAATCCGTCTTGCTGTGAATGATGATGCGGGATTGACAGTTAGGCCGCTGTCTAAGATAGTGGGTGGGACGATCATGTCAGGTGGTGGAAAGTCCTTGGCATGGAAGGCAAAGCGTGGAATGCTTCGTCTGAGAGTCGTTGGGTATACAGGGAAAATTGAGGGAAGAGTTGGTGTGCTTGTGAACAGGTTCATGTTTTCTTCGATGTCTCTTTAGGAATATGACAAGCGTTCACTTTTCTCCCCCTTTCCAACAAGAGTCTGGAATATCGATAGTTTCTCAGAGTGGAGTATTTTTGATGATTTTAATTTTTATCATAAATGGATTGTTTCATTTTCATCACCCGTTGGTCTCATGTATGGACCTCGTTTCAACCTCCTCTAGCGATTCACCTTTTCATTCTCCACTTTCCCCCATGGTAAGTAATCTACGACATACAAATTTATAGTGATACTTTGCAATTTGGTTTGTATATATATTCTCTTAAATATATATTTGACCATTTACGGGTGAGTTCCCAAGTCATAGGTTAATGTCGAAAACGGTTACTTAGTTGAACTTTCACAGCTATTGGTCCAGCAAAGAAGAGAAGCCACCCTTGCGTGTAAATTGCCGCCTTAACAGGAAATGCTATAGAGAGACTTGTGAGAAAGCAATGACTCTGAGTTTTTCATGCGATTGAGCCTTCAGTACTGTAAATACAGCCTCCAACTTCCGGTAGGAGAGGTTGAAAGATTAATCCCTTTGATGTGCATTTTGGCTTGAATGTTTATTATGGTACCTGATTTAAGCCTTGAAATTTGCAAGAAAATGCTTTGAGTGCAAGATTGCCATCGCCACCTACACTAGGACCTTCATTATATGGCTAGATTCGACAAAGTTTGTAGTGCGGTAATCGAGCACTAGGTCGTGCGATATCAATTCTCCAAGTCTTGGGGTGGTCGAAGTGAAGCTGCCAAGCACAGTCTTGTGTTTTGCTTGTAAACAATCTCAAGCCCAACAGTATAACGCTTCTCCTCGTGAGAAACCCTCTCCCATTAACAATGCTTATCAGGCGGTGATGGCATCGATGGTGGAAGTTGTGGTAGAAAAGTGGAATACAGAATACAGTATGGAAGAAAGAATCACGAGTAATAACTACAGCGAAATAGCTTGATGAAGTTAGAAGTGAAGATGCTAGGTAGACATCAATGCTCAATGGGGAGTCTAGCTTTTAAGGGACAATGATCAACTGTAGCCAAATCTACGAGAAAACTTTACTGTAGTGAAGAGCGGCACCTGTTAGGAGGAGGAAAGAAAATACGTCCTCTTGTAAGGCTTTAAAAAGAGCCCCTTCATCACTGCCTTTATTAAGTCATTTTCAATTTTCTACTCAACACTTTGCCATCATTCTTTTGAATGGAAAATTAGGGGCTTTTACTGATAATAGTAAACGTGTTGTTCTTTATAGAGCTAGCGGAAAGATATTATCACAGCGTGAAACCGAAATTGAAGAGAATAGGTTGAGACTTGAGATTTGAGAGGCTAGAAATTGTTGGAATATATTCTTCAACTTCATTCATTTCATCAGTGGCGTGTTTGGTCTGCTGTAAGGCTGAGCAGCAAGTGGATAAAAAGTTGCATAATTTGCATAAATATTATACTGCATCATGACTCAAGGCTTTGAAGGAGTACCCACTCACTGATTGGTCAATCGTTTGGTAATCAATACTCCGCACATAATTTCGCACTTCATGCTCTGGATTTTCTCCATGTGCCGCCGGCACGGTAATCTTTTAAGGAGAAAGTCCGATAACCTTTTCTCTTCTACCTCTCTGTTCATGAATGCAAGTTAAATTTTTCTAATGCTTCCTCCTTGTTTATATTTTATGATTTGAATGATGTGCACATAAGAACGAATATAATCAATTAACACGCAGGGAAAACCAAACCGCAGCCTTGTTGATAGATAGGATGGCTACCGAGGAGGTTCCTCTAAATGGCGAGTCACACACAGAGAAAAGAGATGAAGAGTCCCCAAGTGTCGCAACCGGTAATAGCGAGAATGGAGAGAAGCCAATCGCAAATGAATTCTCCAAAAGAGGAACTAGACAGACGGAGGTCAAGAATGAGGAAAAGAGGCCCTCCAAGTTGAAGGCGATGTGGGAAAAACTTGGACTCGATGCGCCGACGTTGATGATGATGTTCAAGTATGGTTCACCTCCAGTTTTAATTGATATGATGCTTATGTACAGCTTAGGGGATCCGTCGCTCCTACAATTGCTATTGGCAAGTCAATTGAAGCCCATATTGCGCTACTTATCCTAACTTGTATCCAGCCTTCTACGAATCAGATTCAGTTTCGCGAACATACACAACTTTAGGATACTTGGTAGCCATCATTTGCGTGCTTAGTCTGCCTATTATGCCAAGGGCGAAATTCTTTCAAACCATGATACTCAACCTGTTTGCCGTCTGCCTTGGAGCTTCAATCGGAATTTTGGGACTGTGGAGCTGTATCAAGGCGCGAGAGCATACTTCCACACCAGGAGTGCCACAAGCGTACAACTCATCGCAGGCTGCTGTATGCGCCATCTGGCTATTTGCCAATATCTGGTTTGCGAATCTGTTGCGCGCGAAAATTCCAGCCCTGAATGTTCCAGTCATTATGTATAGCATCTTTGCGAACATTGCTTTCACATCTGGGCCGATTATCCCCACCTTTGCATTGGCTGAATCTCTCATCAAACAGATGTTGAAGGCGTTCTTGACTGCCTTTGCTATAAGCACAGCCGTCAACCTGTTTGTTATACCTATCTCGTGTCGTTTGGTTGTGTTCAAAGGACAAGCGGGATACATTCAGTTATTGAGGGGCGTGCTCAAGGCTCAGACAAAATATTTATCAAGCTTGGAGGAAAGTGATATGTTTGCTGGTCCCGCTACTGAGAATAGTGACACCGCTGGTAGCCGGTCAGGCGAATCCAAGAAAAGTGATGTGGAATCTAGCCACCCAGCACTGTCTCCAGAGGCAAAAGCGTTAAAGGGAGCAATCGACGGCTTGCGCGGGATGCATGGAAAGCTTTATGGAGATATGCCGTTTGCGAAACGTGAGGTTGCTTGGGGAAAATTGGATGCTAAGGATATGGACAAAATTTTCAATTTGTTTCAAGATATCATGATTCCGCTTTTGGGAATGAGTACTATCACGGATATTTTTGTACGAATCGGCGAAAAACGCGGCTGGGTCAAGCCTACAGGTTCAAATGCTCGTTCTGAGCAATGGGAACACATGACGTTAGAAAGCAAGGCAGAAGAAAAAAGGTTATGGAATGAAGTGATGAAAACTCTCCACGAGCCATTCGCTATCGTGAGTGCAGTTATGGACCAAGGGTTGGAGCATGCGGCACTTACTTTGGAGCTTATTTCTCGACCGAAGGAGAAAGCTGCTGGCGATATCGAGACTGCTGCTGAACAGTCAAAGCCTGGAGATGCCGGATTTCTCGCTTACATGGAAAAGACTCTGAATGAATTTTACAAGGAACGTGGTGCGACTTTGAAGAAATGGGCACAGGAAAAAGGTTTGTCTGCGGAACAATTCGACGCAAGTGGGCCCATTCCTGCCGTGGGGGAGCCTGTTACTGGAGACAAAGCTTCGCACAGAAGAGATCAACAGCAGCTATATCTTATTCTTTTCATGGAAAATCTTGTAGGTCACACTAATTCAGTGTTGAGTGACGATGCTAACTAGTTTAGCTCTATACGGCCGGCCTTGCAGTAATGAAATTGGTTCGGTTTGCGGATGGTAAAGTAGAAGACGGATCTATGAAAAAGAACCGTCTGATTTTGCCAGGTCAACGCCGAGTAAAGAAATGGATTCTTGGCCTCGCAAAAGCAGACACGACTGTGGATAGTAACACTCCAGATAATCAGGAGGCAGGTATAAACAATGTTTACTTGGGCTCAGGATTCAATCCTCGAAAAGACCCCGAGCATTTACCACCGAATACTGCTTGGCAGCACTTTGGGAACGGGCTTAGAACTATCCCAAGGTTTTTAGGCAGCGAAGAATCAGCATTTGGTTTCAGAGTCGCCTGCGCAACCTTGACTTTGGGTATCGTTGCATTTCTCAAGGATACTCATGTCTTCTTCCAGCAGCAAAGATTAGTTTGGGCTTTGATTATGATTGCCATCGGTATGTCTGGAGGCTTGTCTTGATCTGATCTCGTAAAGAAGCTAACAGGCAATAGGTATGACGATGACTTCAGGCCAATCGATATTTGGATTTCTGGCCCGTGTCATAGGGACCGCACTAGCAATGGTCACCTCGATCGTCATATGGTATATTGTTGATCAAAAGACACCAGGGGTCATAGTAATGCTATGGTTTTTCATTTTCATGGAGATGTACCTTTTCCTGAAATTCCCTCGCTTTATACCAGCTTGGCTTGTGTTTATAGTCACCCAAGTCATGATCGTTGGCTATGAGCTTCAGGTCAGGAAGATTGGAATTGCAGCATCGACTAGCTCAGGAGAACCCTATTATCCGTTAGTATTTTCTTCGGGATGATTCGAGACTCTCTAACGATAATAGAATTTATGAGCTTGGTCCATATAGACTCGCATGCGTCGCGGGAGGGTCTTTTGTGGCATTCATCTGGACCTTCTTTCCCTACCCGCTCACGGACCGCAGCTGGTTAAGAAAAGATTTGGGAGCGACCCTTTACATCTTGGCGAACTACTACTCAATGGTTCATTCGACTATTCGTTCTCGAATGCACGGAACTGAAGGTGATATGTCATTGAAGTCTAGTCCTGGTCGTCGCCTTGAAAAGGCTCGACAAAGGATGTTTGGCAAGCTTCTCTTGCTTCTGCCATCTTTGCAACAACATGCTGATTGGCAGAGATTTGAACCTACCATTGGAGGAAAGTTTCCTCGTGAGACTTACAATAACATCACACAGAAGTGCTCCAAGTAAGTGCGACTATGCTTTGGAGGTGTGCATTTGCTAATGACTGAGTTCAGTATTATGGGCTACCTCGCATTGATGTCCTATACCACAAAAGCTTGGTCTAGAGATGCCGATACAAAAACCGATACCCGAAGCAAGTGGCTTCGTGATCTAGCTGTCATCATGGAACAGATTGAGCCCACCAGCCATCAAATAACCTCAACCCTCGCACTCCTGTCTGCCGCGATCAGTTCAGGGGTTGCCCTTCCTCCTTTCATCCAACTTCCCCAACCTTATAGCCTCACTAGTCGACTTGAAGCTCTCGATAGTGGGATTCTAGACTCAAGACATGTGGAAGAACCGGGATATAGCGCTTATGCTGTTATGCAAGTAGCAAGTTCGTTGGTGACGGATGATTTAGCGGGATTGGTAGATTGTGTTAAGGAATTAGTAGGGGAGACGGATTTCTCGTTTACAGTGGGGGGCAGTGAGGATAGTTTGACGGGGTCCGAGGGAATTGGAAGAAAGGGAAAGAAAGACTAGAGATAATACTTACCGAAAGAACTGGATAATAATGGGTTATAAATGGCGCCTGGTAAGGATTAGTATGGCATGCAACATGGACGATTAGACGTGATAAAATGGATTTCCAAGTCATCAAGTCATCAAGGATGAAATTGGGCACACCTACTTACTCTATTGGTCGTAGACACAAATAGATTTTAGAAAACAGAAATTGTAATACTAGAAATGAAAGTTTGTAAGTTTTTTCTGCGTAGTGATGAGATGAGAGAAATTAAGGTGTGAGCAAGGAAGTGAACCCCCAATTTCCAAATCGGCCGGTTCAAAGAATTTAAGAATCCTCGATTAACTGAGGAAGAAAGGAAGAAAGCCTTACGTACCTATGATGTGATGTGATGTGATTGATATAAATTCTCGATAACATTTTATTTTATTTTAATTTAGAGCTAGAGCTAAAGTTAAGATTTAATTAAGTCACAACTCACAACTCACAACTCACAACTCACAACTCACGAATAGCGGCAAGTAGCTGTAGAGGAGCTAGAACGGGTAAAAGGATCCGGAATCGAATTTCCAAGATAGATATTGACTGGACTGATATTCGTGATCATTCATTCGTCTTTGTTTTATTTTGGGATTTGGTGGATGGTGGGACTTGGTTTGGGATAGGAGGTTAGGTGGGATGACTGATGTGCTAGGTAGGTAGTTAAATGGTGTATGGTGAGACGGATGGAAAGTGTTGGAAGGAAAGACGCTGTGGTTATCGCGATTGCGGAGTTTGTTGATGAGCTGCACAGTACATAGGTAGCCACACGTTATCTGGTAGAGGAACTTCAAGTTGGGACTTTGGAGAAGTATCTGCGCCTGTTCATATATTTGGACTATTAGGCTCAATCATAGAAAGTAATTGCAGAAAATGAACATTTGAACGCAATCAATAGGGGTATCAAATTGTAGCTATCTTATCCTAAAAGTGTGTACTGAGCACCTATGTATGAAAAAACAAGCCTTCTAGCCATAGCCATTACCATTATGACCTCCAATCCTCTCATCTACAAACCAGATGAAGGAGCGAGCGCTCGTGTCTCTTTCATAACATCATGGATACATCCCAGCTAATGAATGCATTCTACCCAGAAACAAATATACTAACCAACGTAGTACCAAGTGGCAAATGCTGCCGTCAATGCTACTAGTGGTCCTCCCACTGTCAAAAGTCCCACAAAGAGGTTTGTCTCGGAAGTCATCACATTTGTTTCTCCTACAGAGCTTCCGCTCTGGTTAGAAGGGGAGATCGTAGAACACTTTCTTACTAGTGTTTTTGCTGTACCACCAGGACAATCATCTTTAAATCTCACCAATTTAGCCATAGGAGCTTGGATGAATGATGCATAGAGACTTGGTTTTCGCTCCAATCTTTCTTCTTGATCATTAGAACTTTTGTCTTCTCTCATTTTCGAGAGGCGTTCTTGTGTAAGAGCGATACTTCCCCGAGCCATGTTCAAAGGTTTGTGTTCCTGGTGTAATCTCGTGAATTGTGAGGATTTCACCGTCTCCAAATCTTCTGCCGTACTTCCACATATTGAATCTAGTTCGGAAACCATCATGACCATAAACGAGAAGATTGCTTGCGCTTCTTTGACAATGTCAGCTTTCTCGCCATTTGTTAAGAGGACTTCAGCTTCTGCTATACGCCGTTTGAATTCGCGTTTAATGTCTTCACCATCCTCATCACCAACGAAATCGAAGAATTGAAGACCTTGTTTCTTCATCATCTGGCTACATTCAGAGCGTGTCTGTCGACGAGCAGAAGGGCGCACTTCTTGTTCGGAGTATCCTTTGCTAGGGGATTGGGCGGGTTCTGATGGTCTCGTGGCCTTGTATGTGCGCACGGGAGAGGGATCCCTGTCCCAAAAGTCTTCGAATCCACCTGCCGTCTTAAGTGAAGCTCGAAGATATCGACCGCCCGAAAACAAAGCCATATATAAAACCCATGCATATGCTAATAAAACATGTGGGTTTGTTTGCACAGATTTTTTGGTGTGTGCAATAAACTCTGCTAGCCGCCCATTATCCGAGACTGCCTTTAATTGCTCTTCAATTTTATGATCGGGGGTCCCAGTCAAAGTACGAATATCAGCTTGAAGACGCCCTGAACGCAAGAGGCCAGGGAGAAGCAGATGTGAAAGTAGAGACTGAGTTCTTGAACAGACTTTCGAAGCCTGGGAGTCTAGTGAATCATGCCTCCCCCCGGGACAATCTGATCTTATCTGTCCATCGTCGAGAGATACTGGAAGGCTGGGGGCATCTATTATAGTTTGCCATAATGATTCGAAGGTAATGTAAATGGGCGCAATGTGAAGGATGCCCGAGACATATATGGATGGATTCGTGGTATATGGAGGTAAAGCGAGGGGCAAACGAAGGAGGATCAGTCTGTTGAGCTGAGCATGTACTGCTCTGGTTGCTATGTTAACTGGAAAGTGTTAGCTGGAGGAAATGAAGGTGGGATGGCGGGATATTTCTCTTACTTTGTTCCGATAAGGAATGTAGATCTGGTGGAGGGGTTTGAAGCGGAGCGTTAGAATTGATAATGCTAGATTCAGCCATAGGTGCGGTTTATCATACTGCGGATAGGAAAAGTAGAAGAATATCAGGAATAGTAGACGCAGAAAAGTATGATAAAAGGAAGTAAATAGTTTGATATCAAGAGAGGGTGTATGAAAGATAGAAAGAAGGTGGACGTGAATAAGAAAATCGGTGGTCTGACCTTGTCACTTGAGCTATTTGATCATTTACCTTATTCACAGTTCTTGATACGGCAGGAAGTTACAATGACCCAAAGTTTGCGAGGCAAAGGGAAAGAAGGAGAGAGGGGGTGACAGCGAGAAGAAGATAGGATGGCGCTTTATCGTAGGACAAGAAGGGGAAATGCCGCGTAAAGATGGAGTCGTGTTGAGAATCAATAATATGCTTTTTCCGGAAGGGAACTCCCGGTTTACCGTGACAAAAGCAGGAAAAAAACAATTACAAGTGTGTGTTCATAGCCTCGGGACCTCATTACGCAGCGTGTTAACTAGGTAGTAGATAGGTAGGTACATAGGTAGGAGGTAGGAGGTAGGAGGTAGGAGGTAGGAGGTAGAGGTATTAGGTATCAGGTATTAGGTATTAGGTATCAGGTATTAGCTATTAGCTATCAGGTATTAGCTACCTAGGTACGGTATTGATGGTAAAAGAAGATAACCGCTAGTGAATCACGCCTTGTGCCATCTTTTATACGCATCACGATTGTCATGGCAGACAGATAATAATCATAAACAAGTATGTCCAATGCATATATCACACATCCATATGTATCTTTAAAGTTTAAGGTTGATTGATTATCAGCTGAAGATCTTCGTGTCTCATAATTTTACTTTTACTTTTCCCGGGGAATGTGCTAGTACCTATTCTTACACTGTGCTATGACACCCATTTTGTAACTACTCCAAAAAGGGGCTGTCACGCATATTTGCGAGCAAGGTTATGCTCGGCAAGAAAAGATGAGCTTCGGTTCTCCCTTGACTTTGCAAAGTTTGGTCGACATCAACCGTAACCGGTTAGTTGATTGATTATAAGCTGTTCATTCCATGTACCTGCATACATAATTATCCTGGACGGAGGGGCTCGGGAAAATGTCATTCGAAGGCTAGTCCACTTATCCATGACATTGCTGGGAATCATCTGGCTACCTACCGTGACTACATACATTGGCGGTCCTCAATGTCTTAACAACGCCAAAGCCCAGTCTTGAATATCTATTCTTCATGCAAAAAAGATTGCCGAGAACGTCATTCGTAACTTAACTTGTCAACCAAAGTTGGTGAGTTGCCGTCTACGCGCACCATCAAGGGTTTGCATTGCACTTCGAATTAGAGCAACTGTAATGATCAGGAGAGGGAAGGGTGGAGAAAACCTGTTGGGTCACAAATTGGAAATGGTACTTCGAAAGGAATTGTAAGATCTTATTAAAATTTCATATTATCTCTACAGAATTCAATGGGGATAGAATGGTTGCAAACGCGAAGTCATCGTGTCGTTCAGAATGGCAAGTACGTAGCCTCAAAGATCGAACCAAATCCCAGGGTATTCTCCAAGGATGGTCCCATGAATTGTTTTGTTCTCATCCGTTCAAACCGATGCATAGAACTATGTGACGTGTGGGTTATAAAAATGCACCGATTGTTCAATCTGAAAATATTGACACATCGTCAAGGAAAGCAGCACAAGTTAGCCCGAGGAATTTCCTTCATCGTTTTCACAAGCAGCCACTCAGAATTTTGTACCTGCAAGTATCTCGTCTTAGGAAAGTTTGGTATTGCTTTGTATGCTGGTCAGTATCGTGTCCGTGGTTTCATTCTGCAATGTGCCTCAAATCAGTATTTGAAGTAGGATTTATTGGATGCAAGCCCATACTGTCTATTATTAAACGGCAGGGGTTGTTAAAAAGAGGCTTGTATCGACTTACCCATTATACCCAAAATTTGCTTGAAAATCTATGCAAACAGAAATTTATATGGATAGTGTAGCCACTCTCCTGTAAAAGAATCCCTACTGTATGATCACTATTGTTTATTCTTCAGCAGAGCATTTTGTGAACGAATCTTGACTCGGCCAAGTCAATCTTTTCGGAGGTGGTGGACAATATTGAAGATAGTGAGGAACCAAGTTCGGATTGCTTCGTAGCAGTACGGACTCCAGGTTCTGGCAATCTCCAATCTTCGACCTACATCCACCAATCTCAAGCTCAAGCAAAATTCAAAGTTGGGGATTTATTAGCAAAGAGACCGCCCGAATGATCCAATAGCCCTCTCGTACAGATTTTGGCAACCTTTCACATTTCAAGCGGTTACTATGGTTGCCAACTCCTGATAATGAAAAGAAAGAGCCAACTTTGCTGGTCAGGAAGGCTCTAGCTGCATGCATATTTATAATTTGGCTAATATTGCTAGGCACTGTGTTGCAAAGATTATAGCTGGAATGACGTGCCAGTGCTACAAGATTTGGTCGAAAATCCTGTTGAAGTCATTCATCTTACTGGCAGTTCTATTCATGATAACCCTATAGTAGATACCACCAAAAGCAAGCTACGCACATACATGTTCTACTTTCGTACTTTCGAACCTGTACTGTTATTGTGGTATAAAGTCTTATCTTGTCCCTCAATATTTCTGGAATGGGGTAATCACTGACCGAGACTGTCGATTCCTCCAAGTCCCAGGCGCAACAAAGACACTGATGATGAAGGATGGCTATTTGTTGGATTTATGTTTATTGATTAGGATGTATACCCTTTTTTGATACAATATTACTCCACCCAATCAATGATCTGATGGCAAAGGTTGAGCAGATTTCTAGGTTGAATAAATGAATTGGACTTGTGGCTCGTTGCTATCTTCCCCATTTCATTGTTTGTCTGTTATCTCAGCTACTGGAATGTTTGATCTTTCTATATGCTTGTATCTGCTGAGTTTAGGGAGAAGTAATGGCGTTGATTGAAGCAATCTCACATGATATAAATAATGAAGGTGAAGTCTCCAAATATGAGATGAGTGTCTACCAAAGACATACACACGAACCTTGGAAGTCACATTTTGAAGTATCTTTATATTCAATCTGGTTTAAACCCTAGCCAAGATAAATTATAAATATAACAATCTTGTATTGTCTTTGTATTGTCTAAATTCCATTACTATATTATCAAATTTCAATATTTCAGAATCATTACAATTCTCAAGTTAGTTTGAGGCATTAGCTATCTATCATTGTCAAAGTTTTACGTAAACAGTAAAGATCAATGATTGAATATCACTACATCAATTACCTAATAAGCATTTTTCATTTCTAATCTGATCTCTTTCCCATTCCAACTTCTGTAATGAACCTGGACAATAAAAATTATTAATTTCATGGAGATTTTTAATATGCATTAATCAACACTTTGTAAGGCAGGAGGAACCTAAACAGGAACCTGATAAGTGAAATTTCCATCGGCTCCTTCCTAAACAAATGTTTTGATATAAGCTATCAAATTAGTGAAACTATTCCGATCTTATCCTCCCAGCTCATAAACTTACATTCGCAAAAGAGAGTATAGTCGATGCATCAATTATAAGTATTCATCCAATATCATACCTCCTGCGCCTTACCGAGTGAATGGAAGACCATTTGTTGTCTGCTGTAATAATAGATATTGCAAATCTCCGGTCCGGTCAAGCCGCAACTTAATCTTTGCAAATTTTCATTCCCTCCTTCCTTCGTTTCCTTCCTGATTGTCTAACCTCCACTTCTACAATACAATACCTCCCTCCACTCTTCCCCCTCCCAAAAAGCATAAAAGCACAACAATCAGCAACCAACAACCAACAACCAACAACCAACAGCCAACAACCAACCAACAATATTATATTCTACAAATTTGTTAATGTAGAAAGTAACATGTCAGATCCCAGACAAAGCGTATTCCCGCCAGATGGAGATGTCCTCATTAAGTCACCCATGGGGAAACAATGGAAACTCCATTCCTGGCAACTTGTCACCTACGCACCAATAATTGGTGCTTTGCTTAAGGATGTGTCACCTCGAAACATCACAAAGGCGAATAGGGCTGAAGGTATCACTGTCAGATGGTGGGTTGAGATGAAACCATTTGCAGCTTTCAAAGATGATCGTTTCCGAGATTTTGAGTGCGTTGTAAGTATTATATTTTCCCCAATTGTCCTGGTGTTATGAGAGAATATCTGGGCTGTATGTTACTAGAAATTTTCATACATTTAGAAGTTTCCAATTTCCAAATCAAATTCAGATAATCCCTAACCCAAAGTTTATTATAGCCAATGAATAAAAAGGGAAAGCTTACTCTGAATGGTGCTGGTGCTTATAGTGGTGTCGGAGATGTTTCGTTCGAAAGAACATATGACAACCTTTTCAGGATGCTCTACAATCTACCTCCGAACCTTACGGACGATATTGAAGATGGTGGCGCCAATGTTTACATTACCGATTGCGTCTCCATTCTTCAAGCTGCTGACTACGTGAATGCCTTGCCCAGCGTTCGTACTTACATCGAGAGCTACCTCTTGCGCATCAGCCAGAAGTTCTGGGTTCATGTTGCCAAAGCCCCCGAGGCATGGTCGGATATTGCTGTTCGCCTTCAATCAGCAATTATCTTTCGAGAGTCCATAATCCATATTGCTGGTGGCCTCGAGCTGCCAGGACTTATCAAAAGAGCTAGATTTGGAAAAACTCAATTTGGAAATGCTTGCCTCAAAGTAGCGGAGCGTAAATCTCTTGAGCTCAGAGACAAGAAGATAGACGTTGAGCGCAGATTGTTACAATACTACCCAGCACGTCTGATTCGCAGAGAGACACCCGATAAGATCCCCGGCCGTGCCGATTATGGCTCCGATATCTATTACTGGCAAGCTCTTACCATGTGTCGTCAGTTCTTTCAGTCTTCCATCCTTGCAAACAGACATCATCGTCATGTGGATGGTGGTGTAGAGTTCTATCGCACCGTCTTCCGCTGTGATTATATCGACAAGCACGCCGCAGATGAGTTCCATCAACTTTTTGCCATGTCGACCAAGGGAAAGCAGTGTCTCGCTGACGCTGTTGAAATTATTAAGGATGACCATCGCGTGGTCGTCGCCGATCTTTTGGAGGACAATTTGCAACTCCGTACCACAGTCAGAAGTAAGCCATTGAGATATTTGACTTGCACCAAGGTCCTGGAGGAAGAATTGCCGTGGATTGTCAGCCCTGGTCTAGGTATAGCCTCTAATCCAGGACGGGCTGGATATGAGGCTATTGACGAGGGCCTTGCGAGCCCAGGAAGAGCTCATGGAGATGTCGTGGGACAGGACGATGCTCATAGACCGGAGAGAGTACCAGGTGAGGAAGTCGGAGGTGACGAAGATGCCATTGGTGTCGCTGCAGAGGTAATAGAAGAGGCTAATGCCGAGGATGGCGAAGGCGGGCAGCAATATGAGAACGAGAGTGAGAAGGAAGGAGAAGACGATAAGGATGAGTACATGGAAGGGGCATAGGCGCTTCTTCTCGCGCATTATTCGTGCTGCTGCGATGATTTTGGCTTAGCATGGCGTTTGAGTCTTCTGTTTGATGGGATGTTTTGTGCATTTGGGTGATATTACTGATTAATGAATAAAAAAAACGGTGTTTTAATGAGGGAGAGTTTGTCAAGGAATCAATATCTCTCCTTAATTTGAACAATCAAAAATTTCTCTAGATAGATATAGCTAGGCTAGGAGGGGCATTTTGTTATCCAATTTTAGCTTAAAGGTTCAAACGTCTGACTACGTGAAAGAATTTGATAACACGCCGGCAACAGTGTGCACTGTGCAATGTCACCATATCAGATTGTTACTTTCACTCGGGAGTCGGGATGACCACACTTTCAATGTTCAATCTCGTCAGAACATTCAGCTTGCTTAGAAACGCTAGATGGAAACCATACACTTTCAATATGACTTTGATACAGACATTCAAACTAATGGCTGGATGGAGAGTATACACTCCCAACCATCAACGCTGAAACAAAGATTCCGGTTATTCATAAGAGGTGAGTAGAAATCATACACTTCTAATCACTTACCTTCATACAGATATCCTAACTACTCAAAAGAGCTTGCTGGAAATGGTACAATTTCAATATTGAACCTCGATGGATATTCATACGACACCGATCTGTGTGAGATATGAGATTTGGACCAAAGGAGCGGCTTCTATCTGGTCAATGGATCACTATTTCTGGACCATTATAAGTGTGCTAAGTCCTGCAGTTCATGAAGTGAAGCAGGGAATGCATTGCAGAAAGCATCAGGTTTGTATAGTTTGAATTGTGCGCCCCAAGCCCCAAGATCCCTTGAAATTATGCAGCTACAACCTCATCTACGGGATTCTGGGATAAGATTAGTACAGACACTTGTGACTTGAGTATATTGAAGCGGGACTACCACTCAACGATGGCATTTCCCTGTCTATTTTATTCGCAGCTTTCTTCCAAAATTGGAGAAGAGTCCCCATGAGCGCTTGTCTTTGGACCCTCAATCATTGTAGGATTACCCGCCTGCCTGCCATATCCTGAACCTCTGCGCCCCCATAAGAAAACGTGTGAAGTGATAATTACGAACCTACTAAGCGTTTTATGGTCACAAGACGGATAGACCAGGATTGAAGAGAGCGCCTGCAATCGACCTGAAGCCCAATAAGACGAGTGTTTATCATGTCAGGCCCTAGCTTCCGTCCACAGCAGATTCCCAGCTAAGACTCTGTTTGTACGTACACATGTCAGAGATACTCCTCAAAGAAAGACGTCCTTCTTACAAGCAGCGCTTCACCTGATTGTAAAAGAATCATAATTGACGATAGGGACAGCGTAGCATACGTCGTGGCACGGAGGACTGTTTGAAGTGACGTTCAAACATCTCGGTAATAAGGAGGTGGCTGGTTCATTACATCATCCATCATACATCATACCGCATTTAGCCTTTCTCACTAACGCGTATCAAATTCGGTGCCGAGCCGCGAAAAGCTGACTTCTTATTTTAATGAAGTAAGTATGTGATGAATGAGCCATCAAGGTGTCGATCGGTACCTCGGGATGCCGTGCTGCCGTGTTGGCGAAGCTGAGTTATATCTTCAACCACTCCGTCAGCTCTCGACCTGAGATTTGGATGATGCTTTTATTGATAGTAAATAACTTTTAAATGTATGTTTTTCGGAGAGGAAACTCAAAGTTTCATCTAGAATCACATGCCATTTACTGATCAATGCTCTTCTAGTTAAACCAGACTAAAGTATCTACCAGGACTTCTCTTCAACCTGCATACTTCATACTTCAACCTGTGTGCGGACGTCATATGTAACCACACACCCATCAACTCCTTCTCACACGAATGGCATCACTGCCCGTCCACTCCGCCGAATCTCCTCTGGAGATGCAGTCACAGAAGAAAAATGCGCATCCGAAGAGAAACATAATACTCGGTCTCCTAATCGCCTTAGCATGCACCTGGATTCCATACACATTTTATTTTCGCCAAAGCTCTTTTAACGATGTCAGTTCCATAGTGGACGAAGGGCCCAAAGAGATAATTCACCACGAATATGGAACGAATGCGCAATTCGCTTTCACAGATATGATACACCTGGTGAATTTACCTTCCGATTACCTGCCGCAAACAGGCAAACATCGGAAACCGAATCGCTTGATCATAGTGGGTGATGTGCATGGGATGAAACATGCGCTGGTAAGTTTGCTTGCCAAAGTAAAATTTGATGAGAAACACGACCATTTGATCCTAGCCGGCGATATGATATCCAAGGGACCTGATTCTCCAGGTGTGGTCGATCTCGCTATGAAACTAGGAGCTACTGCAGTGAGGGGAAATCATGAGGACAGGATTATTCTCGCACATGCGGATATGGTGGCGCAGCATAAGGAGGCGGAGATGGATGCACCGGGACCGAGCGAAGACCCAGGGAAGGTGATTGATGGGTTGGAGGAAGTTAGTTTCAGTCATGGGGACTATAAGGATCGGGCATTGGTAAGGGAGTTAGGGGAGAAGAGAATCAAGTGGTTGAAGAAATGCCCGGTGATCTTGAGAGTAGGGCATTTGGAGGGCATGGAGGAGGTGGTGGTTGTTCATGCTGGGCTGGCTCCCGGAGTGGAATTGGAAAGACAAGATCCATCCATGGTGATGAACATGAGGACTATCATTGATGGAATACCGAGCGATGAAAGAGATGGGAAACATTGGAATAAGGTAGATTTGTATTCACATCATGTCATCATCTTCATGAAGTATCACTAACCAGTACAAAATCACCAGGTCTGGAATAAATTTCAGAAGAAACTACCAAAGAAAGAACGCACCACAGTCATATACGGTCACGATTCAAAACGAGGTCTTCAGTTAAAGAAATACAGCATGGGTCTAGATACAGGGTGTTTAAAGGGCGGTAAACTTACAGCTATGGTTATTGAAGGTGGAAATTCTACACCTAAGCATAAAGTGGTGCAAGTCAAGTGTAAGGATGGGAGAAAGCATTAGAAACAAGAGATTGGTAAAGGTGACGCGATGAGAGGTTTTGCATTAGATACCACTTTGCGGCGTTTGGGATATTATTTGTTTCGAATGAAGTTAATGATGGGCACATATTAGGTAATTACGAGTTGGGCAATGGTTCTATCTTGAGTTTTATGGTGTTAGATATGATCAGTGTTATTCTGGAAGGGATCAGGTGATATTCCAGCGCAACTGTCAACCAGTTTGCTGCAAATGAGTATCATATGTGTTAAGAATGCTTAGACGGCGGGGCATAGAGTCAAAGCTCACTTGTTTTAATGCGGTGCCTTCAATGCATGAAGAATATAGATTACATTTATGATCAAATATCAAAAGATAAATCCATAATTCAGACACAAACCCAACTGATTTCAATGCCAAGTATATCGAACCCATAAGAATGTTATAATACATCCCAAATTCAAACTCAAACTCTAATTCGGATTCCCTTTTGTCTAGAAATCTATAAATTTAAACCGCTTCCCTTGCTCCGGCATCATGATCCACAACAACGACAATAGGTATGATTCTTTCGTCCACTGCTTCTCTCTTCTCTTCCTCCTTACTCTCATGATTAACAAACACAAAACTTCCCACCACAACCAACGCGCCTACCCAATAAATTTCAGTACTCGTCTGCTCGTTCAACCACATCTGTCCCACCAAACTCAATGGAATCGTCATACTCAATCCTACCGTTACCACTAACGGCGTCGTCAATAGCATGGCATACGCCCAGCAGTAATCGCTAATGAAACTACTCAAAGAATTCAATAATACTATGAGCCAGATCTTGCCAGTGGGAGGTAGCTCGAATTTTTCCACACCGGTAAAATGCAAGATGAAGAAACCGGGCCATAGAAATATGACGTTGAAGAGGCCGACAAGTCCAAAGAATAAGGGCATATCGACACGATCTTCATTACCGCAGCGCTTTTTCATCACCACTGCATAAAGCCCATACATAACCGCGCTTCCAAAAGCCATAATATCGCCAATAGCAATTTGAGCTTGAGATTTATGGGGAAAGTTTCCGCGGTTGGAGTCATTGTCCGTACTGCCTAGATCAACCGAGGAAATGAGGATGATGCCTACGAAAGAAGCCAAAACACCGATGAGTTTCCGCATGGTAAAGGATTCGACGCGAACCAGGGCTCCGAAAAGGAGAGTGAAGATTGAGGAAGTGGAGGTAAGGATCGTGGAGGAGGCAACGGATGTGTATTCGAGACAGCCGGCCACGAGGTAATTGGCTATGAACCAAAGCAGGGAGAATTCGAGTGAAAGTTTGGCGGTCTCGGAAACACTCAGTTTGTCTTCCTTTTCTTGCTCTTGTGGTTGGGAAAGATCTGTGTCAAAGTCATCGGTAGAGCTAAGGAGCCGTGAGTGAGAAGCGCTCATAGGATCGTATTCTTCGTCTTCTAGCCTGGACTCCCGGGCGCGCCATCCTTTCCGGAGATTCTGGAGTCCGGAGCGGTATTCTGAGATTTGTTCGTGATAATAATCGACAACGGAATCCTTCACATGCGACCACCCATGCACCCTCGATATTCGTAGAAAGATAGGAATCAACGATACAGCAAAAAACGACGTGTTGATATATGTCACGAAATATGGTTTGGAATAGGTATTATCGGCGAATATATACTATAGTTCTCGTATCAGTATGAGTAGGTATCTAATCCCCTGACCCTTCCCCAGGCCAAAATACCAAGCTGGCAAAGAGACAAGCACACTCACACTAGCAAGAAAATTACTACTCGTCCATAACATCACCGTAACTCCCAATAACACCATGCCCAGCGTTCTGCGCGCTACATTCCCCAACCCCACTCCAGCTCTAAATCCCATGTTCTTGCTGCCTGCGTGCGCAATGGTGTCTGTGACCGTCCTTTCCAAAGACAGTCTCTCAGTCTGTGTCTGCATTATAGCAGGACCCGTTGATACACTCATGGCACCGAGTTTTGTTGACAGCCGTCGTTTGCGAATCGAGGTGTGGGATATCGTCTTGCGGACCTTATCTATATCGCATCTACGCCCGTGCAGCCAGGATGCTGTCGGGTGGATATAAGTTATGTGGACTTATTTTCGGGATGTCGGAAGGTCATGGAGGGCGTAAACACATGCACAAATATTGATGCATTTAATAATGCGCTAAAATCCTCTTACACCAGTAGTTGAAGTGTGCATGTATTCGTTCGTTCTTGATGAGATCGATATAGTCGCGGAAGTGCTGAATTCGGAACACGGAAGATTGAGCACGCGATTGGAATCATCAATGATGCTTCTGATATTTCTGCAACTTGGCCTTTGGAAAGATAAGAGCAGAGAAATAACTTATAAGATAAAAGTCAAGCCAAGTGAAGGCTGACTTGTACCTTCCCAGTGGATCAAGAATCAAGACATTCTCATTTGATAGGGCTTTATCGCTTGGCTCGTATGTAACCAGATAACCCTAACCTTACGTTATCAAACGCAATTTCATCGAGAGGTAGAAGCGGGTGAACTTTGTTTCAATGTCACTGTAAGTTTCCCTCCGTACTCGCATCACTGAAAAGAACTGTTTTAACACAAATAAAGTGGTGCGTCCAAAAAATATTTCATTACGAACTAAAAACGCGTCTCTCTCATTATGCATTCTGTATCATCAAGGAAAGAAAATATTGCAGACCCAATAGCGCCAGAATGATTATGTACAGTTGATCTCGCATCAAAGTTTCCCGTATGATTCCCTCGATGACTGAAGCGGTGGGGTGGAGAGAAAATGAACCCGAAGACTTCCAACACGACCCTAGCGACCGCATTTAACAAGCACAGCCATCTCTATCATTCTCGATATGAATGTTGATTGGATCCGAGTAATCTCCATTGTATTCTTCCGATTCCTCCTGTGCTAGCGCATTTCTGGCAATGACTGAACAGGAGGTTAGCTCAGAAGTGTCAAGAAGATAGGGATTACTTACCTTCAAAGGCTTGCTCAACATTGATGGCCTCCTTTGCACTTGTCTCGAAGTATGGAATATTGCCTTTTGAAGTGCAGAAAGTCATGGCCCGTTTTGAGGAGATCTAGGGTGCCATTAGCAAAATACGGCAATGCAATCCCAATGCGAAACTTACTACTCTCTTGTTCTCCTCAAAATCAATCTTGTTGCCTAGAACTACCTATTTAATCATCAGTGCCACAGTCCATTTCAGCAGAATTGCTAAACTCACAAATGGAAAGCTTTCCGGATCTCTGGGCGAGGCCTGGATCAAGAATTCATCCCTCCAGCTATCCAATGTGTCGAAACTTTTTGAATTGTTGACATCGTAGACAAGAACGCAGCAATCCGCTCCTCTGTAGAATGCGACCCCTAACGATTGAAACCGTTCCTGACCTGCTGTATCCCAAAGCTATAATATAACTATCAGCTACCACATTCTAGCCGCCATGTATTGAAGCACCCTCACCTGCATAGTGACTAATCTATCATCAACCAGAACTTCCTTCGTCAAGAAATCCGCCCCAATAGTCGCTTTGTAGCTTGCACTGAACTTCTTATTGACCTATTTCACTATTAGTCTCTCGTGTTGGCGTATACATCAAGGGTAAAAGATGGAGGACTCGGCATGTGTTCAACGTACATATTGATTCATCAAACTCGTCTTTCCTACACCGCTATCGCCTAGGATAATGACCTGCGAATTTCATATTCAGTATCAAACCAGAGATAAGAGCCCTAGTGATAGTCCTCACCTTCAGTAAGACCTTCTTTCTTGAAGCCATATCTGCTTGTGCTTCCTTGATCTGATCTTTTCTCCTCACGAAGCGCTAACTTTCTCCGTGCCTTTCCTCTGTCTCTTTCTCAAACAAAAAAGGTGCGTAAACACGTAATATGAAGAATCGTTTCGGTCGTCGAAAAAGGAATCCGTATATTTTTCGAGAAATGGGACTATGTATGTATTAATGTGTTTGAGTGAAGAGGGAGGAGCATCAACGTTCAACATTCAACATTACATCGGCAACCTTAAGCTTTAGTGTGCTTTGCCTCGCGCGCTCACTAAAAACGACCGATCATCAGAAACCCGCTAGCGCCGGCCGCTTTACCCTATCAGCTTTTGCTTTTTGCTTATCTAGATTCCACGGCCAGTTTATTGTATGGGTGCCCGTCACACATGCATGTTTGATGTTGGATGTTTGCATGAGAGAGCTTCTTTATCCATTCACTTGCAGCTTCTCGTACATAAAAAAAATAAATTATAAATATCAGCCTACACTTTTCTTCAACAAATTTGTAATATCTATTGCCCGGAACTGGAACTGGAACGAGAACTTCAACTTTTTCCGTGGGAATTCTACCATAGGTAGAGGTTGTATTCTATGATTATCTACTGACGAAATACCATTGGTAACTTTCAGACAATGCAGCCTCACCCACTCATACATCAGAAACCAAAAAAACGACACAATGACTTCCTGGCGCGATGAGTATGTTAAAGCATTACAAGAACGCGACGAGCGAGAACAAGCTAGCTATCAGCGATTTGATCGTCAGTTCATAGAAGCTTGTACGGAACCCCCTTTGAAGTGCATCTTGTCCAAAATCTAATAACTCGCAAAAGATACTCAGCTTCTCGATAGAGCCTCCGCCCAAACAGCGGCAGCAGCTTTTCACGACACTCCGTCGTCCCTCTCTTCTTCTTCCACATCCCAGAAAACAACCTCCAAAACTCCAAAACAAACTCAACTCATCTCATCTTCCGAGATCCTCCAGCTTCGCGCTTCCCTGGCCGAAGCACTCCGTTCCTCTTCGCACTTTCAATCGCGTCTGAAAACCGCCGAAAACGCTCTTCAAGCCATCCGTACTAAAAGCATTTCAGAATCAAAACAAATCGAAGCTTTGACGCGAGAACGAAATATCATGGAGAGGAAGATTAGGGATAGAGATGAGGAGTTGAAGGCCAAGACTAAGGGGTATCATGATGTGCAGGATGAGATGATATCTCTCAATTTGCAACTTAATATAGCAGAGCAGAATGAGAAAAGATTAAAGGCGGAAAATAAGGATTTGATTGATAGGTGGATGGCTCAAAAGGGAAGGGAAGCGGATGAAATGAATAGAACGTTTGGGACGTAATGTAAGGAACTAATCATTCAATAAACCATGCCGGATTATTTTCTATTTTAAACCAACGAAAAAGCGTAAGATATGCAGCCGTAGCGACGCTGGTACAAATACATCCATCTATGAATACATCTACTTAATAATGACTCGATCCTAATATCGCTGTGTACCCAAGTACCTAATAATGACCTGCCCAGTGGTATCAACTAATACAAGAAAAACGATTTGTCCAAAGTCCATGGACCTTTTGCCATACTCCTGAGTTTTCTATTTCCACAAATCATCTAACCCGAGTTCCCCGTACCTGCCTTTCCTCTTGGGACTTGTGATAATTAGCAACAATGCTACTATCCTTCGTGGCAACGTAGTAATTCCCTCCTCCACCCTGCCAACTGACGTCTCCTTGTGCGAAGGTCTTTTTTTCGACTCGCAATAGATTGATCGGGTTGTCTTCATTGTAGCGGTTCACAACATGACCATCCGGTACGAAAGTTTTTAAACTCACAATCTTGCAACCCTCTTTCAAATCCAGGAATAAGTCCACAAGATGTTGATTCAAATCAGGGTTGAAGACCTGGTTGTTGACCAGGATAACGTCAGCCCTCCTCATCGCCTCATGAATCTTTGTGTTCTCCATGAAATTCCCTTCCTCAAGGTTGACAGATCCGGCGCTCAGACCCCAAGCTCTGCAACGTGCAAAAAACTCTGTCTTTTGGGCAGAAGCAAGCTTACAGCAATTTTCCATTATTTCGCAGCCCCAGCTTTCGCAACCAACTTGTAAGGCGGCGTGAATGACGACATTCCCTACCCCCGAACCAAGATCTATGAAAACCTGATCAGATTTCATGTGAGTATCTTCCTTGAGAATTCGGGATATGAATGGGAATGTAAGCTCGCCGTAGACGTAATCTGTGCCGTTTTCGTATTCTCTAGTTAATTCAACCTGAGGAGATACTGCTCGGTCGTATACCTGCTGGAGAACCATTTTGAGAAGCTTAGACGATAGTGAATGCTTATTATCCAGATTTTGTGCTAGCGATCCATTCTTGGTGAGAGTACCAAGCGCATCGTTGTAAACTTCCACAGCATTCCGAAACTCGACTAATAGCTCCTTCAGCTTCGCTTTGTCGTAAGGCTTTTTATGTTTGTTGGCCAGAGTCCAAGTAATATTGTTCGTCGCTTTGTTAATCTTGCGGATGATGCCCGTTTCTGGATGCTGGAACTCCGCTGCTTGCTCTTCCGTCAGATATTCGTCCTTAACAATTTCTGCAATCTTTGGTATTTCATCGTAAGGATTAATTAATTCTTCTTCTCCAGGATCAATGACTTCGCCTTCGGAAATGAGTTGGTATCTTTATTTGGTGACATTTATCAGCTCAGTTCTACTTCAGATTCAAAATTGCGGAGAGGAAGCGCACCTTTCCATACGACGAACGCTAGGGTATCGTAGATAAACTGCTTCACCTTCTTCCTTCTTTCTATCGCAAACCTTCTCGCCTCTTTTAGCCCTGTGCTTCGTCATCATGACATCGGCCGCATGGATCATTTTACATTTAGAGCCTTGATTGTCAGCAGCTTCGGACAAAAAAGCCTTTTGGTCTTTCAGACTTCTTCTCAGATCAAGTTCCACATTTTCAGATTTGGCTCGTTTGGCTGGTATGCGATCCTCTTCATCTTCCTCGCTGTCACTCTCCAATGGTCGCTGGCTCGGACTTCTTCGAGCTTTAAAGTTTGAGTTTTTTCCTACACCACGACTTCCGCTCATTTCTCTTTCTTTCCTCTTCTTTCCTACGCCAGAGGTAGAATTGGAGATAGCTAATCTGCCACGAGCGTCCGCAACCTTCGTCGCAGGCGCTCCAGTTCGGAGGTTGTTACTCGATGTTCTGGTGGGTGGGACCGGCCTTGGAGACTGCTTTGGAACTTTGATGGTCTCTATTTTGTATTTTGGAACCACAGGCTTAATTGTAAGATTTTTTTGTCCGAAATTCAAACTCATTCCTGCAGGCCCAAAAAAAGAACGAATAATAAATACTTGGTCTTGCCAAAATAGTCGACTAGTATATGTCGATACTGTTATCCCAAAAATGAATAGGGTAGCTAATGAGTGTGAAGAGATGAATTATGGTAGAATTCAAAATTGTAGGATGGTAGAACATTGTATGCCAAAAAGTAAATAAGTCTAGCAGGCAGGCACGATCGAAGGCTGCACTACCTAATGCAGGGATCTACGCTAGTGCTTATCACGTGATCACGCTTATCTGGGAGGATTGTTCTCGAAACGGAAAGAGGGGGAGAACGCAAATTAAACCATAAGGAACCCAATCCTTAAAACAAATCATTATTTATTAAATGATTTAATATTCATTTCAAACAAAATAGAAAAGATATTCTTTTATTTTTTGATCATCAAAAGTATTAGAATAAAAAGAATTTTTTTTAATAATAATAATATAAAATCGTGTTTATATATATTATTTATTTTTATAAGAAAATATCAAACATTAAAAGTTTTTATCAGATGACCGACTTTTTAACTTCGGATCTACCAAGAACTATATATCAATAATACAACTCAGTAGTAACACCTTACTGTTATCACTTGCTCCTGACAAGAATCTCTGAGATGCTTGATTGGTAATTTCGTTAGAATTTTGATATTTGTTCACATTTAACGTCATAAATGGCCTTATTCATGGATCCCCTCCCTTTCATCTCCTATTCTAATGCACAATATCAATCTTAAAGTACCACTACAAATGCAACAATAAGGAAACCACAAAAGAGCATCTAATTATCTTAGACTTATAGCCATCTCATGCCACATCATCATCAATTCCTTCTCATCACCCTCGGCTGCCATGTGCAGATATGTCGAAAGTCAGAAAGACGATAGAGTGACGGCAAGTAAATAGCTGTATGAACATGGAAATTGCGAGGACAATTAATTGTTCCCCAGAAATAGATAACTTTTCGATGCCCAAATTTACTTTTTGGAAAAACAGGAGAGTAGACCAGCAAAACACACAAAAGACCCGAACAGACCCAAGTGTATGAGATGACAGGTAGTCTAACATGTCAGTCAGGAACACCATGCGCCAAAGAAACATTTGTGCATAGGCCCTCCATATTCAATCTAGATATTACTAGTATGGAGGAGTAGTGGATTCCAGAAAAGCTTTTCGTATGATGCAAGGCTATGGTATCGTTCCGGGCCAGTGAGGCTAAACATGGGAATAATGAAAATCTAGACACAAAGATTTATGCAGATCCAACGCCAAAGGAAATCGTTTTGAGAATTGGAGAACAGAAAATTATGCTTTTTGCCATTTAAAAGCATCAGAGTTATGACACTAGATGCTCAGTGCACCGAGAATGCTTGCTCGGTTTGTCAATATTTCGTTGACGCCTCTCAAAATAGTGATATCTAAGAAGCAATAGCACGTTGGCCTGCATTGCCACCACGATTGTTTTTCTTGGGTTTGGACACGGTGCTCCAGCCATCCTCTTCCATAACTGCAGTTTCAGTTGCAGCAGCAGGGGTCTCGGCTGGTGCGGTTGCATTTTGTCCACCACCATTTGTGTTTTGCCTGTAGTTTCTTCCACTATCGTTGTGTCTTGAGCCTCTTGGGGCATGGTGACCATCACCCCTACCCCTTGGTCCTCTTGGAATGTCGTCCCTGGGAGGTTTAGGCCCAGAAGATGGACGTCTCCAAGCACCAGTATCGGACGGTTTTGATCTAGCATCCCTTACAATCTCTTTTGGTTTGACAGCCTTATCGTCGACTACCTCACCATTTGCATTCTCAGTTTCAATTATCTCTCCTTCCTTTGTCGCTTCTCCACCCTCATGTTGTATGACTTCAACCTTCTTTTCATTATTCTCAGCTTCCTTAGCCTTGGCAGCTTCTCTTTCCTGCTTCGCCTTTTCATCGGCATCCTTCTTCTCTTTAATTGCCTGTTGTCGCTTCTCCTCAATTTCTTTCTCCTTGGCAGCGGTGTCAATTGGACGAGCGGCTCCAAATGGGCTTGCCTTTGCATCTCCTGTAGCAGATGGGGAGGATGAGTCGGCAGGGACCTCGGGAACGGTGCGCTTTGCGAGGTTCAACCTCGGTCTACCACCAGCTGGGGCCGATGCAAGGGCGGGTGAAGCTGGTGCCTCGCTGCCTTCACGAGATGGAACGGGTGACTTCGCAGCTGGCGCAGCTGGTGGGTCTGGCCGCATCTTGCTACGCCATTGGTTGTCCTGATCGGCAGCGGTTGGGGCACGTTCGACAGCGGGTCGCTCCTGGAATTCGTGTCTGGGTGGTCTGGATCCCTCTTGCGAACCAGAGCCTTGACCTTGAGATCTTGCTTCACCCCAAGCAGCTGGTGAAGCTTTGCGGTCTCTGAAACCTTCAGCCCTGGGTCCATCGTTGGTTCGTGGTCTGCCGCCTTCTCTTGGAGCACGTTCTTGTTGTGCAAGGGGTGAAAGTGGGCCTTTTCGCTCCCAGTTTCCAAAGTCTCGAACTTTGCCATCACTTTCGGGCTCACGAGGGGATCTACGTTCGCCGGCTTCGTCGCCAAATCGGCTGGATTGATATCCTCGATCCGAAGTGCGACGCTCCCCGCCACGGCCTGGCAAATCCGGCAATGGCCCCTTTCTGCTCCAATCTCCAAGTTCCCGTACATCCGGACGGTCACCGCGATCCTTTGCTGCAGCATATCTTAGTGAAAAGCCAAAATGCAAAGGGCATTAAACTTACGTGGATCGGCAACGCTAATTCTGATGTTACGTCCTTGGAATTGAGTTCCGTTCAAAGTCAGGGCAGACTTGAGGCCTTCCAAAGAGCCAAACTCTGCATATCCGAAACCCTTTGGCTTCATTTCCATTTTATCCTCGATGATGCGTACATTGATACATTCGCAGCCGACGAAGAATTCGTTAACATCGCCGATGGTGGCGTCGAAGGAAAGGTTTCCAAGATGGACAGTGTAAGGTGGCTTATCCGGGAGGGGAAGTTCCTCACGAACGGAATAACCTATTGCCAATTAGAATATAGATTATATTGAGAAAGTAACTCGAAGGAAGGTGATGAGGAACTTACCTCCGGCATTGTTGCCATAAGTACCAGTAGTAGAGCTGTAGGTTCGTCTGTCGTTGCTGCTTCCGCCATAACCAGAAGGACGCGAGTCTATTCTAGTCAGTCATCATTTATCCTTGCACAATTGGCCATGACCAGTTTGCTCGTTTGCAATCACGTACCGGCTGGGAGACAGAAATTAGCAGGGCTAGACAACGACATAGGAATGGAATGTACTTACAAACTGGCATATCCTCCATCTCATCGGCCCATGATCCTAACTCTACATGGATGTCAGTATGTAAAAGCCATTGTGTGAGGACGGTAGGCATTTATACTCTCATCGGCCAAGAAGGTCCCGAGGGACATCTTCTGCTGTTCCTTCTTCTTGGGAGCTATGGCACAATCACAATTAGCTATTATATACACAACATCTTGCGGACCCACAGCGACAGTAATATCGTGTGTTGCGATAGTCGACGGAGGGTTAGTGAGGGGGAGCGCTTACCCATGATTGCGGCTTTTTTAGGACACTGCGCAAAAGAGTTTGCGCGTTGTCCAAGACGGAGTATTGGAGGTACTGAAGTCCTTCAATCGATCGTATGTATTTGATATTAAGGTATTCTTCAGAATATTCGAGGCTCGTCGAATATCGTTTGGTGTGTTGGTACGAAGAGGTCGAGGTTCTTCGTGGTGGGTTGGAATCAATCCAAAAAGGAAATGGAAGAATTATCAAAAGTGCGAAGTTTTACAAGGATCGCGCGAAACTAGTGGGGCAAATTCTTCCACTAGTGCTTGTTGTTAGTGAGTTTGCATTCAAACCAGTCGACGTATTCTATCCAGTAGACATGCAACATTTTAGAAATTAAATTACAGAAAAAAAACTTTTTGATAGCACAGAGTTAGATATAGTGCTAGTGTATATATTGTATACATATGTATGTGTTTATACGTATATATATATCCCAGTATATACTCTCCTGTTATAATACCTCGTCAGCTAGCACATACAGGATTCAATACCTATTGCGAGCAAATCCTTGTTGGGTAGGTGTATTACTTTTCCTCTTCAATACGTCCCTGGCTTGACTACATAGTTGGCGTTATCAAAATGGGAATGATATCATGATGTAAATTTCATTCGCTCATGTGAGTATCTAGGTATCTAGGCATCTTAGTCCCCGATTCTTTGTACATGCAGCCCAATTCTTGCTCCATTCGGAAAATAAGAGACGATATGACAACTTCCGGAGAAAAGGGGGATTCTTCGTCCTTAATGGCTCCTATCAACCAATCTCAGAGCCTCAAATCGGACAATTTGCCTCCTGAGTTGATGGATATTATTAAACCTGCTCTGCAATTCGGTGGCCTTTCCGGTATGTTCTAGCCCCGTCTGTATCACTTCCTGTTTGTGCAAACATTTGATGATCTCCAACTTATTTTCATCCCTCATCCCTTGTAAATTTTCATACAATTCCTCCATGGTAATCGCCTCTATACATATTAGCCAGGATATCCATTCCTAGCCCCTAGCTGACGCTTCCTCAGCACTTTCCGGCACCATCGTCGGTGGATTCTCTGGCATTCTCGTATCTCGAACTCCGGTGCTCTTCGCCGTCGCTAGCTCTATTCAGTGGGGCATTATTGGCACCACCTTCTGGGGAACTCGCACCGCGCTTCTTTCCCATTACAGGACCGCTCGCATATATCCGACACCACAGGAGAAAGCCCTTTCTACTACCCTTGCTGCTTCTCTTGCTGGTGCTACAGGGGGTATATTGCGTGGACCGAAGAATGTTCTGCCTGGGTTCGTCGTGTTTGCATCTGCTGGATATGTGGGACAGAGAATCTATGATGCGTTGGACGAGAAGAAGATGGAGGAAATGAGGTTTGAGGAAAGCGGAAAGAAGGGGAACGGCGAAACTTGGATTAACTCAAGGTGGGTGCCTTGGAAAAAACTAACTGATGATGAGTATGAGGGGATGTTGAAGGAAAGATTGTTGAAGGTCGATGCCGAGATTGCGATTCTGGATGATAAACTTCAGGTTTTACGAGAACAGCAAATTAATGAAGCAGGAAGGCCCGAAGTAACAGGTAGAAAGGATCTCTAATATCCTGGGGGCATTCTGACTTTCTATATACATCCGAGAATAGAAATGTTTAACTATAAAACGTTTTAGGATTCATTCATATGCAATCACCATCATCACTCTTATAAGCATCCTAAAATACAGCAATTTATTCATTTTGACAGATGACATTCGATTGGCTTGATGTTTCATTTGCGCTACATCATCCATTCCCCCCCCTAAGCAGCATTTCCTACACAAAGCTTTTTGGTATCTTCTCCTCAGCACAATGGCTCATCAATCCTGATCATCTTTCTTCTCAGACTTACTCCTGACCCACTCCTCGGCAATGGCTCTTACTTTCTCTTGGGACTTTTTATCACCATTCGCCTCCTCCCACTCACTCCATCGTTTGAACCACCCCTTCGCACCCTTCGGTTTCAGCCCCTTGATTCGAGCCACTCGTTCGAAGACCCCCCTGACAATGGCCGCATCGCCCGCCTTGGTTTCCAGATCCAAAAGCTGCCCCCAGATGTCCAGTCTTTTGTTCCATTTCGCTAAAACGCCCTCAAAGATAGTGCGTCCACGTTCTGGAGAACCGTGTTCAGAGCGGAACTCTAAAGCTGCAAACTTGAGCGTCAAAGGAAGATGTGTGTGTGGAGGAAGCGACTGGGTTGCACGTGGAAGGAGAGCACGGCCGCGATCAGGCGACCCGAGAGTGTTGAAAAGGAAGTGTGCATAATTGACCCATACGGTAGGAGATTGTGAAAATTTCTTGGTAAGAGTTTGGAACAGTTCGTCAGCTTTCTGCAGTGTTGTTAGCGTAAGTGTTCTGAATTCCATGACTGTTCCTTACCTCGTTTTTGCCCGACTGAATGTAGATACTAGCCAATCTTTCATGAACCTCTTGGGCGTCATTATACTGACAAGCTCGTTTAAATACTTCTTCAACGGTTTCATCGTTTCCATATGCAATCTCCAGATTGAGAAGAGCAAGCCAAATATTGAGCTTCTCTGTTTCCTCACGCATATTAATAGTCTTGATGGCACGCTCGGCGATCTCTCTAGCTTTGCCTAGCTCGCTGAGTTGCATCTGGAAAGCCATATACTGGGTCCAGAGACTGGAGGAGTCTGGCCGACCCAAAAGGAGACGCTCAAAGTCACTGACAGATTGCGGTCCGTTGGCATCAAGGTCACCCGTTCTATCAATTTTGATTTCTGCCTTTCTCTTCTTTTTCTTAGGCTTCTCTTCAATGCATTCTTCCGAATCGGCGTTAGATTGACCATCTGCTTGGTCCAGTATATCAGCAGACCAGTCAAATCCACCAGCACTAAGAGCGGAAACATCATCCCCAACATCTTGCATTTCCTCGTCAGAATCGGAGGCTTCATCTGCATCTTCCGCAGTACTTTCAAAATCTTGCACATCATCAAATTCAACACCGCCTTCACTTTCATCATCATTGTCATCGAGATCCATGTTATCGAGCTTAACGCCCTCCACACCGTCATCCTCACTCCCAGCAGACTCTTCTCCGTCCTCAAAGTGTGAAGCCTTCATGGAGAAACTGATGCGTTTCTTCTCGGGGTCCATCTTCAATACGATAGCTTTGACTTCATCGCCCTCGGAGTACAACTTTTTGATATCGTGAACACGCTTTTCGGCCATTTCACTTTGGTGACAAAGGCCGCTCACATTTGCTGAGCCATCGATGACGATAAAGACACCAAAGTCCTCGACTTTACGAATTTTTCCGGTAATAATTTGGTCCACGTGGATATCGTTGAACGTCAGAGGCGCAATGTAATCTTTGTCGATAACGGAAGGTTTAAGACTCAATTGAATGTGGTTCAAAACCTCATCAACAACTGTGACTTTACCTTTGACTAATTGGTCGACTTGAAATTCCGATTTCCAGTCTTTGATGTAAGAATCCGAAAGGTCCGAAATTCGAACATATGCTGTCACATTACCGCCCAAATTGACAAAAAGCCCTTTATCAGCGACGTGTTTGACAAATCCACGCACAATGTCATTTACTTTCAATTGCGAGATTGATGATATCTCTACGTCTTGGACTGCCGCAGAGGAGTTGATCACTCTAGATGCTCGAGTTGACAACCGCACACGTTTGTTGGGAATATCGAGATCAGTGACGCAAACCCGAACGATGTCATTCTTAGAGTACCTTGAAGGATCAGCTTCCGAAAAATCGTCGCAAAGGTCCGTAAGATTGATAGGCGCAGATATGCTATCAGTAATTTGTACCATGACCTGTCGTTCATTGACTCTTGTTACCTTTCCTGGTACGATCATGCCTTTGCTTAGTCTATCAAAGGTAAGGGTGTCAGAATCTTGACTAGAGCGAGCAGACAAATCTAGACGATTCGTTTCAACATCCACGCCCTTGACGTGAACCCGGATGGCAGAGCCAATGGGAAAGTTTGCTTCCAGGTCCTTAATCAATGATACATCATCTGATACATCCAAAGCGCTGATACGGCCACGGACATTAGGAGATAGATTAACCCAGAGACAATCGGCTCCAACATTGTTGACAAATGCTAACCAAGAAGAGCCAAGCTTAATTCTGTCCAAAGATACGGGGTCCTGGGCAGCCTCGGTTTGATCACTTGGCTTAGCGGACAGTTCAAAGACCAGAGTCTTGCCAGATCTGTGACTGATAGGTAGGAAACGATGGTTACGCGCATCATGTATCCCTAAAACGCGGACATTGATGATCTGCTTCGGAGAGAATGACTTCAGAGGTTGCTTCTTGGATTTTATCTCTGGCCAAGAATCAAAAGCTTGGGACACATCAATTCGACCTTGAATATTGTCGGCGAGCTGTACATTTACCTGTGTATCCTTCACGGAAGATACTCTTGCTTTCGTAAGTCGGCCCAGAGTGATATCATCAATGCTCTTGATGGTTTCATCAACAGGGTTTACGGCGTCCTGATTGGTACCGGGGGCTAAACTTTCTTGAGGTTTCTTGTCAGAAGTAGCATCAGCCAGAGATAAAAGAAATCTCCGCAGTCCATTGTCGATCTTGATGACTTTAACTTCTACTGTTTGCCATTTCTTGAATCCAAAATCTGGTAAACGAAGATTCTTTTCTGGTATCATGTTTTTAGGTAGAAGCCCAGTGAGCCCGCCTCCAAACTGTACAAACACTGCAGTCAAGGTTATGTTTTTAATGAAACCGTGCACAGTCCTGTCCTTCTTCACATCATCGAACAATCTCAGTAGAGTCTTGTACCGAGCAGCTTTGACAAGTGCTGGCTTATTCGTCAAGACGATCAAACGTCTCTGTTCATGTTTGTCCAATACAGCAAGATCTGTTAATACCTGGCCGACACGAATATTCTTGAAGGAAGAACGGCTTTTGTTCTCCGATCCATCGGTAAGATGACCAACAGGCAGCGTTGCCTTCAGCCCTAGTCCTTGGATTTCAACAGAAATATCGTCGTTCGACTTTTCTATGACGAGAGCAGACAAAATCTCGCCAATTTTAAGATTCTTCAACGCATTTTGCTGTGCTAGTCCGAAGACGGAGGGATCTTTGCAAGAGACCGTTAACTTCTGAGACTCGGGATCAACCTTCAAAACATGAACATTAACGACTTGTCCAACCTTGAAATGCTGACTGGGATCCTGAATGTAAGCCTCGCTCATTTCGGAGACAGGCAAAAACCCTCGAATGTTGCCGTAAAATTGGACCACCGCACCTGTATTCATGATGTTTACAATAGTACCTGGACTTTGCATTCCAACAGTTATGCCATCGTACGAAATGAAAGCAGGCGATTCGGAATTGACGAGTGTCTTCTTGAGTGTCAACCGAATCTGTCTTTTCCCAGGGTCTGTGGATAGAACACGTGCTGTGACGGACATGCCTTCCTTGAATTTTTTCTCGGGGTGAAGCAATTGCACATCCGCCAAATGAGTCTCCGGCACGAGTCCAGAGATGTTTTCTGCCAGATTAACTAGTAGTCCGCCGACACCGTTTGCGTTGACAATGAGCTTCTCAACCTTCCCCTTCACAACCTCACTAACCTTTAAATCCTCAATCCGCAGATAAGGCTGTTCCAGAACACTTTTTTCCAGAGAAACAAGGTATACACCGTCGAGGGAGTTGTAGGCAAGCACGCGACCTCGGTGAACCGACCCTACTTTATAGGGGCCTGTTGTCTCCTCCAAAGTCTCTATCTTGCCGTCTTTGACTCGAGAGATGTGAACAAAGCCAGGGATACCCTTAACTCCCACGTCCACAAAAAGACCAACTCCAGACTCGACTTTCTTGATTGCAACTTCTTCGATGATGGCAGACAAAGGCAAGGCGTCGAGTGGATCTACTTTGTTTCCAGGTTTTCCTGCTTGCTGGGGCGACAGCGATGCAACATGGTCAAGAAGAGAGACACCAAGTTTTTGAGGGTCAGAATTTGGAAAAGTGCAAATGACTCTGCCTCTAACCTTGGCACCAATCTTGAATTTCTTTTCTAGCTCTTGGTTCATTACACCAGTGCCGGAATGCATCAAATCTGCAGTAACATCAACCATACCCATGACTTTTCCAGTCACACCCCTTGAGCTGACGTCAACGATCAATATCTCGACCGCCGTTCCCGGGAGAAAAGCATCCACCGTTGGAGCATCTGTGAGATAATTTGATTTCTTCAAATTGCCAATCTTTTGAGTGTCGGCGCATAACTTGACTGTCTTTCCGTTGGAACTGAGGCCAGTGACCATGCACAGAAACACGGCGCCTTCCTGCACATCCGACAACACGACTTCGTGGCCTATGTCTTTTGCGCCCATGAAACCACGAACACCAGAATCTTCAAGTCCAATGTTCATGATTAAGCCATGATCTTCGACGCTTGTAACAGATGCCATTAAAGTGGTGTTGGTAATGAGATTCTGTGGAGTGACGGCATTGTTGGCATGTTGGGGTCGGAGAGATAATTCGATTCGTCTTTTACCTTTTCCTAGCGTGGCTGTGTTTGTCTCATCGCTGGTAGAAACGACATATGCCCTGAGGTACTGTCCCATTGAGAACATCTCCTTTAACTCAATATCCTGCGCCTCGAGCTCGTCCTCCGCATCATCTTCCTGGGCCGCCGCGATCGCCTCGATCCGTTCCGTAGCTTTGTCGGATATCGAAGTAATGGGCACATATCCCGTCAGATTATTTGGCAGTGATAGAGCAATATCTGTAGCATTGATCTGTGACACTTGGCCAAGTACCAAAGAGCCAGGCACTAATCTCTGCAGATTGTGAGCAAATAGCCAGTTCTAGCATTAAATGGTTGTAGCACGTACCTTGTAGCTCAATCCTTCAATTTTGACTGTGTCTTCTTCGACGTCGGTATCTTCAGCTTTCTTTTTACTCTTGCCTTTACCCTTTCCCCTCTTCTTTACTTTTGAAGTGTCCTCGCCCTCTTGAACTTCTCCATCAGGCCTAGAAGATTTGGCTCCATATTGTTCGAATAAAACGTCTCTGGTAGCATCAATCTGGATTTGTTTATGCTCCAATGGGGTCAATACACTTGCACCACCTCTTGGGAATGCGACTTCTTCCTCCTTAAGCCGAGATATTTTGGTCGCTGGAGGTAATTTTGTGGTAGATGCACTTGTACCCTCTTTCTCTTCTGCTCTTGGTCGTTTCGAAGGTCGATCATCGGATTCCGAAGCTTTCTTCGACCGCATAAATGAATCATTGGTGGGACCAGTCTTTCTTTTCTTATCAAATGGCGCCATTGTTATTAATTGGTAAAAACAGTTTGTGAATATTAGGGAAAGAAATATTGGAGTAGCACAAGAACGAACGACGGATGACTATCGAGCTTCACAACTTTTTTTTTTCCCTATCAAGATCGGCATCACGGAAAATTGAAAAAAAATCACAGGGATTAAATTGATGTAATGCGGGTCAATTTTCGATCTGCAAGGCTGTCAGAGTCTACAAGGCTGACCAGGCTGGCTGGAGCGAAGCAGCTTATCTGGGTATTGAGTAATCAATCATTTTGTACCGAGTACATTCAAGGAAGCATAAAATAAAATAACCCCTAATAGGTATTTATTCACATTTGATTTGTTTTTTGTTGTGATATACAATTCAACTTTACTTGATCTTATATTCTTGAGACTCTTATCTACTTTGAGGTCTCCTGCTGTTCTATTGTTTTATATTTAGCTTTCCTTTTGGCTCTCTAATTTATTATCATTATTATTATTATAATGATCAGGACTCAGTCACATGGTAATATTTTATAGCTGAATTTCATTACATCAAAATAGCCTAGTCCTACAGCCTAGTCCTGGTTGCCAAGTACCTAAAACCATTAGCATTCTACCTAATAAACAACACCCTCCAGACTCTCCAGGTACCCCATACTTTCACTGGTTCCTCTCCATTTTGTTCCCCATTCCCATTATTATCTATCGCCAGTAAGGTCATTACACATTTTCCCTCAATATTTTGGGCGAATTGTCAGATATCATTACGACGTACTACAATAACGACGAAGCCAAACATCCCTGCACGGGGCAAATAAACCTTGTTATACGAGGGGCGACGGTACAGGTTAATGTGATGTGAGGTTTCTGAATCAACTCACTCATATAGGACACGCGCCCCCTGAAGGAGGTTAAGAATCGATCATCCGAACAGTCAGCAGAAATATATTTTGGAATGCTACCCTCACGCAAACGATCAAAGCTAAATTCTTCCAAGGAGCAGTCAACGAACTCCTCAAAAGATACCACAGACCAGGGGGTTACTCCTCCCAATCACGTTCAGCATGCTGCAGCTGTTAAGAAACAAGTAAGATAACCGTGCTCTACGTTGCTGTTGAGACGATTTTCTGTCGGTGTAGTGAGACTAACAAGATAAAGCTCGGATCGAGGGCAAGTTGGTATGGAACGTGGCCGCGTAAATCCACTGTTTCTACACAGGTGGTGAGGGAGACAATTTCAGCTGATAAACCATCCAACGGGAATATGTCGACAGAAATTAACCATTACGATCAACGGAAACCTTCATCGGTTGCATCCAGACCTCCATCAATGTACCTGGGTAAAAGCAAGCCAGCATCCGAAATAACGTTGGGCGTTCCACTGGAAGAGGCCTCGAACAATGAGATAAATACCAAGAAAGATGAGAATGTACCACAGGATATTTTGAATCAAGAAACACCCAAACCCCGATCTTTGAAGGAGTCAGATGCATCCAAAGAAACAAAATCGAAAAGCTCGTCGATCGATGAAACTGCACAACAGCCGATATCCTCTCAGGGCTGGTTAGGCTGGTTAGGCATGCCATCGCAAATATCAAAGGAATCCTTTCCCGTGGTGGAAGAGCCTCAAAAGCAAAATACTGAGGAAGCCTTTTCTAACGAGACAATCTTGCCGGAGCAGACGATTGCGAACGAAACGATTGAGACTCCAAAACAAACCTTATCAGCATCGAGGTCATGGTTCAATTTATGGTCAACCGCTCAGCCTCCAGTACCTATAGAAGGTCCAAAAGAACCACCTTCGACACAAGTCATTGAGGAAAACCCTGCCGTGATGAAAGATGCATCAAAAGATGCACCTGAACCTGCACCACCAACACCCAGTAGATCTACAACGCAACCTGGTGGGTCTAGTTGGGCGTCGGCTTTTTGGTATTCCGACACCACCAAAAAAGCTACAGATCATCCCGAAAGTCGGGAAACTGGCGAGCTAGCAGTTTCGGGTGAGCAGTCTCAAAATCAACCGTTGCCAGTTATAGCTGTTCCAGCTGCCGACGTAAAGGCAGCCCAAGGTGACAAAAAGTCGAAATCTGGCAAAAAAGGTCGACCAAAGTCTGTAGAGATAGAAGAAATCTTTCAAAAAACGGCAACTGCACAATCCGATGATGCACCGAAGAAAGTCACCACCTCACCTCAAAGTCCATCTCCGCCAAATCTAATACTACCATCCGTACGAAGTACTTACCACCTGATGGAAAATGCATCAATCCTCCGACAGTTAACAAGATTGATTGTACGTGGTCGACAGAAACCCGTAAAACATGTAGCCCTGGCAAAAGAAGTGCCAAAGATCAAGAATGCAGTCGCAATAGGTATCCATGGACTATTTCCTGCACCTTTATTGCGCAAGCTCATCGGGCAGCCTAGCGGGACTTCGATAAGATTCGCTAATCACGCGGCGGCTGCTATTAGGCGGTGGACAGATGCAAATGGGTCTCCCGATTGTGAAATAGAGAAAGTCGCGCTTGATGGCGAGGGTAAAATCTTCGAGAGGATGGATAAACTTTGGGAACTGCTCAGTAATTGGACGGATCGATTGCGACAAGCAGATTTTATAATGGTAGCCGCTCATTCACAAGGCGTGCCGGTTGCTTTGATGCTTGTAGCAAAGCTTATAGAAGAGGGCATAATATCATCAGCGAGGATCGGCGTATGTGCAATGGGTAAGTCATGGGAAAACTGCTTCTCGCGTGAAAATATCTCTAACAGATTTACCAGCTGGTGTATCATTAGGTCCCTTTGCCAGTCACCAAACTGGATACCAGGCAGCATTATTCAACGATATGATAACAGAACTCTTCGAGTTTGCGAATTACGAAAGTGATGTTGCGAAACATTATGAAAAGGCACTTCGACGAGCCTTGAAGTATGGAGTAAGGATAACATTTTGTGCGAGTATTGACGACCAGCTAGTATCTATTGAGGCAAGTTGAGCTTATGTTCCTGTTTCATTGCTTTCATTACTAACAGTGAACCAGTCTGCCGTCTTTTCGCCTGCAGAACATCCCTACATTTACCGAGCTGTGTTTGTGGACGGACGTATACATGCTCCAGATTTCATTGCCCACTTAGTCGGCTTTGCGTTGAAATTACGCAATCTTGGTGTGTCAGATCATGGACTTATTCGTGAGCTTTCGGCGCCTCTGGCTGGGAGCCTTTATACTGGTGGTGGTCACTCTCGTCTCTACGATGATGACAAAATATATGAGTAAGACCTCTTACTTTGATATCGACTAACCTATTTTACTAACATATGTTTTCAGCATGGCAATGGATCATGCTCTTACCACTACTTCAGTTCCCGACGTCCCTCTGCATATATCTCAATATTCGCCGCCTACGAACGCAAACCCTTACGTCTTGCCCTGGATCATGCGGGGAGTTCTCGAGGAGGAATTTGTAAAAACAGAGCTGCACACTGAAGCAGTCGAATTACTGAAGCAGTTCGATGATTGGAAACCTAGCACTAAAGTCTTACAAGATGTGAAGTACAGATTGGAGGCCGTTAGATCTAAATTATGAACAGGAGACGGCGTTATATATCGGTTTGAGAGAGTTTTAGAAATGCTGTATTATAAGATTGCGTTCCGGAATAGGGGAGGCGTGACATTGCATATACACATACATAAGGATTTGGAGAGCAGGACACATGGCATGGGATGAAGCGTAGGCGTAGGCTTGGAGTTGGTGTTTTGAGGCTTAAGACATTTTCAATTTAAATTTTGATATCCATACCGGTTGCCTTCGGGTGTTCATTTTTGGAGATGACTATACTATTCATGACTATCCATGCTTGGACCAAACTCAAATATTTGACGGGACCCACCCCCACTGCATCACATACAACCTACCATTGTTTTATTTATGCCTGCTCATCGCAGCTGTAGAAGATCAGGCCATGTCATCACATTGTGCAGCGGGGTGGTTGTTGATTCAAAGAAGAGACTTCTAGCCTATGGTGACACTCAATTCACGAAATCAGTCGCAACACCAAAAAAATAACACTTTCAATTGAACTTCAAAAGTCACCATGATTCAGACTTTGAGTTGAGAACATTGAAGCCCGTTATGAGACATTAAAACCTAAATTCCAGGGCGCGAAGTTTTTCAGCAGCCTGTGGATGGCCAATTTAAGAGTAGAGGCTACGATGGATCATGGGTAAGAGGAGAACCCTATGGAGAACTAGCTGGTATAGCATACGGACAAACCATGAAGAGGGAGATCATCTAATCGCATTGGGAAATCAGACGCATGTGATAAACTCATGATTTAGGATAAAAATCTCCTTTCGTTGGGGAAAACCTTCCCTTCCACAGTCGAGTACTGTGGAAAAGTGGTGGCAGAGGGGCGTAACTGTTACCGTTGGTGAACAATGGGTTGGCATCTGGCCAGCATGGTTCGGAGGCGTTTAAAGCTCAATTCCGGTCATGTTTGTTGCTTAGGTTCACCATCTTAACGACTCTCCTTCCAGCTTATACATTGTTATAAACATCTAGCTGTTTGAAACGTAAGAAATGCTATGGCCATTAGCAATGTTCGAAATTAGAATTTTTGTCTTATACGTAAGCTATCCCGTACTCTTCGTTTCCACGTCATCTTGTAAGCTGACATTTCGAACGAAATTACACAAAGGCCAAAAGCTTCCTCCAAAGTCCATATCGTACCTTTAAAGCGTTTGTTAGCTCAATCTTTCGTTAGCTACTATAGTCTCCATTTCCAAATAGATAAGTGTCGCTCGAAATTATCAAATAACTAAATGATATCTCTTAGAGAAACGTGAAAATGCTCTTCCGCCCGGGCACATCAAATAGAAATACACAAGGTCATATCGAAGTAAGATGAAGACATACCAGTAATTAGCAGCAACACAAATTCCCTCGTCTCCACAGCTTTGTCCTACCTTGTGATACCAAAGTGCGGGTAGATATAACATATCTCCCTTTTCCAGGGTCACATGCATCGGCTGTGCTAGAAGTGAGTATTTTGTTGGGTTTCTAGATGGAACATCTGGATCCCAGATTGCAATGGGTAATTCTGTAGGGGGCGAGTCTGGCTCCATAGTGAGGATAGAGGTATTGGAAGTAGAACGGATGTAAGAGCTGGAGTCAAGAGACACTTCGTTGATGCAGGGGTGGAACATGGGGGGGAGTAAAGTGAAATGTTTTTGTCCAATAATCTGGACGTAGATGTTCTGGTAGGGGTCTTTGTGAAGGGAAGTGAGGGAGTGCGAGTTGCCTATCCACTAAGTAGCATGTAAGATATGGTCCTAAGAAAGGAGTGATGGATTGTTCTCACGAGATTGATGGCGTCGGGATCTTGTTGAAGTGCTAACCTGGCGAAAGATATGTCTTTCTCCACATCAGTAAACAGCGACGAGTATTCATGGCGAAGGTTATCATTCTCTGCTTACAGTTAGAACAGTAAAGTGTATTTATAGGCTAGCACTGGATGTATAGAGCCGCAAAGCAAAATCGGTTATGCCGAGATATCAGAACACACTTCAGCGTCCCATTTCAAGTTAACCATCAAACGGTTCTTCGGGCTAGATGCTGGCTTGGTGTTTCATTTGGACCTGCGATTCATTTTGTCCAAGGCGTAGCTAGCCTAGCAGATAGACAGACTGTAAAATATATTACCCACGTGTTTGAGCATAGCGAACCTCTTCTCCTTTTCTCCCGCGCAATTCTTGCTGCGAGACGAAATCAACGAATTCAGGAAACGGCTGAGACTCCTCCCATGGCTTTACAAAGACTAAGTCTCCATTATCATTCCGGGTAGGAGAATCAGCATTTCCATGGGGCGTCACTGCTACGTTCACTTGATGTGATGAGAGAGTGGATTTGAGATGAGTCAGTGACCATGTAGATGTTGCTTTCCACTGCGTCAAATGATAGTCAACGTTAGAAAGTCGTGTACGTTAGATAGTGAATGGGACAATAAAGCAGAATGGGAAAGGGATTTTCATACATCTAAAGCAAATCCTCGGACGACGAATGGTCGGTTCAAGGAGACAAAGCGCATAAATTCAAGGGCAGAAGGTGCCTCATCCAAGACGGTGACCGTGGATGGATTGAGTTCGTTGTACGTAGTCAATAACTCAGCTATGGGATCTGACGAGCAAGAGTCCATATTTTGGCTTTCAGATAGTACTAGCTGTTATATGAGTAATAAAACGATGTTAGCAAACACTCGATGTGAGCAGTGGAGGATTTTGATGTGGAGAAAATTTGTGCTCAATGTATAGTACTTATAAGAGTCATATAATAAAGAATCAGTTATATTCAAATAATTGTCGGCTTGCCAACACCAAAACCTTGCTGTACATATAGTATACCGTAATTTACCCGATATAGATTATAGAAAATAAGAAACTCGCTTAAGTAAATCACAATCTTGATAATCTGATTGGTCTAAAATACACCGATAAATAATGTAACAAAAAGCTCGGTATAAGTCTTACAACCTCAGACAAATCTGATTTAAAACTTTTTTCAATTCTATTGAAATCATTTAACTTTATTAAAATTATTTAATTCAATTTTATTTATTTAATTTAACTTTATTTATTTAATTCATCTCATTTAATTAATAATAATAATATTATTATTATTATTATTATTATTATTATTAGTTGAATGAATTAAATTAAATGAATAGAGTTGAATTGAATGAATAAAGTTGAATTAAATGATTTCAGAGTTGAATGATTTTAATTGAGTTGAATTGAAAAAAGCTCTGAGTCAGATTTACTTGAGATTGTAAGGCTTATGCCAAGCTTTTTGTTCGATTATTTACCGGTGTATTTTAGACCAATCAGATTGTCAGGATTGTGATTTATTTAAACGAGTTTCTCATTTTCCATAATCTACATTAGGTAAATTACAATACGCTATATATACAACAAGGTTTTGGTGTTGGCAAGCTGACAATGAATAAGCTTTACCACTAAATCTAATTATATTAAATATACTAATCATCTAATCCGTCTGGTGGCTGCAAGCTATATAATGAACTTTGGGGGTATACCTAATACGCCAAACAAACAAAGCGACCCATGCTCCTCATGACAGACTCGTGGGGACAGCTTTCACAAAATTAGAGTCCATGCTAAAGGGGCACTCTTTTCACACATCTGGGGAACTTGATATCCAGTCAAGATTAATCTACTCATCTTCGTCGTCATAATCCTCTTCAACATCTGCCCATCCACAACCCCACCGTCTGCCCCCCGTTTCTCCACCCACTCTCAAATCTCTAGCATCCTTTCCCTCCCTCCAACATCTAACATTCCAATCATCGTCTGCACAGATAAGTTCACCATTGCTCGTCCAACTTAGCGAGCTCACTTCTCTCCCATGTCCTCTCACCAGCGCTGTTCCGTGTGTATAAATAGGGACTAGATCCTCCACCGAAGTATTTTTCCTACTTTCCTCAAGCGCCAGGCTGAGTTTCCCAGATCGCTGCAGGCTACTAATGCTCAACGTTCGGGACTTTTGGACGATGCCGTCAAGCGGAATAGAAGTATTTGCCTTTGTACCGAGGTAGCGTTCATCAGTGGGAAATAAAATGGGCGTTCCATCATTACTTCCTACAGCTAGAAGTTCGGAATTGCCATTGACGGGTTTCCGAATTGCAGATTTGATATAGAAATTGGCCACGTGGAAAGATGGATGTCGCAATCCATACAGCGGGCCTAAGCCTTCCTGAACTGCCCGTTGAGTTGTTCGTTTCCCGCTACCACTTTCGAATTCAGGGGCATGGCCGAGGATGAGATGCGAGGTAGAATATGCATATACAATATTGTCTTTACAAACGCTGTAAAATCTGCTTCCATCATAGCTCATACTAAGAGAGGTAACACCAAAAGGACGATTGCCGACATGGCTGGGAATCTGTTTCGTGTATGCAACTGGTTGGTTGCTTTTCCGCTTATTGGAACAATTGCGGATATCCCAGAGCTTGACAATAGAATTCGATTCTGATCCCGTGAGTAGTAAGTGCTCCTGACCGGGTGGTAAGAAATGGATGCTGGTAACTGATATATCGCCGATGCGCCCTTTCTTAGGAATAGTAAGTGACCGCGGATTTGTGTTAGGCTTCGGCTCATGCGAATGTGAACCATGATGAGCATTCAAAATGCTGTTTACATTGGCACAACGTGGAAGACCTTCACCTGGTAGCTTCTGCATCTCCATGATGGGGCCATCATCGCCCTTGCATCTTAGGTCCCAAATCTGAACACTACCATCTCTGCCCGAGGTGGCGAGTACATTCTTGTTATTTGCCCCCGGTTGGAACCTAACTTGCTTTAATGTTGCACTATGGTTTGCAAGGATGGATATTGGCTTTTGAGTTGTCATGTCTGAAACTTTGGCGGAAAGATCTCCGGATGCCGTGGCAATCAGAGCATCATCGTCGGAAAGTGAAAGATCAATAATAGCATTTTTGTGAATCTGCCAACCAAGGTATACATTGCTGAATGAAGGCTGTCCATTTTTCTCGGATTCCACTAATCTAATACGTCCTTCATCATCACCGATGGCTACCAAAGAGTTCGCTGTGTATAGTTAGTATCTGTTAGGTAGTCACGCAATGGACGAAATAAATCGCACACCATGGCGAATTCTGCAAGGTACCAATTCCTCATAGCACTTTTCAATGTCCCAAGTCAGATCTGGCAAATGGTTCTTCTATATAGATTCTTGAGAATCATATTGGTATGCGATGTATTTCATCCAATGTGTGTTTATTTGGGAGGACGAGTCACTTCACCTACTATTTAGACCAGCGTTACAAAAAGGTATGCTGTCCCTGCCACCCAAAAGACTCAAAGTGTGGCTTACATCTTCGGGTCTACTATAGAATGATGCGGTCTCATTTCGCCAATCTGGTGGACATTAGTAAATACGTATATAAAAGGTAAGAGTGGCTATGCTACCACTGATAGGATATGCTAGATTTGCTCGTCTCGACCTGAGAGCACCCAAACTTAATTTCAATAACCTCGCACTCAACCCCCGATTTTCGAAAGCAGTGATGCACTCTATGGGTTCCTTTGCAAGTGCAGGTTCAATAATACATTCCTCCTCTTCTTGTTGTTGTGTCCCTTCTTCCGCTCCTTCAATATTCGATTTTGTTTTTGAATATGACGAAGAGGCTGTCTTTCGGGAGCCAAGACGTGATTGGCCATGTCGAATCTGATCTCTAAATGAGCACTCATTGTCCGAACTTGTGTCTGAGCTTATATCGCTGTGGGACTTTTTTCTTCTCTTAAATTCTCGAGGTTTTGGGATCGATTCCTGATGTTCCCGTCGGATCTCCATGTTGAAAGGCTTCAATGGGCTCGATTGTGTTCCTTGACGATTATTGACCAATTCCTTCAGGGCTCGACCAGACGGCGAAGACATTGATACTGCGGGAGCCTTGTTGTCGAAAAACCTTTTGAATCTTCTAGGCGTAATGGATGTTTGCCGCCGTTCCTTCCTTGGTGTTCTGATCATGGAGGGAAGCTTTGGAAGTTGAGGGGAACTCATTGGCATGTCCGGAGAGGAGGATGGTGAGTCCACCGGATCAAATAAAGGAGATAGAGACATGATGGTAGTTGGAGTTAAGTAAAGTTAAGTAAGTAACAATCATAAATGTACAAATGTCTGTCAAGGAATACGTAAAGGCATGCGGATATCGAGTTGTCGGCAATTCTTGATAGCCACCTTCAAATAAAACACTCAGAGACGCGAAACTCAATCCATCCATTGGACGTGTTACCACTTTAAGTTTATCCCCTGCTCGCGTTTGTGTTTGTGGATCCACGCGAAAGCAGGGGTCTCAAAGTCCATGCCATTTTTACTCCTTATCATCTTGATCACGTGAAGATAAGCGCGCTCACTTTTTTTTCCTAATTTCTTCGCTTCATTGCTGCGAGGTTGAGAGTGAAATATTTCCCCAATATCCTTCAAGTAGACATCTTCATCGCCGCCGGACATCATGGGTATTCAAAAGAAACATGGTAAAGGTCGTCTCGATAAGTGGTATAAACTTGCCAAGGAGAAAGGATACAGAGCCAGAGCTGCGTTCAAATTGATTCAATTGAATAAAAAATATGGCTTCTTGGAGAAGAGTAAAGTTCTGTTGGATCTTTGCGCTGCGCCTGGAGTAAGTACATTCTGTTGACATACGTCGAGGCTCCGCTAACTTTGGTGATAAGTCATGGTGCCAAGTCGCAGCAGAGACTATGCCAGTGAGCAGTTTGATCGTTGGCGTGGATCTTTCTCCCATTAAACCAATTCCTCGAGTTATTACGTTCCAAAGTGACATTACGACGGAGAAATGTCGCGCGACTATTCGTACACATTTCAAATCCTGGAAGGCAGATACAGTGTTGCATGATGGAGCTCCAAATGTTGGTACTGCTTGGGTGCAAGATTCCTTCAACCAAGCGGAGTTGGCCCTTCAATCGTTGAAGCTTGCAACGGAATTCCTCGCGCCAGGCGGTACTTTTGTTACAAAGGTTTTCAGGTCCAAAGATTACAATAGTCTGCTCTGGGTTTTCAATCAATTATTCACCAAGGTCGAAGCAACGAAGCCTCCCTCGTCTAGGAATGTTTCCGCGGAAATCTTCGTTGTGTGTCAAGGGTTCAAGGCGCCAAAGCATCTTGATCCTAAATTTGTCGACCCCCGACATGTTTTCGCAGAACTCTCTGATCCCACACCCAACAACGAAGCTAAGGTTTTCAACCCCGAAATCAAGAAGAGGAAGAGAGATGGTTACGAAGATGACAATATGACACAATTCAAGGAAATTCCAGCCAGCGAGTTCATCCAAACAACCGATCCCATTGCTATTCTTGGTAGCATGAATCGACTGAGCTTTGTGCAACCGCCAAATGGAGATGTAGCGCTAGCTGCACTGGATAAATTACCAGAAACAACGGATGAAATTCGTAACGATTGTGCAGATTTAAGAGTGCTTGGAAGAAAGGAGTTTAGAAACCTTTTGAAATGGCGCCTGAAAGTACGGGAAAAATTTGGATTTGCTACGAAAAAGGGCGCAAAGACGGAGATGGAAGAGGTAGCTGAGGTAGAGGATATGGATGAGGAGCTAAAGATTCAAGAAGAACTTCAGGCTATGAGCGAAAAGGAGAGTGCACGTAGAAAGCGTGAAAAAAGAAAAGAGAACGAGAAGAAGCAAAAAGAGATCATTCGGATGCAGTTACATATGACAGCACCAACAGATATTGGCCTAGAACAAGCAGGACCAAATGGTGAAGGATCTATGTTTGGACTAAAAGCAATAGATAAGGCAGGTGCTGCAAATAAGATTGCAAAGGGAAAAATGGCGATTCTCAAAGAATTGGACCCTAGGCAAGAGGATGGTGGATATGCTTCAGAAGATAGTGAGAGCGACGATGAGCAAGATCGACTTGATAGGGAGCTTGACTCGATGTATGAGATGTATCAGGAACAGAAGTCGAGTGCTGATGCAAAGTTCCGCGCCAAGAAGGCAAGGAAGGAGCATGAAGATGGTGACTGGGAAGGCTTTTCGGCGGAGGAGGCACAGAGCGACGACGATAAGCTGGAGGAAGATAGTAGTGATGAGTCGGACGAAGAAGGGCCTATCAAACAATCTTTGTTGACGGATCTGGAACGAAATGAGAAGAGCGCTAGTGGACTCTCGAAAAGGGCATCTCAATTTTTCGATCAGGATATCTTCAAGGACATTGGAGGGATACCTGAAGAAGAATCTGAGGAAGAAGTCGAACAGGAAGATGAAGAAGTTCAAGCCGACCTTGACAAGCTTATGAAGGACAGATTACTTGAAGAGGAAGAAGGAGACGAGATCATGGAAGAAGCGCCCGAAGCAAGTGACAGCAGCGATGATGAAAATGGGTTCGAAGTTGTAAAACGCAGAGAAGGTGAAGCACAATGGGAAGATGAAGAGCCCAAAAAGGATGGACGATTAGGTATATAGTTCTCTAGCTTGTTGTCCTTACAGCTACTAACACAACATTCCACAGACATCGACATCATCACCGCCGAAGCCATGACACTCGCCCAGCAAATCGCCTCTGGCCAAAAATCCATGTACGACCTCGCCGACGAAAGTTTCAACAAATATGCCTTTAAAGACCGCGACGGTCTCCCCGACTGGTTCCTCGACGATGAAGGCAAGCACGATAGACCGCATCGACCAATTTCGGCAGCCGGGGCAGCAGCCATAAAAGAAAAGCTCCGAGCTCTGAACGCCCGACCGATCAAGAAGGTGCGGGAAGCCAAAGACCGCAAGAAGTTCAAGGCGGCGCAACGACTTGAAAAATTGAGGAAAAAGTCGGCGTTGTTGGCTGATGAGGAGGGCATGACGGAGAAGGAGAAAGCAAACAGTATTGGAAAGTTGATGAGTAAAGCAGCGAAGAAAAAACCAAGGCAAAATGTGAAGGTTGTGGTTGCTACGGGTGGTAATAGAGGAATCGCGGGCAGACCAAGGGGTGTTAAGGGTAAATATAAGATTGTGGACGCTAGATTAAAGAAGGATGTTAGGGGCCTGAAGCGAGCGGCTAAGAAAAGGAAGTGATCTAATTTAATCAGTGTGGATGGATGTTGGGAATGGACATGTGTTCGTTGTACAATACATTGGGAAGCAAATCTATTCAAGTGTTCAGGGACGCACCCTTCGGAGAGAAAATCAAACAGCAAAACATAATGTCGTAAAGGTTATTCGACTGTCGAATATGAATTGGACTTTGAAGAGTGTTGTGAGGGTCGGCGTATTCGATTTTGGTGTTTGGATTTTCCTCCCTATCGCGAGTGGGCATAACAGTATATTTGATAAGCATCATGGTTTTGACTTCGCCCTTCACATGAATTGCTAAACATTGTCCGAAATGTTCGATTTGCCAAATATGCTGCATTATGTGTATAGCAAAATTGTAGTAATCAATGACCCGGTCTTAGGACCCTTGATCTACACTATTCCTCGAGACTGGATATGTATAAACATGAGTACACGCAACTCTTATCATCATGGTTCGTACAATACAACTATTAAAACAAAGGTACCTCGACCGACTCCTCGTAAGATTTGTATCTCCTCTGGTTCCATGAAAAGCAATCCCCAAGATCATCCTCAACTCATGTTCTCCTATTATCGCCCTTTACATCATATACTCATTGAATCTGTAAGCCCAAGGCAGAAAAGATCTAAGAGAAAAAAGAATGCAATATTTCAAATTATTATGGACCTTTAAAGCACGATTGCAGCAATCAGAGAAATAACAGTGAAAAGTGGTATCGAGCTAAGAGGTCCTGCGGTTGCTGTCTTAGTAGCTTCACTTTTTTTATACACAGTCTGATTATTCGTCTCATTCTTTTGATTGCTGAAGAAATATGTACTTGCTGAAACATTACCATTGGTCAGGTCCGGATCTGGGGCCGACATCTGGTCAGGAATGGCACAAATGGCATTTGCGGCACCGGGGTCCTTGCAGCGCCTTGTTAGGGCTGTCTGACGCACCAAATTTGAGGAATTGAAGTAGGCTTTCACATAGCTGACTGAAATAACGGCATCTTGTGGTGGCGGACCTGACGACCACAGTGGGTTGCCATTGCTCCATTGTGTGATAATCATATGACCAGGCGATGTCGGGACTGCTGTGCTGTTCATCTTTGCCAGAATCTGTCCATCAGCATAGAATATGACGTTTCCAGGGATAAAGTCGATGCGGTATTCATGGTAGCCGGCGGTGGGGTTGAAGGGAAGGTTCGCCACAACGTAGTTACCTGTCACAGCAGCGTTGTAGCCAGCCTGCACTGATTGCACTGACTGTAGAACAAGATTGACAGGAAATGTATTGTTATCAGCGTTGAATTGAGAAGATAGGAACTCCATATCGATTTCTTGGCTGTCGTTGAAGTACTGAGTCGTAATTAGTATGTGCTACATATTTGTTCCCGAATTTATCAAGAATAGCTTACCCAAAAGAAAGCTGAACATGTACCAGGAGTCAAAGTCAGCTTCATAGCAGCTCTATATGTTCCCCAAAGTAAATCTTCACGGGCTGAATCTATCTCTGCAGTCTGAACAAACCCATTGGCAGGATCTCCTCCACTGACAGTGAGTTGCACCCCAGGATCACTACCAAACTCCCCACTTCCAGACCAGGTATTCTCGTCAAGCATAGGATTCGACGTGATTTGCTCAATACTGTAGTTCATGCCGTAAGGACCACGTCCAGCCGCAGCCGACATATTAAACTGCTGTCGTCTCCAGTCGGTATCTAGAGTGATATTGGGAATATGTAAGAAGTCGGACTCGATAAGGTCAGTGAAGACGTATGGTGTCAAGGAATCACCGATGGAGGAGGAATAACCGCATTCACAATCCGCGGTCGCAAAGCTTGCGAAAGACAGGACCACTGGGAGAATGAACCTCATTTTTGAAAATCGTATTTCGAATGATGGTGAGAAAGAATTCTTTTGCGACAAATGGTATTATGATTGTGTGCAGTCAAGGTGTCGGGTGGTACAACGAGAACAAACCAGTATATTCCCTTGATGTACAAGCAGGTTGTATGGTATTATCGCAAAAGTGAACTGTGGTTGAAATGAGAGTGAATGCACATTTATCTGTTTTACTGAACAGGACATGAAGTATGAGATTGAAAGGAGATGAGTGTGCAGGATTGAAATTGGTTGAAAGAAGGTAGTCTTAAAAAAGTAGAAGAGGAAGAAGAAGTGGAAGAAGAAGGGGAAGAAGAAGAGGAAGGAAAAGAACTCTGAAGGGAATGGAGTACATTAGGAACAAGTAAAGTAATCTATGTAATCTATGAGAAAGAGGGAAAGAGGGAAAGAGAGAGGGGGAGAGGGAGAGAGGGAGAGAGGGAGAGATGGGAGATGGTAAAATTGGTGTGTTGCCTTTAAGGTGAAGGAAAGAGCAAATCTAAAACACTAAAGCACGGTGAAAGAAGTAGGTAGGTAGTTGTGAAGGTAGGTGCTACTAGGTTGGGTTATTTCTATGCGCCTATCCGATGAAGATTCTTATTAATCGCGAGGTAATCAGACGCAATAAGAGATTACCTTGTACCAAGTAAAACCAATGCGGAAACAAAATCCTCACCTCACCTCACTCCTCACTCCTCACGTGCTTCCTCTTTTCTCTTGCACCACCAATATTTGACCATCTAAGTCCGAGTAGAAATACTGAAATTGAAGAGCGTTATGAGGCCCAGTTATTTAGTAGGTATATTCGTTTGATTGATGAGTAATTTCATCCACTTCGAACCGATTGAGGACTCTTGCTTGGATGGAATGGATTAAATCCACCATCGCGACAGATCACTTTATTCGCTCTTCTGTTATGTCCAGGGAGGATTTCAATCGGCTTGAAGCATTCATCACCCGCCACGTAGATTATGTTCACGTCACGTTTCACTGCACACTGAATATGTCATGCTCAGAAGACAAGTTGTAGGAGTAGACATGTAATATTGATTGATAAGATGCTGAGATACTGACTATCTGTACATGCACGATCAGTGCTGTCCCGATCCCCATCAGGCGACATTAAACCTTTCTGTGCCCCGCCTAGGTTATCGAGTACCAACCAACCAACCAAATCCAATTTCCCCCTCACCAGCATGCAAATAAAATCCATGAAAACTTCAATCGACGCATAAAAACGTTTCGCAAGACCTATGACCAAAAGTGCTTGAGAGAGATAAAAAGCTTTAAAAAAAACAAACTCAAAAACCATATGTATATCGAACAAGGTATCGAGGTGAAATTGAGGACCGGAGACAAAAACAATTAATAAAGTGGATAGTGCTAATAGGACAAGGGCAGAAACAACACCAGTGGGCCAGCCATGAGTATGAGTGTAGAGACATTAGGTGCGCCAGGGCGCGTGAGATGAGACGAAAATGAAGAAAAGCCCAATATGCCCGACCAGCCCCGTATTGTTGCCCGTAACCCCTTGAAAAGAAATGCTCATGAGAAAAAAATAATACGAAAGTAAAATCGCTATATGCAAAGAAAGAGAAAAGAAAGTGCCAAAGATAAACCGACGACCTCGTCAAAACCAAGAGCGTGAGGTGAAAAGAGAAGAGGGATATCAAAACCGAGTCTATCAAGGAAAAGAAATAGGAAATCATAGCAATCATTAAAGGAAACTCAATCTTAGTACACGCTATCATCGGCGTCATCCATTCCCTGAGAGATCATGGAGGGTGTTGACACGTCCGAAGCTTCAATGTCATCTTCATAGCCCACAAGGGCTTGAGAATGAAGTCGAAAGGATTCTCCCATAAGTTTTGTGATTCTACACATGTTAGCATAATGACTATTTTGGTGGCGAATGTTGCGACTTACCCCCAGACAACAACTTCATCAAGCATGCTACCCCAGACACGAGCGACTGTGGAACTAAGCTTGGAGCTATATCCAACAGAATCATCATCAAAGAGAGCTCGGATCTTGTTGTGCATGGCCGTTTCCTCCTCAGTTGGAGGCTCCTCGTCATTTTCCAGGCGATAAAGCCACAAGCTGAGGATTACCATGAGATCTAAGCCACAAAGAGGATGCTCGATACTCCAGTTAGTAGCAGAAGTCCTCGCAACCCAACGAATTCCTTGAATGGCTGCCGTCTCGATGCAATTATAGCACTCTTGAATGACCTTGATCATCTCGCTAGATCTCTTGACCTTATCCCTTGCATTTGACATGGCAGCAGCGACTTCATAAGAGTCGTGATACCTCAAGACCTCTTGGATCGACTTGAGGTCAACCTCCAGACGAGCCTTGGCATTGCGGAACAGGGCCATGGCATTAAATATCAATGGATGTCCTTTGTGAGGGGCGTTGAGTGGAACTGAAACGATTTCAGGCTCACAAAGGTCAAGCGACTTCTCCCATGTCTCCAAAGCAAGTCGGAGTTTAAATTCCAGGACCATGTCTTGGAGTGCTTCCGGGCTGCGCTTGTGGTACCAAATCTCGAGAAAGAGTGCATTAATCATGACACGAGTTGCGAAGGCACTGTAGCGTAAGGATTCACCCTGGAACAGATTGGCATGCGCTTCCATGAATGATGGGATTTCAGCAGCTTTGAGGTGCTCTCTCCAGGTAGCTTCGTCGGAAACGTTAAGGTTCCACATCGCTTCGGTCGAAGGAAGTTGCAGATCCTCAAATTCGTTGAAACTGATGGCGGGAGTATGGTTGTAGGTCAGCGTCAGTAATCCAAAGAAGATGTATACCGCATAGTACGTTCGTCGACAGCCTTCATCTTCTACCCATTCAGATCGCGTAGGCGCAGCACCTTCACGAGCATCGGTGCGAAGCTTTAGCTCATAACGGTTACCGGCAACCATGTTAGCAAGTAAACTCTTGATTGAGCAAGCCCATTCCAACCCTTTTGGGTCTCCACTCCAGCTGGCGAAGATCATGTTGAGGAGCGAGCTTTGCATGGTCCACAAAGGACACTTGCGTGAGCTGAAATTTTCCTTGTTTTGCAAAAATTGGTTCACGAGAACCTTGGAACCAATGTGCATCATGTATGCGTGGTCTTGATCAAAGGCATAGAGAGCACCAATGGATAAAACCGCAAGCAGCAGTGGTGGCGAAACTTGCGTAGGCTTGAAAGTTGAGGGATGCAAGAAAGGGAGATGATGATGAAACAAGCTGAAGTAGGTCGAAAGAAATCGGTTCAAATTCGCCAAGGGGGGAAGACGGAAGCCCTCTGGGATTGCTCGCTCGCTATCATGGCCACGGATATTATCCAGGATAATATTGCGTTCGTCATCACTCATCACTTGGGGTGCTCTCATGGCTGCTGCTTCGGAACGTGGTTGCATTGGGGACAGTTGAGGAGTGGAAGTTACTGAAGGTGGCAACGAGTCAATCATCGACTGTAACGCGGGGACAAGGCCATTGTAACTCGATGACGCCTTGTGTTTAACGATGGGTGGAAGCTGGTTCGGATGAGGCTGCATCGAACTGCCACTTGTAAAAGACGCATGGGAATCTTGGGAACCAGAGGCACCCGAGGTAATTGAATGAGACTTTGGCTCGGTCACAGATTGAGGCATGAAAGAGTCCCACGGGACCTGTGGAAGCGAAATTGCACCCGAAGGATATGTGACGGATGGTTCCATGAGCGGAGTACCATTATGAGTGAAAGCCATTCCAGGTCTATTCTCATATGGGCCTACGCCTGCATTGCGCATCGCCGCAGTAGCTTTGTGGTGAAGGTCGGTCATCAACATAGCGGCGGTCTCTAGATCAACTAACCCATCGCTACTGGCCTCGATCTGTTCAAGGGCCGATGTGTCGATAGCGATAGCTGATTTCGCTGAGCCCGATACAACAGATGCCTTCGGACCGGCACGTCGCTTTACATCGCTATGCAAAGGAACACCGCCGTCTTTAGCGTGTACGGTCCGATCATGTCGAAGCAACAAATCGCGTCGCACAAAGGTACTTCTACACTTCATGCACTTGAATGGGCGCTCCTTAGTATCTGCAGGAACGATGTTAGCATAATACTCAATCGCCGCGATGGAACATCGAAAAGAATTTGATGATTGTCGCAATTCGGTGTCGATGAATCCACCACGCGATTCGATTCAAAGAGGGGAAGCTAAAAGGGGTGTAAGGAACATCAAAAACTTACGTGATCTTTCATGTCTGCTACGATGTTCGCTCCTGCTGAAGGCTCTATTACAGAACTGACATTTGTACTTCTTCTCTGGAGCGAGGGACGACTTCCGTATTGTTGACGTTGATGATGCTGCCGTGGGCAAAATATTCAAGGCTGCGACAGGCATCGTGTTCGAGTATCTCTTTTTTTCGGGTGAGTGGATTTACACGCTTCGCAATCGATTAAGCTTCGAAATAGATTCACAGATCGATGGTTGAATATCGACTGACTCGCGAGAAGGGGCGTAAGATTTAAAGTGTGTAATGCTTGTTGTATATGTTGTTCATTTGATTTGGTCTGATTGTCATAGATGGATGGTTTGTGTATTGATAACAGAGGCCCGAGGGGATTTTAATGAGCGTAGAATATTATTGGGGGTCGCGTCGACGAAATATCAAGATATTCAAAGATTCAGTTTTGATTTTGGGATTTTGGCAAGTGGAATTAATAAGTAATGTGGATTATTAAAATCACAAAATAGTACCTAGTAGTTGAGGGAAAAATTTGATAAGAAGAAACAAGAGTGTGTGATGAAAGATGAATGATGGAATGAATGAGGGGTGAAAGCTGTTAAAAGAGAGAGAGGGAGAGGGAGAGGGGAGCGATTGAATTTTAGTGAGAAAGGAAAGGAAAGTTAGTTAACTAGTGGGTTAGTAAGTTGGTAAGGTTAGTAGGGTTAGTAAGGTTTAGTAGGTAAAGGTGTGGATCGTCCAAAGAGAACCCGCCAAGTTAGTTGTGGATTTTCAGGGAAAAAAATAAACATTACATTATTCTTCAATAATGGCAAAATTATACTTATGATACGAGTACCTAACCTCAAATTTGATAATTAAATACATACGAGGAGTTATCTCATATAATTACTTCGGAAACTTTATACTGTATATTGATGTATAAGTACTATCTGTTACTTCTATATCTTTTATACCATGCTATTACTCTTCGCTGTCCCAAGCTGAAGTCAAATACCAAAAATAATCCCCAGGCTTAGAATTAGATATTTATATATCTTACTTTCCTACTTACTTACTTATTTATCTACTTGTATTGATTGATTGATTCTTTTTTATTTTCTAATTCAGACCTGATAAACAAATACTCTTTGTTGTTTGAATAATGTATCTAGAACACCAGATAGATCATCGAATCTTGAAAGAAGTACCTGAAAGAAGGACCTGAAAGAAGTGTACCGGTATCTAGTAGTATGCACAAGTACTATATATTTTATGTATTTCTTGATACTCTGTGCATCGCGAGAGGACATACTCCATAGATAGATAGAGTGGGAGTTATACCTAGATGAGCTAAAGCAATTCGCCACCCCCCTTTGACATTATTATTATTAACATGAATGCTGCTGGGGTTTCTCTTTTTGTTTTTGTTTTTGCTTCTGTTTCTGTTTCTGTTTCTGTTTTGGTTTTGGTTTTGGCTTTGGTTTTGTTTATGGCTCGGGCTTTTGGTATCAATCATTATTTCCAAATCTCTTCTCTGAAAATAATAGCAGCACTGCTGGTTAATTCGAGGGCCACCAGGGCTGTTGAATGAATAAATGAATAAATGAATGAATGAATGGATGGATGGATGGATGGATTGAATCAAAATATTAATTAGTTCCATGTACAAGTTCAACCAACCTCAACTGAATTGTGCATTTCCTTCCCAATTCAACTTCAGCGGTTACTTCAGCTTGTTACTTGTTGCATGCATAACTCCCAACATCCCAAGGGTACGGAGTATGTACACAGTATTTGCTAAAATACAAACCTGTTTGGAGGGGTCAACTTTTGTGCTGTTCAATGCTTTTGCCCATTCGGTTTATAGCTTTGATGTTTTGGGGCGAAATAGTCCGGGGGGTGGAGGATTTGCTTTTTCGATTCCATATGGTGTCGCATGTATTTATTTATTTATTTGACTTGCATCCTCTAGCTAAGGGGGTCGAAATTGATTTTTAGTGATCATGAGATCTTTTCAGCAGAGTCTTGATTTGCTTGTCATCTGGGTCCTCAACATTCTGTCAAGTCTGTTTTAAAAGTGTGGCCATTTAGCATTAAGATTTGTTGTTAGGAAGGGGAGGACAAGTACAGATGGGTCAAATGGTAGGTAGATAAACTTCGATATCACAATAATTGGTATTTTCTGAAGTCTCCCATACGGCCGTACTTGGGTTAGTGACATAAAGCATTCCGAGGTAACAAAAAAGAAGAAAAAGAAGCCTTTCGGTTCATAATTTTAGATTGAAGATTCACGAGTCAAGCAGTATGTCGAATCCATTCCCGCATAAATACTCACCGCACTCGAAAGTCGGTATGAGCGACCATAAAATTAAATGCTTACTCCCGCACATTGCTCATGGCCGACTACCAAACTTAACTCGAAGGCTGTGATTGCCAGCGCAGCAACTGTTGAGCATTTATTATATCGAATAAAATTCTATTTTCATGATGACCCCACGTTGCGAAAAGACGCATCCATCACCATCCCACCAGTTGGGCCACTTGCCACAGGCTTGCCGTCACAGACTCACAGCCCTCCAACGCAACGGAGTTTAAATATTTAAGTACATACTACGCACGCATGTGTGTATGTACTATGTACCTACCTCCCTACCTAGGAGGGGTTGCCCGCGTATCGTGGCTAAGAATAACGCGACCGACAAATGGGACACGGGTGTCTACAAGGGGAAGTGCAGATTATCATTATATATTTTATTGAATTTTAGTTAATTCCTTTAGGGTCTATTAATAAATTTCAGAAAACAAAAAGAAAAAGAAGAAGCAGGGCCACTTCACTTCGCCTACCAAAATTATTTGATTTATCACGAAATAAATATTATCGCACTCAAAAGTTGAATTTTTCAACCCGTTTTTCTTTTTCTATTCGGCCGGAGAATACATTCGTTCCTCTCCCTTAAAACTTACCCCTCTGCGAGGAGCGGGGGAAAGTTGATTCAGGAACAACGCAGAACTTTAATCGTTGTCAGCCCACACCATCTACTCTCTGCGCCGTAAATTCTCATCTTGTTGCCTTTCTTGTACTTTATACTTTTTAGTTCTCACCGCTGTGATACCCTTTTCACGAATCCTCGCTGCTTTTAATCGTAGCACAAACGTACATAGTAATCGATGCGATGTTGCATTTTCAATATTTGACTAATTCCCACTCACTGGCTCGGTTTGTTCATCGGCTGCCATTAGCTACAAGCTGTTTATTTTTATTCTTTTGACTATAGTTTATACGGTTTTATTCATTGACTTCATTTTCGAGCTTGATAATTTCATCCTCGATCGTTCATCCAAGTCAACTCAGAATTTGTGATCAACATAGACTTGTTAGTCTGATGGGTGATCCCGTTGTTTGACTAGAGGACAAACAATATGCCAGGTACGCGAATAATTAAATCCATCATCGGCACCCACTCGCATTGAACTCTTTTCTAATTTAGTACTAGTGCTAGGAACACTTCCCCGGACCCACCGAGTCTCCCTTATGATTTGGATGCACAATTCCATAACCCGGTCAGTGATTGAGGGAGGGGCACAACATACAGCAACAAAGCACTTGAGTAGGGGCGGCACGCAATGGCCTATCAAAATAAGTAATTCTAGCTGACCTGATTCAAGAGAGATGAGGAATTGGGCCATTGCACTACGGTGAGAAAGTTCATTGTAAAGAAGCTCTTTCTGCAGAAGCGTCCAAATCCCAGCCTCCTTGTGGCTCCTTCTGCCCCTCATCGAAAGCATAGAAGCCGCCCTGATAACCTTCCATGACTTCTATCAGACTATACCAGCATTCTGCCCAATCAAGTTCACGGGCCTGCTTAACTTAATTGGGTGCTAATGCCGAAATCATCCTTCACCGGTCAATGCCCCCGAGACAATGGGCTCCTCCAGGAAGTAATGCAATAAAAAATAATCGAATCTGATGCTCTTTTTCATACTTCATAAGTGGAATGTTCAAGGATGTATCAATCTGCCATGTTCGTCCTCGTCCGCCTTGACTATTTGGAAGCACTAATATCCAACCAAGTTTAATGAAATGAGACAGCTTCCACGGCAGAAACGGGTATTAAAGATCCAGGAGACGGATTTCTGGGTCCTCGTGTTTTCAGTCCGCCCATTCGGGGGAGGCTATCCGGTAGCATCTAGAATGAATAAGATCATCATAATAACGAGCCATCGAAACATTTTCAGCGACAATACTTATGAACCAAGACTCACCTTGAGGTCTAGCAGGCAATTCACGTGGCGCCCTCTTCACCGATTAGTGATGAAAAATCCAGAACCTCGACATGGGAATCTATACACCCACGACACCGCCAGGTACATTATTGCAAAAACGGAACCGGCAAGACGACCAAATTGTACAGTTCACAAAGAGATGTGCATAAGCAGCATTACAACACGATCTTACATATGCAAACTCCACCGACAGATAGTTGAGAAAAAACTTCACCGCTGAGATTGTTACCTGGACAACAGTCGCATGATCATGGAACCCCTCTTCAGATACTACAACTCATCCCCTGCCTACATTTCAATTGCCCAATCAAACGTGGCCGACTTGGTTCTTCAAGCGTTCGTTATTCATATCGAAAAGTTTGCTTTCAATGTCCCGAACTGGATTGAGGATTTGCGGTCAACCCAGGTTTCCTATGTCCGAAATTGGGCTTAAACAGGCTCAGCACGAAAAGTTTTTAATAGTTAACAGACAGATAACTGTGTTAACCGTCAAGAATATTCGACATTCTTGCCTCGAAGAAGAAATAGATCGCATATTTACGTTTGCGACACGGTCTTGGCGCAGCAAACTTTGTTAGAATAATTGCTCCTGCACTTCAAACCTCACGATCTCTTTCGGGGTCTAGACACCAAACATGCACGGCAACGAATCTTTCTAGCACGAAATGCGGTTTCGTCAATCTCCTCAGCTCGGAACACAGATGGATCACCTACACACCCAGTAGATGGACTCTCGTGCGCATTCATGCCTTTACCATCTCATCTTATCGAAACCCCTCCATCACCCTAGCCAAGTTGAAAGTTACATGCTTCTTCGTACCTCCACCCCACTCCTAGAACAGAAGGTCCCAGTCTCTTATATTCGTATCTTCCTTCGTTTGTTCTAAGCTCCTTCTAGAAACATTCTAGAAGCGAAGAGGTTGGTCCCCTACCTAGCTGGGAAAGCTGAAACCTTGATGTCTGCAACAATTCTATGTTACAGTTGTACACGGATTGCGTCGTTGACTTTTGACGTGACGACATCTTACAAAACAAGTCAATAAATCATTAACCCGATTACGTGAAGGGAAATAAGGGGGCTGCAATGCTTACCTTCGTAGATGGAGGGCGATTAATGGAACAAAAATATATTCAAAAGGTAAAAGGAGTTCTGAGAAAACGCATTCACCCGACTATTGTGCTTGCACCAACGCGGGGGCGACCACTTCACTACACGCTCGAGTCCTGGAAGCGCATAGGTAACCGCTGATGATGGTCTCGTCATAGCTCCCGTCCCCGTTAATGGAATCAATACATACATCGAGACCGATGGAATGAGCAGCCGCAAGCCGCTGAATCCTATATAAACTCCAACACGAATTCTCGGTCGGTCCGGAACTCTTTATGCACACAAGAGGCGCAATATACAGAGAACGCGAAGAAGCAGCTAAGTGCAATACTATCCTCCTTCCCATCCACATGTAAATCCGCCAGATTCCACATACGTTCATCTGATATGCCTTGATTCATTTTCCGCCAATTCTCTCGCGGGAGAACCTTCGGGGAAGTGAATTCACGTGTTAGGATGCTACACCGATTGCAAGAGGGGGAAAGTGAATACGGGGTTGAATGGGCGAATAGTTGAACTTGGTTGCCCGTGTTTGCTGCACTATGTCATGGAATCCCACGCACTAGAATTAAATCGATGACGATTTGCTCTGAACAGACTGAGTTCCATAGATAGGGTAAAGTAGGTAATCATTGAAGAAATCGCCGATAAGGTAGAGTGACCGTAATTGATACATGTCCTGAAGAGTTACCTCGTGGTGAATGTCCTTCTCTCACATGGCATGCTCCAACCAACAACTGAGGGAACCGCAGCATGTGGGGTAAGATCAGAAGTCGAGAATCATAATTTATCTGGAATCTTGGGAAAGGGCTGCGAGTGGAGACTGAAATGGTTTTTGGAGATTCTAGATCCAGTTTTCAATCTTTGGATGGATGGGGTTCCATAACAGTCTTTCAAGAGATCTGATTGAGCAGAATTGCCTTTATTCGCACGCTTTTATAAGGATGAATCCGTTTCATGCCGTATTCAAAATAGATATGAGAAGAAGAGGAACCTTGGAGTATCTGGTCAAGTCCACTCACTTATTACTTCTACGTACGTTAAAGGTGGGAGCTGCGGTATTGTACTCATGAATGGTTGGTGTCCACCTACTTTGAAATCAGAATCAATTTCCTCAAGGTGATAACGTAGCTGGAAGAGGGTTAAGATGAATCTCTTTATTCACTCTTATTCCTACCTAATTTCCTCATGCCCCAACAGTGCGCCATTACCTAGGCGGGCTGGTGTTATTGTGCTTTGACAGAACATCTACAATACCCATCATGCTTGATCTTGCTGGAGCATTACCCAAACGGTTTGATATGCCTCTCCTTTTCCTACCTACTCAATAACTCTTCTTCTTTCCAAGGCCGGCTCACTCACCTGCACCTCTTCCAAGACAATAACAACCTCAAGCGCCACTAGTTATATCTAGTTTTGCTAAAGCATCATTGCACGCAGCGGGTTTATTACTCATTATATTACCTACGACATTACTCTCTTGAAACTCTTTCAAATAGTACCACTTTCACCAGTGCATTTCTTTCTTTTTCCCTCCCCGGTGCATACAATCCTTTATATATTGAAATCACCTTGCGATTATTTATTTTACTGATCCATACGGGTTTTGTTATTTGTCACTCGAAATACATCTTCATTTTTGTTTAGTATTTTTGGATAGTTAATTATTCTATTATTCTGTCTCCATACTGGAGTTATTTCTCATTCTAATAATCCTCAAATTGACCAGACTTATCGGCCCATTCAAAAATCATTTCAGCCAATAGATATCCCACTTCCTCCTCCCCCCCTTCTATCCATTATCAAATAATCTATCTGCTATACTAGGTAGACACTTGCCTACCTACCTATACCTTTCCTTCGTTCTCTTCAAATATATAATCATTCTAGTTTGTTTCTCCAAAGTTTCTTTGGCATTATATCGTTTATATTTTGTTTTTTTAATAAGTTCTACTTTCTGTATCTTTATTCGATATCTTTGGAAATATCCACAGGACGCAAAAGGGAAGATATACCTAGGATTATCAATTATACTTGCAAGAACAATCAATAGCATATTCATTGGTTCAGATCATCAAAATCTTCCTCTTTCCAAATAAGACCCTTGTTGCTGAACTCAATACGATCTATACCGAGTTTAACTTCCTCGTTGAAACGATCCTTCAACGCCAAACCACTACCGGTCCTGCGATTTGCGATTTTGGCGATAACGAGGCAAACCTCTCCAATAAACCTTACCCACCTTTATTATATTTTCTTGAACTTTACTTGGATATACCTTCATACCATATCTCAAATATCACGTACCATTTATTAACATATATATACATGTATACATATGTATGTATATGAAGGAAGCGGTCGTCGAACTACTATCGTTCAGCTAATCGATGTTCCACTGCCCATAACCGCCCGAAGTCTCCCCAATCATTATCGAAATTGATCGACAACACCCGACAAACCACCTCGCTCTACCCCTCCTCTCCGAAGTCCATATGCAATATATGTTTTATACTTTCAAAAGCGCGTACACCTACTTAGGACGAATAAACATGAGTTGAAGATGTTAATGAATGACACAGACCGTGGTCTCGGTAACATATTTAGAAGGAAATACCTTTGCAACTTCCCAATCGAGTAATAACACTGTCGACTCTTTTACACGAGAAGAATTCCCTTCATTCTAACGGCAATATACTTTGACTTTCGAAATTACCTCCCAAGGAGATACGGAAACCTCCAAGTGCTGGAACATTACCGCTACCAATGAATGGGTTATTAGGGAACGCTCCGCAAACCAATATGTACGTGCGAGCGTTATACGACTACGAAGCCGACGACCGAACAAGTCTCAGCTTTCATGAGGGGGATATAATACAAGTAATCACACAGCTAGAAAGTGGCTGGTGGGATGGAGTCATAAATGATGTGAGAGGATGGTTCCCAAGTAATTATTGCCAGGTCGTATCGGGCCCTGAAGATGTCCTGGAAGGCAAGCCGAATGGGGGGGTTGGAATAGGCATAGATGATGATATCAACGACGATGAAGACGTCGATGAAGGATACGAAGAGCAATACGATGATGATGAGGAAGAATCAGAACGTGATGACTTCTCGCATTTGCCTACAATTGGAGGGAACAGCAATGGAAGATCAGGGGCAGATTTCTGGGTACCTCAAGCGACCGCCGATGGCAGATTATTCTACTTTAACACGGAGACTGGCGAAAGTAGCATAGAGCTACCATTAGAATCGCCATCTTCATCAACAGAGATTGGCCCTAGAGATCGGATGAACATCAATATACCGGAGAAAACGAGGCCGCCGGCAGAATTGATGGCGCGAGGATATATAAATGAAACTGACGATGAATCAGAAGGAAATTCTGCCTCCGAGCTAGATGGAGAGTCTATCATGCTCGCATCCAAACCCTCCTTTGTATGTTGCCTGCTCTAGATGGTTACTTTTGTGCATGCTAACAACTCCCAGCCCCGGAAGAAGCGCAGATCTCAATTATCTGAAGGGGTTTCTCCAGCTACGTCCATGGACTCGATCAATGGCACATCTCCTGGTACTCGCTCACGAGCCGATACGTTCAATACACCAAATTTATCCTTGACCGCAATGCCAATAATGGGCCCGTCTACAACCTCTTTCACGACTCCCGCTCTTGGCCCACCACATGCTGCTACTCTGCCTCGATCATTCTTTGATGATGGCTGCGCTGCGCCACTGACATGGAATAGACTCGTTGCAAATATGAAAAAAGCTGTGGATTGCTATCGCGAAGCCATCAATAATCATAATCGCTCCGAGTATGTTCGCCGAGCCGAAGATATCTCTGATCATCTGCGGTTATTACTCGCTGCCGGTTCTGGCACCACTGATAATCATTCTGGCCAGCCGTCTATTATTTCTACCAACAAAGCTCTATACCCCCATTTTCGGGACATGATGTCCAAGTTCTCGAAGTTGGTGATTTCCTCTCACATTGCCGCTTCTGATTGGCCTAATTCAGAATCATATCAAAAATGCTTGCAGGAAGCGGACGGTGTACTTCTAGGCGTCTTCAGCTACGTCGAGGTCGCCCGCCAGCAGCGAGGCGAGGATATACCGCGATTGCTACCTGGCTTTGTCGTTGGTAGCACTATTGGTGGTAGTTGGCAAAACAATGGACTTGGATCTAGAGACCCGCTAGCGTCTAACTTTCTCGATGAGGATGAGAATGTAGTTGAACCTTCTGCAATCTTGGATGCGAACTTGATGGAGAGACTCGATGATTTGAAGAGAATGTTAACAACTAGCATCCGAAGATTGGAGGAGCATCTCGTACTCACTGACAAAATCATTACTCCTTACAGACACGAACTGATTGGTAACAACGTCTGTTCCGCCGCTCAAAAAGTTCTCGAGATGTTCAAGCCATGGGTTTCCACGGTTGAATCCATCAACTTGTCTTCTCTCGGCGATACATTTCAAAACCCCCAACTTATTGACTTCGCCAAACAGAAGCAAAGCTTGTATGATAATGTGTCCGACTTATTGCTTGGATGTCAGGCCGTAGCTGGCCCTTTGGGAGATGAGTGGGCGGAAGTCCGCGGGGAGTCACTAGAGGCGCGGTTGAATTATGTGCGCGCGTGCTCGAGATCCTTGGAAACGAACTCATCTCACATTGGCTTCTCGCTGCAGCTTTTGGGTGAGCTTGTTCAGACAGCTATGCAGCAGGTTTTACCTATCGAAGAGAGAGCAAAGAGTCTAAGGAGGGGTGACAGCGCGCCCTACGAGCGGCTGCATCAACGTTCAGATTCACGGAATCCATTACTCCGTCCCAACCTAGCAGAAATCGGGAAGTCTCAAACTTACTCTGAGGGTGATCCAGTTCTTCCGTTCCGAAAGGAAAACTCCAAAGTCAGGAAATTCTTTGGTGAAGAACCCACTCGAAGAGATGCCCCAGACGAGACGCCAGACTGCCTCAAGCTCGACCACGAAGATGATATTTCTTATGACACTAAAGTGCAGCCTCCTATCTTGAAGGGTGGTACGCTTGTAGCATTGGTTGAGCAACTGACACGTCATGATAAGCTGAGCTCAGACTTCAACAACACCTTCTTACTAACGTATCGCTCTTTCACAAATGCGAGGGAGTTATTTGAGCATTTGGTGAAGCGCTTTCAAGTACAACCTCCTGAAGGCATGCCACCAGGAGATTATGAAACTTGGGTGTCCCGAAAACAAAAGCCAATCAGGTTCCGAGTTGTCAACATTTTGAAATCATGGTTTGAGCTTTTCTGGATGGAGGACCAAAGTGACGACACCAAAGCCCTAATAGCCAACGTCTACACATTTGCCCGTGATACTGTGAAAGCTACGGAAACACCAGGGTCTGGTTCGTTGATGACTCTGTTGGAACAACGGTTGCGGGGACAGGAAGCTACAGCCAAACGTTTGGTATTGACTTTGAACCATTCCACGCCCCAGCCAATCATGCCCAAAAATATGAAGAAGCTTAAATTTTTAGATATTGATGTGACGGAATTTGCACGTCAACTTACCATTGTCGAGTCAAGGCTCTATGGGAAGATCAAACCCACAGAATGCTTGAATAAAACTTGGCAGAAGAAAGTTGGCGAGAACGATCCTGAGCCTGCACCCAATGTCAAGGCTTTGATCTTACATTCTAATCAGCTAACAAATTGGGTTGCCGAGATGATTTTGACGCAACTCGATGTCAAAAAGCGAGTTGTGGTCATCAAACATTTTGTTCTTGTTGCTGATGTAAGTCGTACTTCTTATGACATATCTTCACATTCCTAACCTGTTATAGAAATGCCGTGCTTTGAATAACTACTCAACTCTCACTTCCATCATTTCTGCCCTTGGAACGGCACCAATTCATCGATTAAAGAGAACCTGGGATCAAGTACCTGCCAAAACTCTGGCAACGTTAGAATCTATGCGTCGCCTTATGGGCAGCACAAAAAATTTCGGAGAATATCGAGAGAGTTTGCATCTTGCCAATCCTCCATGCATACCCTTTTTTGGTAGGTTCCAATTGCATGATGTACCGTGACGAGCTAATATCTACAGGTGTATATCTTACTGATCTTACATTCATCGAGGATGGTATACCCTCTATCATCAAGAAGACTACATTGATCAACTTTGCCAAACGAGCGAAGACAGCTGAAGTCATTCGCGACATTCAGCAATATCAAAATGTACCGTATGGCTTGCAACCAGTTCCGGAACTCCAGGAGTATATATTGAGCAATATGCAAGCTGCGGGAGATGTACATGAGATGTATGAGAAGAGTTTAGCAGTCGAGCCACGAGAGCGTGAGGACGAAAAGATAGTCAGGTACGTTACGGGCTTGTGAAATTTAGTAATTGCGGACCTCTGTCGCAACATAAAAGAGAAGGTAGACTCATGCTTACACGAACAATAGGGTATTGGCCGAATCAGGCTTTCTATGATCGCTTTGCGTTGCGCATGTAAAAAAGAATCCAACGCCCACAATTCGTGTGACTGGAGGGTACTAAACCCTACTTACGAACCACCGATTACGAGTCACCACGACACACCTGGTCGCAAGACCTCAGTCTGTCATGATTTCATACAAGTGCATCAAACAATAGCACGACAAATATGTTACTTGCCAGGCTTCGTATATACTGACTTAAATGATTGAATATATATTCCGGGCGTACACAGACCGCAGTTGGGGCAGGGTTTTAAAGCACTCATGGATACCGTCCGTTTCGGACAATCTATGAGGTTTTTAAAATGCCAATCTTCATGACCAGAGTGTCTTCTTCAAGCGAGAAAAAACAAGGATCATGGGACACTTTACAATAATTTGGTAGCATGGCATGGACATAATATCTTTCTTAATGCTACTATCTGGGGCATGCTACTACAGGATAATAAAAATAAGGTGCAGCAGGTAAATGGAGTTGAAATCCTAAGGAAGACATGTAGGCGGTACTTTATCTATCTGGTGCGATTATTCCGAAACTAAAATCAAAGACATCTACTCTCACTGTGTTTGTTTACCTATGGAATAGTCGTTGGGATTAGTAGAGGATCTCGATTAAACAAGGGTATGGAGAACTCAGTGGAGGCTCAAGGGACCGGCAAGTTAACATTGGAATGTAACGGCTGGTATCCCTTTCAAATTTCTATTGAGAGGTAAAGGTGGCCTGGCTTCAAGTCCGATTGGTTCGGCGCTTCATCATGGAGTATGGAATAAATCTTGGTCTGATATAAATTACGTCGTTGCAGCGCCCTATGGACAAGAGTAGGGTGTGCTTGGGATAATAGTGTTTCATCGTCTAGAACATTTTCAACTATCTAGTGTATCATTTCCATCGTTCTAGAATACAAGTTGAAATACATGGCCTTACATAGATGCAGCTGGAATTACATTCGCGCGGCTGACATGGCGCAATGCTTCACTATGCCAGGTCAGTTTGATGAGACGGTATGCTTCAATTGAAGCATAGAGACATAAATTTACTGCGTGATTTTATAACTGTCATTCGATCAAATCTCATTTCTTCAGACGTCTGAGACTGATCCACAATTCATCACGGGTGAATTTCGAAATCTGAGTAGAGTCATGAATGGGCCTATCCATTGATAAAAGTTTACTTTGGGATATCATATTCGTATGAGTGATTGTTAGCCATCACATTTTGATGATTGCAACGTTTGCTGCAATATAGCCACGACCTCGAAATATCCTTCGGCACCTGTGCACTACCACTTCCATTATTGTATAAGCACAAAGCAGCCATTTTCTAGGCACTCAATACTCACTAGGACTCAAATCAGATCAACTAGTTGTAGAGAGCTTATAAGTAGAAATGAAGCGAAAACGGGCAGTGTAAAGATTTGGAGTCAATTTCCACACGGCTCAATAAATAGATTGATGGCACACCAACGACCCACTCGAGGAAAGATAGATGATTTCGGCACAGCGGAGAAGGAATGTTTATTAAAGCAGAATTGTAGAATAAGCTTGGAATGAAAGAGAAGAAATCATTTGACTCGAGGAGACGTTTTGTTGAATACAAAAGAGAAGAACAAGGATCGTAATAAGAAGTTTGATAATGCCGCCCGCGAAGACTATAACTAAGATCAAAGAGACAGAGTAGAAGTAGAAATTGTTGAATGAGAATCTCACAGTTAAATACTTTGAATCTAATATACTACGTAGTAGAGGGTTTTATCAAGAACTCTATATGAAAGAATTATCTATGTTGGGGGTTGTTACAGTACAGTTGCATTGTGTATTGTGATTGGTTGGACTTGCAGTTATAAAGTCACTTCCCTTTTCCTTGCTAGGAATATTTAAGACTTTGATAACTCTAGCTAACGGAGTATACTAGCCATAGGTATCTTGTTAGTGGCAGCATTTCTGCTACTGACTGTAGTCCCAGTTCTAAACTTAATAAGTTACGCTTAATAAAGTTAGGTTTAATAAAGTTACGCTAAATAAAGTTACGCTTAATAAAGTTACGCTTAATAAAGTTACGCTTAATAAAGTTAGGCCAATTTTGTTAGATCGGATGGAGCTCCTTCCGATATCAAAGTTTCCAACTTCTTGGGTGCCACTACCAACATTTGTCAACATCGTCACACTTCACTTGTGGTAGTACCTGCTTGGTTATCGCCCCTAGTATGTAGTTGACTTTCAGGCCATCATTCCAGCCTTCTCTTTCTCGCAAGCTTCGAGATCTACGTGAGCCGTTCCAAATGTGCGATATCACTCCACACATATTGTTTGATCTAGAGTGTGTTTGGCTGAGAACTTCAAGAAGGGGAAGTGGGAAAAGCTATGTCATGGCATGCATTGCCAAGAAAAAGGTACTGTAGCTAGTGGCCAGTAGGTATAACCAGTACTCCAAATCTTATTCTAGGGAAACGCTAGTGACCAATCCAGACAGTATGGTTCAAATTGTTCGGATTGTTTGATATCCGGTAAATGTCGTCAATCCTCTTCCCACTATTTCTCCAGAAGGCTGCGGCTGTTGGGCTGAATAAACATTAGCTCATGAACAAAATGAACAAAGGCAGGTCATCTGGTCACTGAGAGATTGAGAACCGATCCTATCTTTTCAAGAGTGTCTTGTATGTTGAATAACTTTTAACATCAACTAGTCGCGGCCGGTTGTATTGCCGGTCAACTTTATTTACTTGGTAGGTCTGCAGTGAGACGTATACTTGGAAGGACTAGATCGTTCGGAAAGATCAAGGTCCGAATAGAAGTCTCCCATCATGATGGAACTAACTTACCAACCCTATATATATTTTACTTAACTTCCCATTTATATCATTCTTTATTCAACAAGCAACTTTGTACTTCCCTTCAACTGTCCAGTCATACCACATCCAACAATTGTCCAACCACAATATTTCTTCACATCAATCAAAAGCACCATGCTTTTCTCTATCACGTTCATCGCTATCGCCAGTATCTTGGATCTTGCTTCAAGTCTGCCAACCAAAAGACAGGCAGGGCCAACCGATGCAGATATCCTTCAATATGCCTTGACTCTGGAGCATCTAGAGAATGCTTTCTATAAAAAGGCTCTGTCTGAAATGCCAGAACAGATGTGGCTCGACGCAAACTTTTCCTCTTCCTTCTATAACCAGTTAAAATACATAGTGCATGACGAAGAGGCCCATGTCGTCTATCTCCAAACTGGTCTTACCGCTGCAGGTGCCGTCCCTGTTGAAGCTTGTGAATACAAGTTCCCATTCACGGATCCAAAGTCATTTGTCGCTCTCGCTTCGGTCATCGAAGGTGTTGGTGTTTCCGCATACCTCGGAGCAGCAGCTGATATTACAACAAAGGCTTATCTCACTGCAGCTGCTTCTATCCTTGCCACTGAAGCTCTTCATCAATCCACTGAACGTAGCGCGAATGGGGAGATCCCAATGGCCAATCCCTTGTCGACACCACTTGGACTTAACGCCGTCTACTCCATCGCATCATCTTTTATTGTCTCTTGCCCATCCACCAATGCCGCCTTACCTGTAATGGCCTACTCACCTCTTGCTCTCAAGTCTGGCTTGCCTACTGCGCCAGGTGCCAGTATTGCGCTGGTACCGGAAGCCATCCCATCGGGAACCTTCTACACTACCTTCGTTAGCGGACTCGATGCTATCGCTGTTGAAAGTCAAGTCGGCAGTGATGGTTTGATCATGAGTGTCGTTCCAATGAGCATCTCGGGACAAAGTTACGCCTTCTTAACCAGAGATAAATCGGGTAACTTGTCCGATGCTAACATCATTGCTGGTCCAGTCATTGTCGAGGTTACACCTGATTCACCAACTTTTAGCTTGATGATTATTTAAAACCTGCTTGATCTTTTGCGTGGAGGAACTAATGGAGGTATAGAATAATATTATTGTTATTATTATATATGTTTAATAATTAATGATTCTAATAAATGTATAAAATATTTATAATTAAAATTTAAATTTATATTTTTTTATTTATTGTAAAATTATTAATTGTCGGCTTGCTGACACTATAATCTTGTTATACACAAGATTTACCTGATGTAGATGATAGAAAATGAGAAACTCGTTTAAGTGAGTTGCGATCCTAATAATCTGATTGGTCTAAAATACCCCTGTAAATAAATCTAACAAAAAGCTTGGCAAAGCAAGCCTTACAACCTCAGGCAAATCTGACTTGAAGCTTTTTTCAACTCAATTGAAATCATTCAACTTTATTCATTCAATTCAACTCATTCAACTTATAATAATAATAATAATAATAATAATAATAATATTTAATTTTCAATTATCAAAAAGAAGCCGATATTCTGCCTGCACCGTAATATATATATTCAATTTTTAAATTTATTATGAACTTTTTAAAACTTAAATTTTTACTAGACTTTCTCGAAAGCCAGGGTCCGCGCAGGCCCCTAGTAGTTTTTAGATTTCATTATTAAAATGTGAATTAAATAATAATTAAAAAATTAATTTTCGATTAATTAGTTATTTGATAAATCGATTGTTTTGTAATTTCAAAAATTAAAATTTTAGAAAATAAATTGATCTATCTCAAATTTTATAATATTAAATTATATTATAATATATATATTATAATTTTTAAGGTTTTATTATTATTTATAAATATTATTCTTTATAATTTCTTCAATATATCTTTTATTTTTTAAAACGAAAAAATTAAATATAATAAGATTACTATTATATAATGTATCGAAAATCTAAAGTAATTTTCAATAATAATCTATTATATTTATTATATCGAATATCTTTATAAATAATTCAGAAAAACAATATAATATATATATAATTATATAAATAATAATATCAAAACTAATAAAATGGAAAAATAAAATAAAATATTAAATAATATACAAATCAAATCTATTTATAGATTTATTTATAATCTTTTATTATTATATATTTTAAATAAATCAAAGATTTTATTACAAAATTTTTATAAAATAATATATTCAAATACTAAAAAAAAGATATCAAAAAATAATTCAAATATTATTATATTTGTTTATAAAATTTGAATATTTAAAAAAAAACTTATATTCTAAATTTCAATAAAACAGAATTTGAAATAGAATATATATATAATTAAAAAATTCTAATTTTAAATAATATTTTAAAAGTAAGAATTCGAACATAATTTGTTACAATCTCTAAATACAAAACCTCGATTAGTCGAAAAGAAGTCGATAATTACAAAGGGTTTATATTAAATAGAAGAATTTTTATCTATATAAAAAGGTTCTTGAATAATATTAGAAAAATAATAAAAAGTTTTAGTTTTTCTAATCAATTCTTTATAATATAATTCCTTTCATTTTATTTCTTTTAAAAGCAATTCATTGATTATATTACAAATAACCTCATTTTTCTTCAAATTTATAAAAATTATTTAATCATATTATAATCGAAACTTTTTCAAACCTTTATCGAATAATATATAAATCTACTCTCCAAATTTTTTATAAAAAGCTTATAAAAAAGCATTCGAATAACCGTTGAAATTATTACAAATCGAAAGATCGAAAATAAAAAAAACAAAAGAGAATTAAAATATTCTATTTGAAAAATATAGATACGATATATCAATCAAATTTTATTTTTATCGAAAATGAATTTTTATATTATACAAATCATATTATAAAAAAAAGAAAAACAGAAACCTTTTGATAATAATTAATTAATCAAATAGATCTTATATTATACAATAAGAGTTACAGATCTTCATTTCCGAAACAAAAAATGAATCCCCTGTAGATTATAAATTAGTATTTTCTTTAGGGAGGGATATAGCTTATCTTTGTGATCAGGGATCATTAATAGAAACTGATTGTAAATAATCGATATTATATCGATGATTAATTTATTTAGTTATTAAAGAAACAATATAAACTAAATATATTCCATTGGAATTGTTACATTTAGAAAAAGTAATACTGAAGGTTTAATATTTTCGAATTGTTATATTGTAATTCAAAACCGAATATAACGATTGTTTCTAAAAAAGAAACATATCAAAAGATTGATAATATTGATTTGAATAAAGCTTATTTTGTATTATTAATGATTACTAAGATAATTAGAGTATAATTCATCTTTATTGATTATTAAAATAATTGAAGCCCAATTCATTTTCATTAATTATTAGATTGATTTTTTTAATTTTATAACTTCAACAATCTAGATCAATAAATATATTTATAAATCGATTTGAAATAATTTGAAATAATTTTTAGGTTTTTTAATAATTGATAAAAGTTAAAAATAATTGAATTTCTAATTTTATTGAAGTAACTCTTTAAATTTAGAAATTATAATCTTAATTTTTTTTATATCAATTTTATATTTAAAAATATAAAGATTTTCAATCAAAAAGATATTAAATTTTATAAAAAATAAATAATATTATATTCAATAATAGACTAGATTAAAGTTTTTTGAATAATATATTTATATCGAAAAATTATATATAATATATAAAATAAAAATTAAAACAAAAAGTTTATATATAATTTCAATTTATTAATTTAATGAATTTGAATTGAAAATGAGATTTATAATTATTTATAAAAAAAACCTTCTATTTTTAATTTATCTTTAATTTAAAATCTAAATTATCAATATAATAATATAAAAATATTCTAACTATTTTATTATTTGTAAATCCAAAAATTGAAAATATAATTTATATATTTAATAATAAATTTTATTAAAATCAAATCTTTATTATATTCTTTAAACAATCGATTATATTTAAATAACAGATTGGAAAGATCAAAACTTTTTATTATTTTTTTAATATTATTCAAAAGCCTTTTTTTATAGATGAAAACTTTTGTATTTAGTATAAAGCTTTTCAAACTATCAATTTCTTTTCGGTTAATTGAAATTCTATATTCAGAAATCATAACAAAGCCTCCCCTTTCAAAACTTTCGGCCTCGAAAGTCAATAAGATTATATATTTATAAACTCTTATATGATTTTTAATCCTTCAACAAATAAACCTTTCAGATATTATTCGAATTACTTTTGTATATCTATCGATATCTCTTAACTTTTATAATAATAATATATTATAATATTTATTCTTTATTTTATAAAATTTAAAAATTCTATAATTATAAATAGTAATTATATTAAGAATCTTAAATATCTTTTTTAATTTTATCAATTCCTTTAAGATCTTTTAATATTCGATATTCAATATTTGATAATCAATATTCGATATATTTTCGGAATATCGAATTTTTATATTTTTCTTTGCTTTCAAATATTATATATAAGCTTTTCGGATATAATAGATAAATTTCTTAAATATGATAAATAAATAATAAAATATTTTTCAAATATACTAGATAAGCTTTTTGAATATAATGAATAAACTTTTTTTATATTGTAAATATATAATAAATAGAATAATAAATAAATAAAAATTTTAAAATCAATATTTTTATTGATTAATTTTATTGATTAATTTTATAGTTTCGATAAATAATAAAAAGGAAGAATATTCATTTGCTTTTTCTGATTTGAAATACAAAATCTATTATTTCTTCAATTTTTTATTTTAAAATTTGATAAAATTTCTATTTAGAGTTTTGATAATATCAAAGCGAATTGTTATTGTTTTTATTCTAATAATTTATTATCAATAATACGAAAATTTATACTTTAATAATTTTAGTAATCAATAAAGATGGATTAGATTTCAACTATTCTAGATTAAAATAATCCTATATAAACAAATAAAGTCGGAATATTTATTAACAATATATAAAATATTCAAATTAATATTATAATATAAAAAGTAAAGTTTATTGATATATGGAATAAGAAAATAAAAAGATTTTTAAATTAATCAAAAGTCCAAAAATATTTTAAATTCTTAATTATTAATACTTCGAAAACTTATATTGAAAATATAAAAAATTAAAGAAAAATATAATTAATAAAATAGAAAAGATATATATAAAAAAAACAGAAATATATTTCTAAACTTATAATAAATTAAGAACATTAAAAATAAAAAATTAAGAATTCAAATATTAAAAGATTTTTAAAAATAGAATATTCAAATATCTTATTGTTTAATTATTTCAATAATAGATTCAAAAATCGAATAGAAATATATAAATCAAATATAATTAGAATTACAGAAAAGAAAGAATTGAAAGTATTAAAAAAGAACAAAAATAAAAGATTAAATATTAAGAATAATAATAATGTTTTTTTTTATAATAAATGTATAAAAAGATATTAAATTAGAATTATAATAGAATTATATATTTTTTATTTTTATAAAGGAATTTTAAATAAAAGGAGAAGAAGAAGAACAGAGAGTTAAATTAGATATTGAAAATTTTAATAATAATAATTTAATAAATGAAATATTTTTATTATTATATAAGTGTATTATATTTTTATATATAAATATATTAACAATAATATTTATATTGTATTTTTAAATATTATTATTATATTATTATTAAAGTCTGGAAATCTTAAAATTATTATTTTATTATTATTCGAAATAATTTGTATTAATCATATTAATCAAACAATTTTTTATTATTATCTTTATAAATATTTTATAAATAACTTTATTTATAGATTTTTAGAAATTTAAATTTTTTGAATATATAATTCTTTGATAATTTAATATGATTGAATTTTATTTTTAATTCTTTTTACAATATATTATTAAAATATATATATTGTAAGAAAGTTGGAATTATAGACCAAATACATAAAGATTTTAACTAATCAATTATATGACCTTTTATAATTAAATATAAAAAAAGAGCTTTTTGCCTTTTCTTTTCACAATAACCAACCTTCTACATATATATATTTGAACCTATATAATATCAACCCCAAAACCATTATGAACCTCGTTTTAC